GTGCCGTTCCAGGCAGCGGCTGACATACTGCGCTTCAACTTCATTTCTTCCGGGATTTCAAGTCACTCACAAGAGCTCGCAGCATTGGGATTATAGCCTGTGCAATCTGGAAGCCCCGTTTCGAGTTGACGTTGGGGTCGTGGAGCAAGCGAGTGAACACCGTGCTCAGCTCGGCTTCATCTTTGCCGTCGACTGCAGGAGTTTGAATTGATAGTCGAATCCTGCGCGAAGGTCAGATGGCACGGCTCAAACGTGTGCGGCTCGCCACCACCCACCTCCCGATATATCCAAGGTGACTTGCCGGAACCACTCTGACATGTCATAGTCATCTTACCACCGACAGCTTCGACCTCTTTCCCCAACATGTCGGACATCTATGGCATTACTTAACGATGGAATGTCGATAGACATGAAATTGCAGGTCACCATATTTCCTTTCTCGACGAAAACATCGTGCATCATCCGGAGCTGCTGTGTGCCAAAAGCGGGGTTCTGCGCGATAGTAAAAAGTCGATCAGCCAAATGACAAGGAGCAAAGGCAGTCGTTAAACGAACCAGAATTTTGCGCTGAGTGCAGCAGGCGAATGTTGAGCGATGTAAGAGTTTTGATAATGAAGAAGCGACCTACCTGCCGTCTGTGCGGATCCATCTCGACCGCAAGAATCCCGTCTCCCATGATATCCCGCAGAGGGGCCAGCAGCGAAGTCGGCTTCAGGTAGCTCGAGCCATGCGACAGGATGTGTGATACGGCAGTCACATCCGCGGTGTGGAGATCGTTCTCCTGTGGAGTTCCGAAGTTTGAGCTCCAGAAAACGACTGCTGGTAACAACTCACGCTGAGGACGCCTTTGGCCATGAACGTCGGACCGTATTGTTTTCGCCATTTGTCGGTGGTGTCCGGTACATCCTAGAAAGAGATCAGGTCGGATCAGTACACATGCCAAACCTAATGCGGTAATTTTTCTCGCACAAAAACCACAGCGAAGTGTCCCATGAAAGGGTTTGAACACGGGGGGCCATCGATGAAATTGAGGGGCGAAGTCCAGTTACTGTACAAGATCTTGAGAGCGTACAAAGCAACGGACGCGAGCAGAGTAGCCACAGCCGGGAGGATGAGGTCCACGATCATGGTTGAGGTTGATATGGGTGAGCCATTGCAAGAGGATGCCTTATATATTGTCTGTCCTCGAGCACATACGCTGAACGTGTAGTCAAGAGAAATGACTGCGGTTCATCACCATCAACACCTCAGTGCTCAAGCGTCAAACCACCGCTTACACCACGGGTGCCGAGAAGAGTTCGGCAAAGGAAACTTGTCAGAGAGAATGACTTCTGCAAGACGCAGACAGCGGAACACAACCGCTTGGCTTCTCAGAGGGAGAAAAGGTTGCACCAAGGCGTGCTGTGCCATAGCGGTCGCAATTTGCGAGCAGTTGTGCGCCGTCGACGCTCGCTTGTTGGTCTGACGTGGTTAACCTCATTGAGGGAGTGAAAACATCGACCAGCAACGACGCGTTCACATTAGGGACGCGGAGATTGGAGTCTATGCGTGAATGGACGCTGACAGTGTTTGGTCTCGCCAGTGTGTGCGTCCACTGATGCCAGTGACATCGACAAGCACCATCAAAACAGCATCTCTTCCAGGCAAGTCTACCTGTCAGCAAGCTCCTCACACCGGGCCTATGAGATGTTGCAATTACTGTCAGCGCTCGAGCTGAGGCCATTGCAGCTTACCGATGCGACGGAACGATCCCACAAAACGAAAAGTAGGGTCACCACCGCGCCAATTCTCTCGTCCAGTGTCAGTCAACGCGTGCGCAAGACCCTAAGGATCCTTTCTTCCCCATTCTATCACTATTGAAACAGCTCTTTCTTCTCTCAACCAATGTCGAACAGACTCTACACCATCGCCGCATCTGACCACTGCTGGCCTCGCCGTACCAAAAGCTGAAAGCTGCTAGATATCCGGACCAGCTGGACGAGGCGATGTGGGACATGGGGGACATCAAATAACTCGTCGCCTGGGGCTGGTGGAGCGACGGCTGCGACTGGGGCAAGCACAAAGCCGCTCTGAGCGCAAAACTGCCTCAATTCACGCCCGACATCGCGGTAGACAGACGCGGAACAGTGGGCGTTCACGATGCCCGTTACAAGTACACGGTGCAGAGTGCGGTCCATCTTCCATAAACTGTGGGTGTAACTTGGAATTCAGGTACTTCTGAGCGCTTATCGTGAACGATTCGGTATTGACTACACGCTGGCTCGACTTTGCTTGTTATCGATATCCGTTGTTCAGTCGTAGCCGCTGTGTCCCTTGACAACATCAAAGGCAGGACCGCCCTTCTTGAACATCGCGTGCAAATCACCCAGATCGACTCTGGTGCTTCGTAAGCCGCAAAATGGCCTCCGCGATTGTGGATCTTTCGGTAAACGACGTTACCGGAGACCTCTGTCCAGCTGAGCAACAGATCTCATGAATCAGAGCACGTCTTGAGATCGATGGGGTACATACCTGACCGGGAAGATGACCAGTTCTGCGGGGAAATGAGACATGCCGAGCGGGATCGTCGGGTATTCCGCAGCCGTGTAGATGTCCTTCCTCACCCCGTCGTACGTGCCCTCTGAGAACTCATAGTAGATGCGGACTGAGGCGGCGGGACCCGCCCGAGAGAACCAGTAGACGGATATCCATGTCAGGACTGCCTATCCTCAGCAAACCACACAGCGGGGGCCGAACAGGCGACACAGACCTTCGTCGTCGTCCCAAGGATACTTGTCCGTCCAGTCAACGAGTTTCTCGTAGATCCAGGCCAGCAGGGCGACGGGCGAGTCGGCCAGCGCGTAGCCCACCGTCTGGGGCCGCGTCGACTGCTCAGCGTAGTACCCCCGTCCGCGTCCGTTGAACCATTTCAGGCGCTCCAGACCGCCTTTTCCTCCTCGGTCAGTCCTTCTTCGGAGTAGGGTGTCGGAGGGCGGCCCCTGGATCGCGTAAGCTCAGCGGGCTGCGTCGGAGCGGATCGGCAACGTACAAAGGAAAGTTGGTGTGCCAAGCTTTGGCGTGCTCGTGGCCATAACGCTTCGCGATCGTGCGCGTGATCTGCAAGAGCATCAAAAAGGGACCATGGATCAGAACGTCACGTCGAGTGGCGTACATAGTATCCCCAGTCGCCTCCTTGCGTGACTATGTAACCCGCCGGGTGAGATGACAGAGAACGGCGAAGTCCGGGCTCACTCACCGTATTCATTGTAGCCCAGCGCCAGCATGAGTTTGTTGCCGACCTGCCCATGTGTGTCGAGTCAGACTCGTGGAGTGGGAACATACGGCTCCAACACTGACCTCAGCGAACTGCTCAATGGCGAATCCCTTCTTCTTTGGGGCTTCGGAGAACCCATAACCCGGTAGACTCATCGCAACGACGTGGAAGCTCGGATGTTCATCAGAACGCGCCACTAGCAAGGGCACGATCTTCCTCGCCTCGAAGAAGCTTCCCGGCCCTGACAAGGACGAGGACAAAGACAAGGAGGAGTCAGTACACAGTCTCCCGAGCGCAAATGCAACGACGCACATCCATGCACGAACAGCAAGGGGATCGCACCCTGCACCGCGCTCTTCTTATGGACGTAGTGGATGTTGAGTGTGCCGTGCCCGTCCACCGCGATGTCGCGCGTGAATTGGGGCAGCTCCGCGTTCAGAGCGGCTTCGTGCTTGCGCCAGTCGTAGCCATCGATCCACCGCGCAACGAGCCGCTTGATATCCCCCAAGGGCGCGCCGTAGTCGCGCCCCGCGTCCTCCAACTCGTCCGGGAATCTAGCGGCCTTGAGCTTTTGGTGCAACGAGGCCAGGGTGTCGTCGGGTACGGCGATGGTGTATGGTGCTTCTGACATGGTGGGAGGAGCAGAAAGAGCTGCGAGCGTGGGAGAAGGTGGTTAAAGTGCCATCCACATCGACACAAACGCACTTCTTATGGTGTGATACCCCGCTTCTGTTCTGAATTTCCGTTCGGAGTCGTACCGTTGGTCAGCTGCGCGTAGTAAGTGGCCCTCATCAGGCGCTGACCGTGACTGCAACGTCCCGCGGCATCAGTGACATCATTGTGATGGGGAACGAAGGAGACCGCGGAAATCCTTGTACGACGGCTGCCCTTTCGGAATTTGACGAATCGCGCTCTTCCACTTTCTCACTAAATTGGGCCTGTTTTTCTCGAGATTGCGCTCCGTTGTATCTTTCTGTGGCCTCTACGGCAAGATGAGCGATACCTTGCCTGACAGCTACTTCCTGATTCGCGATGTTTTGGACGCCGGAGTGGGTGTGCGGTTCGCCTCGGACTCAATGCGTGACTTGGTGTACACAATTACGCTCGTATAAGCTCTGTCAATGTGTGTATATCGCAATGAGCTCTGTCGATACTAACCTCCCAACCTACTTCTCTCCACGGAGCCGCAACACCGCCTCACCTGGACCTCTATCGTCTTTTCTCTAGACCAGCGGGCCATCGTGTGAAAATCGACCATGAGCATGCTCAGATATGTCGCTCCGGTCGGTCACGGAATATCATGTCATCTTACCAATGTCTTTCCCGGCTGCAACGGGTCTCTCAAGCAGCAGCTTGGTCATTGGTTGAGTCTAAATGGGTGTTTTTCGTCGGATCCATCTGTCGTGCCCGGTGCTTTTGCCTCTGGGATGCGGGAGAACTACGGTAGAACATGATCCATGACAAAGTCGGCTGCAGAAGGCGGGGGCCAATTACCCGAAGCTCATGGAAGCATAGAGCCAAGTTCATTGATCATTCATCAATGACTTCGCGCGAGCCCTCATAATTACAGCCTTTCTCACGAGTACCACAATTGTCCCAGGTTCTCACAGGCAACATTTGATGAATCAACCCCCATTCCTTAACTTACAGTAATGGAACTGAGACTTGGAGATCAAGACTTGGAGTGAGAGAAAACAACTTGCTGGCTAGTTTGGAAAAGAATGTACTTATCAGAAATCATCCCCGTGCTTTCTCAACACCCAACGAGCAAAATTCCGCCTTTTCGCGCACAAACCCTGAAGCACGGGCCCATATTTCATAGACAATTTGCTGAGAATTGATTTTGAGCTCCTCATAATCTGATGAGTTGAACAATTGGTAGCTCCAAGTTTCCAGCCACTTGCTACAGATCTTGGTAGGGTAGGCGGCTGTACAGATTCCTGGCGGCGTGAAAAAAACTGGACCACAATGTTACCTATGACCGATTTGAGCATGAATAGGGGTCCGTGTTTCAAGGACTTTGCACGAGACCTCTCTAGATTCCTGAGTTCTCTTAGCTGAACGTATGCAGTAATGTAGCGCACTCTTCAATCCCATTGACGAGTTCAAGTCCCGGCGACGGTTGGAATTGGCTGGACAGTTCATTGCGCGGATGTTGAACCGTAACTTGCAGCCCAAGGGGTGGACAGATCCCGTCAAATAGTGTTGGAGGAAAAGACAGGAAACGAGGCATTGTGAAAAATGTTGGTCCCGTGAGCGGGACAAGGATGCCTACCCAGTAATGCCTCGCCGACTCCCGACAGACCGTGGATGCTTGGAGGTTCGGCATCAATTGCCGGATACTAATCGCCGACGGCGCGCCAAGTGCGGGGGGTGGCAGGTCAGCAATCCCCCTCTCCTCCGCAGATTTCTAATCCAGGACCACAACAACCTGAAGCCACCAGGCCCAGGCTCGTCAAGAATTGCATGCGGGTCCGCAGCCGGGACAGTCCCAGGATTAGAGAACGCTCCACTTCTCGCCCTCGTTCGCACTCGCACGCGTGGCAGAGCACACTACGGACTCGACTCGCAGTTAAATCCTCTGGATCCTGCGGATTACCGAGTGGCAGCACATGATATTCAGTCCACCGGCCAGGGACCTAGCTGCTCCCTACAGTAATCCAGCAGAATCGTTCCCGTAAGCGTCGGGAAGACCTTCCCTCAGTATCCCTCACAACCCTCAACCCTCGGCCAGCTCGAATGTCGACCGGCAACTTCGGGTGCGTCGACTACAACGTCCCACGCCCTGCCACCCTTGTGATAGAAGCAGGAATTGTTAACAGAAGCGAAGCTGGCACGATCACGCGACCGAGCGTGAGTGCGCGACACGGTAAATGAGGACCACATGCAGCCCGGTACGTCCATCAAAATCGCGTTCCGTATAGCGGCAGACAGTGGGTATGATATACAAGATACAGGATAGCTCCTTCCACGGGAATGCATCACCCAGAGCCAGTGTTATGACGTCGGCCCGGGGTCGCGACGTGTCAATAGATCGAACGCAGGTGGCGAACCTATCGGCGGCGATGTCGTTCCAGGGGCAGCGGCGAAACCCGCGGAGGAAACACGGGGATGTGTCTACGAGGGTGCGTACCGGTCAGGGATGTACATCAGGAAGCGCAGAGACGCACGGCGACGTGAGCAGGCGGTGGCGGACCCAGTGGCTGGAAATAGGCGTCAGAAAGATGGAAGGATGGAAATAACGCAGCACATCAGATAGTGAACATACGGGATTAAATGAACCATCGCTGCCGGGCATTGGGCCCGGCGGCTGGCAAGAGGCATTAGCGCGGCGCACAAAGTGGATCGGACATCATCACGCACCGGCTGATATACAGGCGCACAACCCTCCCCACCCTCCTTCACGTATGGCGGCGGTGCAAGCTCGGTGGTGTTGAGGGGCGGATATTCGGTTGCTCCGTTTCGCTGAGGCAGGGGGCCGTTCAGTGATCGATAGACGTTAGATCCGAATTGGAGTCCATGCGGAAACCCGTTATCGCAAACGAGTGCCGGCGGGACGGTGGAAATCGTTTGCTGTCGACGGATGGCTCGGTGTCGTTGCAGGGAGCATGATACGATGAGGAGGATGAGAGCCACTATTGGAAGTTGTAGGACGAAACAATCTCGTGTGCCGCAAGTACTCACTCACCGACAACGAGACATATAGCAACGGTAGAAGTCGGGATATGGCTAGCATCGCTCTGTGCCTGAACAAGCGGAGAGAAAAGGAGAATCGTGGAGGCGCATAGAGTATTGACCCGGAGACGACACATGGCAAGAGCAAGCGTCAAGCAGGATGCGGTGTGTGTCGGTGTGTCACCCTATTTACATCTGAATATCGAAATGCTTGGTAAAGGCAGTTAACAGCGGAGACAAGTAAGCCAAGATTAGTTTGGTACGGCATTGAATAGACGGAGTCCCCTATGATTGGCACGTGAAAGTAATATTTTTAGGGTCTGGACCGTATAGATTGATTTATTGGCTGAATGTCGAATAAGCTACTGAATCTGGACCCATTTCCAACTCTGCTCCAGCTTCACCCAAGGTTTCCTCATGGGTAAGTCAGTGGGATATGGTAATCGGTCAATTTTTGAATCCACTCATACAAGTTACTGATCTAAATCTGCTGAAGATGATAATATTGACGTCTTTGTCCTCATGGTGGGATGTTGCAGAGCAGCTTTCTATCACGGAAATTTCCGCCGGGTGCATGTGTTCAACAGGCAGGTGGGAGCACTTGGCGCAAAATTGAAGCAGATTTTCGGACTGAAACGTGTCGTCGTTTCTCCGAATTCAGGAGGGAGAGTCTCTTTATTTTATTTTAAGAGTGTGTGAAATCCGATTCCACAAAGTGGTACAGAATTCCAAGAAGAAGGGATAGATTCATGTTTTACAATTTACAATATTTGACTACGTCTAACTCGAATGCCCATAGGTTGCGCGGAGACGTCCCTGGATATACTCTCCAGCCGTGATAGCCTCGTATTTAGCCGGACGTTCTTCGGAGACACAGCTGGGAATCGGCTGCAGTCGCTGGGCGTAAATTCCCGGCGACAACAGATCGGAGGCAGACGCGCCACCAGTCGAACATCGTAATCCGTTCCAAAGAAAAGTGGAATTGAGTAGCGTCGAACACCGCTCCGGTTGATGGCGCGATGCACCGTTGAAGTGAACACATCGTCTCCATGAGGGGTCAGATCCTAGAGAATATCGTAACAAAGTTCTGCCTCACTAGTCCATCGCGCCAACTCGTCTCCCAAGCTAGCCCGAATGTTAGTAATCCAACGGGCTTTTGAAAAGACGCACTTGATGACCAGAGTTCCTTCCAAGGGTGGTGCATCGATCCATTCTTTCGACGAATTGAGGACTTGGAGAGCTTGTATGCCCGGTTCTTGCCACAATATAGTAAAGCACTGAGTTGGACACTTGAAAATGAGGTTATCAAGCAGTGAAACGACTGACCTCCCAGCTGGAACACGGTCAGTCTACAGCGATACAGGAATCGTGCATACTCACTCAGTATGGGCTCCAATCCCAATGGTTCGATTGTCTATCTCTCCGAATTGCGGTGGGTAGTGCAAAAGTCTCATAAGAGCGGCCGATTTACGCGTCTGTAGAGTGGAACAATCAGGTAGCCGATCTAGACATTCGGATAACGGCACGCACTTTATCAGCAAAGAAATCCTCTGGTAAGTTGAGCGCCAACGCAAATAGAGGAAACAATTGGCGCCCCAGGGCAAGTGCGTGATGGCTATCAGGATCTATCAGCCGAATCGCCTTTTAAATTGCCCCACTGACTAGTAGTCCAACGCTGCTGCGCGGAATTCTGGCAGGCCGGTAGGCCATATATTAGCACCGCTCATGATTCCTTGACTCTCCGCATCATTGAAGAGGGAAGAATCATCCATCGGCTCGAACCCGAATTCGAATCCCTCCTGGACGTCGCCAGCACCATTGGGGTCGTTGTTACCGGAAAGTAGCGGACTGTATCCCTTGAAATTGGGAGTCTTCGAATTCTCTACCTGAGCGAAAGGTGAGAAGGCAAGAAACAAGCAGGTAAATTCCAGTTCCTCAAGTTTGTCCTCGAGCGGCAGGTCGAAGAACTGGCGCATAGCTGCGAGAGTGCGAACAAACACCTCGTTCGGGATGCCGTGATTCTTCACTGCAGCGGGCGAAAGAATCAGTGAGAGGTTCGGAATGGCAATCAGAAGATAGAACCATAGAAGAAGCCCACTTCTCTGCAGGCACCCGTCACTTGGTCCACTAATGCTTGTCTAACGATGGGATCCGCATTCGTTATCTCGGCCAGATCTCTGCGGCCGTCACAATGACTGGGGCTCCAAGGGTGGAGATAGAGGGGTTACATCACCGGAATCTCCCTGAATGGACCGCTCTCCGATTGTGTGAACTGCATTACCATAAGTTCGGACTGCTGGGGAGTCGAGAGATCAGTCGAGTCTACGGTGTGGATGACACTCGTGGGAAAGCTTCGGTCAGATGACTTCAATGCGTTGTCATCATGTTCTCATGCAAGTCTTGAAACTCTCTCGTGCTCAATACCCGCATGCCGGGCCCTGGATCAGCCGTGGAAACTCCATCTAAATCCACGCCGCTAAAAATGGCTCAACTCCCTAGAAATCACGTCGTCTTCCGATTCCTTAAACCCCTCCATTCACGAAATGTCGGATAAGCAGCCATGGGCCACCTTCACGTCCAGCCTCTACCTGCATGGAAAGGGACCACAGGCTCTTGGAACGGTATCGTTTGAAGAGATTGAGCAAAAGGCGAAGGAGGCTCTCAAGGACTACCCCGGTAACTGCAACCTGCAAGCCAGAGATAGCATCGTTACTCATGACTACGCCTGCAGGAGCATTTATGTACGCCGGAGGCAGCGCAGGAACCGGCTCGACCTGTGCCGCCAATCTACGCGCTTTCGAGAAGTACCGCATCGTACCCCGTATGTTGGTCGATGCCACGACGCGTACTCTCGAGGTGTGTCGCGTGTCGATTCCCCCTCTGCGCATCTCTCTCAGGGACCGCAGACGACCATCTTCGGCGTGACACACCCATCGCCCATAATCATCGCCCCCATCGGTGTACAAGGGACGTTCATAGCCGACGGGGAGCTCGCATCGGCGCGCGCCGCCGCGAAACTCAAGATCCCTTTCGTCATGAGCACTGCATCGACCCGCCCGATCGAGGCCGTCGCCGCCGCCAACGGGGACGGTCACCGGTGGTATCAGCTCTACTGGCCCGCGACGAAAGAGGTGACGCTGTCGCTTCTCTCGCGTGCCAAAGCTGGTGGGTTCACTGCGCTCGTGGTGACGCTCGACACGATGACGCTCGGCTGGCGGCCGCACGACCTCGAGACGGCATACATCCCCTTTGTCTATGGCGTCGGGAACCAAGTCGGGACCTCGGATCCGGTGTTCATGCGACGATTCGGAAGAGAGCCTGTTACGGGGCCTCCGCCCAAGTTTCCGTTCGATCAGAACGCGATGAGACAACGACTGGAGGCGCAAGATGCGGAAGCCATGGACCAGGTGTTTTTGGGCACAGAATGGCTGAAAGAGTGCAACTCCGGTCTCTTCCGCAGCTGGGAGGACCTCCGCTTCCTGCGAGAGAATTGGGGGGGACCGCTCATCATCAAAGGAATCCAGCGCGTCGAAGATGCCGAAAAGAGTCTCGAGTACGGTGTCAACGGGATCGTTGTTTCTAATCACGGTACGCGGATAGCCCCTACCGCTTCTCGTTCCCCACTCATTCTATTGATCCCAAGGTGGACGTCAGGTGGACGGCGCCCTCCCATCTCTCTATGCGTTGGAACGGATCATGAAGTCGCCGAAGGTTAAGGAAGCTCAGACTTCGGGCGCGTTGACTGTTCTTTTTGACTCCGGCATCCGCACTGGATCAGACATCATCAAGGCAGTGGCTCTGGGTGCCCAGGCGGTCCTTCGTGAGTCGGTGTTCGATAGCTAGCGCTGGGTGCTCACAGCTACAGTCGGCCGCCCTTGGCTCTACGGAGGGATCGTCGCAGGTCAGGCGGGAATCGAGCAGGTCATCCTCCACACTCTTGCCGATCTGGACGCGACTCTGGGTCTCTCAGGCTACGCTTCTTTAGCTGATATCCAAGGCAAAGGCGAAGAGATTGTCGAAAAGATCGACTTCTGAGAGGCATCCGCCGCATGTCGTTGGTTCACCACGCGAGCTTTGAACTATTGTTGATACAAACTTTCTGTACTACCTGTGAGCTTAGAGCTTGGACAAGAGCTCATCATGGATCTTCTGGAGCTCCTTCATCGGCAATGGGTGTGCGGGCCATCCGACAACGAGACCCTCTTCGGCATTGGGTTTGGGAATGACGTGGAAATGAACATGATCGACTTCCTGATGGAGCAGGGTCATTGCACATGCGCATGAGTATCCGTATGTGGACGCACCTGGTGTGCTAGTCGTCCGTTGTTCTGCAAGATGTTGTAGTTCTCCGCGCCCTGTGCAAGTGCGATCTTCTTCGCGATCGGCATGGCATCGGCCAGGTACTCGTCCGGAAGCTCGTGCATCTTATGGGAGTGGTCTGTCGGGTGCCTGTGTCAGAAACGCGACGAGACGCGGGCGACGGGACGTGCATTTGGGGATGACGAGAGCATGTCCCCTGGAGAGAGGGCCGATGTCCAAGAACGAGTATCTAGGCGATCTGAGACCGAGGGAGGATTCTCATAGCGTCAGGACTGACGATAACTCGGTCTCCACGAGCTTCATACTCGGGATTTCGCCTGAAGGTCGCCGTGTAATGAGGATATCCTGAACACCGCGCAGGACTGCAATTCACCTTTGATGATTTTACAGAAGAGGCAAGTAGCAAGGGATCTGGACGCCTCTGCATGAGAAAAGAGCTGGAATGTGACGAAGAGATGGCTTGCTTAACGGCACTCATGATGTATGTAGCAAGCAGGCTTACGAGCGACAGCGGTCCCATCGTCACCAGTCGGCTCGTTCCGGCGATGTCCGGCGCCGGCTCTAGTCACGAGCAAATCATACGTTGTCTTAGTCATCAATCCACCTTTACCTTTACCTCTGCCTGTGATAATGGTTCTATTTTTTACTTCCACAGGTATCTGTGCATATTTCCGGATATAAAATCGGTCTGACAAACGAAGCTGTATCGCCTTCGGTGGTTATCTACATGGGCAAAGATAAAGTAGAGAGTAGGTGTTCTCTGTCTCTGATCTCTACCGATGCCACTGTTTCGGTCTGCCTTCCTCTGGTTCTTCTGAACCTTGTATTCATCTTGCACCAATCGAGGACTGAAATATCGCTCCAGACGAAGACCTCATCAAATATGCATATCCCAACGACATCTGGTTTCACGTCGACAAACTCTCCTCTGCGCACGTGTACATCCGCCTGCCGGAAGACGGATCGATAACATGGGAGGCTATTCCCCAAAATCTTCTCATTGATTGCGCTCAATTAGTGAAAGCTAATTCAATCGAGGGCAAGTCCGCCGTCGGGGCCGAAACTATTTCTGAACGTTGCGACCCAGGGAACAAAAAAGACAATCTGACGATTATCTACACCCCAGCTGACAATCTCAAGGCAGGCGCTTTCTCACTCCGATCCTCAGCTTTGACGACGATCTTACGTTTCAGAAAACGGGTGACATGGCCGTGGGACAGGTGTCGTTCCACAACGATAAGAGAGTGCGTCCGGTGCCGATAGATCGTCGATTTTCTACAGCATCATTTTTTGCAGGTCAAGCGGAGTGAGTAGCAGGCAGCTCAAGGTCCCAGCGCCTCTGATGATCCTCGAGTACACGTCGCCAAACGCGAAAATCCCATCGTCAACCGACTGACCAAGACAAAAGTCGAGCGCGTCGTGGATCACGAGCAGGATAGAATCGACCGTCTAAAACGTGAGAACTCAGAACGGCGTCTTGCGGCCAACGATAAGGTACGAGACACTGCTGTTGACCTCGACTCAGCTGTGCTGACCAACCGGAACAGAAAAAAGCCGATTTGGAGCTTGCCCGCGCCAGGGAAGCAGAGAAAGCAGCGCGGTCTTACGACTCGCTGTTCAATGCGGATGACGAGTATGAATATCAGAGCACGCGCGGGAAGTCTGTGAAGGAGATTGAGGAGGATTTCATGTAGGCAGTCTGTCAGTTCGATGTCTCCAACATTCTGGAACACAAAATCTAAAAGGGTCATCAAATGCCGTACACACATATCTGCATGGTTCTATTCTGATGCATTATATCCCTCAAGCGCCCTAGTCGGACTTAGAACTGCGTCTCATTCATAGTCGCACTGGGAAAGATTGTACAGATCGGGCTTTCAGGCTAGGCATTGGCCTCGTCACCCGGATCAGCCACTAATCAAACGGTAAGATCAAAGAAGAAGATGCCGAGTTTGTTTGCCTCGTTTAGAAGAGCCGACAGATTCCCATCGGCCAGAAAGTTCAGACTTTGGTAACATCGTCTACCAGTAGCTTGGTATGCTCTGCCACTAAGTGATCCACCCGCTTTGTCGGTTTCCTGTTATCTCAGGAAGCACTCTATCACAGCCGCCAAAGGCTCCTTTGGTAGCGACTGGATACGCCCCTTGACCTTGACTCTTTCAGGGGTAAGACACACCCAGACCCACTCGAGCATTGGTGGCTAACAATTGCTCGAGATTGGTCAGCTATGGAGAAAACCCGGGAGACCGAAGTTTTGCCAGTCTCCTGACTGCAAGGCTCGCACATCACAAGTTCGTCTCCGCTTTCCCAGGCCCAGTTTTTCCGATGCGATGGAAGTGCTTCCATGGTTTAGAACAGGTACCGGACCGTTTCCCATGCCCAAAATCTCATCGGGATGACAGTGAGGCAGTGCCGCTCAATATTCAGGCGCCAGGGCTATTTACAGAGCATACCGTGAGTCGATCTGGGATCTTCTTGGTCTAGGCTAATTAAACTGAGAGATGCGGGAGTCATCTATCCTCTGGGATGCCCACTGCCTCCGCGCGCCGCCCCACTTCTCTCCATGACATTCCGTCTCCATCGTTGTCCGCAGGACATACACTCCGAGTCCCACGTCACCCACCCGCGCCTCCGTACGAATCCCGAGCAGGAGTTCCGCAATGTGGAACCTCGTCATTGATGCTTTGGTCAGATATCCGGAACGTCGCTGATGCGCACCGGTTGTTGGAAGCCGTCCGCGCCCGGGCCCTGCCGCTGGTCCGCCGCCGTCTCCTTCCTCATGAACGCGCCGGGCTCAGCAGCGGCAACGTCTTCGTCTGGGAGGAGAGCGGGGAGGAAGGCGACGACGGCGGACTCGTGCGCTGGACAGATGGACGCAGATGGTACGTCCTGTTCATCCCGCTCAGTCGCGACCGAGGATGAAGAGCTCAGTGCGTCGTAGGTCCCAGAGTAAGATGCGCGGCGATTTTCTGTTCTACGAGGAGAAGATCGCCACCACTCAGGCAGAGCGGACGGCTAAGGCTGTGAGGCGGTCGGTATCCCCAATCGATGCTGCGCTTGCTCTGATGCATCAGCCACAGAGCAAACAAAGCATCGTACTCTCCCGTCGACCTTCCGGGGCCTCCCAAGCGCAAGGATCGGCCGACGCAAACGAACGGACTAATCAAACAGACTTTCTCCGTTGTCGTCCATGTGCCACACTCATTCCAGGTGCGGAAATGGCACATTGTCGCCTACCTCTCGGTCCGTGCTCGACCACTCAGCCCGACTCATGATCTTGACGTTGTCGACTCAGGCTGAGTCAATCGCGGAACTGCCAATCGTCGACGACTACGAGCATCTCCGGCACTTTCACCCTCCCGACGGCATCTTCACGACTGCCAGGAACCTAACAGGCCTACTGACACCAGCGACGTGGAACGAATCACCACCGTCAAAGAGCTCGCAGTCGGATGACGCTGAGTCGCGGGAGAGCTCACGCTCGCCTTTCACGCCGTACGCAGCGATTCAGTCGACAGCAGAGCCACATGGGCCCCAATTCTCCGCTCTGGCTCGCGTCACGTTGGGATCCCTGGAGGTCAGCGATCCGTCCTTGGTCTTGCCGCTTCCGGTGTTTATGCGAGAGGACTTGGCGTTGCTGGGCGACTCGGCGGTCCGTGGCATGTGTGCTACCTCGGAACTGCGCCTGCCTTCTTTAGCTTCCCTGGGACATCTGTCCAGGTCGAGTGTCCCTCGAAGCCAATTCACTCCGCCGACTGCACGCGATCGACGGCACGGGCGGCGCGAAACACCACTTTCCAGGGAGGACAGGCGACTTCTAGACAGTTTCAGGGTGGTCGTTTGACTGCAAGGATCAATACGCCCCACATTGTTGTGTGAGCAGGTGCCCCGGATTTGTTGAGAGAGGCGGACACTTACGATATGTATGATAATACCGAATGTGATACCCATCAATAATTGCATGTCAGATTTTCAGGCCAAGCAAACGGGATCTTGAACGGCCCGGATTTCGTCGCTGCATGGGAGATCCTGCGGACCGATCTTGCAAGTTGAACATGAGCATGTGATCGCGATGACAAAGCGGTACGCCCCGATCACTGCATCGATCAAACTTCGTTCCTCGTTTCGCTCTGCCGTCATCATGAGAGAGATCTTGTACATCCAGGCCGGCACTCCAGCGAATTACGTGGGAACACACTTCTGGAATACTCAAGAAAGCTACCTAGCCGGTGATGAAGCCGCAGCGCAGAATATCGATCACGAGGTCTCTTTTCGTGAGGGATTCAATTGGAAGGTGCGCCGAGCCCAGTTCAGTCTAATGATGTGAACGCAATAAGCAGGGAGAATCGATTCTCTGCCCTCGGTTGCTTGCGTTTGATTACAAAGGTGATTGTGTTTTAGCCTACAACGTTCTAATTGGTGAAGATCATTAACAGCCCGATTTGGCACGTTAAACCAAGCAAACGCTTTGGGCGAGATTGCCGAGGAGGCTGAGGATATAGATTCCTCTCTGTGGTTCGTAATGGGATCGGATCGTGCGCTACACTCTCTTATGTCTTTCGCAGGACTGGTGCTCCCATCGAATACAAGCAAGAGCGCGCCACCAAAAGCCAATACCAAGACGACCTCGACAAGGAAGATCTTGACGAGGGCGTGGCTCAAGATGCCGCGAATGCCCAGCTAAAAGACGTGCGGTACTGGCCGGATTTCAACCGGCTATACTATGCGCCACGCACTTTGCAGCAAATCCCGGATCTCGCAGAGTGGGAGAGCAAGGAAGGAGATTGGGCCTTTGGTGGCGATCTGTTCACGAGGTACGACGAGGTGAGTGGCAGTTTATTGCTCCCAGCACACAGAGATGGCAGCCTTCTGAGTGGGCTGTCAGGATAATGATCTCATGGACGGTGCGGTGCGGCTGTTCGTCGAAGAGTGCGAGACAATTCAGGTGCGTTTTACAACGAATCCGATCCGGTCTCCATTTTATGTCCTTGACACCGGCGTAGGGGATGCATATCATGCACGATACAGCGAGTTTCGGGTCCTTCGTAAATTCGCTGATGCTTTCGCTCCGCGACGAGTTCACGAAATTGCCAATGATTACGTTACCCCTGCTCTCAGATGCGGTTCCCCAGATCTCCCTCGAGGTGCGTGACCCTCGAGATGCGTCTCAGCCTCATTGATCGCCGTTGGCTCCCAAGGACAAGTCAGCAGTTCGAAAAGCTGTGAACGACGCATTTGTGCTGCGGAGCCTGAGTGAACTTTCGTCGATGACCGTTGCCCTTCAATCTCCCACGACCTGGTCAGATGCCGTCTGCCGCAATGAGTGCATCCAGGCCGGCGTAAGTCTCCGCGCGTTCTCGCACGTGCCCGATCTGACGGTGGGCGCCTAACAGCAAGCGCATATTTACCATACGTCTGCGATTTTGTCGACCAATGTCGAGACCGCGACACTGCCTCTCCGGTACGCTCGATTAGCCGGCCTGCACTGTTGCTTATCGTGACTCTTGGCAGGCTGAGGCGCCAAAACGAGCCTCTGCATAGCTTCTGCGGCCAACTGGCGTACCATTCTGGGGTTCCTTTCGCTGAGTTGGGCGGAGTTTTTCTGGGTGACAACCATCCGGATCGATTGCGCCAAATCTACAATTTTTCAAGCCCGTCTGGAAGTTTTGTTGGTGTCTCTGTCTAACAAGCTTCTGGCTATGTCGTACTGAACGATGTCTGTCGCCTTAGGTTGATGGAGGCCTCCGACGTGATGTTACACGAGGCTTCAGTCGGTCCGCGATGTCGAGTTACACCGAGTTCCTCGACAGAACCGGCAATGCGGGGATCGTCTCCAGGTTTGCCGGCACCTCTCCCACATCATTTCTCCCGTCTCATCTCCACCCAGCCTCCACGCCCCGGCGTACCCGCTACCGAGCTCCTTCCCCGCGTTCTTCACGAGTGATGCTCCCGAGACCTCCGCGGGCTTGGGAAGCGGAGGCGTGCTCAGGCTCTCGCGTCCGCGATCGACCGCCGTTTTGTCCACGGTGGGAACGTCGCGGGAAACCGCACAGCTGTTCGCCGGGTGCGCCAAGTTCTTGGACGACAAGCTGCGGCGTAGGTTCCCAGTGGACAGCCTCGGGATCGACGTGGATGAGATGAAAGAGCTGGCGAATGACTTGTGGACTCTACACGATACCGCTGGGGGAGATTCTGGTGGCGACGTTGACGTTGACTCGATCGGCGAGGACGAGTGACGCATAATATTGCTTGGAATACTACATAAAGAGAAAACGGAACTCGACCGATTTGACTGCCAAGCGCACCCGAGAGGTCACCAAGTTCACTAGTCTCTAGCAAACCCACGAGGAGCTCGTTTCTCACGGTTGAATCTTGCGAATGTTGAGCCGCCATCGATTGCAAGGTTGGTGCCAGGCCCAGACTCTCTCAGGTGGGAGGTCCGCACCTAATTTTGGTCGGACCATGTCAAGCCGCCTCGAGGGATCATGACTGCGCAGCAAGTACTACCCACACGACTCAGGAACGCGGTCCGTGGCGACCCACGGCAATATCGCTGTCATTTGCCGCGACACAGATGCGGAACGTGCGGGCGGAAAGATTGGGTATCCGACGAGATGAATTGCTAGGTATCAGGGTGGTGGTGACAATGTGTGTGTGTAGCTACAGTATACCGGTCTAGGCTCTTCAGTCGAACCGTGAAAAAAGGGGGCAAAAGGAAAAGGAACACCCCAGGGTGTTCGTGATAGTGCTACATGTCGGACCATTTTGTATCTTGGCTTCACCGCTCATGCTGCGAGGCTGAGCCCGGTAGTACCGGCGACGGGGGTGCCGGTGTTGCTCACGGCAGAGACGTTGTTGAAGTTCTGCCGAGCAAATCAGTGATGGGCCCGGGCCGTCACAACGAGGACACTCACGGTGGTGATGCCGAAGACAGAGTTGAAAGCATCCGCACCAATACCGACCAAGGGAGTCTGAGCGGCGGCGAGGGCCTGGGCCTTGGCGCAGGTGGCCTTGGCCGTGGCGTCAGCACCACACTGCAACACAAGTCAACAATGGGTATCGGAGGAAAGGGTGCCGGCCACATACGCTGTTAGTCAAAGCGAGACAGATGAACGATGTCACGACGCCGATGTTGTCCGCAGATCCGTGGTTGTACGACTTCTGGTCGACCGGCGCGAAAGCGGTCTCTCTGCGGCCATCGAGTCCGGTGGCGAACTTGATCTGGGGAACAGAGCAAGAGCCTGCGCAGGACGATCAGCGAGCCCCTCAGAAATGGAAGGGTGGATATCACTGACCGAAGTTGCCAATGGCAGCGGAGGCACCAGTGGATGCAGCAGCAGCAGCCGTTGACGCGGCGGACGCGTCAGTGGCTGACGCCGAAGCAGCATCAGTAGCCGACGCAGACGCAGCATCAGTAGCCGACGCCGACGAAGCATCGGTAGCCGAGGCAGCAGCGGCAGCGCCGGTGACCGTGACGGTGACATCAGGAGGGCAGGGATCAGTCGACGTCGCGGCGGCGGCGTTGTTGGCAGCGGCAGCGGTGGTGGCAGCAGCAGCAGCAGAGTCGGTCGCAGAAGCAGCGGCAGAGTCCGTAGCAGCCGCAGCAGCGGAGTCCGTAGCGGCAGCGGTGGCCGTCACTGTGACAGTACCGACACAGGGCTCGGTGGTGCTCACAACGTCGACAGCAGTGGTCGCGGCAGCGTCCGCGGAGGAGACCGTGGCGGTGACAACGTGTGTCGATGTCGAGGTCGAGGTGACGGTGGACGTGACAGTCATGACAGGAACTGTTGTTGTAGCACAGAAGGTGGTGGTGATATCTCGCTCTTGCAGGAACACTGCGTCGACAACTTAACAGGTGCCCACAACGCGCGGCGCGATCACTCACCATTGCGACGGATGGGGCTGGCCAACGCGGAAGAGGCGATAGTGGCGATGACAAGGTTCTTGTACCAAAACATGGTGTCAGAGAGTGATGCACAGCAGCGAAAAAAGAGTGTAGGTGGAAAGACCTGCGAGAGGACGATGAGCACGGACGTCATTCTCGGAGAACCGAGGCACGTACTGAAGACCGGCAGAGAAAAACACACGACAAGACCCGTCTTGCCTAGCAAAACAAAGGAGCGGAAGAGAGAGGAAGTTGCGGCTCTGTTCTCGAGACAAGCCGCCTTAAGTACGCTCGGAGCCTTTTGGATTTTTGTTTTCCCGTCCAAGTATGGCCACGCGAGAAGATATCAGGTTGCCATGACGGCTCGCGGCCATTCTCGATGATTTAATTATAAACCCATGCCCTCGCACCAGGCACAAAATGGGTCTCGGGACTCACTTCATATAGCGCATTGATTGAATTTTGAGGCTCCTCTGTGCAAAGCAGGGTCGCATTTCCAAGTACGTTCGTGCGGCTTTAGGTGCTGGGAGTTCGCAATGACCGCCCGGCGCGATACGGCAGCCGCAGCGTGCCCGGGCACGTCTGGATCCGGGACTCACACTTGCGAATCAACCTGGAGATCAATTGCACATCTCGAACATGCGTTTCTGACTCCACTCTCGAACGCATCATGGCGGTCTTCACAGCGGGCCGGCTTCGGAGGCTCGGGAGGAGTGGTCGCGAGGGACGGTCGCCAGGCTAACCAGGGAATTCAGCGATGGTGGCGGTGCACTATTGATCGTGCCGTCTTTTCCTCATGGAGGACACATCGCGTCGCGGTCCTAGCGGAGATCCAGCAGCCCTTCGAAGCATGAAAATATCTCTGGATCGACTCGCACGAGTAGACGGCTCTGCCAGATTCAGCTTCGGTACCTCACTCGTCCCCACTCTTTCCTCCGCGATGAAAAATAACCCATACGTTTGCAAGGCAAATCCACCGTCGCGCTCGCCTCGATCTCGGGGCCCGTCGAAGTCCGGCTCGCAGCTGAGAACCCGTCCCTAGCGACGTTCGAAGTGCTCCTCCGCCCGCTCTCCAACGTGCCGAACACGCAAAGCAAATCCCTCGCCGCCGCCATCCGTGCCGCGCTCCTCCCGTCGCTCATCCTCTCGCAGCACCCCCGCACGCTCATCCAGCTCGTCGTCCAGGCGCTCAGCCCCGTGCGCAGTCCCGCGAAGAACACCCCCGACGCGCTCGTCGCGGCGATGATCAACGCCAGCACCGTCGCCCTGCTCAACGCCGGGTCCGTGCCGATGAAAGCCGTCGTGTGTGCAGTGGCCGTGGGAAAGACCCGCGCAGCGCTCGTCGTTGACCCCAGCGAGGATGAGGGTCCGCTTCACGCCAGCGGGTGCTTCGCGTTTGCGTTCGGAGGCGAGCCGGACGCGCCGCGCTGCGTTTGGTCGAATTGGCGCTCGGTGTCGCCGGAGGGGCTGTTCGACGAGGACGAGCTGGCACAGGCCAGAAGTCTGGCGCTGGTAGCAGCGAAGAGCGTCTTGAACGGAATCAAGACTGCGCTGCGGCCTGGCAGCGTAGATGAAGACTCAGAGGAGGACGAAGGTGACCAGGACGACAAAATGGAAATCTCATAGCACGATGTGCTCGTGAGAGGTGCGTGTTGCTCGATCGCAACTGCTTGTCAGTATCTGAATCATTCTCGAGTGCTCAGCATGCGCTTGGACAAGATTTTTCGGACCCGGTGTCCACCTGTAGGGGATGATCGTTGGATGCAGCCGATTGCATCTCTCCATCTTTCGGTCATGCCGGGCGATCTAGTCCATTTGCTCATGTCACCAGCGGATCTCAACACTTGCGTGGCGCGAGGTCAGCATACTACAGGGCTATGTCCTGCAGCTACTTCCAGAACCAGACAGACGAAAATCCATTCTATATGAAGCAATATATGAAGCACAACTCCGATCTACAGAGCGAATCTATGAGAGGGGGAGAGAGTCGTGCAAATCCAAGATGAAGCAGATCCAAATCCAGAGAGATCACAGAGAGACCGAGACCGAGACGAGACAGTAGTAGTGGTTGATTTCCGTGCGGACGACAGACAGACGAAGACTCCCCTCCCACGCTCGCACCATGGAACACACAGCCGCGCTCATCACCTAACCCTCTGCACCGCAGCAAAGGCCCGTCAGCCCCGCTACGGCCAGATTGCCGCCGTGCTGCGAAGGGGCGTCCCCACTTCTTAGCACGGCCAACGACGTCTGAGCACGTTACTCAAGATCGGTCGCGTTTATTGGCTGGGTTATCAGAGCAGCAAGATGCGATTCTTCCGGTTCAAAGCATTGGCCAGATTGTCGTCGTCATTACTATCGTCGTGGCGAGTGGTGCGCTCAACCCTGCCAGGCCCCGGCCCGGGGGTGGTTTATGTGGTGGATGGGCCGTAAGGAAGCGAGTGATTGATTGGGTGATTGCACCGGTCCCTGGATGTATGCGTACGAACGAGGAGTTTGGATGCTGGGAAGGCGAGATGTTGCATATATGACCGTCGGCTGGTACTGAGATGGCGCGAAGCGGAAGCGTGATACGCTTGCTGGCGCAGGATCTCGACCGGCAGCAGTCTCCCGCACGACTTGCGGCTCATGCGCACGACGGGACATCGGGGCCTTCCCCTGCTTCGAGATCGGCACTGGCAGTCGTGACTTGACGGAGCTTCGAGGGGCCCTTGTCGTAGGCGAAGAGTGGTTTGCTTTTTGACTGGGAAGAATGGTTTGCAAAGTAGTGGGCTGGGGGACTCCAAACGGTGCAGCTATAGCAGGCTCAATGGCAGCTTGCTGGGACTGATTGGGAGTGAGCATCGAAGAAAGCACAGGAGGAGGATAATCCGTACCTCCAGAGAGGCAATCTCAATCTCGTCGTTGGGAGCTGAATGCTTACAGGACTCTGAGGGGGGCAACTGTAATGAATGTGAGCAAGAGTTGGTCACAACCGATGACGGACGCACCTCGATGCCATCGACCTCGTCTGAGCTTGCACTCAGGTCTGAATCGTTACTCGTGAGCTCGACGATGCGAGGCATGGATGAAGAGGCCAGAAACTGGATGCAGGTGAGATTTGGAGTGCAGACAGAGCGAACCAAATATACCTCTCGATCATCGAACTCCATGAAGCATGGACCCACGTTCTCTGGGAACAACAAACTTGGTCGGCGCTGAGCGATGAAACAGGTGAGCATGAGCATGCGGAGGGAGGAAGGAAGCGCGCACGTCGTCAACATCCGCAGCGCTGGGTACATTCGCAACCACTGTCAACGAAGAAGACGACTGTACACGCTGTCAATGGAAGGCTCCAACGAACAAGGAGGTAGGCGTACGTGAGCCTCATTGTTGATCTCGTGCGTGGGTGCGTTCAAGAAGTCAGCCTTGCTGAGAGGAACAGTGCGCTCGTCGGTCACAGTATACGTAGTTGATTTTGACGCGACTTGAGCAAGGTAGGCGAGCCCGACCAGAACCAGCATGCATTGAGTCTTATCGTCGTCCGCCGTCGTCGCAGCCACCTGGACTTGCAAGCTAGGAGAGCACGAGAGGACAGGGGTGGTGGTGGGTGCAGTGTCTGTCTCAGCCAAGCAAGTGAAGTCAAGCATTCGCAGTCGGTACATGATACAGAAGACGGTGAAGCAAGCAATAAGAAGCAAAGAAGCCAGAAGATTGAGCTCAGATGTGTGTTGAGATGAGGGCGCAGATTGAGTAACGGACGCGGTCCCAGACATCTGAGTTGCAGCGTGGGGAGAAGACGCACTGACGGCAGTTGCAGTGGAGACAAGCCCATCCAGAAGATTCACACTGGGCGAGATGATCAAATCGACGTCCAGGGTGCGGGTGGCTGTGTTAGGCGCCGGGCGAGGCACGACCACAACTGTGGATGAGCTTGCAGTGATGGGAGAAGGAGTCTGGGGTTGATCCACACTGGGCGAGATCACAGAATCGCCCAGACAAGTGCACCCGGGCGCAGCGTGTTGAACGGGGGTCACCTTCTTTCCATCCTTGTCGTCGTCGTCCGTGTCGTTCTCGTACACTCGGCGAGGTCGCTCAAATGAGAATGTGTATGCCCCAGCGACCACGTCCGAGTCCCAAGTGTAGTTCGTGTACCCGATCTCCTTGAACAGCACAGCAATCTTGTCCATGAAGGGAAGCACTCTACGCAGTTGCGCGTCGTCCTCTTGCCAATAGTAATCCAAGATATCGAGTCTGCGCATCGGATGCACATGATCCTCAAACAGTTTCGGATCCGAGTAAAGTGGTGCGGGGGCGAGCAGCCAGTGGACGAGATCCCCAGGAGCTACGACATTAAACTTGAAGGACGCGGTGATCGCGAGAAGAAGGCCAAGGCCATGGATGAAAGTAGGGAGCAGAAGCATCGTGGAGTGATGTATGATGAAGTGTATCTGGGGAGCAGAGAGCAGGGATGGTCGTGGTAAATGGCCAAGATGCAATGGGGGCTGTGCGTTCGTTCAGGCGGGTATTTGAACCGCGTCGGGCCAAGCTTGCGCAAAGAACGCGCACGTGCCTGTCACGCGTCTACCATGTGATCGGTTTAGACCTATTGAATTCAACTTCTGGTATTCATGCAATCCACTGGAGACCACACGCAAAAAAACATTCATTCCAACCTTCATGCTCAATATGAAAATTTCACCTTTATTGTTCCATACAAACGTGAAGGAGTGCATACCTGCCGTCTTTGAGTTCTGGTACCCTTCACTATTTCACGGTTTTCCCTCGTCGTTCAAACTGATCTCCAGGATTCTGCAGCGAGATTGAGTGAGTTGGGCTTGGGTGTGCGGGGTGACTCGACAATCTGAGTCCTGACTACCGTAGAAGAAAACGCGCGAGAACATCTGGGACCGGAGAGGCCACAGGACAGCATAGTCCGCTCGAGACCACCATGACAAGGCTCACTTTCGTTCCGCAGTTAGGTGAGCCTCGATGAAGGGGAATGAGCTGAGAGACAAGGAACATACAAGGTCATCAGAAAATCATCCAACGGCCTAGCAACTTTCACAGATATCCTCAACGGGAAGCGCTGCATTGACATGAGTCACTTAGAAGGATTTGCTGAAAGTCATTCGGAGGTCATACAGAATCTTGGCGCACTTAATGCACAAGATGGGGATAAGCTAGGGAGCGCAAAGTACTCAAGACTCGTGTGAGCACATGACTGCCCTTTAATCCCTAGACCCATCTATCTTCGAGAGCGCCGTACTCAAGGCAATTCCGCCTGTAAACAAGTGCCAGGCGAGAAATTGCCGAACAACCCAAGAGGAGAAGTGCGCAGATTGGTTTCATTCGCCATTGACCGGCTTGCAACTTTGCAAGGTACCGACGGAAGTATGCCAGGCACTTTGCTAGCTCGACGTGATGTCTTAGCACAAGAACTAGTATCAACAAACGAACAAGTAAGCCTGCTAACCAACTGGGTAACCTGTCACTAGCTTAGATTCCGACCACGACGAGATTAGCGGGCGAGACGGTGACCTCCCAGTCCAAGGTCAGATTCAGCTTTCCTTGCGACGGCACCGAACAGATCCAGTTGACTTTCCGATCCAGTCCCAGTGTCTGGACGTCGCAGTCCGGCTCTCCAACCCCGTCCCACTGAGCAATGACACCGCGCGCGACAGTAATCGTCTGCGGCACCGTCCCGCTCGCCGGTTGCGGCGACTTCTTGAGCGTCAGACTGCCGAGTCCACCGTTGCCCTTGTCAGCTGCGGCGAGTTCCGCAGGCAGCAGCAACGCGGGACTGAGCAGCTTCACTTCGATCTGGCTGTTCTGCGACGTGGGGATCTGATCGATGATCTTGAGCCTCTCCACGGCGATGCTCTTGGTGTTGAACACCGTGATGCGTTGCGTGAAAGCGTGCGTAGCACTCTTCGTGTAGAAACCGGACTGCGACTGTTTCTTCAACACGGGATGATAGGTGATTCGGATGGACGGGTCGACACTGTTCGAGTATGTCAGTCCCTAGACAGTACGATGAAATTGTATATGCGCACCCTAATGGACAATCAAAGCTCTCTTTCGGGCTGACAGCCGGGATCTCTGACCGCGAGATAAAACTTCCATCGACATAGACACTCGCCGTCCCCGCCAGCAGGGTGTATTCCGACTCATTCGTGATCTTGGCCAAGATATGTGCTTTGGCGCCCATCTTGGGGACGCAGACCCAGGACATCGCCGCCTTGAGCGACAGCTCGACGATGGTGAAGTTGTGGACTTCTCCGTCACTCGGGATCGTCACCATTCCCGGTACCCGGAAAGTAGCGCCGACGTTGCCTCGTGAGGTGACAGAGGCACCGGCGTACGCCATCAACGGCGCTGCGCCGGGTGCTTCCCCATATCCAGAAGTTAGGGCATCTGATTCCTCGTCCTCCTCATGTATTACTGAGCGCCGGCGACGTTGCGACTCGAGTCGGACCCCGGACTCTTTCGACTTCTTCATGCTGCCCCCAAATGCGTGCGTCCAGCGCTGGATATCGAGATTCCACGGCAGCAGTTCCGGAACACCGACTCCGAATGTCGGGGTCGACGTCTCGAGGGTCAGGGGTACGTCACTCCAGGATTCGCCGGTGCTCTGCTGGATAGCAGCCTTGTACACGAGGCTGATTGGTTCCTCCTTAGTGTCCATATCGACCCTGATATCGTAGAAGGCAGACCAAGTCGCGCACGGGACAGCTGCGAGGACCTCGTGAATGAGCCACGCGGCACGAGCAACACACGCACCGTAGACTAACGCAATCTCGACATCCCCTGCCGCATCTGCGAACACGCCGATGGCGACTCTCACCCTCAGCTGATCGTTTTCGTGCGGGACTGCAATCCGGTCCCGTTCCTCGCGGACCTGGCCCTCCAACTGCAGCAACTGCGCACCCAACTCAGCCTTCCTCGCGTCCAGCCGCGCGCCCGTCGCATCGTAGGCGGCGATCACGGAGTCCAGCTTGCTAACATCGAGGTGCTCGACCGTCACCGAGCCGAGGTACGTCTCGAGTGAAGCGATGGCTCTCTCGGTTCGCGCGAGCGCCGTTTCAGCGAGAGCCTGTGTGGCCAGGAGTGTTTCGAGCACGGGGGACGTGGTGGGCACGTGTTCGCCCTTCTCGGTCGAGACTGTCACGTCGTGTATGGTTGCCGCGCCACGGCCTTCCACGCTGCATGCGCCAAGTCTGAGCACAAGAGCAATTCAATGAGTGGTACTGCCGATCTGGACGTACCGCAGCGACTCGGCTTCCAGGACACTCGGCAATCCCGCGATAGACACTTGATTCAGGCCCGTTTTAACGGCGAACTTAAATACCCGCGTCACTTCGGCGCGGGAGGGGTATAGGCTCACGCTCGTGATCTTGCTCGCGGAGACAGAGCGCAGCTCGACTATCTCGGGGCCCTCGAACGTCGGGGGAGTGGTCGTGGTAGCAGTGGTGGTGGCCATGGCTCAGGGATGTGGGTGGGAGGGGCAGAGATCGATGTATGGCATTTGCCACACAGGCTGTGAATGAATGACAACGGCCTCCTGCTTGGCACGACGCCGACAAATGGCAGTGACAGCAGTCAAAGTGACTGTTGGGCACAGGCTGTGAAGAATTGCATTCGGTTTTGGGCTGATATACCCAGCATCGAAAGCAGCCTTACATAGCGTAGCGTTCGTTCGAAGTAAAGCTGGGCGCATCAGTGGCAGTGACTCCGGACCGGTGATAGCGATGCCGTGATTTCGATCTCGGTTCCTGGGAGTATTTCGAATTGCGCAGGTCAGTGGGCTCATTTCCAAGACAGCTTGGCCCTGCCTGCTGCCTGTCGCAGGGGGCAATTTGCTTTGCACTCGGATCTTGAAACACTGGCTCACACACACACCTTGCATGCAAGCTTTGTCGGGTTTCGACTTTCTTACTAGAGGCTGTTTCGGAGGCGAAATCTGGGGCTAAATATACCGTTGATCCGAGTTCTCGATTAAAGTGTCACTGATCTGTGTGATCTCCGGATTATCTACGAAAGCTTGTCTGACTGAATTTTACCATCGGCCAGCTGTATTGATGGCTTGTTATTGAGTACGCAGAATCCTCCTGGGGTTCAATAATCAGGAGTGGTATCCGCAAGGCGATAAGAGTTCCATGTCTTTGGCCTGGCCGACAAGGCGGGATGATTTGTCCGGTCGACTTGTGGGAAGAAACACAGATCGGTCACGCGAATTCGACTCGCTCCTCGGCCCGGTCTTTCATTACCAAATAAGGAAGCTGGATCTTCAAAAAGCTACATTTGAGTTTTACAAACTGCCAGAGGTGGCATCCGAATATTCCCTTGCGGATCTCAGTTACGTCACGCTAATTTTTTGAATCTGATCTGTGATCATGTGCGACTTCGCTTCACTTGAGTCGAGTGAGGCACGCGCGGGACGGCGACATGATGTGTGCCCGCTGCCTGCCTTCCTCCCTCTATAGTGGCTTTCCACTCTCCTGCCTCAGCGCATATCCCCCTCCTCTTCCCCCTCCCCTCCCACTTGCGTGAAGGATGAACCCGGCGTCATCTGACGTCACACCACGGAACATGGATGACCTTCTTGATCAAACGCCTGCTGATCTCGACCCACATTTTTCCTCCCGCCCAGCATCCTCGTCGTGGTCCCCTACCGCTGCCGCCGCTGCCTCTGCCACACCGACCCTGTCCGCTCTTTCGGCCGCAGAGATGCACAACGACGCACCCGACGCGTACATGCCCGTCCCGTCCACACCGGGTCAGCGGTTCCTGGGCCACGCGCTCTACGAGGACGACCCTGGCCGACCCGCACGCGACTCGTACTTTTCCGAGTCGTCGCAGCCCACGCTCGGCGGTGGTTCCGCCGCGGGCTACGCGAAGGACGACTCGCGCGCTGCCAGCACCATCGAGACGGAGGGTGGCCTGCTCGGGCTGTCAGGGCCCGCGGTCTACCCTGGCGCACACGATCCCGATCACGCCACGCGGGAGGGTGGAGTATCGGAAAAACGTGCCGGCGGCGGAAAACCGAGCCGGAGGAGGAGGGGTTACCTTATTCTCGCGGGTGTCCTGCTGATCCTCGCAGTCGCGCTGGGAGTCGGCCTTGGAGTGGGTTTGTCGCGGCACGCTGCCGGCGCTTCCACATCCTTTTCTGCTTCTGGCGCATCCGGAGATGCCTCTTCCTCCACTGGCGCAGCGGCTTCTCCCTCTTCTTCCGTGCCGCCCGCGGCTGCTGTGCTCGTCACGGGTGGCGACGGAAGCACCATCACCGCTGATAATGGGACCACCTTCACGTATGTGAACTCGTTCGGCGGCTCGTGGTACTACGACGTAAACGACCCGTTCAATAATGGAGCGCGGCCGCAGTCTTGGAGCCCCGCCCTGAATGAGACGTTTCGATATGGGATCGACACCGTTCGAGGGTATGTGTGCTTTGCATTCACTCAATAACGATCTGAGCCTTTCTCCCAGGGTCAATTTGGGTGGTTGGCTTGTCACCGAACCGGTTAGTTTGGCCCGGTATTCTATTTTCGTCTATTGATGGTTTCCTAGTTCATCGTCCCTGCGCTGTACCAAACCATCCAATCTCGGAAGACGACAGCCGACGCGAACATCAACATTGTCGACGAATGGACGCTGATGCAAGCGCTTGAGCTCGACACGGCGAACGGCGGGACGCAGCAACTGATCAACCACTACGAGACGTTCATTACGGAACAGGATTTCATGCAGATCGCAGCTGCGGGGCTCAACTTTGTGCGCATCCCCCTGCCGTATTGGGCTATTGACATGTGGGACGGGGAGGGCTTCCTGCCCAAGGTTTCGTGGACGTACTTTCTCAAGGCGGTCAAGTGGGCCCGGAAATACGGGATCAGGATCAACCTGGACCTACACTCCCTGCCTGGCTCGCAGAACGGATGGAATCATTCCGGCCGCCTGGGTAGCTACAATGTCATCTACGGCCCGATGGGTTTGGCGAATGCGCAGCGGGCGCTCGATTACATCCGTGTGCTGAGCGAGTTCATCAGCCAGCCCGAGTACAGCAACGTCGTGACAATGTTTGGGATCATGAACGAGCCGCAGGGTAACCAGATTGGCTTGCAGCAGCTGTCCAGCTTGTGAGTGGGAAGCTCCTGGCATTCACAATCGGCGTTCCTGATGTGATTCTAGCTACTACGAAGCCTACAAGGAGGTCCGCCTTGCGAGTGGATTTGGTCAAGGGAACGGGCCGATGGTCTCGCTCCACAACGGGTTTCTCTACCCACTGTCCAAGTTTTCCGGGATGTTCGACGGGGCTGACCGCGTGTCACTCGACTACCACCCTTATCTCTGCTTCGGCACTCCGAGTGCACAGCCGATCACGTCGTATGGATCGCGCCCGTGCTCCGCGTGGGGCTACGATATCAACTCAACGATGCAGGACTTTGGGCTGATCGTTGCGGGGGAATGGAGTGTCGCGGTGACAGACTGCGGGCTGTATCTGAACGGGGTTGGACTGGGTACCCGGTACGAAGGGACATTGGACGGGTACAGCAAGGTCTACGGCGACTGTGCTGCCGATGGTTGGCTGGACTGGGAGAACTGGGACAAGCCGACCAAGGCCGCATACCAGACGTTTGCTCTGGCAAGTATGGATGCGCTCCAGGTATGTGGATGATGGCGTGTAATCGATCTTCGACTGACGAGTGGTTGATGCCCAGAACTGGTTCTACTGGACGTGGAAAGTCGGTGCTTCGACGGCAGGACGGGTGGAAACCCCGCAGTGGTCCTATCTGCTCGGGCTGCAGCACGGATGGATCCCGAAAGACCCCAGACAGTCTCTGGGGCAATGCGGGGGCTCCAATCCGTTCAACGGGCCTCTGAGCGCATGGCAGACCGGTGGGCCGGGTGCCGGCACGATGTCAGCCAGTGTGCAGTCGGCTTTGTCACCGTGGCCGCCCCAGTCCATTTCGTTCGCACAGTCGGATGTGCATGCGGCCACTGATCTGCCACGCTACTCGCCCTCCGGAGCACCGGTGACGCTTCCCGGGCCGACCTTCACTGCTGTTGCCTCGCAGGTCATGACGACGACCGTGTCTGCGGGCGGCGGCTGGGCGAACCCTACGGCCGACACAGCGGGAATGATGTCGAATATCCCCGGGTGCACGTATCTGGATCCCTGGATTGGATCCAGTGTGAGCCCGCCCGCGCCCCTGTGCACAGGCGCTGTGCGGCGATTAGAAGAAGCCATCGACGCGGTCGTGACGCCTGCTCCGTGAACTGACTACCTGACTGACTGACATTCACACCTCGGACTATTCACCGCTATCATACGCATACTGTACTCATCATCTATATCCATCCATCCATCCATCCTACTTGTAATAACACATTTCTCGCACCGCCTCGCGAAGTCCCGAAGCGACTTGGGGACACGGTCACGGGAGAGGCTGTGTGGGTGGCTTCCTTGTCGCACGCGAGTGAGGGATTTCAGAACCTCGTGGCACGCCATCTCCCCTGCTACACCGGCGCCAGTTTCCGGGAATCACATTCGAAGGTGGCTCTACTCCGGCTGTGCTGCTGTTCGTGGAGAGTAATGGCTGACATTGGTCCCATTATCCAAGCGTACTAAGTAAGCCAAGTAAGCCATTCGCGAGCCGGGCATTCAGCTCACAAGGAAAAATGCTGCGGGCCATGCCTCATGGTGGATGGATGGGTCGGATGACGGGCAGCAGAAGGAAAACAAGCATGCGCGACGGCCGATCGCTCGCCCAGACGATGATGAGGGACCCCTCACTGCCCGACTATTTTGGCTATGAACAGGGACCGGCGGGACGGGCTCGACGAAGCACCGGCGCGGGGGGGATCCATGCTTCACAGCAAAACAGGCGCACAGAGACGGAGAACTCGTCTAGAGCTCGCTCACGGGCCAGCCGGTGGACGGACAGATACATCCAGTGCAGCCCGCGCTGCTTTTATAGTCGGTCTCTCTCGCACTATCGGCCGAGTGGTGATGATAATGTCTTTTTCGCGCGCGCGCGGTTGCGGTGACTAAGTCTCTCGGAAAAACCCAATACCGTGTTTCGACGACACTCCAAACTGACTCTGACAGCGCAGATAGCGGCCGGAGCATTTTGGCCGTTTTGTTGGAAGAGAACCGTGCTGGCGCTCAGTGGCGTTGCAGATCATCTAGATGACTATACATGTGTTCTCCTCGCCCCAACTTGGCGCGCTCAGTAGCAGAGTAAAAGGGCCCGGGATGCATCACCGGCAGTGCACTGGGGATAACGAAACCGGTCCTTCGAACGATACTCGGATTTATGTAAGCGCGATCCTCATGCGGATGTACTCGACCGAGCTCTTGTGGAATGTGGCGCCAAAGGCTTCGAGCCCCCGGCGTTCATACCACGCACGAGAGCTCACGCGGGCGTCGCACCACAGCACGTCTCCGTCCAACTCGGATCGCGCCACCGCGATAACATGCTGGAGCAGCGCAGTCCCGATCCCGCGTCCCTGAAATCCGATAGCCACACACACGTCAGCCCCGTGCTGCCGCACACAACACACACAAGGCAAGGAAGATCAAGGGCGAACCTGGGACGCGGAATCGCAAGCGAATTTGCGGAATCGTATGGCGCGCACCGCCGGCGCCGTCGTGCTGTCCTCATCGATCTCCCAGGCCTCGCGAAACAGCGAGATCACCGCGACTGGGGGCCCAGCGGCAGCCGAGGTGGATGCAGCGTCCGCGGCGATTTCAAGGGCGCCGTAGTGCCACCCCGCGGCATCCTCTGCCAGCAGAACGTGGGACACAGGTTTATCGGGCCAGAGAACTGAATGCCGGAGGGGAATCGTGTCCTCTGCCGCGATTCGCCGGCAGTGAGCTTGAGATCGATATCGGTGGTCAGATCAGGAAGGATGAATGGGGCTTCGTGCCTTTTATCATGTTTTTTAACTTTGATTTCGCGCGAAATCGGTGCTTGCGCAGACTGGCCTGTTGTTGGTGGCATTCGATAAGAGCGAGAAGAGCACGTGCCATTGACGTCATGTTGAACCCCAAGGTTTGCGTCTTGACTTTCGGGTAGCTGCTGCTTGCTCTGGGAGGCTCTGGGAAGCGCTAGGATGGTTTTCCAATCTAAAGCACGTGAAAGAAGCGCATGCCTCTAAATCCAGACTCGTCCCATGCGGAGAGAGGGGAAGTGGTCGGTATTTCCACTCTTGCATCATTCAACCGATGACGTAGCTCGTTGGCTCCGAGTGGCGGCTTGGACATAAATTGCTGGGAAACCGGCAACACCTCGCGCCATGTCTGATATCCCCAACTCCAACGAGCCTTCCGGCGATCTGAGGCCTCAGCCCAGGTATGTGCTCTCAGTGCTCACGCTGAGAAAGGCAACTGGACACCAGCTGACATTCGCGCAGCAAGGCCTGGGGCCAATTCCACTCGGTCAAGGGCACACTCATCGAGATGGTGATCGGGTCTCTTTCCCTGCTTCCCGCGTTCCAGTGACTTATACGCGGTCTCAGATCGGGCACATGATGGGCGCGACATCGTGGCAGGAGTCTGGGCGTGAGGAACATCTGCGCGGGGAGGGGGAGGTCCAAGCAGCGGAGGCCGAGGCGTACGTGCAGGGTGCGGTCGACAGGGTGCAGGGAAAGGTCGACGCTGTTGTTGGTGCGATCACCGGGGACCAGGCCAGACAAATCCATGGTAGGTCCATAAGATTTGGAGATGGCGGCGTTTGGATGTGACTCAATTCAATTTTCCTGGTAGGCAATGCTCAGCATGATATGGGCAAGGCTAATCAGGAGGCAAACGGGCCGTTTTGAGCAGATTGAATATTACATATACCCTGTACGCAACTTAGCTATCGTCTAAACTATTCCCTGGCATGCGAGTCGCATCGAGGCTGTCTCAGTGACCCAAACCACGATCATTTGATTCTAGGAAAGCGAAGGAGATCGCGTCTTCAGATACTCGACTTTCCCCGGTGTTTTCATTTTCAGTGAACGCTCTACCACGGATTGAGTGCAAATGAAACAGTGAACCGAAATAGATGCATTTCTCCGCCTTCCGATCCGATCAGTTGTCCTATCGCCACTGCGTGCCCTCGCACACTGCCTTCCACTTCTGAGTCATCCGAGTCTTCCTCTTCCTAAGCCACAGTGGATCAAACGAATGGCAACATATGATTATCATTGATTCTGCATGCACATCTCGCGGCCCGGTCACTGATTTTACATCCCACATGCGTCCTGGACGTGGCCTACCGCCTCCAGCGCGCACCCAATCGACAGGCTCCAGCCGCTGCCCGCATGTCTGGTTCGTGTCCATCAGTACAAGCACACTAATGCCAGAAAAAGAGACAGGAATCAGAGAGGCGACGTACCCGAAGTTGTGGATCAGACGCCCGTTGCGCTCGAGGCACACCTCCGCACGTCCAGGGCGCGTGCCCTGCGCGAGCGGATACCCCGAGTTCATCTCCCCGTTGTGGATCCCGTTCAGGTCGTGCGCCCCGCGCATGAAGTGGTTGCAGCGCTCGCGGAGGTTGATGATCTCCTCGTGCTCGACCTCGTAGTGCTCCTCCTTGCTGTCCTTGGGGAGCGGTTTCGCAAAGCCGCCGAGGATTGCAGTGTTGTCGTTGCGCGGGACGATGAAGATAAATCTGCGGAGATGGTGCATGTCAGGGATGCGGTGGACGTAGTAGTAAGGACGCACCTGGTCTCTTTACGAGGGTCGGGCTCGGTGGCGCTAACGACAAGCGCTTCTTGCAGCTGGTGGAACTTTTTCCCGTCGTTATCGAGCCGGATAACCGCCCCCCGGAGCCCGTACACCTCCTTGTCCCCGACAGAGTTCTTCGAGCCGAGCCCCGTCGCATTGACCACCGCGTCGACATCGTACTGCGCACACAGGTGTTTGCCATCCGCGAACGCCTTCCCGTCCTGCGAGGGCCCGAGCGTCATCGGCTTTCCATCGACGAGCGGGAGGAACGAGATGGGCTGGTCGAGGTGGATGATCTCGGCGCCCTTGATGCGGACGAGCTTGAGCATCGACATCAGCGCGGAGTCGGTGTCGATTACTGGCGACGACAGCGCATACGCGTCGACGTACTCCTTCGGGACGTCGAACTCGCGCAGGAGCTCGTTGCGCCCCGTGTGGTCCGCCGGAGGGTGCTCGAAGCCGATCACGCCTGACGCGCGGATGTTCGCGCGCTTCTCGACTTGGGCGGGGACTGAGAGCACGGGCTCCTTGAAGAAAAAGACCGTGCGGCGCATCTTGACCCCGAACTGTTTCGCATCCACTGGGTCCTGCGACATATTGTGGTAGAAGTGATAGCTGATCATCGAGCGGCGCGCGTCGTCCGAGTTGGCGCTCCCCCCGCCGTGGTGGCCGCACACCGCGGGCGGGTACTCCCACCTGTGGCGGGCGCGTGAAGAGGGTTTAGAGACGAAGGATGGCGCGGACTCACAGAGCGCCCGAGATATGGGACGTGATGCGCTTGGCGTCGCGCGAGGGAAAGTCGAGAGCGGCGATCTTGACTTTGAAGCCGCGGTCGAGGAGTGCCCAAGCAGTGCTGAGGCCGGCCACACCCGCACCGACGACGAGGATGGTCTTCGCGTTGGCGGAGGGCTTGATCAGCGGTTGAGTCGCGGTGGACAGCAATTCGTTTACGACAGGGCGTTCTGGAAGGAAAAAGCTGTTGTAAGCTCTGCAATTCTTGGATCAAGAGAGCTGTTTAGTACTGACGCATTGCGGTAGAGAGCTGATTCGTCGGATGGAGAGGGAATGAGCATTGATGCTCAGTTTCACCCCAGCCTTTATTTCGCTCATTGACACCGGTGTCGAGAATGCCCGAGGTCAGGCGATAGAAGATCGCCGGTGGAGCATCTCGGTGCCAGTTCTCAGTGCTCAGAAGAGAGAAGGGCCATTGGAATTTGAAACACGTCTAGCCGAGGGGAACAATGTCATATTTTGCAACTGTGCTTGCAATCTCCTTCAGTTTCCTTGAGCGAGCGTCCTCAGGCGATAGCGACTGCTTCTTGCTTGGCTCGCAACCCGAGTCTCAGTACAAAAATCCTCCTAAAAACACTTGGAGAGATTCTCAGTGGGAACTCTGAAACAACCAATTAGAACATCATATTGATGCGACGACAGCGACCGCGAGTGCTCTGTCCCGCCCATCCCGGCTTCTACTCGCAGCCTTCTCTTGCTAATTGGATCCCCGCTGGTCAGCTGCACAAACTCGATATTTCTTCTATCCGCCTGAATCGCAAGCACGAAGTGCCCTCCGGACCGATGTGCCATTAATGAGGAATCGAGAACGGTAGCCCTTTAGACGATGACGATGCAAAGCGTGTATCATACCTTACCCTCGGTTTGACAACGTATTGACTCCCTCCTGAGGATATTCACTCGCAGCCTCAATCTGAATTGGAACGAGCCCCAGAAACTACGAATGCCATCAAACGAGTCCGGTTATCGCACAAGGCCGCAGATCCGAAACATGAGATGTCGAGGTCACATGAATCGCACGTGAGAAACGCGTGCGCGTCCTTTCCGGATGTCTGGGAGGGGCCTTTGGGAAAGCATCGCGTCGTTCTTCGAGGAGTATGGGCGCATGAGCCACGAGTGCTTCCAGTTTCTGGCCTACTCATTGGCTCGTGGGAGCTCCATTCCAGAGGGAAGATGTTGTAGATGAGGTATGTCTGTCACATGGTGGACTGCTATGTCTGCCGCTCGCTCGCTTAGCCTCAAGCTAGGATCGACCTGTAGCGGCGAGGAGTGAAATCAAGGGCATCGGGATGTCCAGTGATCTGAGATTGCATCCGGTCAAGATACATGCAGTGAACAGCAAGTGCTTCACATGCTTTCTGCGGAATCGGGAGTGCCGGAAATGCGCATAGACCTATTTTAGAAGAATCGCGCGAGTTCACCAGGTCAGCCCCATATCTTGTATCCGATTCGATCCTCGAGCGATTTAGCAAAGAACAAGACGGCATTGCTGATGTTCGGCTCACTTCCGAATCCATGAGTGAGAGGATCGTCGTCTGCGAGCATGGATCGCAGGCGGGAGTCCGGACGATGTGATCAGCCTGGATATTGCTGCCCACTGCAAAGCCCATCGCGTCAGTATCCACCGCGGCGATCCTTGACACTTATTTGATCTACTACAGTGTGCTTGGGGTTACTATGGGGTGCGCGGGGTGTAAGCGAAATGTGGGCCTCGATCTTCCCAACGGTGATCCGGTGATCAGCTGACAGCATTCGTTGTCGACACTGTGATGTCGATGAGTAGAGACTCCATGGCATCGCATCGCCTGTGCATTCCAGATGATGACGGCGTCAGAAGCAGGGCAACGTGAACGAACGTCGAAGAAGAGAGCCACGGCTCTTTTTGCAGTGAACTCGAAGTCTATCTTGGTCAGAACATCAACCAAGTCCCGGTGCAGACCCTTGAAACACCGGCAGCAATCTAGGAGTGCCATAGCACGAGACATCGGGCTCCGAATGAGGGAGCCAGCGTCTTTCGTTGCAAGCTTCTTGGACGAGAGCAGCATAGATGCTCGAGGAGATAGAGCATATTTTCCGTCGCCAATACTCAGCCAAGCAGCGGCTGCCAGATTTTTTCCCCTATGTAGGAAAGTTATGAGCCATCTGCTAGACTAGCTCGAGGCTCATCGCTCCGTATGACGCGAATCCGAGCTCGCAAAATCATTATGATGTCGTTGGAAGCATTCCTGTGCGAAGATCAAAGATGGCGAATGCCTCACACCGGGGGATCATTAAAAAAAGGTGTCCCAATCAAAGATTTATATTTTCAGTATTGTAGTACAAAAACTATGCTACGATAGGTTGCCCAATACTTTTCATATAATCTGCCATCATTGGTTACCTGTTATATCAGCTAATGCATCCCAAAACGGGACCTACAATTGATTGCATATTAGGTCCGATCAAGACCACATTTTTTCTTGTCCTTTTTTGTAAGATATCACACTGCAGGGGGACTTATTTTTTTTCCGTGGAAAATGCGTGACAATCTAGAAGTCTGATTTTCACTGTTATGTTTTCAGACAAAGAATATATATTGAAAATAGACGTCGATTTACAGCTCGATTTTAACCATGAATAGACATCTATTCCTCCCGAAAACAGAACTGTAAATAGATCATCTTTTTTTTGATCGATTCTCACTGGGAATAGACGTCGATTTTCACTGAAAATAGAGACAAAGAAAAGATGATCTTTTTTCACTGAAAACAGATTAAAACCACTGGAAGAATCTGTTGATTCCGGCCCCAATTCACATCACAAGTCCTGCAGCATGATTCCAACATGTTGTGAGTAGCATCCAGTAGCCTTTTGCAAGGCCAGGGATGCAAATTGGGGCCAGGATCAACAGATTCTTCCAGTGGTTTTAATCTGTTTTCAGTGAAAAAAGATCATCTTTTCTTTGTCTCTATTTTCAGTGAAAATCGACGTCTATTCCCAGTGAGAATCGATCAAAAAAAAGATGATCTATTTACAGTTCTGTTTTCGGGAGGAATAGATGTCTATTCATGGTAAAAATCGAGCTGTAAATCGACGTCTATTTTCAATATATATTTTTTGTCTGAAAACATAACAGTGAAAATCGGACTTCTAGATTGTCACGCATTTTCCACAGAAAAAAATTAAGTCCCCCCGCAGTGTCAGGGCTCATTTATATTCAAGGTATGGTGGCATGATTTATTGGACTCAATCTCTCATAAAATGGGGTCTAGATCAATGGCTCAGATATCTGAGCTATTGTGGCCCGAGCACAGTCTGCCCAGATATCTCTGATATTGGTGCACATTGCCGCCGACTGATAGAAAAAAGTTACCCCAATATTGGAGATATCTGGGCAGACTGTGCTCGGGCCACAATAGCTCAGATATCTGAGCCATTGATCTAGACCCCATTTTATGAGAGATTGAGTCCAATAAATCATGCCACCATACCTTGAATATAAATGAGCCCTGATATCTTACAAAAAAGGACAAGAAAAAATGTGGTCTTGATCGGACCTAATATGCAATCAATTGTAGGTCCCGTTTTGGGATGCATTAGCTGATATAACAGGTAACCAATGATGGCAGATTATATGAAAAGTATTGGGCAACCTATCGTAGCATAGTTTTTGTACTACAATACTGAAAATATAAATCTTTGATTGGGGCACCTTTTTTTAATGATCCCCCGGTGTGCCTGGCTATGCTGGTGATGACAGGTGATGACTAATGAGACACTTGAAGAAACGTGGTCGAGGCCTCAACCGGGTTTTGCTCTTTCACCGATGGCACAGCTCGCTGTGCACAGATACTGATTCTACATCCCACACGCATCCTGGACGTGGCCGACTGCCTCCAGTGCACACCCGATCGACAGACTCCAGCCGCTCCCCGCATGTCTGGTTCGTGTCCATCAGTACGAACACACCAACGAGAGGGAGAGAGAGAGCAGAGAGAATCGGCGCACCCAAAGTTGTGGACCAGACGCCCGTTGCGCTCGAGGCACACCTCGGCGCGTCCAGGGCGCGTGCCCTGCGCGAGCGGATACCCCGAGTTCATCTCCCCATTGTGGATCCCGTTCAGGTCGTGCGCCCCGCGCATGAAGTGGTTGCAGCGCTCGCGGAGGTTGATGATCTCCTCGTGCTCGACCTCGTAGTACTCTTCCTTTTCGTCCTTGAGTAGTGGTTTCGTGAAGCCGCCGAGGATCGCTGTATTGTCGTTGCGAGGGACGATGAAGATGAATCTGCACAGATGTTGCGTGTCAGGGATGCGCCACGTGGGCTCATAAGCACATACTTGGTCTCTTTGAACGGGTCGGACTCGGTGGCACTGACGACGAGCGCTTCTTGCAGCTGGTGGAACTTTTTCCAGTCATTCTCAAGTCGGATGACGGCCCCCTGGAGCCCATACACCTCCTTGTCCCCGACAGAGTCCTTCGACCCCAGACCTGTCGCATTGACCACGGCGTCGACATTGTACTGCACGCAAAGATCTTTGCCATCCGCGAACGCCTTCCCGTCCTGCGACGGGTCAAGCTCCATCGGCTTGCCATCGACGAGCGGCAAGAACGAGATGGGCTGGTCGAGATGGATGATCTCGGCGCCCTTGATGCGGACAAGCTTGAGCATCGACATCAGCGCGGAATCGGTGTCGATGACGGGCGATGACAGCGTATATGCATCGACATACTCCATCGGAACGTCGAACTCGCGTAGGAGCTCATTGCGCCCCGTTTCGTCGGCGAGAGGATGGTCGAAGCCGATCACGCCCGATACGCGGATGTTTGCGCGCTTCTCGACCTGCGCGGGGTCGGAGAGCACGGGCGTCTTGAAGAAGAACACAGTGCGGCGCATTTTGACCCCGAACTGCTTCGCATTCACGGCGTCCTGCGACAGATTGTGGAAGAAGTGGTAGCTGATCATCGAGCGGCGCGCGTCGTCCGAGTTGGCGCTCCCCCCGCCGTGGTGGCCGCACACCGCGGGCGGGTACTCCCACCTGTGGCGGGCGCGTGAAGAGGGTTTAGAGACGAAGGATGGCGCGGACTCACAGAGCGCCCGAGATAAGGGACGTGATGCGCTTGCCGTCGTGTGAAGGAAAGTCAAGAGCTGCGATCTTGACTTTGAAGCCGCGATCGAGGAGCGCCCAAGCGGTGCTGAGGCCGATCACGCCCGCACCGACGACGAGGATGGTCTTCGCGTTGGCGGAGGGCCTGACCAGCGGTTGAGTCGCGGTGGACAAGAGTTCGTTTACGACGGGGCGTTCTGGAGGGAAAACTATTGTGAGCATCGCGCTTCTCTGATTGAAACGTCCACTGACGCATTGTGGTAGAGAGCGGATTCGTTAGATCGAGAGGGGAATGAATATTGTCACTCAGTTCTATCCCGGCTTTTATATCATTCATTGACACCGCAGTGTCGACAAGGCCAAAGGCAAGGCGACACCGGATTTCCGGTGGAGCATGTCCGTGTCAGTGCCCAGTGCCTCCGTCGCTGGATCGTTGGAAGCCCACGCTGGTCATGAGCACCACCTGCCTCGAACGCACGACGCTTCCCAGTCCGATGCCCGGTCCCCGCTACTGGATGGTGGGGAGTCGAGATCGATCACGCTGGGGGTCGAATTTCTTCGTTACCCGAGCACATTGTCAGGGCCACCGGCAACGGGCAGAGGCTTGAATTCCCCGAAGCATTCTCAGGAACGGTTCCCTACTCCGATCGCCATCGAGGAGCTGCACCTTTCAAGGAGATGCAGGCGATTGTCGTTCGAGCGGGGCTCTCATCATCCACATCCACTCAAGTCAATTGGCGCCCGCACTGGGGTCATGCTGTGGCATATATCGATCGCACATGACTTTGACCTGGAGGAAGCTTTCGAGGTCGGTATGGTCTAGAGCAGGGCCAGATGCTGCATCTCATCAAGCACGGTGGACGCAGGCTTGATCTGCGCTGCATTGGTCCAAGAAGCTCACGACGAAAGACGCTGACTCCTTTGTGCAGCACCCGATGTCCGGTGCTATGACATTCCCAGATCGCTGCCGGCGGTCTGAAACGGTGGTTCAAGGGTCTCGGCCCTTTGGTTCATGGTCTGGCTAAGTTAGCCTTCAAACTCATTCCAAGAAGAGCCGTTGGTCTTCGAAGTAAGATGGGCGTCACCCCAATGCGGCACGTTTGTCAAAGCATCAGCGTCGCCACCGACACCGCAAAATATCGGCGGGTGTAAATTTCTTTGTTGATATTTCTGTGTTCCTCCAACTAGAGAGCCAAATTTGAAGTTCATACAGTTCGTAAACGTAAACAAGCTGTACGAGTCATTTCAGCCACAGCAGGAAGGGTTGTACGATGTCCAGGCCTCCACGTGGTTGCTCAAGGAGCCTCGGAACCCGAGAGTTCATTTTTATATGCAGAAATCAATCGGGCTGCTCGGTTAGTAAATCTGATGTGTGATTAAACAACTAGCTGTTCTGAAAATATACAAACTCTCACCCCCCGAATTGTTAGAAGCGGAACAGCATCAAGACATCAGTTTTTTCTCCATTTCGTTGATGGTGCCAGTTGGCGCCATAATTCGTGATTGTACTTGACAGCTCTACAGTACATTTCGATGAAATTTAGTTTACAATGGAACTCTCAGTAAAAGTCACACAGACAACCCCCAGAGATCATATACTCTTTGTGAAAACAGATTAAAATGAGGCCAGACCATCTCAGATAACATTAAAACATCTCTACAGACTCTCAGAGTTGGTTTGGCAGACACTTGAGCTTGAAAAAACACATACTGGAGCACCTAACATAACATGCCTGCACTGCCTCCAAGGTGCAAGACAAAGAGTGGTATTTTGATTCAGCTGCGCATGAATTTATTTTTCCTGCTCCCCAACCCCAACATTTTTGGATGCTCAATCAGGCCTTCAGTTCTGTGAGACACTCTCTGTGGGGTTGCAGATAAATGTTAGCAGAAGCACAGATGGCCTCCAAAGCCTCCCAGTTCTACAACTGCAGGCCTTGGTCTGAATCTGTTGCTTTCTGGTGCATCTACAAGTTGATAGGAAGTCTCAACAATGCAAGGCTTTACTCCAATTTTATGCTGACAACAGTGAATGGAAGGTAGCATAATGTCATAGTTTAGTCACTTTTTCACCTTATCATCAATGATCTTATCTTATCAAGGATCACAGCATCTGACAGTCTGGGTTAGGGGTATAGGGGGTCATCTTTATCAATTTGAGGCTGCGCGACATATGCTCTGGAAGGTTCTACTACAACCCATGACCAGCGTTCATGCAGTACATAGTCTTATGACTCATTAGTTGTAGATATGACTCAGACTGGATTTGGATATAAATACTGTAGCTACTTGGTTGTATTCTCCAGTCTTGGAATTCACTTCTCTTTTCGACATTATTTCTTGTTGATTGTCACATAATTCGAAGACTCCCCTCATACCCTCGTACCTCTTACCTCCTACCCTGCATCCCGCACTGCTACACCTGCTATATCCTCTTAAACCCTTATCAATCAACTCACCCTTTTACTGAATCATCTAGTCATTCTCTGCGATCACAGTGAAGGGTTCATCTTGAGCAAACAGCACCAGGCCACGGGTAATGTTGAGCCCAACCCAAGCCTTACAGTAGCTACAAGGAATGCTGCGGAGACCTTCGGGAAAATGCACCTTGGGATCATCGGGCACGTGAAGAGCTAGGCCCGGGATCTTTTTGCTAGCAAAAGAACCCTCCCCCGAGTGCTTGTACAGCACACAAATCCACCATTTCGTTCCGATTCCCATTGTCGCCCGATCTGGCGCATCAAAACCAACCCAGGCCCTCCAACCCCTACCTCGCCCTCCCGCCTCCTGAAGACGAGATCCCCGACCTTGGCGAGTTACCCTCCGAACAACCACCCTTGCCCCCACCTACCACACCTGCTCCTACCATGTCAGGACATCACCGCATCACCCTCGCCGCCAATCCCCCCTACTTCGATGGCAACAAGTCCAAGTACTTGGGCTTTGTGGACGCGTGCACCACTTACATCGGTGCCTATCGGTCAGAGTTCTCGCTGGACAAAACAAAAATCCTCTTCGTCCTGTCCTACCTCCGAAATGAGAGCGGCACAAGCTGCGCCGCCTCAAGATGGGCAATGAACTGGAAGCAGCACAATTTCGAGGGCTTCCAAGGACTAAAGGCGGGAGTCACCGCAACAAGCTTCTTGGAGGAGCTTCAGAGGGCCTTTGGGGATTCTAACGCAGAGCAAGTCGCTGCCGCCCGACTCATGGCCCTTTGCCAGGGCAGACGGTGAAATGCTGAGGGCGTGCTCACAAGTGAATCTACTATGAAAGTAAACCCAAATATAAACACGTTCACACTCCTCGTAATCAGCTTCTCAGTGTGTGAAAGATGCGAGGGCTTCGGGGTGGACAGAACACCAGTATCACAACTCTCAATAGACGCAGATCCAATAGTCGCGGGGACGAAGTCGACGACAAGAATATACATATAGTAAACAATGGTATCTCAACCAATATCTTCTATACGAACACAACCAACACTAATCCAATCCACAAACAACAATATAACAAGTCAGAACTTAATACGAAGTATTAAGGTCCCTTGTAGCGACAGCGTCTAGATGGTGATGCAAAACCCAGATATCAAGTCGACGCACTGCCAACTAGTAAACCAAAATGTCAAGTCGATGCACTGCCAACTGACACAACCAAAGTACTGAGTCGACGCACTGCCAACTAGTAAACCAAAATGCCGCGTCGACGCACTGCCAACTAACAGCCAATATCCAATGTCCAAAACCCGAGCACAACTTGTCGACGCACTGCCAAGCAAGAAGTGTGGAACCAAAGTTCTCAAGTTGACGCACTGCCAACTGACCAAAACAACCCGAGCACAACTAGTCAACGCACTGCCAAGCTAGAGGTGTGGAAACGATCTCAACAAAGCCCGAAGGCGACGACACTAAATGCCGCGACTAAACCAGATGCGGCGAATCCGACTTTCTGATGTCTCAACTCAAACTCAAATCACAGTAGCTACAAGTGCTCAGGGAGCAACTCGTCGCGACCAGGCAGGGGTAGCAGAACTTCTTAGGGTGGAATCACGCGGCACGCAAATTGTACAAAACAATCTGAAATGAGAGTGATTCACAGTCCGGGGGAAAGCTTTTTAATACAAAGAAACGACGTGCTACTTATACTGTCTACGACGATGCTTAGTAAAGTCCTGTACAACTGCATAGTAGCTACGCTATCTAAGATCGGTTGCCTTTTAGGGTAATTGAAAAGTTGAACAATCGGACAGGTCCTGAGTGATCAGGACCCCGCCCCATAGTCCATATGATACTTTTGATGTGGATCAACCCACCGCGTCATACTTTTGGAATACGACGTGCTGGATTGGCCAACGGGTATGTCTTGGCAAGTGAGACCAACGTGGGCGCCCCAAGAAGCTGTATGGCCCTAGGCACGCCAGTCATCCCTCACATGGTTCGGTTCACGGATCTAGCCGTATCGATTTTAGTGTGTTTGGGTATGGACGCAACTCGCCGTGACACTTGGGAGTGTCACCGCGACGCGTCCTCAATGTCCCGTGATCGAATGGATCCTGACATGTGACAAGTCGTCGTCGTGGCATGATCTGAGGAAACGTCCAACTCAAAACCGGGAGTTGCCGCGACAAGATGGTTTAAGTCTTGTAACGCCAAGTCCTGTCCAGTAGTAGTTCTATTATTGAGAACGTCGCGCATTGCTCAGCCCTTCAGCCCAAGTTCCCATCTGCAGAGAATGACCCTTTTTGAGAAGTCGACGCAACGACAGATCCCTTTTTGGGGGAATGGTCGCGGTCCAAGCGTTCGTCACTAATGGCCCTGAGCCTGGTGTAGACTCATAAGACCAGTTCCACAGTAGTGGTCTGACTGCCTTGCTATCGTCGACACTATCCACAGTCGTCGACTGGGCAGTAGACCCTTAAGTCCTACTGAGCGCAACACTGTCACCCGCGACACGATACACCGAGTGGTTCAAGAGTAAACTCTGTAAAAAGCGCAAAAATACGCCCTTACAGAGCTGGTGCAGAGCGCGTCTGGTAGCCAGCCTATCAACGGTCCTTTGCGGACTACATCTCCGACTTCGAAATGCTGGCTGCAGACGCGGGGTACAATGTGGTCACCTCCACCAACAGCAAGGGCGAGTACAAGAAGGGGGAACAGGACAATATCCTCATCGAGTTCCTGGAGCGTGGACTCAGCAGCGAAATTGCAAGCCGCCTCTACAACACCGGTGTTCCCCTGCCCAAGGCATATGGTGCCTTCAAGAACTGGTGTGTCAACATCGAGGCCAATGCTTTGCGCAATCAGCTGCGTAAGGCATCCTATGCGCACTCAACTCCACGGCCTCCCCCCCAATTCCGCCCTCAGGCAGCACCAGCAACGCCCACACCTGCTCCGACCCGGCCGGCTGCCAACGAACCGGTCCTGATGGAAATCGATCGCACCCATGCCCGCAGCCGCAATATCATCTGCTACAACTATCAGCAGCCTGGGCACATTGCGCGGAATTGTCCGGAGCCCAAGAAGAAGCGCACGTTCTTCAATCAGGCCACAATGCTAGAAGAGATCGAGAACGGGGATAAGGACAACGAGTTCCTCAAGGAGATTGCCGAGAAGCTGCGTGAGAAGGGTTTTTGAAGCGCTCCACTCCTCTAGCCAAGGAGGTGGAGCGTCCAGACTATGGACGATTTTCTGTACTTGTTTCAATTAAAGACATGAACGATTCTGCATATACATATACAATCTCGGACTCACTACGTACCAATATTCACGATTTTCTCATTGCTGATATGGAAAAAGAACGCCAAGGAAAAATAGCTTTAAATAGAGAGCATTTACAAAGTAAAAAGGATCCGAAAGCTGCAGATAAATTAATTTTGGATTCCTACGTATTTATGGCTCGTGGAGAAGGAACCACGTCAACAAAGACCGAAAAGGGGAGCACTGCTCCGAAGGCTCAATCCTTGAAAAAGGAGGAAGCGCCTAAGGAATCTGCCGAAATCAAGGTTCCAGAAGTACCCAAACACCACCAGGGTGCCAGATGCTGTCCAAAGGAAATTGGCGGCCGAGAAACAGAAGGGCCCCCAGCCCAGCAGGTTGGCGCAGGAATTGCGCAGTTACCAGGCTGAGAGGAAGAGGCATTCGATGGACGTATATGTCCAGATCACGGGTCTGGACTCAGGGAAAACGCGCGGAGTCAAGGCGCTGCTCGATAGCAGCTGCAGTACCTGCTGCATCAATACCGACTACGCACGGGCAGAGAAGTTGGATATCCAAGAGCTTCCACAACCCATTGTGGCTCGTAATGCCGACAACACCGAGAACATCAGCGGTCGGATCACGCACTACGTCGATCTGAGGATGAGAATCGGTCCTCATGTGGAGACACGCACGTTCCTTCTGACGTGCTTAGGGAAAGCCCGGATCTTCATCGGTCTTGATTGGCTGATGGAACACAACCCCGAGGTGGATTGGCAGGAGCAGACCATGAGATTCAGCCGATGCCCAGAGCGGTGTCACATGAGAGGTCGCGAGGAACATCAAGCAATGATTGACATGGATGCAATCAACCTGGACATGGGCACACCAGATCTGGAAGAGGGAGAATCGATCCTGTTGGTCGATTTTGGGAAGGAAGTGGACCTGCGATTGAAGGAAACGCCGGCGCAGAAATTCTCAGAAGAAGCGGAAAAGGAGAAAGAGAGAACGACCGAGGGGAGGATTCCGGATCAATATCGGGAATTTGTCAAGGTATTCGCCAAAGAATCGTTCAACTCACTACCAGACCGACGGGCATGGGATCATGCGATTGAGCTCAAACCTGGTTCCAAAGCAGTGGACTGCAAGGTGTACCCGTTATCACGCAATGAACAAGTCAAACTCGACGAATTCTTACAAGAGAACCTGGCCAGTGGACGGATCAGGCCATCAAAATCACCCATGGCATCAGCACTCTTCTTTGTCAAGAAGAAGGATGGCTCTCTACGCCCCGTCCAAGATTATCGGAAACTGAATGAGATGACAATCCGGAATCGATCCCCGCTGCCGCTGATCTCCGAACTGGTCCATAATCTATGCGGCGCAAAGTTCTTCACCAAGCTTGACATCCGGTGGGGATATAACAATGTACGGATCAAAGAGGGTGACGAGTGGAAGGCTGCATTCCGCACGAACCAAGGGCTGTACGAGCCCTTAGTTATGTTCTTGAGTCTCACAAACTCCCCGGCAACGTTCCAAAACATGATGAACGACATACTCCGAGAGTTGATCAACGAGGGTCACGTGGTAGTCTATCTGGACAATATACTGATCTTCACAGAGAGCTTGGACGAACATCGGCGGATCACGAAACAAGTTCTTGAATTGCTCCAGAAACACAAGCTATACCTGAAGCCCGAAAAGTGCGAGTTCGAACGCACAGAAATCGAATATCTGGATGTAATTATTGGACACAATTTGATGCGGATGGACCCAGTCAAGATCAAGGGCGTGATGGAATGGCCGGAGCCAAAGAGCGTCAAACAAGTCCAAGCGTTTCTAGGGTTCACAAACTTCTATCAACGCTTTGTCCAGGGATATGCGGAGGTCGCCAAGCCGTTGACACGGCTAACAGGGAAGGCAGGATGGTCATGGGGTACAGATGAGCATGCAGCATTTGATGGGTTGAAGAAGAGAATCGCGGAGGATGCGGTCTTAGCACTGCCAAACGACACCAGCCAATATCGTCTGGAAGCCGATGCTTCGGAAGGGGCAACAGGATCCGTTTTGAGCCAAAACCAAGACGGCATTTGGCGCCCAATTGCATTTATTTCGCATGCATTGACTGAAACCAAGCGAAATTATGAGATCTACGACAAGGAAATGCTTGCGATCATGCTATCATTGGACAAATGGAGACAGCTACTACTGGGAGCCACGGAGACGTTTGAGATCTTCACTGATCATCAGAACCTTGAATACTTCTGGAAGCCGCAGAAGCTCAATCGACGGCAAGCACGATGGATCACGGAGTTGGCGGAGTTTGATTTCACCTTACAAGACCGGCCCGGCGCACTCAATTGCAAGGCGGATCTCTTATCTCGACGAGCGGATCACAATCAGGGCAAGAATGACAACAAGGACGTCACCCTACTGAAGCCCGAGTTCTTCCAATCGCAAGAAGTCACATTCGAGGGACAAGATCAGCAGCTAGTTGATGAGATCAAGGCCACTCGATCGATTGATGGAAGCGTCAAGGCGGCCCTGGAGAAGTCACTCGCTGGATGGAAAAAGGAAGACAGGCTCATCACGTACCATGGGAAGCTCTACGTACCAAGGGACGAGGAACTACGAGACAAGATCATTGGACTACACCACGACACCCCTTTGGTCGGACACGCTGGGATCAATCAAACGCAGGAAATGGTGGAAAGGAACTACTGGTGGCCAAGGATGGGGAACCAAATCCGGAAAAAGATCCAGACGTGCGAGGCGTGCCAGCGGACCAAGACCAGGAGAGCAAGGACAGGGACTCTACACCCACATGCAGTCCCAAATGCGCCATGGGAAATCATCTCCATGGATCAAATTGGACCCCTACCGGTCAGTAACGGGTATGACACAATTCATGTGTGGTGTGACACCTCCACCAAAATGATCCATGTCGAACCAATTAGTACTGACATCAGCAGCAAAGGAGTGGCATGATTAACCAGGGACCAAGTCTTCCGCTACCACGAAGATCATCACCGACAGGGATTCGCGTTACATCAAAGGCTTCATGAAGGAGACAAATCGGATGTTGGGCGTGGAAATGAATCCGGGGACCGCATATCACCTGATCACAGATGGACAAACGGAACACATGAATCAGGAGATCGAGCACTACCTCCGCATCTACGTCAATTACCATCAGACGGACTGGTCGGAGTGGCTGGGAATGGCGGAGTTCGCATACAACGACAAGATGAACACGTCCACCAAAATATCACCGTTCTACGCCAATCACGGATATCACCCATGGAAGGGAGTAGAACAACAGATGGAATCGAGGAACGAGTCGGCGGAGGAGTTTGTAAAAAGAATCAAAGAAATACAAGACGAAGCAAAAGCAGCATTGGAAAAAGCAAATGAAAAAATGAAAAAATACTACAATAAACAAAGAAAAGAAGTTCCGGAGTTGAAGGTTGGGATGAAGGTGTACATAGAAGGGGAAAATATTGAGACGGATAGATCATCAAAGAAAATGAGCGACAAGAGATTAGGACCATACGAGATACTGGAGAAGGTTGGAGCGGCCGCATGGAAGCTAGATTTGCCGGACACGGACCGAAGACACCCGGTGTTCAACAAGTCACTATTGACACCATATCACGAACCACCCCCCATCGCCGAGAGAAGAGGCCCGTAGCCAAGATGATCGGAGGAGCAGAGGAGTGGGAAGTCGAAGAGATCGTGAAAGAGCGAAATGTCGGCCGAGGAAAACAGTACTTGGTCAAATGGAAGGGCTGGCCGCATAGCGAAAATACTTGGGAACCATCACGTCACCTTACCCACGCAAAGAAGGTCCTGAGAGATTGGCAGAGGAAACAATCCAACCCAGACACACGCATCCGCCTCCTGCCAACGCTCGAAGCCGGACACTGGGATTATCTCATTCATCGCTATAAACCCAAAGACGAGCGCCTTCCATACCCCCAGCGACAACTCTTTGATCCCTACGAGAACGTCTTCACGCCCATTGGCCTAGTCAATGAGGACATCGACCCTAGAGAGGGGGTAATGTCATAATTCGACTCTTTTTTATCTTATCCTCGACGATCTCATCTTATCTCGACACGGATTACCTTATCACGGATCACGGCATCTGACGGTCCGGGCTAGGGGTCTGGGGATTATCTTGATCGATTCAAGGCTGTGTGACATATGCTCCAGAAGGTTCTACTACAACCTATGACCAGCGTTCCATGCGGTACATAGCCCTATGACTCATTAGTTTTAGATATGACTCAGACTGGACTTGGGTATAAATACTGTAGCTACTTGGTTGTATTCTCCAGTCTTCGAATTCACTTATCTTTTCGACTATTGTTTTTGTTTGATTGTCACAGAAATCAACAATTATGACGCCTCCATGGAATATGCTGCAAATGGAGAGGAAAATTTGAGCGCAGACAGACTACCTGAAGCAAACAGACAGAGAAAAGAAACATTAGCCATTTCTTGTTGATGATGTTGGCTGTCCCTGGAGCATGTACTTGGGAGATTTGCCTAACAAATCAAGTTGCGCATTTTTCAAATTTTTAGTTTGACCTGACAGCTTGAGCAGACCATGCCAAAATGAACGAAGTCATATATATCAGTGCCCCAAGCCAAGCCAAAAGATTTAGGTAATATTGCACAGTTTTGATATCCCAGCCCCTGCCGAAGCATCAGGGAGTCACACGTCTGTAGCTGCAGACCATCCCCAGACACAGCCTGCAAACTCCTGGCAAAATGAAGGATAATTATGCTGCATGCTATGACCACAGCGAGAATAGATAGATCAAAATATGATGCAATGCACCCCTAACCCTGCTCCTGTGGTTGACCCCACAGTGGGCCCCGCGGCACCCCCTGTGGCACCCCCCGCAGCACCCCCCGCAGCAGACCCCACCAAATGATGGGATCAAGTGCATCACCAGTCCCATTGTGCAGGGTGCATTTTGGGCTTTCTAAGCTCAAATTCATGCTTAAATAGTGTATTTACCTATAGAAATGATACCAGGATGATTTGGGAAGGCTTCCATTTTCTTGGGCAGAAAATCACGTGATTATGCGCCCATTGTCTGCCACAGCATGCCATGGATTCAGCAATACCTCCGAAATCATGCCAAATGGTGCACAAAAGGTGCCCCAAAAGTCACGTGATAATGCGCCCACTGCCCGCCATGGTGTGCGGGGGGGGCAGTAGCGCCCCCTGCCAACCCCCGCCAACCCCTGCTAGCCATTTTTGATAATTTTCATGCGGTGCATCACGTGATTTTTTTTACCCCGCCATCAGCTGCCATCCCGCCCATTGGATGTGTCATGTGATTCATTTTTTTTTCACGCCCACCTGCCCGCTCCCAATGATAAATCACATGATATGTACAGACCCCCCCCTGCACCCCCCCTGCTGACCCCTGCATATGTTGTCGCGGCCCAAGCGTTTGTCACTAATAGCCCTGAGCCTGGTGTAGACTTATAAGACCAATTCCACAGTAGTGGTCTGACTGCCTTGCTATTGTTGACACTATCCACAGTTGTCAACTGGGCAGTAGACCCTTAAGTCCTACTGAGCGCAACACTGTCAACCGCGACACGATACACCAAGTGGTTCAGGAGTAAACTCTCTAAAAGCGCAAAAATATGCCCTTATAGAGCTGGTGCAGAGCGCGTCTGGTAGCCAGCCTATCAACGCACATGAAATAGCATTTTAGTTAGTAGCTGAGTACAAAATTAAATGGTCTTTGCATCCTGTTACATCTTGGACATCTTTGGGGTCTTAGAAAGTTCCACGAATCTTATTTATGAGAAGACTTTGTATGAAAGACTGGAGACATGTGTGCCAAGACAAAGCTCTCAAAAGACGTATCTCAAAAGAGCAAAGATGTGACCCCAAAGACAAAGAGGTGGAAAGATTTTCTTCTCAGGCCAAAGACACCAAAGACATATGTGCTGTTTTACTGATGACTTGGACGTATCGGCTTGATTCAGCGAAATCGGAACGCTGCAGCTCATTCGAAATGGTCGTAGATAGCAGATTTAAATTCAAGATAAGGTATTGAAGTACTTCTGAACGTCTCAAGTGAACATTTCTGTTTTGAGTCTTGACTGAACGCTGGCTCGACTTTGTCTGTGATCGATGTTCGTTGTTCAGTCGTAGCCGCTGTGCCCCTTGACAACATCGAAGGCAGGGCCGCCTTTCTTGAACATCGCGTGCAAATCACCCAAGAGCGACTCTGGCGCTTCATAAGCCGCAAAATGGCCTCCGTGATTGTGGATCTTTCGGTACACAACGTTACCGGAGACCTCTGTCCAGCTGAGCAGCAGATGTCAAGAATCAGAGCACGTCTTGGGATCGACCGGGCACATACCTGACTGGGAAGATGGCCAGCTCTGCAGGGAAATGAGACATGCCGAGCGGGATCGTCGGGTATTCCGCGGCCGTGTAGATGTCCTTCCTCACCCCGTCGGACGTGCCCTCTGAGAACTCATAGTAGATGCGGACCGAGGCGGCAGGGCCCGCCCGAGAGAACCAGTAGACGGATATCCATGTCAGCACTGCCTATCCTCAGCAAACCACACAGCGGGGGCCGAACAGGCGACACAGACCTTCGTCGTCGTCCCAAGGATACTTGTCCGTCCAGTCAACGAGTTTCTCGTAGATCCAGGCCAGCAGGGCGACGGGCGAGTCGGCCAGCGCGTAGCCCACCGTCTGGGGCCGCGTCGACTGCTCAGCGTAGTACCCCATTCCGCGTCCGTTGAACCATTTCAGGCGCTCCAGACCGGCCTTTTCCTGCTCGGTTAGTCCTTCTTCGGAGTAGGGTGTCGGAGGGCGGCCCCTGGATCGCGTGAGCGTGGCTGGCTGCGTCGGAGTGGGTCGGCAACGTACAGGGGAAAGTTGGTGTGCCAAGCTTTCGCGTGCTCGTGGCCGTACCGCTTCGCGATCACGCGCGTGATCTGCAAGAGCGTCAGAAAGGGACCATGGATCAGAACGTCACGTTGAGTGACGCACAAAGTAGCCCCAGTCACCTCCTTGCGTGACTATGTAACCCGCCAGGTGAGATGACAGAAAACGGCGAAGTCCGGGCTCACTCACCGTATTCATTGTAGCCCAGCGCCAGCATGAGTTTGTTGCCAACCTGCCATGTGTGTCGAGTCAGACTCGTGGAGTGGAAGCATACGACTCCAACACTGACCTCAGCGAACTGCTCAATGGCGAATCCCTTCTTCTTTGGGGCTTCGGAGAACCCATAACCCGGTAGACTCATCGCAACGACGTGGAAGCTCGGATGTTCATCAGACCCCGCAACCAGCAAGGGCACGATCTTCCTCGCCTCAAAGAAGCTTCCCGGCCCTGACGAGGACGAGGACAAGGACAAGGACGAGTCAGTACACCGTCTCCCGAATACAAACGCAATAACGCACATCCATGCACGAACAGCAAGGGGATCGCACCCTGCACTGCGCTCTTCTTATGGACGTAGTGGATGTTGAGTGTCCCGTGCCCGTCCACCGCAATGTCGCGCGTGAATTGAGGCAGCTCCGCGTTCAGAGCGGCTTCGTGCTTGCGCCAGTCGTAGCCGTCGATCCACCGCGAGACGAGCCGCTTGATATCCCCCAAGGGCGCACCGTAGTCGCGCCCCGCATCCTCCAACTCGTCCGGGAATCTAGCGGCCTTGAGCTTTTGGTGCAACGAGGCCAGGGTGTCGTCGGGTACGGCGATGGTGTATGGTGCTTCTGACATGGTGGGAGGAGCAGAAAGAGCTGCGAGCGTGGGAGAAGGTGGTTCAAGTGCCAACCACATCGACACAAACGCACTTCTTATGGTGTGATACCCCGCTTCTGTTCTGAATTTCCGTTCGGAGTCTGACCGTTGGTCAGCTGTGCGTAGTCAGTGGCCCTCGTCAGCCGCTGACCTTGTCTGCAACGTCCCTCGGCATCAGTCGCATCATTGCGATGGGAAGCGAAGGAGGCCTGGTTCGAAAGTATCACGCGGAAATCTTCATACGGCGAGCTGGCCTTTCAGAATTATACGAATCGTGCTCTTCCATTTTCTCACTTACTAGGGTGTTCATTCCAGAGCACGCTCCGTTGTAGCTTTTCTGCACCCTCTAAGTACTTGAGCAATGCCTTGACAGCTACTTCCTGATTCGCGATGTCTAGGACGCCGGGGTGGGGGTGTGCGGTTCGGCTCGGACTCAATGCGTGACTTGGTGTACACGATTATTCTCGTCTAAGTTCTGTTAATGCAAGTATATCACGATGAACCCTGTCAATACTAACCTCCTAGTCTACTTCTCTCCACGCAGCCGCAACGCCGCCTCACCTGGACCTCTTTCACTTTTTCTCTAGACCCACAGGGCTTCTTGTGAAAGTCGACCATGAGCATGATTAGGTATGTTGCTCCGGCCAGTCACGGAATATCATGTCATCTTACCAATGTCTTTCCCGGCTGCAACGGATCTCTCGAGCAACAGCTTGGTAATTGGTTGAGTCTAAATGGGTGTTTTTCGTCAGGGCCATCTGTCGTACCCGGTGCTTTCACAGAGCGGGAGAGCCACGGTAGAACATGATCTATGACAAAGTCGGCTGCAGAAGGCGGGGGCCACTTACCCGAAGTTCGTCAGCATCAGAGTCCATAACATCGTTTTCCGTGATGGAACACATGACATTGACAGGGAATGGATGTTCCCTACCTTGACCAGGACATTCCATTGTTTTAGATTCTACTGAACAACGATTACCATTTATGGCTACATGTCCTACAATGTCCCAAAATGAGCTATTTTCCAGGGAAAAATGCCTTGTTTTTTCTGGCTCTGACATTTGAGGGTGGAGGGTAACCCTTTCCTTGCCACGGGCACCTACGTCCAAAATTTGCAACCCAGCACCCATTTGCCCGCTACCATTTAGATAGGCTTCGCGCGCTTAGGCAGGTTTTGAACCCCAAAACAACCTAAATGGTCGGACTTGGGTAGTTTCCAAGGTGTCCCTTGCTGCAGATGGGCTCAATCTCAGTTACCCGTACTTATCTTATGATTCCACGGGCCTGCGCTTTGCACGTTTGAGGTCTGGCACTCTTCTACGAGCTACTGTAGAGTCGGATTCCTGCACCAGGCACATTTGCACTCTATTGCACTCGACTCGCCTCAACTCATAAAGGAGCACTTCCCATCTGGAGCTACTTGTTGTTGGCAGTTAGGTACGTCCCCTCTGACTGCCGAACTCAGCAGGGAAAGATCGATATCTGTCTACATCTTGTACTCACCCCATTCCTCGCGTTCATGGGACTAGTTTAAATGACACAAACCCGTCGGGCACCCAGTTCTCCACGCCAGACTCTGGCACCGGGACATCCAGTGACCTGAGATTACAGCTCAGCATCCGGTCAGGATGCATGCTGAAAATAGCGAGCGCTCGAAGTGCTTGCTGCAGAATCGCGCGTGCCGGAATGTGCATGGACCGAGCCAGCTAGAAGAATCGCGCGAGTTCACCAGGCGAACCCCATATCTTGTCTCCGATTTGATCCTTGATCGATTTACGGAAGAGCGAGACGGCATTGCTGATGGTTGGCTCACTTCCGAATGAGTGAGTGGAACGAAGGGGAGGATCATCGTCTGCAAGTTAGGAACGAAGTCGAGAACGATGAGATCAGCCTGGATCTTGCTGCCAACTGTGAAGACCGTCGCGTCCGTTTCCGCGAAGGCAATCTTGACAGTTTTTTTGATATACTCCGGTGTGCTTGGGTTACTATGGGTGGGCGGGGTGTACGCGAAATGTCGGCCTTGATCCTCCCGACGGTGATCAGCTGACAGCATCCGTTGTCGAGCACTATGATATCGATGAGTAGAAACTCAATCGCATCACATCGCCTGTGTGCTCCAGATGATGACGGCGTCAGAAGCAAGGAGACAGAGGTCAACATGAACGCACTTCGAAGACCAATGGCACTTCTTGGAGTGCTTTTGAAGGCTAACTTAGCCGGACCATGAAGCAAGTGGCCGAGACCCTTGAAACACCGATTCATACCGCCGGCAGCGATCTGGAAGTCCCATAGGACGAGACATCGGGCACTGCATGAAGAAGCCAGCGTCTTTCGTCGCGGGCTTCTTGGAACAAAGCAGCACAGAACAAGCCTTCCTCTATCGTGCTTGAGAAGATGAAGCATATCGCCCTGGGCTAGACCATACTGACCCCGAAAGCTCCTTCCATATTCAAGTCAGGCGCGATCGATGTATACCGCAGCATGACCCTGCGAGCGCCAACTGACCCGGGTGGATGATGAGGGCTGCAAGAAGGATCCTCACCGCTCCAACGATGATAGCCTTCATCCCCCGGAATGGCGCAGCTCCTCGGTGGCGATCGGAGCAGTGAAACGCTTCTGAGAACGTTTCGCGTCCACGCCAAGAGAGAGAATTCGAGCTCTGCCGTTGCCGGTGGCCCTGACAATGTGCTCGGAAATGTATCAGAAACACTCGGCTCCCAGCGTCATCGATCTCGACTGCCCACCGTCCAGTAGCAAAGACCGGAAATCGGACTGGGAAGCGTCGCGGTTTCCAGCCAGCATAGATCTCCTGACCGACAGCGTAGATTTCTAGCGATCCAGCAACGTCTTCCTTCGGCACGAACTCCGAATATGTTTTCGGTTAAAGCTGCTGCAAGACTATTGTTAGCGCTCGGTGAGGAGATCCGCGGATGCACGATGCACCTCACCTGACGAATGGTGCACGACAGTATGTGGAATAAGGTCAGGGGAACATAGCTTCGTAATACCATGAGCATAGGAGAAGATACAACAGTGTAGAAAACACCGACGGCTGCTAGGGCGGGACATCATCACCCATCCTCTCGCTCCGTGGAAGAATCAAGGCTCTCATTCCCCGACGAGCGGTAACCATGGACCCAGCTTGGCCAGCGCCGACCTGACGTGTCAGGGCTCGCTTCGGCGACCAGTCCACCGCCCCGACCGATGGCGCACGTTGTGACACCCTCGATGACGGCGATGTTCCTCGCAGACGCCTCTTCCTGGTTAGATTTTCCGGATACAGGCCGCGGCCGCTGGTTCGCTCGACACCTCGTCGCCCTCGAGTGCGGCGAGATTAGCGAGCTGTCTGAGCGATTGACATCTTCCTCCGCCGTCAGGCGCGGTCCGGAGCAATGGGTCCCCGTCCAAGGCCAAGTGGGCTTGCCGGCTCAAACATGAGCCCACTCTAGATGAGCCCTCCATTCGGGTCAGTTGGTTGGTTGGTTGCAAGAGCGCCACAGGTCTAAACAGCTGTGGTCCCAAGTCGTCTCCATCCGACGGTCGACAACTCTGCGATCCCACATAGCATCTCCCCTCCCTACGTCAGTCCGCCCCGGGAGATACGATGGGTGCGCTACAAGCGCGGACCTGCTTGGAAGCGAAAGCTCTATGGACAAGACCTGGATAGTCGCATCAGCAAGGATGTTGAGGACAGAAGAGAGTACCGGGGGACGCCCCACAAAGCAATGAAGAAGAAACTGCGCAGCGAAGCCGCTAGCATTCGTGGTGACTACGAGTGCCCACAACTAAGGTCTTTACGGAGCTGTATGTTTCATCGGGAGAGAGAGACGTGGATGGAATGAGGGGCGAAGGGTTTTGAGGGGAATGGATTCGTCAAATTTGTTGCACAGGCTATCGGGGCACATGTGCTGGGATAGCTCTCGGGAGTCTACAATTCCATCTGCAGTACCGACCAAAGGTACAGGATCTGTGACCGCACGTCCATGTACACCAGATGCCAGCACATGAAACAACGCGGAGTCGTTGTTCGGACGTCCGCTAAGTCGCGGCACGGCCCCCGTGTTTCTCCATTCTCCGCGCACAGATTACGACGAGGGGAAACCGGGTACGATTCGATTCGGGAACAGACAATGTCGAGTCCGACAGGACAGGCAGAGTCATGATGATTTGGCTGATCGAAAATGACCGTGACGATGAGGGCGGGTTCTGATGGGGATGGCGGCGCTTCCGAGGACTCGTATCATTTTCTCACGAAGCGGCTGTGCAGCTCTTTCAACCTGACTACTTACCAGGACCTCAGCTCTTTCACTCGGTCGACTCGCCCTCGAACTCGACATTCTATGCAAATATACTGCTCTACTCAGTCGCACTATATTAGAGAGCAGCGGGTCAAGCGGTGCACAGCGAACGCAAGATGTTGAAGTCCCTCCTTGCTTTCTCATTCTTCTCTCTCCCTCCCTCTCCAAGATCCGCCCTTCAACACAAGGGCATCTCTTTTTTCCGGGTTGAGCCAGGAAGAAGCTAGGTCATCAATTCTGGACCTTGTTGTGGCAGACGGTGACCGGGACGCTGTTGTGTCGACCAATCACCACCCACCGATGGAGCTGCGCCATTATCAAACAACAAGATCGAAGTTTCAGGTTGTTCCCACTTCCTTTTGAATCGCCATCTTGGACCCCGTGAGCCGGACCATACATTCCTCACGCTCAGAGTCTAGATTCTGCCATGGACACAGCTTCTTCAGGCTCAACGCGAGCACGTCTGCTTTTCATATCGCGCTTAGAAGCTTTTCTGGAAATCGAGCGATTGGGAAGATGGATCTGATACAGAGTCGATTGCTTTTGCCTGCGATGGCAACTGAAAGCTGCTTTCCGTTCAAATTACAAGCCTTCACAAATCAACTTATTCCTCAGCATAGCTGCGGGTGGAACGCTTACCCAAGAGATTGGCTGAGATCGGGCAAATCAAGTGCGCTGGAGACGAGTCATTGTTCTTCGTCCGTCTGGACCGTCTTCCTCAGTTCCAACATGATGATCGCACGTAAACTGGCTCCGCGCTGATAGGGTCTGCATATTTCCTTGGGGCGTGCTCTTCGGTCTTATGTGTGGCGTATTGCATGGCTCGGAGAAAAGGGGAATCCAGCTTCGGGAGCTGGGCATGCGGACAATCTGCTGAATGGTCCCTGGACTGCGCACAGAATCCAGCAGGAGGCATGTGGTCGCATCCAAGCAGCGCAATCAATCAGCGTTCTGGTGAGACCTAGAGATATTCCCGGTACGATGTTGCGAGCTACTATCTTGTTTTGGTCGCTCGTGCAAACGGATCGCCCTCTTTGACTCGGACCTTCCAGCCGTTCTGTGGGGCACATCACATCGCATCACATCGCATCAGATCACCTATATCATATCACTGCAGGATTCCGTCGATCAGAGATACAACAATCTTCAGTGCGGCTTCTGGCTTCGAGCGCCCATGAGGAGTGTGTCCCTATTTCAAATTCCTCCTGCGGTCGTCGCAACCATCAGCTAGATTTCACGGCTGCAGATTTTGCTCGAATCACCCCGGCTCAGCAAGAAAAGCTTGGAAGACGCTGTTGTCAAGAACTCGGCACGGGTCCATGAGACTAAATATCTGCGGTAAATCTGCGCATCTTCTTGCTGCCCTTTCTCATAAATTTGAGTCATGACAGTCATCGTCATGAGATACGAACTATGAAAAGCTCGGCCGTGACATCTTGCCTTCCCGACGTCTCGGAAAATGAGCGAGGCAAGCTCAATTGAAATGCGCATTCAGTTTACTCTTTTCTTCGCACCCCAATATAGACCCCGCACACAAGCTGACGACGGCGGAGCATGTGGCCCGTCTCATCGCATTCTATCGATACGGTGCCGGGCAGCCATCTATCTCTCAAGCAAACTTGCACGAGCTGATTCGGGAGCTCAACTGCCCATTGCACAGACGGCTTCCCGGACATCTAGTGGATATGTTGAACCACCCAGTTGTGTGGGAGACATGACCCGCCCGCCAACGTGATTTCGTGACAACCTGAGAAAAATCTGGCTTCATCTGCAATTTTGAAATCGATGACTGATTTTCTGCGATTCAGTGTATGTCACACCCGTTACCGGTAACTACGGGTCCGTCCTCTGATGATGATAGAGACTGTTTACACCTTACATACGTCCCATTTGCGCTGGAGCAGATTCCAACCCACCATCAATATTGACCGAGGACTGTGATGCGTCATGCCCTTTGAGCCCTGTGGACTCCACTTGGTTTGAATTCGTAAGGATGCCCCTGATTTCCGTGCCATAAAACTCTGAAATTATCCATTGACGACTATAATTCAGACTGTTGAACGATCTTGTCCTTCATGACAAGCCATCACAGTCATCAATTGTGTCATTGATGGCAGATCGTATGCCGATCTCGGTAGCGACTTCAGTCCTTACTCAATTGGGATAGACACATATCCGCTACTCGACAAGTTAACACAGAAAGGCTGTACCCAAGGTGTCATCAACAAACAACTTCTGCTCACTTTGAGGAGAGTATCTTCACCATGCGAATTGAAGGAAATCGACATGACAACTCATTAAATGTCGAAACCGAAGCGTGGATGGCACTCGCTCGGTGACACCTGTGGGTTTGACCGAGGCGGACAGAATCCACAGCAGGCTTCACAAGTGTATTTGTGGGGGCGACCTCTCAGCACTGTCGGTGCCGCTTTTTTTGTGGGGGACGTGATGTGTGACTCTTGTCCGGTCCAACGCGCGAATGACGACAATTAAGATATGGAATTATGTGATACTCAATGTCGAGAAGTGTGACGACTGCGGGTTCACACAGGCCGAGAAGCGCATCAATACATGTGGGCGTCGTCAGGTAGAACCGAGCGAGAGCTGCTCCCGGGCGTTCGTCGAACTCAGTGCAGGGAGTGGCAGCTCCGTATCTCCGGCGCGGGACGCACATGAACTGGAAAAGCTCCCGTGTCCAATGTCGTGTTTCCTGGTTCCTGACTAGGCTTCAGAGTGCCATCGCTAATTTCAAGCGATGTTTTGTGACATTCTGGGCTCGGAGCGGCTATCACAGGCTCAAGCAAAAGGCCAGGGAATACCACATACGTTTCTCTCACCCATAGTCCCCAGAATTTGGCAGTCACGCAAAACTCGCAGCTCCTCAGGGCTGGTAGCCATCCGCTCGTTCGCGGGGGCTGTGGTCGTTCAGTTGAACTGAGTCGTGATTGGATCACCCGCCAAGCGTATGCGAGATGGCTTGACACTTTTCTACCGACCGGCGACTTCGACGCGCTAACTCCATCGATCTCAAGCGCAGAGAATTTGTCTGGAATCCATCTGACATGAGATGCGTAACTGGTTGTACTTAAGCCACGATGTCGACGGTGGTCCTTTTCGCTAGTCCTCCGCCTCTTCCGCCCCCTCCGCCTGTCCCGTTGATTTACGATGCGGACGCCGCTCAGCCCCATTTTTCCGAGCCTCAGTCCAAGCGTTTCGAATCTCAGCCCGAGCTCATCGAGCCTGAGCCCCATCCCTTCCCCCACCCCTCGCAGTCCCTCGTTCTCGTTCTTCCGCAAGAGCGGCCGCCTGAATGTGGACAGCATCACCAGCAGCTTTTCCCGCCGCGGGTCCATCTCAAGCAACACATCCGACCGGTCAATGAATGCCTGTAGCCAGATGCCACCCGAGCTGTGGCTGAAGATCCTCGCACATCTCCCGCACCACTCGCTGCTCGCCATGTCCTTCGTCTCGCGCAAGCTGTGTTTCCTGGCGCAGCCGCTGCTGTTCCACACGATCGTTACGCATCCGGCTGACGCGACGTCGCGGCGTGGGACGTCGGCGAAATACATGCGGCGCGTGAGCGAGCGGCTCGAGTTTTTCTTCCAGCCGAGGATCAGCATAAACGTGACATCGGTCAAAATTATGCCCATGGAGCTCGAGGCGGACTACACGAGGCCGAAGGACGGCGGCACCCTTGACACCATCTTCCACACACTGACGCTCCTGCCGAACCTGCGCGTTCTCCGGTGTAAGAATCTCTGGCTGACACCCAAGCGCCTCGCGGCCCTGCAGGTGCTCCGGTTGCGCAGCGTGTCGTTCGACAACTGTTTCGGCCATCGCGAGGAACTGGACATGATGCTCCCCATGCTCGTCAGGGACGTGCAAATGATGTACCCCGAATCGGCTACCTCCGGCCGCATTGATCTGATCCCGCCGCTTGCCCCATTTATCTCCTCGCCGATCCTGGAGCATCTCTTCACGTCGACCGCGGGCGTCCTCGAAATTATGGCGAGCCGACCGATGGATCAGCTGCGCTCGCTGGCGATAACGGTCGACTGCATCAAATCCGACATGTTCCTGCCCGCGCTCATGCAGTGTCCCGCAGTGACCAAGTTGACGATCTACGCCCAGAGCGGGGCCATACTCCCTCGACCGCGGTTTTCATACCTACCAGACGGCGTGCTCCCTCTGCTCCAATGCTTCCGCGGCCCACATCGGCTGGCGCCCATCTTCATGCACGAGCGAGACACGCGCTTCGTTGACATCTCGGAGCCGTGTCGGCCCCAGAGCCTCGAGTCGTCGCTGATATGCCTCGACAGCAACCTGCGGATTCTGTCATTCGCGCTAAAATCACCTGACATCCCGGTCAGTTTGCTGCAGAGCATCCACCACGGATTTCCCGCACTCGTGTCCTTGAGCATATCTATGCCGGCGCTCTCGTCAGCTGAAATCCGAACGCTGATGGAGAATGTCTCGCCGCACGAGAACCTGTCAGAGTTGACCTTGCATATCCAAGGGCGGGACAAGTTCAACTTGTGGATCCCGCACGAAGAGGGCGTCGTGGATGCGATCGCGTGTTTGTCAAAAGTTAAGGATGTGCTGCTCAACGTATATCCTCGTCTCGAGAATCTTACATTTCTGCACGGACTGGAGGGGGGGAGCGTGTCGTGGTTTCGGTCGTTGGAGTCGAGGGGGGACTTTGTACAAATTGCTTGATGTGTATGTATTTCGCTTTCTGCATGTCATTTTTAGCTTCGAGTATCACTGAGAGACTGCGGGACCTAAGATCGAAAGCTTGCCTGACATCGGTATTGTGCACTGGGTTGAGTTCAATCCCCGGCTGATGCCGGCGGCATCGCGGGTTGTTCCGGTCAAATCGGCTCAGCAACATGATGGATGAAGCTTTGCAGGCTTGCTGGTTACCCTCATGTCCCCCCTCGGCCAAGCGTATCCAAGCTGTAAGCCACATTGAGTCCACCTCACGGCAATTCATGAACTCATGAACGTTCTAGACCTCATTATATCGAGTTACCGTATGATCTTGCCGAGAAACCAGCGAACAACGTATGTACGTATCACACGATGCAGTAACTGACTGCACTTAGAGACGCTTCTAATTGCAATTTCCAGCCGTTTCAGTCATTTTCCGCCGTGCCGCGGGACGCTCGCTGCTGCGCACTACTTATCACTCGCCGCTCTCACAGCTCTGACGTCTGTGCTTCACCTGCCAAAATCGTAATCACGGCGTTTTGGATGGACTAAGCACTAGGGTTACTCGGGTCCGTCTTCCCTTCTCAATGTGCTGCGTTTGCGCATCGTTTTGGCTTTCGCTCTTCCACTGAAATCTGTCCAGACTCATCGGGCGTGTTCCACGGCATGTTCCTCCCGGTGGTAGACCGCCTGGGAACACTCTCCAAAAGTGTAAATGAGAAGCCGATATGACTTGCAGGCCGTCAATCATATCACAAGCTGACTCTGACAAGGATCAGCAGAGGGAGGGACTCTCGGACTCGGAGTGACAAAGAAGCTACGATAACTGCCTGCTTACGTCCCAGAAGGCTTGGAATGGATGAGGTCCATCAAGCTGTGCGGAGAAGCATCGCTGTACGGGGCTTTTAAAGCTACTTCGCCTCAGTAGCTTAATTCCCCTTCCATCGCTATACCCCGTCTCTTTCCTTCTCCTCCTTCCGTGTCCCGTCGTGTCGCGTCTCTCTCTTCGGTCCCCACATGCGTCGCTGTCGCAGACTTTGGCTCAGCCTTTTGTGGGTCCCGGGTGGGCGTGCGTTCGACCAGTCGAGACCGATCTTCCAGTGGGGCTTCACGCAGACGGTGCGTCTATCGTTTCGTCTGTCTCTCCCAGAACGACGTGCACGACGCTCTTCTAATGCGCTGTCCAGTCCCAGCAGGCCCTCTCTAGCTCCCTGCCCTCATGTCACACGTTCCCGATCGTTGTTACGCCGCTACAGACCGCCGGTGTACCTCCATTCTACATGATGGCGTTTGCCGTTGGCGGCGCCCCCGTCACGTCCCTCATTGGCTCGAACCCGCGTGCCCTCGAGTGGACTGTCCAACATTCCATCGGTAGGAGGTGATGCGGTTCCGCTGCATGATGCTGATCGCGACTGCAGGTTCGGAGCTTCTCTTGCAGGTCGTGGACTCGCAGGGGACGTCAGGAGGAGTGGATAACCGGCTCTACACAGTCATTGGTGCGTGGGATCCTTTTCACACATAGCTCTCTATTGAAAGGCAACGCAGCGGGTACCTCGACTCAATGTGTCCCCACCCCAACGTCCGACTTTATCGTCTCTTCGAATGTGACCTCGGTGTTAGAAACCTGCCAACCGTGGGGACTATCGATTCAAGGGGGCACGCCACCGTACAACGTTACACTGGCAGCTCTGAACGCACCCGAGGTTACGAATGTTACGCTTGGTAGGCACTTTGTCTCCAGAGCAGGACGTGCCATCTGATCGCGCGCATGTATCCAGGCGCGGACGATGACCTTTTCACGTATATCAACCGCGCAGAGTCAGGAACCCGCATGATAGGTGTGTTATGCTATAGATACGCCGGTCAGCGATTGAGCTTAATGAACGAACAGCTGCCGTGAGCGACCTGTGAGTCGAAGCCTCGACAGGCTTCTTTACAAGCTGATGCTTCCCAGGTCTGGCCGATGGGCGAGCGGCAGTCCGTTCATCTCGACGCAAGGCTCTTCGAACGTCACCTGCCCCGGCCTGGAGAGCACGAGCTCGATGGGGAACAACACGATGTCGCTCTTCACGCCAACCGCAGCCCCTCCCGTGAACACGCACCCTTCGTCACCCTCCGACGAAGTGACGAAAATACAAGTCGGGCTGATCGCCGGCGCGACCGGCGCAGTGATCCTTCTTCTCTTCGCGCTGGCCACCTTCTTCGCGCGCCGGCGGTACATCAAGCGACGGCAGCTGCGCGAGTCCATCATGGGCGTGCGTCCGTTCCTCGACCACGGGCCCGCCTCGATCACAACGTCGTCCGAGCAGTCGCGCATGAGCTGGTACTTCGGCGGCTCCTCGACCGGCGGCGCTCCGGAGTCCGACGTTGTGATTCCGGCCAGCCCCGGGCCGAAGAGCCCTGGAATCAGCGATCCGGGCGCGGCTCTGGTGCCCATGCGACGCGTGCGATCGACCGAGCGGATCCAGCTGGGACCGGCGAGGCAGGTCGTGCGGGAGCTCCCCCCACCTTACGTGGATCGGACGGCGGTGCGCCATGGGCGGAAGGACAGTACGTCCGGGTGAAGACTGAGTCTAGATTTTGTAATTTCATGATCCGCATGGTTTTTCGCATTGGGGGATTCCCAACCTTGTTCTGTTGTACGCAAATATAACTCTGTATCCATCACGCTTCCCTTGTCGAGACGGTGTCTCACTCTGCCGGGTGTCTATCGGTCACATGGCCGCATCAGTTCGCCAAAGATGGGTCAACAGCGGGGAGCACTCACCAATTCCAAGTATACTACTCTCTGCTTGACCGATGTCCTCGTGTCCGCTATCAGCTTCTTGCACACACTACATCACTGTGGAAAGACGTCTCACGGCTCTGTCTACTCGCGCAAGGGCTTTGACAGCATGTCTACGCACATCCAAGATCTCGTTTGAGGTCAAACACTCGCACGAGTCGGAACGGCTGCCCACCGACGCGTCACACTCTTCTCCAGCAACTCAGCACCGCGGTCGAGGGCACGCGGACGGCCCCTCGCACGTGCCGCGCTGTGACTCGTCTCTCAGACTTGGCCACGAGGCACCAAGCGCATCAGACCGAGGATAAAGCAGGCACAATGAGACAAAGAGATCCGCGCCTTGCTATGTCGCATAGATTGCGTTTTGCGCGCGCAAAGCCATGGCTTCTGGGGCTGCGTCGATGGGTGGGTGGGTGGGTATTAATAAGGGGGAGGGAGGGGTGGCACATGCACTCCCCCCACGAGCGCACCATCCCCTGCTGATCTCGTTATTGTGCCGTTGAGCTTGCGCCCACAATACACGTCACAGAACACACGCACTGTCGCTGCGCTTCTTTTCCGAAAACCCGGACCGCGTCCTTTGCCGCCTCCCCCAGCTTGAGATGCCCTGGGACTACGAGCTGAAGATGATGGTCGAGCGCCCTGGATACCGCGCACCGGTGAGCTGTCCGCGACCTGCCCCGTCACAACCACTGATTCGATTTGGCACGCACCAGCGGCACGCGGTCGACTCGGAGGACGGGCTGATCGACGCGGCCGCGCTCGCGCTCATGTACCAGATGATCGCGGATGGATACGCCGCGGGACGGGACGTGTGGGCGGAGAACCACGCAAATCAGGCGCGGCAGGGTGTGCCGGGCCATGAGCGGGTGCGTCGGACCGTGTGCTCGCGGGCACACCGTGGCTGATTGGGTTTTACGTAGCTCGAGTGCGGTCCCAATGGCGCGCAGAAGAATGTGGAAGCGTGGCTGGTAGAGTCTGGGCTCTTGCCTGTGCAGGAGATTGGGGAGCCGGAACTAGCGGATAGCGAACCGGTGTGTCCGTTTCCGCTTGGACACCGGCTTGTTATTGACTGCTCTCCCCAGGACATCCTGCCCTCGACACCAACAAGGAAGCGCCGGCCCTGGCTGCGCTCCAGGGCGTCGTCGTCATCGTCTACTCCAGCCTCTTCTTCAGTGCCGACGCCGCCAGCAGTTGCCTCCCCGCGCAAACGCGTCCTGTCCGTATTCCAGAGGAAGTCTCCCGTCAAGACCCGCCGACGATCTCAAACGCTGCCCGCCGACTCTTCGCCCCCCTTCACTCCCCCACCGCCGCTGCGATGCCGATCCGCATCCGCATCCGTAGAGTGCTTGCCATTCAGCTCTGCGGAACCCGGCGACTCGATGCTGACGACCGCGTACAAACGGGCGGTGCATCTGGGCGCGATTACGGACGAGGATGTGGCTGCCATCGCACATCGACATCGCGGCGTGCCAGATGAGATTGGGCTGGAATCGCCGGCCTCGGCCCCGATTGCGCCGAAACCTGTCCCGGTGGAGGATCCTGCGTCGTTTCGGTGGCAGTTCCCTGAGCTAGTGAAACCTACGGCGGTCGAAGTGGAGGCTATTCCTCCTCAGTCGAGCGCTCCTTGTCCTGCTCCGCCAGCTCGGTGGTATCACATCGCCCTGATTCTCCTAGCGCTGTACTTCACGCTCATCCTGGTGCCGGCGGTTCTGTTCGTGCGGGTCGCTTGGCGGCTGCTGCTCGTCGTCTTTCTCGTCCATTATCTGTTGGTCTGGGCCGTGGGCCCGGATTCTGGTTTCTGATCGGACGAAATGCATTGGACTTGTTTATATTATATATATATTGCACACATACTCTGTAGCTATACACCCATGTCTCTGTACTCTCCATAACAACAACTGGACAGATCCTCAATATGGGGGTGGCGCCTCGGAGTCGCGGTAAGCGCTGTGGGAATGTGGATCTATGCTTTCAGCCTCACTGCCGGCGGTGGGACTGGCCTCCGAGGGATGTACAGGCGCGGCAAGCGCAGAGTCGGGTGCCAGACTCGCTGCAGTCGGCTGCGTCCAGCCGACATCCACTGTTCATGTTGTTTCTCAGAGGTGAGGAAGCCCGGATACTTTAGCTACGCACAAGTCTTGCCCGTGCGGTCATCATGAGTGGTCGCATGGTCGGGCACAGGTGCGGCGGGGCCCTGCGCCTGCGGTGCGAACGAAAACGGACGGGCTGTGCGCATGGAGAGCGCGGATTCCTGGGCTTCAACTTCGGCCGCTGTCTTCGTCTTCCTGCGTTTGGCCAGGAGAAGCGCGATCAGCAGTAGCGCGAGGGCTGCGACCCCGCCGCACCCCAGATGCCACCGCCATCATTACATAATAGACCCCGCGGGTACCTACTGGGTACCCATAGACGTAGCTCTATGGGTACCCAGTAGGTACCCCCCCCCGCGGCGGGGGCGCAGGGGGCAGGGTCATGTGCAGGGGTCAGGGGGGGGATAATACATATCATGTGATTTATCCTGTAGATCAGGCAGCTGGGTGGGAGAAAAAATAGAATCATGTGAGGCATCAAATGGGCAGGGGATGGCGGGATAAAAAAAATCACGTGATCAAACACATGAGATTTCAAAAATGTTGGCGGGGTTGGCGGGGGTGTTGGCGGGGTCACTACCGCCCCCTCCCGCACACCAGGGCGGACAGTGGGCGCATTATCACGTGACTTTTTGGAGACCTTTTTTGCCCTGTTTAGCATGGTTTCTGTTGTTCTCCTAATACATTGTATGTTGTAGCCGGTTGGTAGGCAGATGATCACGTGACTTTTCACAAATAAAACAAAAAAGCAGCCCCAAATCATCCCACTGGGATTACAATAGCTGGGTTCAATTTTAATCATACATTTGAGCTTGAAAACCCAAAATTGTGAATCCAATCCTGGCGGTGGCTTGGGCGGGGTTGATTGCGGGGGTGCATAAACCTCTGCCCACCCCCTGTCTCGGTGGCCCCAGCCGTTAGTGGGCAGGCCTTGCACATGCCGATCTTCGATCGGCCGATCACACTCTTCGGCCGATGTCGGAGTTTTGAAATTTAGTGCTGGCCTGCCCCTTTAACGTCTGGGGCACTTCGTAGAGGCAGCCCCCCATCTGAATACATTCTCTGAGTTCACAAGTAAACAGATTGCATTGAGACACATCATTCCTTCCATCACGCGTCAACAACATCGCGCACACGCGCGGTCCTCACATCTGTCGACGCGATGAATGAAGATCTTGACAAGTGGCACGAGGCCTCGAGGTCCCTTCTGGAGGAGGCGCATGAAAAGGCGCGAAAAAAGTCGAATTATGACGCTGAAAAGACGCGCCAAGAGCTTGAGGAACTCTTCGAGGCGCACTTCCAAAAACCTGCCCATCCCTTTCAGATTGATTTCGCTGAGGCTATGATCCTCGGGCTCGACTCCATTCTCATTGCGGGCACCGGGGCAGGCAAATCAATCACGTACATGCTTCCGGCATTGCATCAGTGTGACAAACTCGTCCTCATTATCTCCCCTCTCAAAATCCTCCAGGAAGACCAAGTAGAACGGTTTCGAGCTCTCGGGATGGAAGCAGAGGCTGTAAACGGTGATACATGGTCAGAAAAGTTGGAGAAGGTGCGTGATTGTGGATTTTAGACGCGTTCTTGGGCTGACCATGGAATCTCTGTAGATTCTCATGGCACAGAAGCTTCACGCAGTTCTCACTTCGCCAGAGATGTGCTTCAAACACGACTCGTTCCGCAAATGGCTCCAGAGCGAGGCAACAGGTCAACGGGTCCTTGGTACTGTGGTGGATGAGGCGCACTGCATATCACAATGGGGAGGCGCTTTTCGACCTGATTACAGCGTTCTCGACAAGCTCAGGACCATTGTCCCAGCCGGAAAACCTATCACCGCGCTCTCTGCTACGCTGAACCCCAACGCGCTAAAGGAACTGGTGGACGGGCTCAACTTCGACATAGACGACACCTTCTTCTGGAACTTGGGCAACGACCGCCCAAATATCACATCCTCTGTTGTGCAGATGAAGAGCTCGAAGGATTACAAAGCTGCGGCAAATCTCCTCCCAGATGTGACCGCCGTGTCGACCCTCAAGGACGTTCCCAAGGCAATCATCTTCACCGATGCCATACGCAAGACGCAGATCATCTGCAATCGAGTTCGGAAGCGGTATCCGCAGCTGGAGAAGACGAGCGTTGCCTTTCTCCATGCACATCGCACTGTTCGAGCAAAACGGCGCATCATGGAGGAGTTTCGTGCTGGGAACATTAAGATACTTGTGGCAACTGAGGCAGCGGGCATGGTGCGTCAATTCTAGTCTTTTAAACTCGACTATTGATCTGTTCTCTAGGGCGCTGACATCCCTGACATAGAGCTCATCGTTCAGTTTGGTGTGCCCAAGTCTATGTCAATCTGGACCCAACGTGCTGGTCGTGGTGGGCGTGACCTACAGATTCAAGCTCGGGCAATCATGCTTGTGGAGAAGTTGATGTTCCAACGCAAGAAAGCCCCCAGCGCAAAGGTCTCTACCTCCCAAGTGACTCACTCAAAAGCAAAATGTTCGAGGGCCAAGCAAGCAAAAAAGAGTAGAAAGCATGGAGCTGTGACTACGGGACCAATACCTCCACCCGAAACGGAGTCGGACAGCTCCTCAGACTTGGGTTCGGACCTGGATTCGGACGCGGTGCCCGCACATTCGGAGATGGCAGGACAGGGTGCAGACGAGTCTGCTCACGAGACGGATGAGGACGAAGATGGGCATGTGTGGGCAAAGGCTGTTGATCCAGACGTCTGCGAGTACATCACGACCAAGGCATGTCGACGTGATATTGCCGACAAGCACTTCAACAACCCGCCGCGTCGTTGTATGCCATTCTTCTCAGTGCAGATCACAGCCTGATGTACTCCATAGCTCCTACCAGTCTATGCTGTGACAACTGCATCAACGCGGTTTCGGATTCTCCCCCAGAAGACGATTCAGAGCGACCACAGACGCCACTTGATCAGTCTCCGCCCAGCAGCGTACACTCAACGCCATCCAAGCACACGACCGCCAATGGGAAACGTCGCATGACACGTGCCAAGAAAGGGGAAGCGCCTAAGACACGTCGGAAAGAACATCTCCGCAGTGCTAAAGCAAATCTCTCAGACTGGCGCACCATCACGTACCTGAAAGAATACGCTGACAGCAATTTCACAGATATTGCCATTCTGCCAGATAAAGTCGTGAATCAACTTGCAAGTAATCGGGCCCTCAACATGGATGAGCTCAAGGCTCTTGTTCCTCAATGGGCACTTGCTGACATCCATGGACAAGCGATCATCGACCGACTTGCCCGCCTTGATCAAGCGTATATGGATGCTGTGGCAGGGGAAAAGCAGGCGAAAAAGCAGAAGAGAGCAGCTGAGGAACTCCGCAACGCAACCCTGCAAAGGCCTCTGATGCCTATTTCGACCAATTATCCGACACCATCTACACCTGCTCCCTCGACTGCATCATTTGCCGTACACGACCTGCCAGTTGCAACACCGCAGGGCACATTCTATCAGTACATGATGCCTGGACATTCACCGTCTGGGTATGTTCCTGTCTTATCACCATACCCTACGCTACTTTACCAACCATCTACTCCTCTGCTACAAACTACTACTCCGGATGTCTTTGATTCCTAGATGCCACATTTGATACTACCATCTCTGCCCCACACTACGTTCTATTGTGCGAAGCTCAATCCAATTTGACAATGTATCTCCTTCCTGTAGCTTGAGCATTCCCTTTGTAATGAGATCATTCGGACGGTCCGCGCCTGAAGAAGTCTTGATGAAACGACCTGGAGAGAGCTTGTGCGTGTCCAATGCACGATACCACATTTATAGGGCGGTGATGTCGCCCTCCTTTTTTGGTACAGTGTGCTTCCATCCACGCACTCGAGTCTTGAACTCGTTCTCCATGTGGTGACTTACTGCTCGCACAATGTGAATGGCAGGGTGCAGTTTTTTGAGATATTTCCAGTCGATTTTTGGTCCCTGGGATCGATGCGTGACCTAGAGAAGTATTGTTCAGCACCATTTAGCTGTTTAGTATGCCAGTTTTGACGCACTTTGATGTCTTTGATGTTCATTTCTTGCGCCTCATCTATTGGCATGTGGCCCATACGACGTCCTGTGTTGTTGAGGACCCAGCAATGTTTGCGCACAAAGTCTGCAACCTCTTGTGGCCAGTCGGTTCTCAATCCCTGAAGGAGCTCCAACATCTCAATCGTGTATTTCGAGTTGTTTCCACCGGCGAAACGGAAGATGAGCTGAGGAATCATGTCCTCCATGAGTCCCACATCACCACGAGCAATCGAGTCTCGCAACAGAAGGTATGGTAAAACATCACGGAGGAACATCACTGACTGCTCCTTGAATTCATCCTTCAAATCATCGTTCCCACGTCTCCTAACTCGGAGGTTGACCAAGGCCCGACTTGAGGCATGCTCGTCCAAAATCTTCTGTGCAAGCGCAGCGAGTCGGTCCCCGGAGAATGAGCGTAGCACAGACAGACTGGACACACCAGCCACATGCAGCCAGAGCTCCTGTATCTGTGCTGCCGCAGTAATGTCAAGTGTTTCATCGAGATCATGGAAGAAAGGGCCCTGTGTCTTTGACTGCTGCAATCCCTTGCGCTGGAGCACTTCGAATGCAGCACTCAAACCGTGACCCTTGGATGTCCCGAGGTGTTGCTTGTGAATTGAGTTTGCAAAAGCCATGCAGATGTGCAACCAGCCAGCCGGAGTGATCAGCCGATCCAGTCTATCAAACGAGTTGTCGTCCTCAGCTCGAAACCGGGTCAAGTTCCGTAAACGGTCCACCGTGAGTTGATCCCCAATCCAAAACATAATCTTCTCCAGACCCAAGATCTGTTCCTTCTCTGGAGTGTCCATCTTCAGCTGTCGGAGCCACTCGGTAATCAGTTTTGCGTTGTCTTCATATGAGGCCTCCGGGATGTTGACAGTGCCCAAAAGATACTGCAACGTGACGTGCTCTTTGCCACATGGAAGCTCCCAAACAGGATCGGGCCGTTGGATCAGAGCGTGGTCCCGGTCTGTGTAGGTATCGAGGTCGAAGGCCGTAGACTGGAAGAGTGCATCGAGAACAAGGTAAACAATGTGATTCTTGCAGCAAGACTCTGATTTGCGTGAGATCGCAATGATCTTTGCGGCAGTAAGAGGATTCTGTAAACCGGCAGCCCGTGTTTCCTGGAATGCACGGTTCGCTGATGGAGAAAGCGGAACAGCGTTTCGTGGGACATAAACGGTGCATGCTGTGCTGTTCCCCTGCAAAGATTGATTGTCGATACGTGTAGAGAATACACGGTAGGGGATAATGGCATTGTCGTAAGAGAGTAGATGTGGGAGTAGGTCGATAAGATGCAGTAGGTCCTTCATTGCAGTGGCGGATATGCGTGAAATACTGTCGGAAGTCCACCGCGAGCTCATCGTCAAGCCAATGGCATGTATTGTGTCAAATCCCTTGGCTGAGAGGCCCTTGAACTTGAAGTATACTGAGAAGAGCTTCTGGATACGAGCACGATGATGCGACCGAGTGTACTGAAACATCGCAATTATTGTCAAGATCATCTGAGGGACATTAGCAATGAGACACGGAAGATAAACACAAGCTTACCTTGTCAGGATTCTTCTCCGGGCTTTGTTTCCGCTGTTCAGGAGTCCGGGCCAGATACATCAAAAGGCGCAATAGATTTGGCGCATCTCTCTTAACAGCAGCATGAATCTTTGATAGTGAAGTCCCCGTAAGCTCTTCTTCCGTGACATCCTTGCCTGCCAGAGACTCGAAAAGCGGAGCCACAGCCTCGAGTTCGAGTCCGATTATCTCCTCCATGCACAGAGTCGCAACGTGCTCTATCACTTTCCTTGCTCCCTTTGGTCGACCCTTTTTGGACTGGGGTGGCCGCGGTGGCTTGTACCATCGCTCGAGGATGCCCGGAAGCTCTGTGCTGTGAAGCAGAGCCGAACAAGCGTAGCGAATAGTTGCATCTTCATTGCATGCCGCATCACCCCAGCTGAGCGCATCCAAAAAGATCGGCAAGTCAATTCCCTGCCCTTTTATTGCCTCCAGCACTCTCCAAACCTTGGTCACCATTGCTCCACTGAGTTTGGCGCGTAGACAAGCTGTTCTTTCCACTTGGATCGCGGGTCCAGGTTGCTCAGGGTCATCTTCATCTTCCTCGACAGACTCTGGAGTCAAGGGGTCGTAGTCTGAGTCGTCCGAGTCCGAAAAATCTCCCTCAGAGCCTTCTCCCTCTTCTCCAGCATCCATCTCCTCGTCTTCATGGGTCTCTTGGGTCAGAGTTGACATGGTATAAAGGTACGCAATGAATTTGAAAAAAGATCTTCCATTATGTTGGCTACGGGTAAATGACAGAGGTATTGAGGTTTATCGAGAGGTAAGAGATAGCAGTGGGTCAATATAGTGTGCCGGAAGGGTACAAGAGGTTCCGCCGGGTCCAGGTGGTGAGAGGAAGAGATGAAAGATCGAGATACCCACGATGTGCCCACAGCAGATTATGGCCAGTGATGTCATAGAATCGAGCAGATAGGGGGCCCGTCAATCGAACTACCCCAGACGTTCTGGTGGTGATTGCGCACTAATTTTTCAAACTGCGATCACCACGTGAATGGCTGGGTAACCGAGACAGGCCCACCCCTATTGGCACCCCTGCCACAACCCTCGCCATCACCCCTGCCATCACCCCCGCCGCAGTGGTGCACTTGCCCCTGCCATCTCCAAATATGTAATATTATGTAAAGTGACAGCTCGGAACACATTAGCTCATTAGCCAATCAGAACCTGTATAAAGGTCGTACCCCAGTGTTTTCTGCTCTTCTGACACTTTCACTACATTTATGCAGCCAAAAATCATCGGAATAATGTCTCCCTATGTTACTCTTGTCAAATATAATGCTAATTCATGTCCTTTGTCTGTTTGAAATTTGAAACATCGAAACAGTCCATGGTTGGGTAAGGTTCCTATGTAGAGACTACTTCAACATGATTCACTTTGGGTATTGCACAAAATATATTTTCTACAAGGGCCCAACTTTGCACAACTGAAAGATACACTCTTTGACATTGCTTGAATCAAGTCTTGGGAGTTCTGGACTCTGGAACAATTCAGAAACATGGAATGAATTCAAAACATAGTATATTTCTGAATGTGAGATATAGGCCAATTTGATGAGATATAAGCCACTGGTTATGTTGAATAGGATATCTGGCAATGCTTCGGCTCTCTACCTTCCACTATACAACTTTTGTTCTTAACAAAATGTGTGGTAAGCAACCCAAGCTTATAAAATCAATTGTTGCCTATATAAAACAAAGGTAAAGCTGTTTCATTGAAAATTGGGTAGAGGTTACCTTGAAGTTGCTTGGGTGTCAGTACTGAAAATCTAGAAAGTCATTCTGAGGTTCATCCGCATTTGGCAAGTGCACCACTGCAGCGGGGGTGACGGTGGGGGTGATGGCAGGGGTTGTGGCGGGGGTGATGGCAGGGGTGATGGCGAGGGTTGTGGCAGGGGTGCCAATAGGGGTGGGCAGAGGTTTATGCACCCCCGCAATCAACCCCACCCAAGCCACCGCCAGGATTGGATTCGCAATTTTGGGTTTTCAAGCTCAAATGTATGATTAAAATTGAACCCAGCTATTGTAATCCCAGTGGGATGATTTGGGGCTGCTTTTTTGTTTTATTTGTGAAAAGTCACGTGATCATCTGCCTACCAACCGGCTACAACATACAATGTATTAGGAGAACAACAGAAACCATGCTAAACAGTGCAAAAAAGGTCTCCAAAAAGTCACGTGATAATGCACCCACTGTCTGCCCTGGTGTGCGGGAGGGGGCGGTAGTGACCCCGCCAACACCCCCGCCAACCCCGCCAACATTTTTGAAATCTCATGTGTTTGATCACGTGATTTTTTTTATCCCGCCATCCCCTGCCCATTTGATGCCTCACATGATTCTATTTTTTCTCCCACTCAGCTGCCTGATCTACAGGATAAATCACATGATATGTATTATCCCCCCCCCCTGACCCCTGCACATGACCCTGCCCCCTGCGCCCCCGCCGCGGGGGGGGTACCTACTGGGTACCCATAGAGCTACGTCTATGGGTACCCAGTAAGGTATGCCGCATTAGGATCCAACACCCCTTACTAAGTATTGATGTGACACCATCACACCCGACTCCCCGCCCACATCCCGCCCCGTCGAGTCGAAATTTGCTCAATTAGCTCACATAGAGTAGTCAGATACATGTTATATAAGATCTGTATGTGAGCGGAATTTTGAATATAAGCCTCAAACCGGAGTGATCTTCCGATTTTCTCAACTTTTTTCTTTCAATGCAGAATGTGTTGGAAATGCGTTTCCGTGAATCTGACCTTGGGCAAGGACAAGATTTGGTTTGCTTATATAAGTGGTCACGTGATTTAATATTTCCTAATGCAGAAAGACATCTGGGCGCCAAAAACGCACTGAACATGACCACAGAGCCATGGTAGGCACTTCTCGGGCTTACCAGTCGTGCAAAAACTGTCTAGAAAAGGCTCGGAAGGTTTTACACCCAGATCCGCAACTGGAAACAGTCCACCTAGCCCCATCCGCACCATCAGACTCGGAGGAGATTGCAGATGAAGACGAAGATGACTTCTTCGTGGTTGAGGCTGACCAGATATCAACACGCTTTGTTGCCATGGAGGAGAGCGGAGAGGTCCTGCGCTGGATTCCAAACTGTGGATCAGAGTTAGACGAAGCCATGCCCGAAACCATTAACACCGAGACGGACCTGGAGAGCTTTGCCTCGAAACTCCAGCGCTTTCACAACGAGGCAGTGGCTAGGAAGAAGCTTCAGAAGAACGACCGAAGCAGGGGATACACTGGCCGCTTGACAACAACGCAGAAACGGCACTTGGACAAGCGGATGGTGTGGAAACAAGGCGGCAACAAACTCATCTCGGAGCTCTTCCCCGTGCAACCGCACCAACATCGCAATTCGGAGAGAGAGGTGATCGAAGTGGCGGATGATTCGAGTGATGAGGTCGAGCAGCCAGTGGATGGAATCGAAGTGGTGGATGCTTTGAGTGATGAGGCCGAGCAGTCAGCGGACGGCAAAGATTCGGACGTGGTTATGGTGGACGTGCAAGATAGGAAAGGATTGGAGGATGAAGAGCCAAGTCAGGTTGCACAGGAGAACTTGGAAACGGATGCACGCACCAGCTTGGAAAACGTCGAACCTGTCTCGCAGCCGCCAGATCAGCCCAATTCGGATTTGGACACGACACAACCCTCCACCGCTCCATCTGTGGAGGAGGCACGCGAAGCACTGAACAAGATGCGAGCCGAAGCAGAGAGACTGGAGGCAGAGGGAGCCATGTGGGAAGCATCCGAAAGAGCTTTGAGCGCATTGACGTGGCGTGATTGGCCTGCACTTCAAAAAGCATTAGAAGGGCTTTCTGTGAAGGCAAAAGACAAACGCATCGACATCCTCTACCGTGCCAGACTTATGAGCATGGTGGCGACTCTAAACCTCTTTCTTGATGTGAAGCTTGGGTATACTTGGCGCCAAGCAGCAAGCATCGCTGCAAAGGCGCAAGGCCGGGGAGTCATCAATCATGCCCGGAATCTTTGCAGCTAGATTCATTTCTACCTGAGCACTGGCGAGCTTCCGATTCACTGCTACCGCAACTCTCATCGCTGCATTCTTGATGACGAAGACTGTTCGTCCGATCTCCAAACACATCTCCTCGAGAAAGCATCATCTGGCTACTTCTCCGGCCGCGACGTCGTTGAATGGGTAGAAAGTGAAGAGGTACAAAAGAAGTATGAGGGCAAAATCAAGAAAACGATTCACATCGCGACGGCGCACCGATGGCTCAAGAAGTTGGATTGGCGATTCGGAGCCAAAGCCAAGGGCATGTATGTTGACGGGCATGAGAGAGAGGACATTGTCGAGTATCGGAAGGGATTTGTCAGGCGATGGAAGGAAGAGTATGAGCTCCGCATGGTGTTGCATGGGAAGGATGGAGAGATCATCAGCGAACCACATGGTTTTCTTGTTCCGCAATGGCCGCGTTTCCGGCTAATCCTTGTCACACATGACGAGTCAACGTTCTTTGCTCGGGATCGACGAAAACTGGTGTGGAATAACATGCTCAAAGGACCCGAGCCTGAGAGAAAGGGAGAGGGTGAATCAATTATGATCTCAGACTTTTTAACTCCTGAGTTTGGCCGCCTTAAAGACGGCGAGGAGTGAGTCATTGATTCCGCATCTCTCAAGATTCTGATCCCAGACAGTGACGCGCGATTGATTTTTGAAGCTGGCAAGAATCGTGATGGCTATTTTACCAATGAGCATCTCATGGAACAAACGAGCCGTGCTATCGACGTCTTTGAGGCCCGCACCAACCGCACAGCAACCGGGCTGTTCCTCTTTGACAATGCTCCTAGCCATCAAAAACGTGCCGCAGATGCACTGACAGCCCGCTCAATCTGCAAACGACCATCGGCAACCTGGACACCTCATCCCGGTGGACCCAAGATGCGGAATGGGTTCTTTGCTGATGGTAGCGCGCATGACTTCTATTTTGCCTCAGATCACCCGACCATGGCTGGTTGGTTCAAAGGATCTGAGCAGATCCTGCGCGAGCAAGGGCTCTTTCATGAGGGACTCCTAGGGATGGGGGCCGTACCGTATACGGTTACGGCCGTACTTTTGACGGCAGGTTACGGTACGGATTGTGCCGTATCCGTACCGTCATGTCATGATCCAGAGGCTCCGACGGAACGGTACGGTTCCGTATACGGAATTTACGGCCGTATACGGACACAAAGCTATTCAATGTAAACTGACGAGTTCACTGTACTGAATTGGTACTGAAACACAAGATAAATAGCTAGAATTACTCCTCATTCACCCAACGCCAGTTTGATGTCCTCCCGTGCCATCTTGAGTCGATTCTTCACAAGCATTAAAGCGCGAATTGTTCCAGCCTCGAGTCTCGATCTTCGCAGACTGATAGTGTCACGGCCGCCCGAAAAAATGCGTTCGACTGCCACAGCAGATCCTGCAGATGATGAGCTTACTTATGCCCGAATATAATGACAATGCGCTCACCAGGGATCGAGAGGATATCCAAAGCTAGCTTGGAGAGCTTCGGAAAGTCGTCGCGATGCTTGACCCACCAGGCAATGGGATCACAAGTGTCAAAGTCGTTCTTAGCGGGATCGAGCTTGAAATATTCGGTCAGTTCGTCCGTGCCCGTCAAGTCACGCGGTTTGCGATTATAGCGGTCGGTTAGCTTTCGTTTCGGCTGCTTGGACGAGCCAGCAACCAAGGGGTCAGGTTCCATGGAGCCTGGAGTTGAATCCTTGGCTGCCGTTGCATAATGCTCATTATAATGAGCATGTAGTTTCGTTTTAGCCGTTTCCAAGTCCAGAGTGAGAGAAATATCATCGGCATAGTCTTCGCACAGACTCTGGTACGAGATGTGCGGATCCAACACTTGAATTGAGTGATAAAACAATGCCAGAGAACAATATCATTGAAAGAACTCACAAGCAGCCCACATGTAATACGGCGAAACATCGAACTTGGAGAAGTATTCACTGAGCTTCATATGCGAGTTGACCAGCGCCTGTTTGATTTCCGATATGGTGTCGTCCGGGAGATCAGCAATATGTGACTTGATGTCAAACTGAAGTCCACGGAAAACACTGTGAACGGTAGAGATCATCGGGCTCTTGGTTGTGGACATTTCGGTAGTAGCTTCGCGGAAAAGCTCGAGCCACTCGCACACCAACTTGATAGCAGCCCAATCATCATCAGTCAGGGTATAAACATGGAGCTCTCGGTGGCGCGAGACAAAGTTATTGACGGCAGTCTTGAACCGAAGAGCGCGTTCTGATAGCGGAATAGTAAGTCACTGAATCGCAAAATTTCTGCGAAACATACTGAGCATTTGATGCGTAGATGACCATCGGGTTTTAACGTCAAGGATCAGCATGAGCTTTGTGCGATCGGACGCAGACTCGGTCAGCATTTCCTCGACATCATCGAGCGACACCTGGACCTCCTTGTTCCAAGACTTTCGTCGTTGTGGACTCGAACAAACCGCCCGAACGATGCGACGCAACTAAATGGATTGAGAGGTGCATCGAGAAGAAACAATAGAGACGCACCCTTTGCACGGCAGTCAGGATTGCCTTTGCTGACGGTCCTTCCTCTGCTGCATCCTCTGACTGACTCGACTTGAGTCCTTCACAGAACGTCTTCTCATCTTCCCAGTCCTCGTCAGCATCCTGCATCACAGCCTCCTCGTTGTCATCATCCTCATCGGCATCGGCCGCAGCTCGCACAACATCCTCCTGATAATTCTCTCGACGAGTGGTCGCGGCCTTCTTTGATTTGCGTGAATCCTTCTCGACCGCACCGATCGCTTCGAGAAGCTGATGAGAATTAGTGCGCCGAACAACCCCGAGTAAAACAAAATTCACCTTGAGAGCCGCGAGATGGACAGTATGTGGCATGCATCTTAATCGAGCATGCTCAGCGGAGAATACAATGTTCTGGGCGCGGCATTTGGCCTCCAAGGCGTCCATCATTGTGTTGTTGTTCGTCGCATTATCCATCACAAAGGCCATGATCTATTGTCAGTTAGAGCGGCTATTTCAGTTGCGATAACTGTGAAACTTACCCGATCACAGAGTCCGTATTCTGACAATGTCTCCCACACCGCGTCAGCCATATTGTCACCAGAATGTGCTCCAATTAATTCTCGAAAATCGATGAGTGTCTCCTCTGAAAGGGAAGAATAATTAGAACCAGATAGCATGAGGCAGGAAATGACGTGCCTAATTTCCCCTCGTTTGTGACGTAATGCGCGATTATGGCAACAAAAGCATAACCATTTGAGGAGGTCCATGCATCCAACGAGATGGAGACTTTGCATTCGAGTTTCTGAGGCCAATAAGCAAGGAATCCTTTGACGGACACACACACACACCGAGAACATCTTCTTGAGCTTTCGTTTCAATTCCTTCTCCATGTCCATGATCTTCGTTCGAACGCCCTTCCGATCTGGGATCTTCAGGTCCCCGTTCCCGCGATACACGTATTGGAGAAGCTCCCGGAACTCCGGTCGACTAACTTCCTCGAATGGCTGATCGCATGCAGCAACCCAACGCGCAAGCAAAGTGACAAAATGATTCTGGTCCCATGGCTAATACCAACTGTCAGTCATTTTGATGTTGTTCATTTAGAGAAGTTACTAACCTCTGCTTTCGCAGCTTTCTGACGCTCGAAAGCATGAGAGATTGTTACCTCCTGGCCCTCGAATATCTTCGCAAGGAAGGTGTTGGTATCGGCGTCCGATTCGAAGACTCGCTTCCCTCCTGCGACTTCAATCTCCTCCTCGGACGGACGGAACGCAGGATCAGCCTTTTTGCGATCGGCAAGGAGATTGTATAACTTGAACATGGGACCAGACGCGGTTTTGAGATTGGAAACAAGTCCTGGCGACTATTTGAGCTTTGTCGAGATCAAATGTAAACAATCATACCGTTAGTTGTCCCCTTCATGGCCTTGGTGATCACGAGAGTCTTGCGTGTGCCATGATAGCAACGCCATGCCTGGTCTCCCGCAGGTACGGTATCTCCGGTCTTATTCTTGAAGACCTGCTCATAAAAAAGAAAGATCGGGTTCGACTACAAACAACTCAATATAAGACCTTGAACGGAAGTTATCGGTAAATTACCTTCTCTTTCTTTGGTTTACGTGGACTCTTGGGGCTCTGTGGTTGATTTGATGTAGGTACAGATGCGGGTGTCGATGACGGGACGGGGGTAGGTGTCTTGTTACGCTGTTTCCCAGGGTTGCGCTTTCGCAAAGCTTCTGATTTGGCCGGGAGAAGAGCTGCAAGCTTGAATGTGCGATCCAGTATTAGTAGTTGAATTCGAGAGCTATAATGGGACACACCTCCTCTGTCGGGACAACTTCCACCTCATCCTCGGACCCATCGTCTGTCCCTTCCTCAAAATCCTCGTCCTCCTCGTCCTCCTCATCCGCGCCATTTGCACCCTTGTATTTCCTCAGCTTCCCTCTCCTCTGAAGCTTGCGACGTTTGGGTGGATGTTCGCTGCCTTCGCCATCGGACCCCTGCTGCTCGGCGTCGATTATGGCGCCCATGTTCTTTCCCTTTGCCTTCTGAGGAGCCGGTGATGGAGAGAGCAATGCGGAGTCTAACCGATGGAGTGAGTGGCGAGAGGTAAGTCAAATAGTCAGCTACACACCTGATCCCCCTGGCACTCGAACTCGAAGATCAAAGTGCGTGAGAGCATGTGCACCAAGCTCCAACATGGTCGCATATCCGGAGATTCGCCGCAATCGACCGGTTATGTAGAGTGAATAGGTAGAGCGGTAATCGTCTGGAATGAATTGGCGCTTTGCAAGGTTTTGAAGGATCATATCAGCAGTGTCAGTCGGATAGACAACTGTGAACGCATTGTCAGAATTGGGTGACTGAAATGCATGAATACTTACAGATGGGCACGGACTTCTGGTTAGCGCCCAGGACAAATACAGTCATTGGACGCATTGCAACCAAGCGCTGGAATCGATCCAAGCGAATGTGCGAGATGTGGTCTCGATGGTATCGCAATTGACATAAGGCCAGTACCCATAAACGATGCATCTGATTCCGAAATGCGGACGATGATATGGAGCCTGAAAAAAGTGAGAAGAGCAAAAGTGTCCCAATTGTAGACATACAGAAAATGACGTAGACAGACAGAGAATAGACCTGAGTAGAGAGAATAACACCAGGAATGGCAGCCCGATCGACGTCGAAACAGTCCACAAGTGAAATGCCAGACGGAACAAGAGCAAGGAGGAGGGACGGTGCAAGGAGAGGCACCAGTAGCCCAATAAGCCACACAGGGAATCTGTAAGCCACGGACACTGGTGATAGCGGAGTGAGAACATCTCAAAGATCCCCCATGCTGTGAATGAGGTGTTGCGAATTTTGACGATGCTGGAATGAGGTATTTATACGAAGATTGGCCTTCAGGCAGTGCAGCACCTCAAGAGCGCACTGCCTACAGCTCCGCAAATTTGAAATTCTCTCAAACACAATTTGTCATTGGCGACCGCGAGCCTGTTGACTCGAGCGCCGAAACGATGATAACGGTTATCACTGCGTGATGCGGCAGGTTGATCCATTCTCAATTCATGGGTATCTTGAACATACAATGAGCACACAGTGTGGCAATATTTAAGTTGCACGGCGCGTTCATGTTCATGTTCATGTTCTACGATTGAGGACACAGAAAGAAGCAACGAAGATTGACGTGAGAAATCAATCGTTTGAGCGATGCCAGGCAGTGCCAGCATCAATTCGAGACCGGAAATCACCGTGTTTCAGATTGCCGTATACGGCCGTATACGGCCGTCTCCATACGGCTTTTACGGCTTTTGCCCGTCACCGTCCGTACCGTCAGGCCATCAGTCAGGATGGCTGACGGGACGGTTACGGCTCCGTAATTACGGAGCCGTAATCCCGTCATTTACGGTACGGCCCCCATCCCTAGGGACTCCGTGGTGCGTGTGCTGCAGCCTGCTTCAAGAGCAAGACTACGGATTGCTGCTGCCGCAAGGTCTTGTACTGTCAGCCTGATTTTGTCAATCAAAAGTCCGCGCTTCAGGAAATGATCGAAGAGCGCGGACACATCTGCGATTTCTACCCAAAGTATCATTGTGAGCTCAATTTCATCGAACAGTATTGGGGCGCTGTCAAGTATCGATACCGATCAACGCCTCCCACCTCAAACATAGCTGAGATGCGTGCAAATGTCTTGGCCTGTCTCGATGCTGTTCCGCAGGAACAAATCCTCCGGTGCGTATAAGTAGTGACTTATTTTTCTTTTCAGCTGTCTGATCACACACCACACGCACAGGTTCTCGATCAGAGCTGCCCGTTTCATTCATGCATATTCAGAGGGTCTTACAGGAAGTCAGGCCGCTTGGGCCAATAAGAGATATCATGGGCATCGAACTCTTCCCCCGGACATGCTGAGGCAAGCCAGAGAGGCAATTCCAAACACTCAAAACTAATGTATTTAAATCCTGATCTTCTTGCTAATGTAGTATGTACTCGAAAAAAAACTTGCGGCCAGCGAGATTTGAATGTGTGACCGTTACCGTTAACATGACAGTCACATCAGCTTAGTAAGGGGTGTTGGATCCTAATGCGGCATACCTTAGGTACCCGCGGGGTCTATTATGTAATGATGGCGGTGGCATCTGGGGTGCCCCGCCGACAACTCCGCCGGCTATGGCGCCTGCGGAGGAGTGCTTCGATCTGCAAAGCTTTCAGAAGAGTTGGCAAGTCAGAATGGGATCTGCACTCACGGCGATAGTCCGGCGTCGGCGCTGCTTGTCTGTCTGAATTCTGTTTCAGGCGCGCTCGGCGATAGATATGCCCTTGGGACTCACGTGGCCGCGCCCGAACTCGCGCTGGATGAAACCCCCGCGCCGTCCGGCACCTCGACGACCGCGTAGTCAAACAGCGCCGACGTCCCATTCGTGTGCGACAGCGCGAGGTCCCACGCGATGGTGTGGTTGGCACCGCCACTGAGCCCCGCGGCATGGAAGAACAGCGCGTGGAATGTGAACTCCACGGGGCTCAGATGCGCGTACCACCCCGCCGGCTGCCCATCGAGCACGAACGAGACATTGGCCGAGTTGTACCCCGCGATGCCGTAGATGGACACCGCCGCGCCCTGGAACGTAAGGCTGCCCTGGCTGCCGTTGTGCCCGTCGTGCCACGTCGCGTTGTAGACGGCCCCACCGCCGGTCGGGGGCTGCTCGGAGCAGTAGTTGCACGGCGAGGACGGGCTCACGGCGGCCCAGGCGGGGAGCGGGCGCGGGAAGACGTCGGGCTCGGTCCAGGTGAAGTAACGCGTGTCGGTGTCGTCGATGGTCATGTTCCGCGCTACAGTGGAGGGGAAGAAAAAAAGAACGAAGGGCAGGATGAGGAGAGCTGGGCTAGACATCGTTGGCTGTCTGGAAAACAGTTTCAATCATCTTCGCAAGATCTGCGAGGCAGCCTTCTATCAAGTAGATACCCGATGGGGCTGCTAATTTCAACTGTTGATTGCATCTTTCGAAGAGCGACATATTTCGGCGCCCGACTTTGAGTCGTCGTACGGTGGAGGTACACGGCTCAATTCCAGAAAATGTGAGACGAGCGCATTTGTCTATACAATTTTGAATCCAGGGCGAAATATGTCTTGATTTGGTGTAGTTCGCCCTTTGAAAGACAGCTGGAATCAAAAGTCCCCTCCGCCTCATCATGTTTAGCGTCGGATGTTTCAACACTTACTGCCGGCCCGGGTCGGCCGGTTTGATATCACTCAGCTGAGTTGGGCTGCACCCAGCTGAACTGGGGATGAACTCGATGGGAAATCTTCTTTCTAAACTCTACTGAGCACGTCGGTGCTGATTTTGAATCTGACCAATAGGACGAGACCCGCGGCTGCTGCAGCCATGGATCCCGCATAGAACATCGCCGGATGGTACGCGGATAACGTGCTGTCGGCGCCTCCGTATGCGTTGAGGATGTACCCCGCGATCGGTGCTCCCTGCGATAAATTTGGTAGGAATCGCAAAGCGGGAAGTGAAAAATAAACGGACCATAAGATACCCGCCGACCCAACCAGTCGCGATCATGCCCATCGCCACACTCACCCGGCCGACGCCAAACACCGTCCCAACGACCGTCGGCATCGTCGAGAAGAACCCGCCGTTCGCCGCGCCGTTTATCACCACAAACATGGCCAGCGGCGCGAGCGCCGTCGAGACGGGCCAGATCGCGAGCATGCTCACCGCGCTGAGGAGCAGCGCCGCAAACAGCACGTTCACCGGGCCGACCCTGTCCGCCGCGAAGCCCGCGCCGAGGCGGCCGGCCGCGGACGCGGAGTTGAATCCGGCGAGGAGCGCGGCGCCCGTGCGCGCGGGGAGGCGGAGGGAGTTCGCGTAGAGCGGGAGGAAGAACGGCGGGACGAAGAGCGGGAAGGTGCCGACCGCGCCGGCGAGGAAGAGCGTGATGAAGCGCGGGTCGCGGAAGAGCGCCCAGTCGATGAACGTGTTGGTGCGGATCCGCGTGCGCTCTTTCACGAACCACGCCGCGGGCAGGCCTGTCGTGAGCGTCAGAATGCCGAGGATGTGGAAGGTCCAGGCGGGGCCGAGGGAGCTCAGCAGCGCGTCGATGAGAAAGGAGGTGACTGCGCCGCCGAGTCCTCCGCCTGCGTAGACGATCCCGTTGGCGAGACCCCGCTTTTTCTGGAAGTATTGCCCGGGAGTGATAGAGACGACCTGTTGACCGAGGGTCACAGTAAAAATACTGGGGGAAATGATTGGAAGATACCCACCATAAAGCAAAGACTGGGGCAATTATTTCTCAGAACTGCCACCCCGGACGAGAGTTTTGCAGCCTCACCTGATTCCGATTCCATTAATCACCCCCGTAGTAACGAACAAAGCGCCGATATTTTTGGTGGCGAACCCGCTGAGAATCTGGCCGAGGCCGATGATTGTGATTCCCAGGAGGGCCGTGCGCTGTGTGCCGAGCAAGCGAATGACACGCGCGTTGATGATGGCTAGACCGGATATACAAGCCACGGCAGTGGACCCGACGAATGAAATGGTGGAAGAGGACCCGAGACCCTGCTGAACGAGTGCGGCCTGATCCATGCATGTCAGTCAGCTCGATAGTCTGGAGCCCCCGGGGCGAAGAAGTCCACCTGCATCACACCCCAGCTGTAGGAGGTACCAATAAACCACCATGCTGGAAGAACTCGTCCCTGGGCGGTCTGATCTGAGGTGAAACGACGTACTGATGACCGCACAGCTTGCTACCACGACCCATCCGTAACCCCCGTCCGGAACCGGAGCGTCCGCCGCAACCTGCTCATTCAGAGCGACCTGGGAGGATTCCGAGTGTGCTACTGCGGATGTCGCACGAGTGCTGAGCTCGATGCCTTGCGTTTGCGACATGGAACGGAAGAAAAACCAATGCGTCAAGCGCAGGCGAGTCAAGTCGGCAAAGACTACTGATCGGCGATCATCAGTTATTCGTTTCTCAAAACGAAACATGACGTCATCCGGCAAACAGCTACTCTTATCCTCCCGCTCATACACGGCCAGGTTCCCGTCCCGGAAAACCAAGGTCAGCCTCGCGTCATTCCCACGTGCAACGACGATGTCCTTTATCAGCCTCAACGTACGACGCAGCTGCAACAAGGGCTGCGATATCCCAAACTCACTAGCGACGATCCGCTTCTTCTGCACGCTCTTGAACTTGCCGTAGTCATGCACGCCGAGAAGTGGCGCGGTTTCTGCGAGAATAAGAGCTGGAGGTACGTCTCGACGCCGAATGCGCCGACGCGGCTGGCGATGCGGGTGCTGAGCTCGATCAGCGACACGTGCGGGACCGCGGGGAGGTCGCCTTTCAGGACGCGGATGCCGTGCACACTCATGCTTGTTGGCGGTGCGACGCTGAGGCCGGTCATTTTCGACGTGAGCTCGTCGCTCTGCGACAGGGCGTCTGTTTGGCTGGTGCTGAGGCAGGCGTCGATCTCGAAACGGACGACCATTCGCAGCCTTTCAAGTCCTGTGCAATTTTTTCAGTGTTCTCCCGCTCGAAATTGAACCCGCGCGAACGCCCGCTTTGTTACTCCCGCATGCGCGTCTCCCACCTGTTGAACAAGACCGTCCCGTCGCCCGCCATTTGCATGTCGATCCTCCAGTCGTGGACGGCACGCGGCCCGGCCTGGTCCGGGGTGAGTTCCGCGCTCATCAGCCAGCGGGTGAGCTTGCGAAGGCCGTTGCGGTCGGTCACGAAGTCGACCTGCTCCGCGGCCCAGTCAAATGGCGCGGCCCGGTGCTGTCGACGGCCACGATCAGCGGGAGTACATGCGTTGAGTTCATGTAGAATCCGTTTTGGTCGACGAGATTCACGCCTTCGTCGGGCGGAATCTGGTACGGCATTGCCTGGTTCAGCCATTTTGGAGGTGATCCTGGATCCATCAATCGTCAAATGGACGCTTCAGACGGCGGAATTACAGAGTTTGAAGCATGCACCCATCGATGAAAAATGAATCATCGGGGGCCCAGATATGGCTTTCGGACAGGAGTGGCGGGCCTTGACTTGAATCGTGTCAGACAGGTATCGGAGGCATTGACCACGCAGTTGGACAATTTTAGAGGATGCAGGTATCAGTACGGCTCTTCCTCAGCTCGATCACAGCATGTATCCCACACCAAACTTAAATCGGTGTGTTCCCGGCCCATATCCAGGCTGAATCTAGGAACGATGCGTACGGGCGCGAAGAAAATGCCAGTTTTGAGAGGATTCTCTTGCTACGATATTGTTGTAACTAGCGAATTCGGGTTGATTCTGACTTATCTCACACCACGCGATGTCACTACCGACATCAGCTCTATGTAATATGAAATCACAGCGTCAAAGCTCCACAAGTATAGACATGAGTCACCCGCTGCCTCTGCTGACCCCACAAAAGCTAGAACCACAAGCCACGAAATTGCCGCAGCAGTGCGGTCAAAGAGCGTTGTATGGTGTTGCTTGGCAATGGCGAATGGTCTTGGCAGCCACTAACTCTTTCGGGACGGGTGCCCGCATCCGAGACTTTGACTCTACCTCCATCATCGCCCCGCCCTTGAATGCCCCACACCCCGAGAGACAACGCATTCCGCAGATTCTTTTCGTCTGACAACTTCGGGCGGGCGCCGCCGCTGGTGACCGACTCACCTAGTCCTGATCGAAGAGGCACTCCGGACGAGCCGGTCGACGCAGCCTCGTCTCCCGCAGCGCTTTTCCTCTCTGCGTTCTCGCCCTCCTCGTCCTCGTCCGGCAGGGGTTCCCAGGAGCAGAGCGACGTCGAGCCGGAGGGCGAAGGGTCTGTGGTCGGACAGTTTACCCTCGGCCCGATCATCGCACATGGCGGCTTTTCGACCATTCGGCGCGCGACGTCCCTCTCGAACGGCTCGACCGTCGCGGTGAAGATCGTACCAAAGGAGGTGCAGAAGGAGTCGTCGACACGGAAGCGCATCGCGCACGAGGAGACGATCTGGACGATGCTGTCACACGAGCATATACTCCCGCTCTTCGCTTGCGTGCATACCCCGACGGCGGACTGCTTCGTCACGCAGCTGTGCCCCGGTGGCTCGCTGTTCGACGTGCTTCGTGCCGGGGTTCCGCCGGTGGAAGAGACGGGGAGGATGTTCAGGCAGGTCGTCCGTGGCCTGCGCTACCTGCACAATCAGGCAGGCATCGTGCACCGGGATGTCAAGCTAGAGAATGTCTTAATTGACGAGGCTGGAGTTTGTCGGATCGCAGACTTTGGCATGGCGGTGCAGCTGGACGACAGTGCTGTTGAGGATGACGACTGGCCGGAGGGGCTGCCCGTCCCCAAAGGCGCCGGAGTCCAGCGAGCAGTTTCCTTGGCAGTTCCTCGACACGCTTCGCACCGTTTCTCCCGGCCAACAGCACCATCGACTCCACCGACCGACTTCCAGCCGGGCTCGCTCCCTTACGCCGCTCCCGAATTGCTCCGCTCCCCACCACTAACGACCTCGGTGTCCATGTCGGGCAAGACGAAAGCCGAGGCGATGGCAAATGCGAATAAGTCTGCATCTGCGTTCGTGCAGGGTGCGTGTGTGCTGCTCCATACTCATTCAGATTCATTAATGCTACCCACAGGCAAGTCGGGCTCAACTGCATCTCCTGGTGCTTCGACAGTGACTCCACCCGCTCCAGCCCAGGATATCTGGGCCCTAGGCGTCATGTTGTTTGCTCTCCTTGTGGGCCGACTTCCATTCGTGGATTCGTTCGAGCCCAGGCTTGTTCTCAAGATCCTGGATGGTGAGTTTGCGTTAAGCTTTAAGGTTTCCCCACATCTTGGCTCGGAGTAAAGCTCCAGCCAGAAACTTCTTTCCGACGCTCACTGACTTCACTTGCAGGCAATTACACGCCCCCACCACACGCAAGCAAGCGCACACTGAGCGTGCTTCGAGGCTGCCTGTCGATGCGGGTGACAGATCGATGGGGGATAGAGCGGATCGACGAAGCCGCTTGGGCTGTTGGAGGCGAAGATTCAGCGAGCGCATCTCACGATGGCGATCATAGCCACATGCCCAGGCACCACGCTCGGGCACCATTCCCGGCGCCGCTGCCCACGCACGAGCTCGACAGGGGCCGGGCGCAAAGTGGTGCCGCTGCCCGGAGAGCTGAGCGGTCTGCCTCGCGGGCTCCGTACGACTCGTACAGTCGCAGCAGGAGCATGACACGCAGCCGCACGACCCAGTCTGGAAGCCGCAGCCGGAGCCGGAGCCGCAGCCCCGGTCCTCCTCGCACTCCAGTGGATCTCGCCAGCCCCAGCTTGGTACTCCCTGCGATGGCTGGTTTGGGCATCGGGTTCCCTGGCAAAGGACGGGGAAGGACCCTGACTGAAGAACGGGAGCCAGAGCCCGAGCCTGAGCCGGCGGAGGCCGAGGTGGTGACGTGTGCGACTTTCCTCTCGCCCGGAGACTTCGGGGCCAGCACCAGCACCAGCACCAGTAGAAGAGCTGGCAGCACACCGCCTGTTGCTTGGCGAGATAGCCTATCTGGCTCTGGGAGGACTCGAAGTCTCAGCGGAACCGGAGCGGTGTAATCAAGGACAGACGGTCCGTCGGCGACCTTCTCTGCTCCTCACTTGCCTCTGACCTCATCGCTCAGGCTGAGTCTCGCCTGAAAAAGCAGCTGAACACTTGCTCTCTCTGCTTCACCCCGTTATGATCCGGTATGATGATCTAATCCCCCCACCCCTGTATGATCACTGTTATCTCTCATCCTGTCTACTACTGCAACTGATGGCCTTATTATGTCGTGTATCGTGTGTATACCTTGTACCTTTTGACGTTTCTAATCAATGTATTTGACCACTCAGTCGCCGCAGTAGCTTCGGCGTTCTACGGCGACCCCCTTCCAGGCTACGACAGAGCGGGTCTGGATCGCTTATGATAGCACCCTTGAAGCGGTCATGTTACATGCTATTCTGAGATCCCGTTCGCACAAAGGAGAACTCCCCAAATGTCAAACACGACGACCGATCTCCTTGCACATCTCTCTCCGGTCACTGTTTACTCCTTCTCCGGGATATTTTAGTCTCAGCAGCCGGGGTGCTGAGAACCCGCGGACGGTTCGCAATCATACCGGTATTGAGAAGCCATCGTGTATTTTGGGGTCGCTTCGGCGGTCTCGAATCGTACAAATGATGCTGCCATAGTGGGAGAGAAAGAGAGAGAAGCCTCATGATCATCTTTGCAGTTGAGATTGGCCGACTGGAGAGCTGGATATGATGATACACTCTTGGAAATTGGGTTCAAAGTGTAACGGGCCGAAATCCAGAGGGGCCCGAACGGACCTGAACTCAGCAGAGGATGAGTGAACGACATAGCACTAATCCAGGAGGGTGATATCTGCTTTGTCAGAAAGCCGTGGGGCCTATTATTATCGTAGAACCTGAGATCGCCGTCATGCCTCAGTGGCTATGGAGCGGCTTCGGCCGTCACAACGCGTGGGTAAACACCCACGCGTTGTCGCGGTCTCGCCAGATGTCATCAGAGAACTGGGAGGGCTTGTTGGGACACCCAATGGAAATAGAATTTTTTCAGTTGACTAGCGTGCTCGCTCAACGAAGAAGCTTCTGAGAGTGAGGATTGCTGGATTCGTGCTGTCGGCTCGTGCGACGGCCGGCGTCGTTCTATCGGCGCAAACGTAAGAAGCTTCAGCATGCGCTTGCGCGAAAACATCTCAGACACACAAAGCACCTGGGGCTGGGGCGCGTTGTTGGAGAGTGTATGCTGTGTGTGAACGACGGGGGAAGATGTGCAGCGCGATGCGGCGGCCGGGGAGATTTTTAAGTCCACGTCATAGGCGGAAAGGCAGCAGCAATGGAGAGTCTCACCCACAGCTCTTCGCAGCAAGGTCGCTCCGGCGGTGTCGAACGATCAGGAACCCGGATAAACGGGGTGGCTCGCAAACTGTGCGCCTATAGCCGGGCTGTCTGTCGTGGCATGCGATGCTCCAGTATCTGTAAGCACTTATCTGCCACATGCCAGATGAGTCCGGGTCCGTCTTATCTTTCACAGAGACCATCAGTGCGCTGGCCCCTGCTGAAACCGTCGCGAGCAGCTATTGTGGGGATACCGGGTCAGGCTGGATCGCCTGCATGACGAATATGGAGATAGATCGATGTCTGTTGGCAGCCTCCCAACAGTTGAATCCCGAGGGCCGATCAATATGAGTGGAAGGCGTTTCTGTCCACGAGTTCAGATGGGCATGACGGTCGCATCCGCATCGGACGTCGTGTGTGATGCTGGTTCCCAACGCACAGACATTCGTCGTCAACCCTTTTCCAGCAGTGCGAGAAAGATGAAGCGCAGCGATTCGGAGACTTGTCGGTCGCATGCGTCTCGCGTTACGCGATTGCCATCCTCCAATTCGGGCCCTATTTTTGCGAGTGAGGTCCAGCATGGACGAGGGAACGCTCGGCCCCTCCTGTGGGAGGCATCTTCCTCAGATCCGATGATTCGGGGTCCGTGTTCAGCAAGAAGAGGGCGGCTAGGTGAAAGCTCGGAGGAATTGTTGATTCATTTGTGACACTGATTGCGCGTCATCAGTCACGCTGTCACCCCGGCTTTTTCTGGAGCAATCGCCATGGATAAAGGCCGTCCCACCGTCGTTGTTCTTTCCCTTCATCCTCGCCTGGTCCTGCACCCACTGCGCTCGCGTCTGCCCTGCCTGTTTTTCGGTCTATGCCTTTTGTTGTCCCCGCTTCGAGCCCTAGCCCACTTGAATCCCCGCCGGCAGAGTTCAACCCCTTCAATGACAATGGCGGGACAATTCTCGCTGTCGCAGGCTCCAACTTCAGTGTCATTGTCGGCGATGTGAAGCGGGGAGATGGCCTTGGTCGGCATTCGCCCAAAGTTTTTCGTCTGCAAGTCCAGCCAAGCCTCCTCCGATAAGATTGGATCCTGATACCGATCTCGCTAGCACGGACAGAGCCGTCCTCGCCACCACCGGTTTCTCTGCGGACGGAAACACATTCGTCAAGAAGGTTATGCAGCGACTCGAGGCAAGCCTCTGCATGATCCCCATCAGCCCCATTCTGATCACCTTCCTTTTAGTGGTACCGACACGCGCACGCCCGGGACATGACGCTAAGCGCCGTCGCGCAGCTGATTCAAGGGATGTTGTTTCAACGCCGGTTTATCCCGTTCTACGTGTACAATATTCTGGGCGGCATCGAAGAGGATGGTGAGTGTCATCCCATGTCTTTCTTTCTTTGTGATCCCAGCTGACTGACTGGAATGTTGAAAGGCACGGGTGCCGTTTACTCTTTCGACCCACAAGGCTCGTTCAAGCGGACAGCGTGTCTCGCTGCAGGTGCCGCGTCCCTCCTGGTCCAGCCTTATATAGATCATCAGGTGAGTCGCGCTGCCTCCTGCTCCCATCCGGCACTGCTCTGCTGTTGCGACCACCGCCCGAGTCTCAGCCGACATTCCTCCTCCCGATTGTCGTGTGCTTCGCCATTCTGACTGCTCTCAGATCTTCTACAAGAGCCAAGCTGCAACACCGGCTGCTCTGTCGCAGACGGATCTGGCTCTCCCGCGGGTGCTGTCCCTCGTGGTCGAGGCGTTTACGGCAGCTGACGCTCGTCATGCTGATGTAGGTCCATTCTGTGCATGTTTTCCCGATCTTCTCGTCCTGACAGCCAGACAGATTGGCGATGCTCTAGAGGTCTTTGTGGTCCTGGCACGCGGCAGCTCTTCGCAGGGTCTCGAGACCGTGCACGGTGTCACAGAGCTCACCCGAATCCCCGGGGGCGAGCGTATCTTCGTTCTGAAGCGCATTTTGAAACATACATGAGCAACTCCCATCCAGGCATTTTGTCATTGTACGTTATTTGTTGCACGTCATCACTACTACAACTGTCCGGACACTCGACACATTATTGTATGTATATTATCCCCCTAGAGTATTATTGTTGGCTTTGGATTTTTTTGCGAACATTGTTGAATGTATCGATTGTCCCGTGTTATATTCAGTGTCGCACGCGGAAATATTGTCGGAGGAATCAGATCAAATAAGCGCCACGACACCATCCAAATTACCAAAGAAGGCAGGTCATCATCCCAATATCGATAATTTCCCGAGCAGGGTCGTTCAATCTGCGCATCGAACACCTATCACGTGACTTTCTGTTTCAATGAGACCTCTTTATTTCACGTCATGGCCCGGATTTCCATGGAAAATCTGGACGGAATATTCATCGGTTGCGTGATTCTGACGACAGACAATCCCAAAGTTAATTTCGGATGAGATCGCAAGAAGTTTCTGTTTGGCGACGAATTTCGCGCCGATAATCTTCCTTCAGGTCGGGTGCGTCGCGTATCACCTCTCCGGTCCCGCATTTTGTAGTCCTGGGCGGGGATAAAAGATCGTCTGGGGTCACGCTGGATTGTGCGAAGTTGTGTCCATATGCGTATTCCAAGTCGTGGCTGATGCCTCGATGCTTCTGGGGAAGGGGAGCCCCAGCATGACCTGCACACACGTGTTTAGGTACCTAACTGTTATTGCAGGACAGCACCTCGGTACCGGTCCACGCGCCACGAATAAGAATCGACGATTCGAGTGGTGGATCGCCCGAGGAATACCTGCCAGTTAAAATCTCGGCGGTGATACACACCCGGGATGTAGGCCCGGTAATCTCGAGTACACGAGTTCCGAGATCCCAGATGACCTCCTTGATATGGCCGGCCCATTTAACGAGAATTACTCCAAGATTTTGAAATGAGCGTGACCTGGCGATTCACGTGAAAATGACGTATCGCGATAGTCACGCGGATGATCATCCGATCCGTACAGTATCAGCCACATCATCTTATCAATCAACCGACGTGGGCAGCTGTCAAACAGTCAATCCAGTCGGACCATGATGTCACTATCATGTTGGCCTGTGACGGCCGCTTTCTTCACTCGACACTGGATTCATTCGTCGTTGCTCTCATCGCGAAATGGCACTCGCTCAAGTCCTGAAGTCAAATAGCAGCTGGGCACCCCGTGCAAAACGCCCCGTCGCCCTCTTCCTCGGCGGCACGTCGGGCATCGGGCAAGCCATGGCGCGTCGCCTCGCCGACTACACCGCGAACAGCCCCGGCGGCGGCTCCGCGCACGTCATCATTGTCGGACGGAACCGCGCGGCCGCCGAGCGCACCACGTCGTCCTTCCCGCGCGAGCCAGAGGGGCGATACACGAGCCACGAGTTCATCGAGTGCGACGCGACGCTCATGCGCGACGTGCGGCGCGTGACGAGGGCACTGTTGGCTCGCCAGCCGCCTGCTGCGCAGAACACGACGGAGAAGATCAACTATCTTGTGCTCTCTCCGGGGTTCTTCAGTATCGTGGCGGGGAGGGACGAGACGGTGGAGGGCATCGACAGGAAGTTGGCGCTGTTGTACTATGCGAGATGGAAGTTCATCTACGATCTGCTCCCGCTGTTGCAGAATGCCGCGAATGATGGAGAGGAGGCGAGTGTATATTCGGTTCTGGGTGCTGGAACGGGGAGCGAGGTCGACGTGGATGATTTGGGCCTGAAGAAGCATTATTCGGCGATCAAAGCTGCAACGGTGTCTGCGAGCTATACGGATCTTGCCATGGAGGTCAGTTCGTGCCATCTTTTACCCTGAAAGCACTTACAGGGCCAGTAGAAGTTCGCTGTGGACAACCCCGACATTTCATTCAACCATGCGTTCCCTGGATTAGTTCGAACGCCCATGATGATGCCCAAACACCCGCTTCTCAAGCCATTTTCTCCCCTGATTCAGTTGGCTGCTCAGCCTTTCACGGTTTCCGCCGAGGTTTGGACTCTCCTTCATCACATATATCCTTCTAGAAGTTAACGTCCACGGTGCAGACTTGTGCGGAATACCAGCTCTCTGGGTTGTTTTCCTCAAAGCCTGGCTTTACTCGACGAGGATCGAAAGGACAGGACATTGGGTACTCGGTGGGAGATCCCGCTGTCGTCCAAAAATTATGGGAGCATACCCTCAGTGCAGTGGGGGCCTAATCGTTGTTCTTTATATGTAGCTTTTCTGTGTTCCAATTCTTTCAAAAGATACATCAAATGAGAGGCTCCTCTGAAATCAGACTGCCCTCCTCAGTGAATTGTTGGATTGGTCGGGAATATGCCGGATTGTGTATCTGTAATCACATCATCAGTCAAAGCCTTTGACAAACTACAACACTGCCACCTTTCTGCCGCGGCGATTGACACTTTTTTGCCGTGATACGAAGCTCCTCGATTTGAATGGCTCACGCTGCAACTACAGGCTTAGTCATTTGAGGACTTGGTCGACGCCCACCATGTCGACTGAAGTGCTCGGTGGCACCATCCTCATACCCGCGCTCCCCGACTCAAACCCTCTTCACCCTCCCTCGTTACCGATCCGGGGCCCACGTTGGCTACATGTGCCGTTGCTGACGATAGGACTTCTCGGCGTGTCGATACTGTGGTCGGTGGAGATGTCTTACGGTGAGCTCGACCGTCTCGTGGGGAAGCTGCGATTTTACGTTCCCCGAGGTCCGCCGTACCTGCTCTCGTTGGGCCTCTCCCCTTCGCTCGTTGCCATCGTGTTCCTCGCCGGGCCGCTCTCCGGTTTCATCGTGCAACCTATCATCGGGGTTGTCGCCGACAACTCGACGTCCGCGTGGGGTCGGCGCCGGCCGTACATGATCGCCGGGAGCCTCGTCAGTGGAGCGGCGATGCTTGTGCTTGGGTTCACGCACTCGGTCAGCGATGTGCTCTTCGGAGCGCGATCGGTGAGTGGCTTACGTCGTCCCCGCGGTCTCGGTCGGTACTGACGATGAATTTGCGCTGGAAGAGCGACGAGACGGTCATCGCGCTGGCTGTCATTGCTATCTGGGTGGCGGACTTTTCGATCAATGTCGTGCAATCCATGGACCGCGCGCTTATCGTCGACGTTCTTCCTTCGGAGATGCAGGCCTCGGCGACGGGGTGGGCGGCGCGGATGATGTGTATCGGGAGTGTGATTGGCTTTTTCGTGTGCGTGCTTCGCTACTGCTGTCGTCCGCTGCGTTCCTCATAGCCGGTTGATCTCCAATACAGCGGGAATCTGAACCTGCCCTCCCTATTTCCGTTCTTCGGGAGTTCTGAGCTCCAGATCCTCTCCGTATTCGTCGTTCTACTTACTGTTCTCGGCCATGCCACCACTGCGTTGATGGTGCGAGAAGAGGCTTTTGCGAGACCAGATGGGTGAGAGCGTAGTCTGTTAAGCGGAGGAATGCGAAGCTAAACACATCATCAGACACCGACGGTCGTTCATCGCCGAGCTGAAAGCGATCTTCTCCAACTTGATCACACTTCCGCCGGTGATTCTGCGCATCGTGAGTGGGCGCGAAGTGAACTGTTCTCTTTCGTTGTCTAATCTGAGCACAGTGCCTGATCCAATTCTGGTTCGACGATCCCCGCTTACGTCCTCACAGCTTCTCACACACTAATCGTGTCTTTGCAGTGCCTGGCTCGGCTGGTTTCCTCTCCATTTCTACACGACAATGTACATCGCATCGCTGTATTCACCGTCCGAAACGGGACGCACGCCGGAGGAGATTGCGGATGAGGGAACGCGGCTGGGCGCGCGCGCGTTGTTCCAATCCGCCGCTCTCACGCTGATCGCCAACCTTATTCTGCCGTTTTTCATCCGAAGCACCGGCGCCACCGACGCGCTGTCCCAGGCGAAGACCCCCCGATGGAAATTTCCGCTGGCGAGGTTGTGGCAATGGAGCCATGCTTTCTTTGCTGTTTGCATGTTGGGAACTTTGTACGATCTACGGAGCATCTGTTCTGGCGGGCGTCCTGATTGATTTGTGTTATAGCTTCATCACGTCGATGGATGGTGCCATCCTACTCATCTCACTATCAGGTATCTCGTATGCCGTGAGTATGTGGGCGCCATTCGCTCTAGTACGTCTCCATCTCCTTGTTTTCGTTCTCAGTCAGCTGATGGCTTTGCCCGCTTTAAGCTAGGGGAAGCAATCCTGGACGACGAATCGGGCGATGCAGAATTGAGCGCCAAGGCTGGTGTCATCCTGGTCAGTATCTTGCCGAAAGTCTTTCCTCGATTGAGTATTAATCTTCCTCAAGGGAATCCATAACCTGTTCATCGTTGTCCCGCAATTCCTCGTGTCACTTCTCTGTGCCGCCATCTTCGCGGTCTTCACGCCGGATCCAAATACCCCAGGCCGCCAGAAGAAGGAGAGCGCGGTGGTATACATATTCCAGTAAGTGCTCACAAGACCACATGCTCAAGAATCGCTCATTGACGCGTCGCTCCGCAGATTTGCCGGCATCTGGGCTTGCGTTGCGTTTTATCTCTGTAGAAAATTGGGGAAACGCATCCGGTTGCCGGAGAATCCGTGAAGAGTTATAGATTGGGTATCTTACTCGTGTTCCCAGCTCACAGCAGAGTTCAAACTCCCACTAAGTAGTATTCGCAGAAGACGGCTCTGCCGCCATGTGCGGGGACAAAATCGTACAATACGCACGTGACGATCGATACGATATTTTATTCATCAGTTTCGGCCCTTTCAATTCGGAGAGGGAGATGTGTCAATCTATGTTCTGGGATGCTAATTCAGCTGCCTGCGCCGCTGCCTGTCATGATCATAGATCGGCTGTGAACTGCGATGGATATGCACTGCCACCCAAATGTCACATTAAATGCCAACTGTCAAACTGACGCAGCTGCTGAACCATTCCATCCATGACTCTCATCCTCCCTCCGGAACTCGTCGCTGAGATCGTTGGTCACGCACGGACCGACAGGAAGACACTCCTCGCATGCTCCTGCGCTGCCTCCTCGTTTCTGCGCCCCAGCCGGAACGTGTTGTTCGAGACGGTCACCGTGGCTTCTGCGGCGCGCGGGAGAGGGCTGGTTCAGCTCGCGTCGTCTCCGTGGGAGACCTTCTCTGCATCGATCCAGAAGCTGTGCGTCGTTATGGATGTGGACTCGGTGGACGCGGACACGGAGCTGGAGATCTTCCTGGACAATGTCGTGGCGGGACTTCCGGCGCTGCCCTCCCTCTCGCAACTCTCGGTGCAAGATTTCACCTTTGGATTTCATCCGGCATCGACCGCTCGTTTAGAGCGTCTGGCACATATCACGTGCCTTGAGATAACGGACAGCTTGTTCGATCATGTGTGGGGGTTGTTGGGGTTTATCGCTGCGTTTCCTCTGCTGGAGAAGCTTGCTGCCGACTTGGTGTTTGCGGATGACGAAGTGACATCGCGTCAACCCATTACGGAATTGGCCTGTCCTCGAGGCCTGCATACGTTGTCGCTATCCCAGCATGTCGGCTCGGTCCCTGCGCCTTTCCGGATCATTACAGAGTGGTTTCACAGCTCGGAGATCAGGGATCTCCGAATAGCAACTGTTCAGCGAGAGTCTGTAGGGTCCGCTGGAGCACTGATTCGCGCCATATCCAACCATCTACGCACGCTCGATATCGCGCTGTCACCTCACGTGAACACAGGTGAGATAGCAGCCCCGAAATGAGATTTCTGCTCACACTGTTTTCCCAGCACAAGTCGAACAACACCTCGATCTATCCGGCTGCACAGGACTGAAGTCACTCACGGTCCATGTCGGTCTCCGTCGAAACACAACACCGGGAGCGCCACCGAGCGCAATCTGGGCGCTCCTTCGCGCCCCACGCAGCCCAATCCAGACTCTGATCATCGTGTTGAGAGTGGACATCGTGTTCCTCCTGGTCAACTTTAGCTGGACGGACCTGCACGACCTGCTGCGAACCAAGCCGTATGCAGAGCTGGAGCAACTGCGCTTCATGGTGCACTGTCCCTATGACCCGCTGATTTTGCAGGCCGTCAGGGCCCAGATGGGTCTGGAGCAGGGGCAGGAGCGTGCTGCGGGCTTGCCTGCTCGCCAGATTGTTGTCGAACACAGCGAGGTGTCTCTGAGGCGTTCATGATCACATTGGACACATCCATGCCGTTGACCTGGAAGCAAACGTCATGTTTTGGCTGTCCTGTCTGCAACGGACGGATGATTATCACCCTTCTAAATCTCTATCGAGTCGCAAGTCGCCATGCATGAGTGGTTTCCGCTCGCAAAGACTCCGAGGGAGGTAGTAGATCGATGAAGCAATCATTGTCTGCTTTCCATATTTCGCTTGATTCAATCCATCCTGCAACACGTTTAAATATGTGCTGAGTGTATTCAAATCGCAAATTTCTCTGCGCATGGAATAGGATTCTCGACGCTACGAAATAGAGCAGGTGTTACATGAGAAGGTTTGATTACAGGGTTGCCATCTCTTCCCTGCCCTCGGTCGCGAGTATCCTCTATTGAATACAAACCAACAGGACCCGTGACCGTGATCGCTCCTCCACGCTTTCGGAGTGCAAGGAACATCCAGCATTCCAGAAGAGAAATACGTTCTCCTTACAGGCGTATTGGAATCCCTCGCTAATTACTACGCTTCTAGCGCTCCGATTCGGCGGCTCGTCTCCAGCTTCGAGAGCCCAAAGAAGATCTGGATGTCCACCGTTCTGATTCACGGTGCCAGACGAGCTCCCTATCTAAGATTGAGTGAAGTGGATGAGGTTCACCATCCCACTCATCTTTATTAGCCGTTTGTTCAATTTTGGGTGATTGTTGAGCCTCTAATGCTTTCCGTTCTTCATTGAAAGAATTCTGTACCACCCCGCTTTCACCTGCCGCAAAAAATGAAGTGATATCTGTGTAGCTTGGACTGGGTGCAATGTGTTTAGGTTTCCGATGATCGCTTCGCGAGATGCACCGAGGTGACCTCGAGATTAGCACGGCCGGTCAAGGAATTCGACCTATGCATCGATGATAAATGAGTGGGACCGAGTTTCGGAGTCCAAAATGGCTATATAAACCGCAGTGAACACAGCTGGACATTACCTTGCTCACCCACCTCTTTACCAACCCCACGCCAGAGAACAAGACACCACCAATGGCTTCCTCCCCCGCAGAACTCAAAGGCGAAATCGTGCTCACTGCCTCGGTACGTGGTGTCCCTTGAGCGCATCTGAATCGAGACGCGCTATCCACGCGCCCGACGCAATCTAACCTCTGCTCCGTGGATCAGTTCACGGCCAAGCCGGGATCGGGCGACGAGTTGGAGGCGCTCGTCGGGAAGCTGCTCACGCACGCGAAGAAGAACGAGCCCGGAACTCTCGAATACGGGATTGCGCGTAACGGGAAAACCGAGAGCTTCGTCACGTGGGAACGGTACGACCGATTCGGGTTCGCGCGGACGCTTTATGCTGATCAGTCACGTGTGTAGTTTCAAGGACATGGATGCTTTGAAGGCCCACTCGGAGAACCCGCTCTTCGCTGAGCTCAAGTCGAGCACGTTGGTTGAGAAGGTGAGCACGAGGGGCGCGACTGCGGTGCGTTGTTGCGGAACTGATGTGCTTTGTAGGCCCCCGAGGTCCTGTTCTACAAACCCGTTCAACCAGCTGCGTAATACAAGGTCATATGTAACGCATGGTAGTACCTGTAATTCGAACACACAATTTAGTTTTTAAAGTGCTGTGGAACATTATCCAGCTCTTCTTCTTCAATGTCCCTGCTTCTGCTGCTACGTCCATATAAACGGGAGGGATATTCTCGGTGCCTGGAGATGCCGTTTGTTCCTGAGGTATTTCGAGCAGCACCAAGTTTACCATATGTGATCGTCACTTCAGAATGCTCTGTGCGGAAATGCAGAATTAGCCGCAAAATTCCTGCAGTTTCCGATCACCACTTTCGATAGGGGAAACAATAAGATCAGGAAATAAATCTTTCACAGAAAGGATCGGCATCAGCGCACTAGTATATCACATAGCAGCAATTGCGTTGTTCACGACCACCACGATTGCACCATATGTGGAAAAAGAAATTGCAACGTTTTCAGTCGCGGTTTATCCGCACGTCAGCTTTCATCCGTACCCCAGGGGGATGAAGGCCAAGGGATGAGCCTCTGATCCCTGCCGACAACCCAGATCAAACTCGGCAGATGCTGATGCGCGGGTGATTCCGGCGTTTCCAAACCGCCACTGGCATCAAAATTCGACCTTGTATCGCTCGCAGGGCCACTATCTGTCAACGACACGAAATCCTTCATATTTTTCTGTAGTAACAATTTGGCAATCTATCCACTCCGCAACTCATGACGTTGCGCCCGAAATCGAATGTTCGGTGCTTCTGTAATCAAGCGGGTCCGCACATGATGGGTTGCAGCACTGGGCACATATGCCCTTCGGGACGAAGTATCTTTCACCGAGTGCAAACCGACATCAGTGACAGACCTCGCTCCTTAACGCGCTCGAAGATCAATGGGCATCTATCAGTATTAACTGTCCCGCAATGCCTGCACATTGGCGCCGCCCTCCTAGAACTGCAATCTTGTGCGCAGAACCCGTGGATCGTCTCACGCTCGGAGATCCGAAACAGGAACAAGAAATCCACCGCTTTGGCACTCTCGGAGGCGCTCTGCACCTGAGATTCAGTTCAGGACAGTTCAAAGGTATAGTATCTGGAGTTCCCATTTGTAGTACCCAATCTTTGGATATTATTGATGCCAAATGAAATGCCGATTCCCTCCAACTCGTAGATCCAAGAACAGAGAACGCCATTCCATTCGCGCATGACTGTTGTCCAAGGCCGCACATGATCCGGTGTAGTCTTGATTAGCAGTTTCCACGGCCATTTCCGTAAATCGTTTCGCGAGACGCACTCCCAGAATCCATAGCTCGTCAATCAATGTACCTATCTATCTATCCATCCGTTCTTCCGTCCGTCCAGTTGACCATGCATCAATGACAAACGAGCAGAACCGGGCTCTGAGTCCGAAATGCCTAGTATATAACCTGCAGAGAACATCGCCGGACATCACCGCGCCCACTCGACTCCTTTTCACCACATACCGCAGAGAGCAGATACACCAATGGCTTCATCCCCAGCAGAACTCAAGGGCGATATCGTGATCACCGCCTCGGTACGCAGCGTCTCTTGAGCGTCCCTGATCGATTTATTCCATGCAAGTGTTTACCGTCCATCTAACCCTCATCTTTGTTCTGTCGATCAGTTTTCATCCAAGCCGGGCGCGGGCGACGAGATGGAGGCGCTCATCGGGAAGCTCCTCGCGCATGTGAAGCAGAACGAGCCCGGGACGCTCGAGTACTCGATTGCGCGCAACGGGAGCTCGGAGAGTTTCGTCACGTGGGAGCGGTGCGGCCCTTTGTTTTTTTTTCGGGTTCGCGCCTCGGTGTTGCGTGCTGAACAATTATCGTCCATGTGTCTAGATTCAAGGACGCCGGTGCGTTGGAGGCGCACTCTAAGAACCCGTTCTTGGCCGAGCTTCTGGCTGGCGGGTTGCTGGAGAAGGTATCCACGAGGCGCGTGGTTGCAGAACATTGTTGCGGGGCTGATCTTCTTCCTAGCCGCCGGCGGTCTTGTTCTATAAACCCATTCAGCCAACGTTGTAATTCCACGATGTAATGATTGTACTATGATGCGCACGTTTTTTTTGGATATGCCCTTCAACATCGGCGGGCGCTCCAAAGTCAGTGTCACATTTCCTGCTGACTCCTTACATCCGGAAGGGTCTTATGGAGGCTGTTCGTCTAGCCATTCGCGTAACATCACATTCTCGTCATTTACTTCGTGAGTGTAATCACTATTTGTCGCGTCGCTCGAATTCACGTGCATGTGTCGCTGCATGTATCCCTCTGCAAAATGCTCTGAATATGGAAATATACGACGGTTTGTTTCTGTATACTTCCGCACGCCTACAACTTTTAAGCCTCTGGTTTTGTCGGCGCGGACCGTTGAGTGGGCGGCAGGATCAGGATCGTTTTGACAGGTGGCGGTGCACGTTATGGTGCTGCTGTTTGTACCTTCCTTGAGTCCTCTCGCTTCGAGCGGTGGCGGCGTCCCGCAGTCCTGGCAACTGCTCAACCTCCGACCATCCACTCTGCGACACATGGGCGTTTCTATTGATCTGACGGTCGAATGAAACACGGGGTGCAAGACACGTCGACGAGACGAGGACTCTGGAATACAGATTGGATGTTTGAGGCTCCGACTTGTATCTCAGACATCCTCGGTACAGCTCTTGATCGGTTTTAAGTTCCGTATCTCCTGAATTCTATGTGTAAATGATAGGAATCTCCGATCCAACTTGTGCGCTTCTCGCAGCATCTGGGATCCCTGACATATCTTGTAACGAGTCTCCTCTTGCGTGCTTTTCTTTATCTTTCTCGTTCCGCTGTCTTTCTGATCTAGCCTCCTGCCTCCAGCTGTCCACCATATCGATATGACTGACCTTCTTTGAGTTCTACTTGAATATCCTCAAGCGGTAATCTACCAGTCTCTAAGATTCGGCATATCGAGGAAAGTTCAACGTTCCCTGTACTTCCCATTGTGACGGATTTGCAGATAATAATGAGATGCTAGATAACATGCTGGGCTCCTCCGACCCGCAGATTCAAGTCAGAGAACGGCGTTCGACTCGCGTGTGCCTGTTTCTCAAGGTCGGACTTAGTCGCGGACAATTTTGACCAGCGGCTTCAGGCCGCAAACCGTTTCGTAAATTGAACCTTCACACTGGCACGGCGTGTCAATCGATCAATTTATTCGTCCCTTTGACCATGCATCTATGACAGACGAGTGGGACCGGGCTCCGAGTCCGAAATGCCTATATAACCCGTAAAGAGAACAGCTGGACATCACACCACACTCCTTTACCCCACACATCAGAGAACGCGGATCCCAATGGCTTCATCCCCAGCCGAACTGAAAGGCGAAATCGTGGCCACTGCCTTGGTGCGTAGCGCATCTGATGGATCTGCTCTATACACAAGCGTCTGCCGTCCATCTAACCATTGCTCTGTTCCTCAGTTCACGACCAAGCCGGGAGCGGGCGACGAGATGGAGGCGCTGATTGGCCCGCTGCTCGCGCACGTGAAGCAGAACGAGCCTGGGACGCTCGAATACTCGATAGCGCGCAATGGAAGTACGGAGAACTTCATCACGTGGGAACGGTACGGCGCCGTTTCCCGGGTTCGCGCCCTCGGTGTTGCTCATGCACGTGTCTAGATTCAAGGACGCCGACGCGTTGCAGGCGCACACGCAGAACACGTTGTTGGCCGAGATCATGGCTCGCGGGTTGTTTGAGAAGGTAGGCACGAGGCGCGTGGCCGCAGAATATCGTTGCGGGGCTGATCGTCTTCGTAGCCGCCGGTGGTCTCGTTCTATAAACCCATTCAGCCAACCGTGTGATTCCAGTTCCATGCAAATGTAATGATGTTGTACTATGATGCGATCCCACTTGATATTAAGAAGGGTGCTAGGCACGCTGTTCGTCCAGCTATTCCTGCAACATCATATTCTCGTCATTTCCTTCGCGTGATCGCCGTGTTAAACTGTATCAGTGTGTAATCTCAATTTGTCACGCCGCCCAAAATCACGTGTATGCGCCGCTGGATGCTTGATTCCAACAAGCTGCTCTGATTATGAATGAAGAATCTGCGAAGTATGGGCTCCATCTATATCTAGGCGCACACCAATTCTCCGCCTCTGCTCTTGTCGGCGCGGATCGTTGACTGGGAAACAGGATCCGAATCGTCTTGACAGGTGGCGGTGCACGTCACGGGTGCTATTCATGGTTTCCGTCACCGTCCGTGTTTCTTGTCGCTTCCAGGCGGTCGCGACGTCTCGGAATGCTGCTGTACCTCCGACCATCCGTTGTGCGACGCAGGGTTTTTTTCTCAATCCGACGGTCGGATGAAGTCTCGCCTCGGATTCATTTTTCTCCCCCGTCCCGCTGTTTTTTATCGTGGCGGTTTCTCTCTTGTTGACTATCACATCAAAACGACCCGTGTTTTTGCAGCATTCGACGGTTTTTCAGTCCACTTGGGTCGGCAGCCAGGAGATGGACTGAAAGCTCATCGCTTCCCAGTCTCTTTTCCGCTCACACGATATTTATTATTTCTTGAGGTCTTCTCTGAGATGGGCCATGCAACTTGTCGACCTCACAGATCATATTTTCGGGCCTCAGTAGCTCTTCAGCCACCCGCGATGAAATCTTATTTGTTTAAAATATTGTGTGATGATCCGTCGACTGATTGGCTGACAAACAGACGGCGATCTTCGAGAAAATCGCCGGTTCGGGTTTCGAAATGCCGGACTGATCAGATATGACCCGTGGCCAAAAGCTCTCCTTCTTTCTCTCCACCACCACCACCACCACCACCACCCCACACTAGACGAAGCAAGCCCATGTCTGCATCCCCCGCTGAGTCCAAAGGCGAGATCGTGCTTACGGCTACGGTGCGTCGTCTCTGCTAACTAACCCCCCATCACACCGATCCGATCTGCCCCACGAGTGCCCGCCGTAATCTAATCTCGTCTCACTCATTTGATCAGATTACCGGCAAGCCAGGCGCGGGCGACGAGATCGAGGTGCGATAGGACCCCGGATAGTACGGTCAAATGTTAGCCACCACGTTGGACAATTCTGAGGGAGATTAGGCAAAACACTTAGCCCAAAGTAGTAGGGAGTTGGACAAAAATTGGGCGCCCTGGTCGACTTACTTAGCCTGTGGTTGGACAAAATATTCCGTGATAGTCCAGTGGTAGTCAGCGCTTTTCTTGGAACGTGGCTTCAAATCATGATCAGTAGGTCTCTGAGAGGTCTTGTGTTCGAGTCTAGCACTTGCTTTTTCACTTTGTTTTGGAACTGGCTTCCCAAAAGCGCCCACTGTCCCTGATCGACCCGCCATCATTTTCTTCTGCTGTCCCACCAGGCCTTTTCTTCATCCTCTCCACGCATGTCCAGCATTCTCATAGACGACAATGTCCCCTTTGATCCAACCAAATGGATTGCAAGCGGCAAGAAATGGGACAGCGATATACCCTGGGAGGTTATAAAAGAAAAAGATCGTATTCTCACACCACCATCTCGAATCGAAGACATATTTCCACGGTCCACTCTCCCAATCAGCAGCTTCATTTGTCTCCCTCTGGCCCCGATCTCCTCTGGGCTTGTCCACTTCGAAGACGCACTGTGGTTCAGCCATGAGGAGCCAAGTTGTGATGTCTCACATCTTGCCAATCGTAGCATCCCACCAATCACGCTGCTTGATCTTCTGAGCCGCAAATTTGGGCAGGCATGGCTGAATGGGGCAAAGTCAGTCATCGATCCTCGGTTCAATGAAGGGGGGGAACACTTTCCGTTGTACACTTTGACAGTGTGGAGGCGGTTTGCGGATGTGCTCAATGCCCAGACACAGTGGAGGCGGGGGAGTAACTGGCTGAAAAAACAGGCCAATCACTTCAATACGGGTCCTGTCCATGAAGCTATCACAAATGCGCTCACCTCAATGTCATGGGTTGGATGGAATGTGCCGCTCAGCTATCAGCGTGGCACAACAACATCCATTGACCTAACGGAATTCACTGCATCAGTTTGGCTGCGAACAACAAACATGGAGATCATGCTGGAGAGTTTGCGAGTGCGAGTGGATTCGGGTGACGGAAACGCAAGCAGATGGATTGTTGCGCCAATGTCCTTTGCAAAGCAGATTGTAGAGGGCAAAAGAGACGGGTATTCAAGAGCAACCGCCCCCCTTTTGATGGAATATGAGCGGCTGGTTAAAACAGGAAAGAAGGATCGACTCATCTTCATCACCAACGTCAGCGATGAGCATTGGGTTGCGGGGTGCGTTGATTTCAAAATGCGGAAGATTCTGTTTGGTCAGTCTGCTTGCCATTATAGCTCGAGCTACTCACAAACGGACTGTAGGCGATTCAATGCCTGCCGAATTCAGATATACGCTGCCAAAGAAGCTGCTTCGCGGTCTTCAGCACTGGGCACAGCATCGATTTGAAAATACCTTCTCTTGTGAGCTTGACGGTCTGAGGCATGGCACTCAACTCGATGCATTCTCCTGCGGCTTGGTAGCAATGAATACGTGCGAACTGGCTGTGTACCCCGACACAGCGATGTGGTCTCCCGAGGATGCAGTCCGATATCGAGTTGGACGCTTCAATGAGTACATCGACTCTCTAAAGGCACTGGTGCGTACCATTGTATTCATACCCCACCCACGGCTCACAAATAAGCTAGCCCTCGGATTCGGCTCTGACAACAGCCACTGTGCATCCTGTGGATATTATCGCACCGGCCGAAAAGCATGAGGAGATCCAGAATCTTACTTTGGTTTCTGAGTCGCGCATATCGATCAGACAACTTTTGAATCCCTTGCCAAATCGACAGCGCCCAGCCAGTGTTTTAACAACGTCCACCGCATCCATGGGTGATTGTACAGATGCAGACGTGCTACTGGGAAGGAATGGATCTGAAGATGAGCAGTCCGAGGTCGCAATCGATGAAAACGAAGAAAGAGATGACGGGGATGAAGAGTCGAGTGAGGATGATGGGAACAGAGACGCTTGTGCGGCTGTGTTACCACGTCAAGACGTGTCGACCTCTTCGACGTTGACTGTAACACCAAAATCGCGTCAAATGACACTCGGTTCTTTCTTCAATCTATCCGGTGTGAAACGGAAAGCTGTCGAGTCGGAAATTCCAGGCCATTCCAAGCCTCCAACTCAGAAGAAGTCACGAACGCACGCTATCAAAATCCACACACCGCGGTTTGAAGGGAACAGCCGTACAACAAAGTGGTCTAACAATATCAAGCAATTGTTCATGCAGAACAAGTTCATAGTTGCGCCGAAGGACTACGACAAGTGGAAGCACGAGATTTGGGCACTGGATCCTCACGCTGAGTTTCATCCTTTACCAGAGTCTATGATGACTTGGGAGAACTTCCGGACGATTCGGCATGCAAAGTGTGGGACCAAAGTCAAAGTAAAACGGCCATACGATGTCTCTCGCTATCGGGATCACCTCAATAATGGCTGCCCAGTTATGCATGACGGAGCTGGGATGCAGACACTCTTTGCGCATTTCTCCGAAGGGTGCAGATTCACAGGCACCGCTCTCTATTCTCCCGAAAAGGTGGACTGTCAGTTCGAGCCGTGCCCTGGTGTGACTGAGATGGACATTCCGCACGTCGATCAATATCTCAAGCGCACTGGAGCACCACCCCAGGGACCTCCAATTATTACGTAAAATGGCTTCGAGGCCCCCTCCGGAGGCCATCAAACCACCCCCTACCCCCCCTGATCGGAGGCCATCCTGGAGGCGCCTTCCTAATTGGTACTCTGCCCAGCCATTCATCCACAGCCAGCATGGTAGGCTAGGCATTGACCCGAGTGTTTATATATGCTGTAGTAGTCAGTATAAAGCCTCAGACAATGTCTTAGCTCACAAAAGCTTGTATTTCTTGCTTGCAAATGGCAGACCACTGGGCACACAAAATTTGAGATTTGAGCACATGAGCACTCCTCAGGTGCATGGAGCAGCAGTATATATGTTAATTCGAGATTGAGCATGAGGTAGCTGTGCCCACACGCAAAAATGAGATGTTGCTGAAGGGATGGTTTATGGCCTCCACAACCTCCCAGGGGCAGAAAAAAAGGTGTCGGGTAGCCCACAGGCCCTTGAATTGTGCTTCAATAGATAAATTTGATGCTTATGCTTTGTCAAAACAACAGCCCAGCATATAAATTGGATGCTGGAGCAGTGGCAGAACAAGCCTCCACCGCCTCCAGGGCTGGGGACCAAAAGCGGTTATTGTAGATTCAGCCACATAAACCATATTTCTGATGTTGTTTGTCCTAGTCAGAATGTCTGGGTATTCAAGAGAGACAGGTGGCTACATAGATCAGATGCTAGCACCAATAGCAGAACTGGCCTCCATGGCCTCCACAGCCAGTGACCAAAAGCAGTTTTTTGGGTTCAGCCACATAAACCATGTCCATGATGTGGAAGGTCTTCATTATAATTATGAAGGTCCTTTAGTTAAATGTCTCACCACATGAATCAGATGCTGGAGCAAATAGCAGAACTGGCCTCCGCTGCCTCCACAGGTTATCACTTGAAGAGTCTGAATGAGATGACAATGTAAGAGATATATATTCTCCTGGCTGACTGCATTCTGTCATTTCCACCTCTACATGCTAGTTTAATTGCTGCAGAATGTTGAAATTAGAGGATGGGAGACCCTGGAGGCACTGGAGGCACATGCAAGATCCAATCAATGTCATCAATATCATCAATGCCATCAATAGCATCAAGAGCATCACCGATCATTGGTAGATTGATCAGCCAATCAGATGATGAATAAACATCGAACATCTAGTATGTTCATTCCTGAGAGACACAGACTATATGTATGCTCATACTGAAAGTGGATTAGTGGTCCCAGGACATGCCCCAATGACATATTGCATGCTTGTCTCAGGGACATATGATTAAAAATCGGAGTTGGCAAATGAGCTGAAAGTACTCCACTGTACCACTCATCTTCAGTTGACTTTCAGCTCATTTGCCAACTCCGATTTTTAATCATATGTCCCTGAGACAAGCATGCAATATGTCATTGGGGCATGTCCTGGGACCACTAATCCACTTTCAGTATGAGCATACATATAGTCTGTGTCTCTCAGGAATGAACATACTAGATGTTCGATGTTTATTCATCATCTGATTGGCTGATCAATCTACCAATGATCGGTGATGCTCTTGATGCTATTGATGGCATTGATGATATTGATGACATTGATTGGATCTTGCATGTGCCTCCAGTGCCTCCAGGGTCTCCCATCCTCTAATTTCAACATTCTGCAGCAATTAAACTAGCATGTAGAGGTGGAAATGACAGAATGCAGTCAGCCAGGAGAATATATATCTCTTACATTGTCATCTCATTCAGACTCTTCAAGTGATAACCTGTGGAGGCAGCGGAGGCCAGTTCTGCTATTTGCTCCAGCATCTGATTCATGTGGTGAGACATTTAACTAAAGGACCTTCATAATTATAATGAAGACCTTCCACATCATGGACATGGTTTATGTGGCTGAACCCAAAAAACTGCTTTTGGTCACTGGCTGTGGAGGCCATGGAGGCCAGTTCTGCTATTGGTGCTAGCATCTGATCTATGTAGCCACCTGTCTCTCTTGAATACCCAGACATTCTGACTAGGACAAACAACATCAGAAATATGGTTTATGTGGCTGAATCTACAATAACCGCTTTTGGTCCCCAGCCCTGGAGGCGGTGGAGGCTTGTTCTGCCACTGCTCCAGCATCCAATTTATATGCTGGGCTGTTGTTTTGACAAAGCATAAGCATCAAATTTATCTATTGAAGCACAATTCAAGGGCCTGTGGGCTACCCGACACCTTTTTTTCTGCCCCTGGGAGGTTGTGGAGGCCATAAACCATCCCTTCAGCAACATCTCATTTTTGCGTGTGGGCACAGCTACCTCATGCTCAATCTCGAATTAACATATATACTGCTGCTCCATGCACCTGAGGAGTGCTCATGTGCTCAAATCTCAAATTTTGTGTGCCCAGTGGTCTGCCATTTGCAAGCAAGAAATACAAGCTTTTGTGAGCTAAGACATTGTCTGAGGCTTTATACTGACTACTACAGCATATATAAACACTCGGGTCAATGCCTAGCCTACCATGCTGGCTGTGGATGAATGGCTGGGCAGAGTACCAATTAGGAAGGCGCCTCCAGGATGGCCTCCGATCAGGGGGGGTAGGGGGTGGTTTGATGGCCTCCGGAGGGGGCCTCGAAGCCATTTTACGTAATAATTGGAGGTCCCTGGGGTGTGGAGCACTTGGGGGGGTTCTCGCTCTGTCTTCAAGATTGCGCAAGAGAAGTTTGGCAAAGCATTCAGCGCTCTGTCTCCAGCCAAACAGAGCTTGGTACGGGATGGCCAGCAACACGAAATGCAGTGGAGAAACGATCATCAGTACATGCGCGTGTTTTCTACGGCATGCCAAAAGGTCGTGCCTGTTAGCAACACTCGACGTCTCCCTTGTACTCAATGCTTCTCGCTTCTCTCAAACCGTGATTTCAAGCGGGCACTGAAGAAGACTGGTCCATCGGAACCAGGCAAATACATATACACTCCCAAGCGGTTTCGGAATCAAACTTTGGGGGAGATTTACGGTCGTCACATTGGATTACAGGCCATAATCGAGCAGCCTGTGAGTTATCGCACCCCAGAAGTGTTCCCGCAGTGACTAACAGACAATCGCTCAGAATGCGAAATCAACGCCTTGCATTCGCTATGCCCAGGGAGTTCTCGAAGGGAAGTATCAGAACGATGTATTCAATGGGCTGGTTGAGGCCATGGTCTCAAAGACGGATCGTGAGGAACGCGGCGTCGGGATGCAGAACTTCAAGTATGCGCCTGCTTATGACGAATTCTGCAACGTCATGCGCATAACAAGTCCAGCTGCCTACCGCATCTTCCAAGACCACCTGCCCGCGCGTTCTGAGCGCAATTTCCGGTGCGAATGGATCCAATGTACCATCAGTATGAGTTGTTGACCAACGTGCTTTCACAGTCTCAAAGAAGCTCGCGAACCTCGCTTCCCCATGGATATCTCCGAACGTAACTTCGAGCTTGTCTTTCGGCACTTGGAAGATATCAAATATAACGGCCCTGTGGGTCTGAGCTGTGATGACACGAAGCTGTTTGCTTCCTTCCGACTCTATTGGGACAACGAGAAAGAGGCACACTATCTGGTCGGTGGCACTGATGGGCCTCTGCGGGTTGCGAATCCGGATCAAGTTCATGCAGTCATCCAGGATGCCTGTGCTAGAAAGGCAACCAAGATTCGCTTGTGGTGTTTAACGGTACCAATGCCCAGCATCACACCTATCGTTGTTGCTGCGTTGCCGATTTCTGGTGATCTCAAAGCGGACACTCTGCTGCGGCATCTGACTCAGGTTGTTGACGGACTGCTGGATCGAGGAATCAAGCTGATTTCGTATGCATGCGATGGAACACAGGTCGAGCGTTCTGTACAGGATGCGTTCGTCAGACAAGCCGCCGAGAAGGACTTGCACATCATTCAGGATCCTAGAGGGCAGGGACGTGATCTGCGGATCGAGATTGCTGTGGTGAAGGGTCAACATATAGCGATGGTGCAGGACCCAAAGCATGCCCTCAAGACATTCCGCAACAATCTGTTCTCGGGTGCACGACTTCTATGTTTTGGAAGTTACACTGCAATCTACGAGCACATTCGCGAGACGGCTTTTGCTGAGGGATCTCCGCTCTTTCATCGGGATGTTGTCAAGCTGGATCGTCAAGATGATAACGCTGCCGTCCGGTTGTTCTCAGCCGACACTCTCAAATACCTGTCTGATCACCATCCGGATTACTTGGGCGAGATCGTCTACCTTTTTGTCTTCGGCGAACTCATTGATGCGTACCAAAGTCGCTCGATTGATCACGCTGAACGAACAAAACTGGTTCTTCGTGGCCGCTATTTTGTTGACTCATGGAGCGCATTTCTTGACATCTCGGGCTACTCAAAGAACGTCTACTTCCTCTCTCGGGAAGCAGTGGATATCATTCGGTTCATTGTCGAGGGCTATCTGTCTCTTCTCTACATTCACCGTGACCATCTGAATGGCCTGTACCCATTACTCCCATGGTTTCATGCCAGCGAAGCCTGCGAACACGTCTTCGGTGCAGCTCGACACATTGTTAAGGACTTCACGATGCTCGATTTTCTCTACATGGTTCCGAAACTCCGTGCGAAGATGCGTAGCGCTGTGTTACGTGGGAAATCGTCCGATCCGAAGAGGAAAGCGGCGGGTTACTCACACACCTACTTTGACGTGACAGGCCTCGACCTGCGTGCGTTGTCTGCTTTCCCCGACAACAGCACGATCTCAGTTCTTGCCTCGGAAGCCCTAGAGGAATCGGACAGTCTCGTTTTCCTCCTGGGTGTAACTCCCGTACATCTACACTCCCCTCTTCTTCCACCCCGCACCGCACTGCCTTCAATTGGCTCATGGTTTGCAGCTGAATCAGGAGACAGCGACGATGACGATGGAAGTGTGGTGTCTGACGATGAGAGTACTTCCGACGCTCAGCAACTTCAGGATCTTGTTGAGGAGGCTCAAGTCGAGATGGCTAGGGGAGGTCACCAGCGCAGCCAGCAAAGTGAGCTGCTGAATCTCACTTCGGCTGCACTGGCGCTCGAGGCAGACGCCATGGTGCAAATGTGAGCATTCATCATAAAGTACTCGGTATCATCACTGATCTTGCTCTTAGCCACACTGTACCGGACCCAACGGACGAGATTCTGGATGAGATTCTGGCAGAAGAGCAACACCACATCTTCAGCATTCTCGAATCGCGCTCGAGCAATTCCGCCAGCCAGCTCCCTTCGCTCCAGCTCCCTGATGAACCTTCAAGACCAATCGGAAAGGGGCTTGCGAGTGCCGCTCAGCTCGACTTCGACCACCTGGTGGATTTGCGGTCTCGTCATCAAACCGTGCAGGCATCACGAGCAGTCAAGACGCGTGTTGTCACAGACACCTCTCCGGAATTAGAAAAACTTTCGCTTCGTCGACAACTTGTGCAGAAACTTCATGCGGCGCTTCGAGAACAACAGGATCATGCTGTGGGAACAGGAGCAGAGCGCGGCCTTCGTTGGCGGAATTCCGCACCCGGAGGGCGTACTCACAAGGACGTACATAAAGCTGGTAATAGCGAGAATGCCGTAGCAACAGCGATGTCGATCGCACATGCGGTATGCCATAGTCGTCATCCAATTCTTCGTATCTGTTGAAACTGACCTCATTCTTGAAGGCCGCAGCCAAGCGTAAGAAGGTCTTCACCAACGCAAAGGTCCCCAGTCTACCAGAAGTCATTGATGCACGACTTTCAATGATACGTCCACTGCGCTTTGGGGACTACGGGGTCATTTTCACTCCACAAGGACTAATGGTGGGGAGGGGTAAGTCGAGCATCACCACCCGGGTTTGGGAACGATGCTGATTTCCTCATCCTAGTGTTTGCGCTTCATGCGAAGGGAGGCGGCAAGTTCGGCAAGCACGACGCTGTAACTGATTCGTCTAATATCTCGGCTCTCTCGAAGATCTCTGTCCAGCTTTTCGAGCACATCCACGGCTCTCATTTCCGGGCGATTCCCGCTGCTACCGCTGTCCTTCAAACGTCGCAGTTTGCTCATCTACCTCCAATTGCATTCTTGTGCGTCATTTCCGCACCTCAAACTACACCCACCGGTCTTGTTTTGGCCGAGAGCGAAGTCCAGCGCTTCAAAAACCTTGCCCAAGGTCACAATCGCTTCGCAGCAGCCTTGAAAAATTTCAACAAGCGTGGCAAAAGGACGGCGGGGGAATCGGAGGACGAGGAGGCGTTATAGTCTCTGAATCGGTGTATAGCGTCTCGGAAAGGTCAAAAATCGAGTCAGAGGGCTAAATTTCAGTTTTATATCCATGTACGCGTGAAAAAAAACAGAATTTTTGAGACCTATGTACGGGTTGGACAAAAATCCCGGGCTCAGGCTCGAATCGCGTTGGACAAATATAGGGGGCATCAGCCAACTTTTGGGCTAACATTTGACCGTACTATCCGGGGTCCTGGTGCGATTCACGAAACTGCTCGCGCACGTGAAGCAGAACGAGCCGGGTACGCTGGAGTACTCGATCGCGCGAAACGGCAGCACGGATGTCTTTGTGTCGTGGGAGCGGTGAGACCCTTTCGCGGGGTTCGTGCGACGGGAGCCGATTGCTGACAGGCCCTGCGTTGTTTGTGTGTAGATTCAAGGACATGGAGGCGCTGCAGGCGCATTCGCAGAACCCGCTTCTGGCCGAGCTCAAGGCGAGCGGATTGATGGATAAGGTGCGAGCGCGAGCGCAGCGGGCGTTCACGTGGTGTGGTGTCATGACTGACGTTTTTGAAATTCGTAGCCCCCAGCGATCTTGTTCTATAAATCCATTCAGCCGGCGTTGTAGTTCGAGTGCTATAGGACACATGTCGATACTTGCCTACGCGGTGACAATTCAGTTTGTGATGCGTTGTGACATCTCATAAGTATGGTCCAGCCATAATGTAGCTCTGGTACCCGGTTTAATAATGTGCCATAAGTAAATCGGCTGGCGAGGTGAGGTGAGCAGGAAGTCCCCGGCTATTGAGTCAGTCAGGAATCTGTAAATCATGCCACTGTATCATGTAAATCAGGTCTTGCGGACTGAGCCTCAAGCGGATAGCAGACGAAATCAGACCGAACTTTGATCAGAGCGCTATGGAAAGTTGCAGATTTACCCGAATCTAGGACCTCGGTTCTATACAGTGGAATCAATACTCAGACAGCCGAGGTGTTCGTGCGAATCAGCCTTCTAGGGCTGATTTACAGGGATCGACCTGGTGGGAAGTAGTCGGGGGCCTTGGGTAGATAGATTATCAGCGCGGTCCCAATGAGGAAGTGTGCTGCATCTTAGTTACATACTTCATTTCCGAGTCTTCCGACCACAGCACTGCCTGTCAGGTGAAATTCTAAGCGCTAGACGCCCCGATCTCAGCGGTGATCGGCAGCGGCTTTTCTTGTGTCTACGCTGGAACTTCTCCAACCGCCAGGGTAGTGGACTTTGAGCAAACTGCAACACAGTACCGCAAATCATCGATATTCTCGACACCTGCATTCTCGAAAATCTTGTGGATTAGACGCTCGGAGGTCGGCGAGTCGTTGGGGGGAGACAAAGGCAATAACGTACAGAGGCTCGTAAATAGCGCGTGAATAATTTTTGGAACTTCAGTGCACAGACCGTGTCGCGCACGGATGTCATCGCTATCGTTATCATGACCAAAACACGATCCGCGTGCACGACCCCTCTCTGGATCCGCATGGCGTGCTGAGCGCAGGGCTAAGCTGAAGTCCGTTTATGCGCCGGCAGCCGCCGGTACCCACACTCTGCATGCGAGCCTTCAGCGAAACTGCCTAATCTTATGAGAAACCGCAACGCCCATGTGAATGTCCCGTTTGTCCGAGAATATACCCGCTATAAAAGAGCACCCGATGTGGGAGCGAGGAAACTCAAACCGTCTTCCCAAAAACTAATCCCGACCTCCCCCACACTGCAATAACATGAGGCTCCTGGCACTTTTGTCCGCCGTCAGCATGTGCGCCGCTGGCTCGGTGATCTACGACGGGCGGGCCCCGCTCACCCTGACGCAGGCCGACCTCGACGCATCCCGTGGCCCATATCTCACGTCAGTCATCCCTGAGAGACTTTCTATGAGAACCGCCCGACTCACCGCCTCCCAGGGCCGTCAAGGGACAAAACCAATCTGCGTCGCACGTAAGTCTCTCCCGAGTTTCGACCCCGGCGTGAACCGCAGTCCGACAAGACTTCATTTGGCAGTACTCCACCCTCCTCGGCAGCAAACGGCTGCCGACAGCACTCTGGAACCGACCGGGGAAGCCGATCGAGCAGGCCGTCGCCGTCTCGATCGACAGCACTTCGGTCTTTGTGCCAGGGGGTGGGGCACCGCAGCTGGGCTTCCGGCGCACGGAGCTCATCGCGCAAGTCAACGGGAGCTCGAGCGTGTTGGATCCCCTGATCGAGTCACCCGGACTCACCTCGGTGTTTCATTTCTCCATCAAGATGGACGAGTCGCGGCCGCTGAATTACAGCCACGAGTATCAGATTGTGTTCATCGAGCCCAACGACGGATCGCATGTGTTTGAAGTCCAGCTCGGTCTGTTGATCTCTCGCTACGCACCTTGTTATCGCGCCGCAGAGTGCTGACGGATCACGGCATTTCAGGCTCGCCTTTCACGATCCCAACCGGCAACTTACCCACCGCCGACGCACATTCTTTCAAAATCCGCGACCACGCCCTGAACGTCCTCTTCGAGACGCCGTTCGTGCCCTCCAAGTGGCACAACTTCGCCGTGACCGTGGACTGGTCGAAGCTGACGCTGGCGGTCGCATATTCCGTCGATGGAGCGCAGCTCAAAGACGTCAGCGGAACCAAGGCCAACTCGGGCGTCACCGCGGGCGCGTTGGGCGATTTCCACTTTGGCGTCCTGAAGGTGCGTCGTCGTTGGCTGCGGATGGGGAACCCAACATCTGACTGACTGCCACCCCTTCGCTTCGCAGCTTCCTATCGCGGACCCATCCGACACTGCCGCTCATCAAGGAGATGTCGTGCACTTCGGTATCCAGGAGGCAAAGAGCGAGGCGTTGTTGTATTCAGGGGTGTTTGTGGAAACACTCTGATGATCTAATTTCGATTAGTACGAACGGATACAAGCTGTTAGTCTTCGAATCAGCGTAATAACTAATTGCTAAAATCAAAGATGAAGCGGGGACTAGCGTGGGAGCGCGTCAACGTCAGTGACGCGAGGGACTGGAAATGCTACCTAATGATCTTTAATTGCCGGCATGAAGATCTCTCTCGAGTAGACTCTCACTGGATGAGGATTCGAGAGACTGGAGAATCCGCGTAGATCACGAATGCGCAAGGATAGTTCATTCTCGAAAGGATGAGCGGTGCAAATGACCAAGTCTGAGTCGTCGAGGATCTTGGTCGCATGACTGATACATTGCAATCACCCACAGCCATCAGAACCTAGGCAAAGAATCAGATGTACCGTGAATCAGCATAATGACTAATTCTCAAAGTTCAAGATCAAGTGGGGACAGGGACTGACGTGAGAACGCACTGCACCGGATGATACGAGGGGCTAGGATTGCTGGATGATCATCTGTGATTGCCAGGACGAAGGTTCCTATTGAGTAAGCTGCGAATGGTGTCAGGAGTTGAGAGACGTGGACAGCCGCGGAGATATTCATGGAAAGTTCATCCATTCATCCTTGAAAGAATGAACGGATGCCAACGACCCCGTTCAGTTTCGACGAAGATCTCGGTCACATGACTCATGCATTGCAATCACGCACAGCCATCAGAACCTATGCAACGATGCACCATCTGCCAGGGCTTCCACTTACTTCGACTGCTGTGAACTCCCTTTTCAGATAACCCCCGTCTGCTCTAGATCCACACGGCTTTCTGGAAGATACCAACGCACAAACTCCGCAACCTGCAAGCCTCGTCTCGCACTGAGGATTTGCCACGCGTCTCACAACCCTCCAACTGTACCTTGAAAACATGTGGGCCGGAGGAGGAGGAGGAGGAGGATACATCCCGCCACCGACGAGTGCCGTCATGGGCGGACAGCCAGCAGCTGGTCTTCCCGCTGGATTCCCGGCGCATGGGCGTCAATCGAGTCAATCCGGGTGCGTATCACGCATTCTCAGCCACCAGCGCCGCTTACTCACGCGCCGGCGTGACTCAGTGCGGCAGACCCATGGGGCAGCATGGCCGCGCAAGGCTGGGGCGCCCTCGGCGGCGGCCGCCCGCCCACGCCCGGTGCGCCGCAGACCCCATGGCTGCAACATCAACAATCCGCACCGCCCGCCTCGGCGCCTCTGTGGTCTGGCCACGCACCCCCTGCGACGGGCCAGCAGCAATGGCCGCCGCCGGGGATGCAGCGCCAGCAATCGCTCGGCGCACCGCCCGGGTGGGGGCCACAGCCGCAGGGGCTGCCTGCGGCCGCTGGGTGGCCCGGGTGGGGTGCCCAGGCCCAGGCCCATTCCGCACCGTCGACACCGCACCCTGGATGGGGTCAGTCGCGCGTCCCTGGATGGGGCCCGAGTCCGGCGCATGGCCCGCAGCAGTTTGCAGGGATGACTTCGCCGACGCACGCGGACGGCTTCAGTGCAATGGCTGCACCGCCCGAGCCGCCGATGGGTCAGCCGAACAGCTGGTTTGGGGCGGGGGCTGGTGCAGACCGTGGCGGTGGTGGTGGATTTCCGCCGGGTTACGCCAATGCAACGGCGTACCCCTCCCAGGGAGCCGGGCCGAAGAAGTGGGGCGTGTATGACCCGACGGAGGAGCTCGAGGAGGGCGAGGAGTACTTCGATTATTCGGATGAGGAGGAGACGCTCAATGGCGCAGACTGGGGTCACGCCCCGCACGTTAATCAGCCACAGTCGAAGGGGAAACCGAGAGCTGATCCCTGGTCTCAGCTTCCCTCTGGCTCGACAATCCCAGCATGGGTCCAAAACACTCCAGTACAGCAACCAATGGGGCGGCCACAGCTGGGGCCGCAGGGTTTTGCTGCTGCTCAGGCTGGTGGCTTACCGGCGACCCCCGCCCTGCAAGCTTCGTGGGGCATGGAGCATGCTGCGCCGAGCGATCGCCCGGCCTGGGCTCATGATCCACGTACGATGGAAGCGTTGGCGTTAGCGCGGTCCAAGTCGCGAAACGGCGGCGCCACCTCTTCCAAGCTGAGAGGTCGGTCGAATTCGGTTGGAGGTGCAGGGACCCCTGGTTGGGGGCAACAGCCCCTCCCGTTAAGCGAGCACAACCTCGCTCCACGCCCAGCGGCGTGGCGGGAGGGATACTCTCCGCGGCATGCGCATGCTGCCGATGGAACGTTCTCATTCTTCCGCAAGAAGAGCCTTGACGCGAACAGCGGTGCGTGCCCCCAGGCTTTCTTACAGTCGTCGTGTGCAATTGCTGATTTACTTCGTGGGATGTAGATTGGATTGATCTCAAGAAACGGACGTTGCTGCCGGTGCTCGTGTACAATCCTGCGAAGCCGACGCTGAAGTACGACATGCGGGACTCGCTCCAGCAAACTTCACACATGGGCCGTTTCTCTCCTTCAAATCCCCATGCCCTGCTAGAGGAGGCCACCTCGCCGCCTGCAGCGAGAATGCGACTGTACCACACGCGTCTGCCGTGGTACATCGATGTCGCATCGAAGCCTGGATCTGCGGGCGTGTCGCTCTACGACCTGCTGTTTGCTCTGCACACCCAGCTCGATCAGCCAGTTTCGTCTGAGGACTTTTTCAACACCGAACTGGGCAAGGTCGACCGGGCAGAGCTGACGTCGACGTGGACCGTTCGGTGTCGGCGCCTGCGAAAGCAGCACCTCGAGAAGGAAGAACGGGAAAAGGGTCTAAAGCGGATCGACTTTTTGGGCTCACAGTGCTTGTTTGTGGGGTTGGTCAGGAATAATGGATTGTGGGAAATCAAAACTGTGTCTGAATAGTGAGTGGCTTTGGATTCTGCGCCGCTCGCTCTGGCTGACTGGATGATGTCCAGATGTTGTTCACCTTGTAATCGTTGCTACAAGTTTGTGTCCGCGCTCTGATATCGCCTGTTTGTATCATGCCATGTATCAATCTCCACTACTTCTTCTTTCGAGAGACGACTCTGAGCTGGACCAGTCCTAAGTCACCCGAGGAACAACGACCAGATCAAGCTGATTGATCCAAATCACGTCCCGTCCGGCGACATCCCTAGTGTTTATTCACCTCGAGAAAGCGGCAGCGGTAGTGCCTTCCAGGGTCGTGCCAGTACGTCAGTCGAGACGGTTGCGAAGGAATACTCATTACATTCGCCTAAGGGATGAAACACTGATACTGGCGGGCCTGCCCAGGTACGGGCTGCGCATACATTCGCATTCGGTCCTGTTTCCCCTCTTGGGTCATGGATGTATAGATAAACAGGACAACGTGGTCTGCCGGGCATGGACGGCCTGCTTGGCGTCCCGTAAAACTGGGCACCAGCACCGCAACTTGTAGGGAACCTGCACTGCACACTGATATGGACGCAACAAACCCGGAGACGAAGGATATTCTCGTGGTGTACACGGAGTCCGAGGCGGATTGGGGCACAGTGATCAATGGGCTGGAAGGTGTGTACGAGTCGACTGCACTCATAGGCGTGCTCTCTCATTCGTCCATTCCATTCATCCATTCATCCATACTGAATGCTTCAGTGACCTCCGGGATCCGTTATCGTGCGATCGACGACCGCAGTCCCCAGTGGATGCACTTTCTCGAGACGAGCGACCCCGTACAATCCGAGTACGCGCACCGATCGACTTTCACGTCAGACACAGCAGGGTCCTCCTCCACATCCTTGCCGGCTGAGATTCTGTTCCTCGCAGCGATCCTCGTGCGGACGGAAGACGAGACCGAGTTCAATCAGTGGTACGAGGGGGAGCATTTGGAAGACTATCGGAGGGTCCCTGGGTGGTCAAGATCGCGCCGATACCGGCGGCGGGTGAACACAGACTCGGGGGACTGCGTGCAGTACCTGTCGTTCCACGAATGGTCCCACGCCGAATTCGCAGAAACGCCCGAGTTTGTGCATATGACGACAAACGCAAACACGGAGCAATGGAAGGCCGTTCTGCCCGAAATCGAGGTCCGGGTGTTCGAGAAGAGCGCGGTGTTCGTGCGCCAGGTCTGAGGATGGATGGATGGATGGATGGGAGAGTGGCATGGGAATGATACAAGTACAGAGTATTCAAGCTTCGACGCGCAGTAATCGATCGCAGCTCCTCACACCCTCTTCCTCATCCAAATCTTGCCTTTCGCATTAGCGAATCGAGCGGGCCCGAACCATGCATCCGGGGGTCCGACACCGGGTACCTCCGCCTTGACGTCGTAGTTGAGCACGACATGCGCCAGCATCGCCTTGAGCTCTGCAGCCGCGAAGAACCGCCCCGGACAGGCATGTCGGCCGTGCCCAAAGACGAGGTGGTCCCGTGCATTGGTCGTGACCATCAGCTGATTGAACGTCCCACTGGTCTCCCGAAGCCGGGAAAACCGAAACGCATCAAACGTGTCCGGGTTCTCATAGAACTCTGGGCGAGTAATCAGCCTCGCATTCGTTCCCGGCAGAAAAAGCGCACCTGGATCGAGCTGGACCGAAGACGAGGGGACGCCGACGAAGGAGCCACATGGAATGGTGATTCCGTCCGAGAAAGTGAATCCCTCTTTCGCAATGACTTGGCGGAGTAGCGCGACTATCTCCTCATGAGTAATTATCGGGCCGACGGCGAGCATGACTCACCGGAACCACTGCCGTGCATTCGTTGCGACTCGCGCAAGAAGCTGTCGATCTGGTGCATATTGCCGAGAGAACCCTTGGTCCATCCCTCCGCTGCGGTGACGCGTTCTACTTCTTCCCGCAAAGGTTCCAAGTATTCAGGGTACTTGGCCAGATCGTACAATGCCGCTGTCAGTGTCTGCGCCCTGCGTCAGCTTGTCGCGCCGTCCGTCTTGCAGATGGGTGCGCACCGTCGACGAGGTGTGGATCGCTGCCATGTTCACAGCAAGGATCCGCAGCGCGAGGTCCTCCACCGTAGGCTCTTCATTGGCCGGGAGGTCGTCTATGAGCCACGAGATGAAGTCGTTCTAGGTGATCCGATGTGTCAGTCAGGCATTCGAATGGTCAAGCCAACCTACCGGTCGATCAGCCCATTCCTTTCCATGTTCAGCATCCATATCCAAGCGCTCTTGGAGGACTGGCCGCATGAACGTGAGCGCGTGACGAAGCGAACTGTTCTTGGATGATAACAAGGGGGCTAGCAGACTGGGCCGTACTGATCAACATAGGTAGTTGCTTCGGCAGATATGTCCCTGAAAGACTGCTCACGGTTTTATCCAGTCGGGTAACAGCCGGATGAGTCCCCCACGGGTGATGATATCGATAGTATAGTCAATATTGAGCTGCACAAACTCCGAATTTCGGCCTGCCGTAATGGATTAGCTCGCCGTCGGCCTTCACGCAGGATCGCGCACAGAGAGGGAGTCCCACGAAGATACGGTTGCTCGTGCGCGCCACTACCTGCCTCACTGTCGGCATCACCGCAACCAGTTTCCAATCTGCGTTTTCACCAGTCAGACGGAGCAGATCACGGCAGAATGAGGCTGGCACCGACGTTCGCCATCCAATCCCAATGTAGACTCGAACGCGTGGATCATCTCCTCCCGTACCTGAGGAAACGAGCGACCGATGTTGCGCGTCAATCCAGCACAAACGGTGTTTACGTGGTACGGGTTCCGTGTGAACGCCTTGCCTATCGTCCAGTCGGATTGCAGGCCCTGCAGCCCAGTTCGTCAATCGGAAGGTCCGCTGACGCATGAAAGATGGCAGCACTATACGCACATCCTCGGCTGCAGCATTGAACGATAATACATCTTCGGGCGCAGCTGCAATCTCGAGGGCACGCTGCAGTCCGTTCGCGACGTATTCCCAGTGCCAGAAACCCGGCACACGAAACACGCCGGTGCGGTCCTGCTCTTATCCGTGCTGCACGACGCCGAGATTGTCGGCGAACGCGCGCCACGCACTGAGGTACGTCGAGAGGGGGTTGGACTCGGATCCAATGATGAGCGGGATGGAGCCGTTCCTTGTGGTCTTTGGGCGGCGTCAGATTCGAAGCTCGTCGTGTGGCGATGGACTCACTGAGCGGCGGGGACGCAGGTAGAGCAGAGATAGCAGGGCTACGAGGCCGCAGAGCGGGAGCTTGAGGGAGTCCATAGAGACAGGGTCCTGGCGCTCATGTCAGAAATCAAGCTCTATTTATGCAAGTCCTTACTCACCCTGTGCCGCCATGCATGCCGCACTCCCTCCCAGTCCCCCGCTCTTCGGGACAAGGCGCTGACTCGAGTGCGACCCGCGCGTGATCGGCTCAAACTCACGGATAATTTTGAGCGAGATCCCTTCTATCAGCCGACGAAAGATCCCAGTGGGAACAAATCCGCGGCAGTCCATACGATTTGGCGCCCTGACGAGCGGGCCAAAAACGCCTAATTGCTCCCATCCATGATAGCAGCTCTAGGGAGTGGCCTGGGATGGAGACGCGCAAGCAGCTGGGATGTTCTCTGTGCTGTACGAAGGACAGACTGACTGCTTCAGTTCCTAGAAAGAAGCATGCAGAAGAGTCCAGGAAAACGTGCATGACGAATTCGCGCTAGCAGTGAATTCTGAGATGGGGAGGGAGCTGGACTTGGACATTTGTGACAGAAGGAAGAGCTTCGATCGGATCTTGCCGAGTCGGCAGCCTCGCTCGCAAACTCTACTCTACTCGTATGCCGATGGCCCTGCAGCTGATCTTGCTTTCAGTCGCGCCAATCTCGCGTCCACTCCTAGTCGATGAGCAAAAACGGTGCTGCTGCTGCCCCTGTGTCGATAGCGTACGAGTGACGCGTGAGACCTTGCAGAAGGGTTGGTTGCGTGAGATCGTGGAAACGATGGGAGACGCAGGTGACGGAACGGCCCAGGTCGAGGTTGGACAGATGATCCAATATCTGGAGCCAGACCTCATTCAGGAGATCGGGAATGTCCAGTGACTGAGATTCGGTTCCCAAGAGCCGTTGCATGTTGGTTTAGGAATCTGGGGTAAGGTGTACTGTGACCAGGACAAGCACAACCGAAATTTTCGAACGTGATAGATGGGACGGTGGTGATGGGCCCGCTGCCGATGGGTGCAACGCCCTGCCGATTCCTCTGTTCACGCGGTTCATACCTTGATTTACAGCCCTGGGGCAGTTGGAGCTGCTTATTGTGATTCTGTGTAGAATTGGTAACCAAGGTAGCCGGATTGACGACGAGCAAGCCTTGAGGCATACAATCCGGACCAGAACCGTCAGGCTACTATCGGCCAGCTCGGATGACTCGGATCCCGCTGACCTGACGCTTATCCACTTCCTTTCGCCCGAAACGATCAACGCCTTAACCTTCCCGACATATGGGGCTGAGACAGACGCTGTTCTGCGCGCTCTGCCAAGTCCTGGCCTGGCTCATCTGTGCAAGTTGACGGTGGAGACGTCCATCGTCCCCTTTTCACCAAATCACCGAAACGGCGCGATCGTACCCTAGGTCGGCATCCCGCAGAATAGCGACCGCGACCACGCGCTTCATCAAGTCAGGCATGTCTTTCTGGAGATAAGTAGTTCAGCCGAACTCGGCGGCCACTGCCATCTCTGAGATGCGCCGATACACTGGGGCCGCCACCATGGAGATCAAATCGAGGCCTGACTCGTGGTGAATGGATGCGCTGGCCAGCGACTTCGCATAAGGGCCTTACTCAGATCTTCCCGCTCTACACAGCTTCACCAATGCACTGCGCACAGTGCATTCCTTCGTTGCTCAGCCAAACATGATGCATCTGAAGACGTGTTGGCCGGACACGGATAAGGGATTAGGCCTTAAGACTGATCAAGATTCTGCCTTCTTCCCCGAGTTTGGCGTTGGTGGAACCGATTCTCTCCACTGTGAACGTGGAGGTCCTGGTAGTCATTTTCGAGCGATGCGTTTTGCTGGAGACCTTTCGAATTCATGTTTCGATGCATGGGGTGTATCATGAGCCAGGCGTCCTGACCTGCCACTCACACTCTTCCACAGTCTCGCCGACAACGTCAACTCGCTCACCCTTCCGATGGAGTTGAAGACCCTCGCCATCTCGATCGAATGCATGAACGTTCCTTTCGCGTCGTACATCGACCCCTTCCTGGTGCGGATGGAAGACACGGTCGGGTCCAACGAGCGGGAGCGGTGGAAGGCTGTTCTGCCTGAAATCGAGATCCGGGTGTTCGAGCGCCGCGACTGAAGATGGATGATGCATGGATAGATGGATGGATGAGTGGCATGGGACGATACAAGTACAGAGTAGTCAAGATTCGACTCGCAGTAATCGATCGCAGCTCACACCCTCTTCCTCACCCAAATCTTGCCCTTCGGATTGGCGAATCGAGCGGTCCCAAACCATGAATCTGGAGGACCGACGCCGGGTACCTCTGCCTTGACGTCGTAGTTGAGCACGACATGCGCCAGCATCGCCTTAAGCTCTGCCGCAGCGAAGAACCGCCCCGGACAGGCATGTCGGCCATGCCCGAAGACGAGGTGATCGCGCGCGTTGGTAGTGACCATCAGCCGATTGAACGTCCCACTGGTCTCCCGAAGCCGGGAAAACCGAAACGCATCAAACGTGTCTGGGTTCTCATAGAACTCTGGCCGAGTAATCAGCCACGGATCCGTGCCGAGCGATGGAGGAAGCACACCTGGGTCGAGCTGGACAGACGACGCAGGCACGCCGAGGAAGGACCCATATGGAATAGTGATCCCATCCGAGAAAGTGAATCCATCTTTCGCAACGACTTGACGGAATAGCGCGACTATCTCCCAATGAGCGATAGTCGGACGGCTCGACTTCAAGGCATCACTCACGGGAACCACTGCCGTGCAATCGTTGCGACTCGCGCAAGAAGCTATCGATCTGGTGCATGTTGCCGAGAGAGGCCTTGGTCCATCCTTCTGCTTCAGTGACGCGCTCCACTTCTTCTCGCAGGGGTTTCAAATATTCAGGGTACTTGGCCAAGTCGTATAATGCTGCTGTCAGCGTCTGCGTAAAGCCTCAGCTTGTCGTGCTCTCTCTCTCGCGGCAGAAGCACAAACTGTCGATGAAGTGTGAATCGCTGCCATGTTCACAGCAAGGATTCGAAGCGCAAGGTCTTCGACCGTAGGTTTTTCCGTGGCCGGGAGGTCGTCTATGAGCCACGAGACGAAATCGTTCTGGATCATCGCGCGTGTGTGAGTAGGCATTCAGGTGATGATGATCGGATTGACTCGCCGGTCGATCAGCCCATTCCTTTCCATGTTGGGCATCCATATCTATGCGCTCTTGGAGGATCGGCCGCATAAAGGTGAGCGCGTGACGAAGCGAGCTGTTCTTGGATGATAGCAACGGGGCTAGCAGACTATCGCCGCATGACATCAGCACAAAAGTACTTTGACACAAGCTGTCTTTCCAGGACTGCTCACGGTTTCAGAAAGTCAGGCAATAGGCGGATGAGTCCCCCACGGGTGACGATATCGATGGTGTAGTCGATATTGAGCTGCAGATATTCTGGGTTCCGGCCTGCCGGAATGGGTTAGATCGGAGTCGGCACAAGCGCGATGTACCGCACACAGAGGGAGCCCGACGAAGACACGGTTACTCGTACGCGCCACGATCTGCATGACCATCGGCATGACCGCAACTAGTTTCCATTCTGTATGTTTCATTTCCACCAGTCAGACGCCGCAGATCAGGACAGAATGAGGTTGACACCGACCTTCGCCCTCTAATCCCAATGCAAAGTCAAACGCGTGGACCATCTCCTCCCGGACCTGGGGAAACGACCGGGCGATATTGCGTGTCAATCCAGCGCGGATGGTGTTGATGTGGTACGGCTTCCGAGTGAGTGATTTGCCCATCGTCCAGTCGGATTGCAGGCCCTGCAACGCGGTCCGTCAATCGGACGGCCCGCTGACGCATACACGATGATGATAGCAAGATACGCACTTCTTCAGCCGCGGCCTGGAACGATAACACATCCTCGGGCGCGGCCGCAATCTCGAGTGCGCGCTGTAGCCCGTTCGCGACGTATTCCCAGCGCCAGAAACCCGGCACGCGGAACACGCCGGTGCGGTTCTGCTCGTATCCGTGCTGCACGACGCCGAGGCTGTCGGCGAACGCGCGCCACGCACCGAGGTACGATGAAAAGGGATTGGAGTCGGACCCCATGATGAGCGGGATGGAGCCGTTCCCTGAGGCCTTTGCGCGGCGTCAGACCGGAGCGTTCCTTCCGACGGCGGTGGACTCACTGAGCGGCGGGGACGCAAGTAGAGCAGGGACAGCACGGCTGCGAGACCGCACAGCGGGAGCTTGAGAGAGTCCATGGTGAGAGGGGGTCGGGCGCAAATGTCACATTCCGAGTTCTTTTTATCCAATTCCCTTCTTCACGCTGTGCCACTATTCGGCATGTTTGCCGCACTGTTTCCATATCCTAGGCCCCTCACGACAAGGCGCTGACAAGCAGTCCAAAAGCGCCCATCTTGTAGGAAGTGGGCTGAGGTGCAGAGCAGACGATCAGCAGTCAGGCGATGTCCGTCGGGCTCTCAGTCGTTAGTTCTCTAGTGTGCGAGAACAGACTGGCTTCTTCAGGTTACTGCGCAAAGAAGGATGAAGAAGAGTTTGCGAAAACGTGCAGCATGAATTCGCGCTAGCAGCGGAATCTGAGATGACAACTTGTCTGATAGCGTCATGGAAGAAGGAGTTTCGGTCGGCCCGGGCCGAAGCTGCTCGTCAATAACCGGGTTGGCACCCTACTAAGTACGCAACTTACCCCAGATCCCCAATATGCTGTCAAAACTGCTCGCGTCCCTTTACCTCTCTGAGTTCTTGGGAATTCAATCTCCTCAAGTGGACCTTCCCGATCTCCCGAACGAGGTCTGGCTCCAGATATTGAACCATCTCTCTAGCGTCGACCTCGGTCGTTCCATCACCTGGGTATCTCACCGTTTCCACGACCTAGCCCAACCGACCCTCCTGCGAGGCCTCACGCTTCATCCGTACTCTATCAGTACAGGGACATCAGAAGCGCCGGTTTTGCTCTATCCACTGGGAGTGGACGAAAAATTGGCGCGACTGGAAGCGCGATCGGCTGCAGGTCCAGCGGCGTACGTGCAGACATGCACTGTGACGAGCATAACCGAAATTTCCGAACGTGATGGATGGGACGGTCGGGATGGGCCCGCGGCCGATGTGTACAACGCCCTACTGATTCCCTTCTTCACGCGATTTCTACCTCGATTCGCGGCCCTGAGACAGTTGGAGCTATGCGAGCTTGACTTAACACGCGAGGTGCTCGTTGGTTTGGCGACAGTTGCTGAGTTGGAGCTGCTTACTGTGATCCGGTGTAGAATGGGTCGGGAGGGTGGCGGGATCGACGACCCGCAAGCCTTGTGGCATACCATCCGGGCCAGAACAGTCAAGCTACTATCGACCACCCCGGATGATGCCGCCGAACTGACGCTTATCCACTTCCTTTCGCCCGAAACGATCGACGTCTTGACCTTCCCGAGATATGGAGCTGGGACAGACGCTGTTCTGCGCGCTCTGCCAAGCCCTGGCTTTGGGCATCTTCGCAAATTGACGTTGGAGACGTCCACCGTCCCCTTCTGCCAGATCACCCGAACGGCGCGATCGTTTCCTGGCCTGACCACGCTCCGGGTTATCGTATCCCAGGTCGGCCTCCCGGAGAATAGCGACCACACCCTTCCTCAACTGAGACACCTGTTCCTCGAGGTTTCTGAGCCGATCTCGGCGGCGGATACCATCTTTGAGATCCATCGATACACCGGGATCGAAGTCATGGAGGTCAAGACGAGGCCTGATTCGTGGCAAATGGATGCGCTGGCCAGTGACATCGCACAACGGCCTTACTCAGATCTGCCCGCTCTGCACAGCTTCACCGGTCCACTGCACACGGCGCATTCATTCGTTTCTCAGCCAAACCTGACGCATCTGACCACGTATTGGCCCGACGCGAATACGGCATTGGGCCTCATCAAATTGCTTCCTGTTGCCTCGAATTTAACATTCGTGGAACTAGGTCTCTGGACTGTGGACTTGGAAGTTCTCGTAGCTGTCTTTGAGCGATGCCCCATGCTGGAGACGCTCCGGATCCATGTTTCGACGCGTTGGGTGTATCACGAAAGCAAGGCATCTTGGCCTGCCACTCTGTTCCGCAGCCTCGCGGACGGCGTCAGCTCGCTCGCTCCTCCTCCGACGTTGAAGAACCTCGCCATCTCGATCGAATACATGAATGTCCCCTTCGCGTCATACATCGACCCTATGAACCGCAGGGACCTCGACAGGTTCCGCGACCAACTGAGGGAGCGATGCAGTGGGCTGCAGGTCCTGTTCTGTGACGGATACGAGTCGCTCTACCAATGGACCGCCCAACCGGACAGAGTGCAGTGGTTTGATCGTGCACATCCGGGGAATGAGAGTGCTGGTGGGTACCAGTTTGTGTGTTTTGAAGCTAGCTAACAAGCACCCGTCAGTCGCCAATAGCCTCCGCAAGGTCCATTGGGTTCGAGATTGCTTCCGTGAGATGGTCACCGTTCTTTCGTAACCAGCAGCAGTAGTACGTGCTGCTTTTGAGACAAGAGCGCAGTCAGCCTTCATATTTGCGTACTCGTTGTCCAGTGAAACATCTGATTCTGTACATGTAGATATGGAAACAGTCGGCGCGCTACACTGGCAGGGTCCTGCCACTTTGCTCAGAAGAAACGGCTGTTGATGGTCAAGGCCACGGCTGCGATGAGCGCAACCCGGGCGGCACTAAACACGATCCGGCGGACGAGCGATTTCGGTGGGCCTTTGGCACCGGCTGCTTCGATGGCGGCAATGTCTTCGGCAGTAAGGGCTAGAGAACCTATCAGGAGAGCGTAGCCAGTGCTCGAGTTATGCCCATACCGAGGTCGCCAGCATTCAGATATCCGAGAAGACGTTCCTTCTTCGAGCTCGTGCTGGTAGAGGTGTTAATCGTTTGTGGTGAATGAGAGACGCATGACCGACGTGATGACAACAGCGCCTTTGGCCTTGGCCCACGCGAGAAGAACTTGGTCGGCAGTGACGGAGAGACGCTCGGCAATAGCGGCAACGGGCTTGTCGACAGGTCCACCGGGGAGAGACGTGACGGGGCTGGGGCGCATCGTCAGTCTTCCTGAGTCGGGAAGGAGCAGACGAGAGCTACACACATCAGAGCGCTGTAGGCTTCCACCACGATACCGTGCTTGGCACAGTACTCGAGGATCGGGAGCTGGCGCGCATACACGTACGGGTGGAGCAGGATCTGTGAGTGTATGAGACGTGGTCCATATTTGAGTTGTGCGAGGTACAGCAGACCAACCTGGTTAGCCACGGGCTTGACTTTGGCCGAGGCCAGAAGGATAGCGAGGTCGTTGACTTCAAAGTTGCTGACACCGATACTCCTGTGGGCACAATCTGCATCAGCATGTACACGCATATACGACGTCATCCAAATGCCGTCACGCACTTGACCAATCCTTGCGCTTGGATGTCCTCCATCTCTTTCCACGCGGTGGGGATGTCCGGTTGCGCGAGTCGGGGTGCATGAATGAGGTAAAGGTCGACGTATTCCACACCCAGCTGCCGAACGACGCGTCGGAATGAATATGGCCTACACAGCTGCAGGGACCCCACTCACGTATTCCAAGCTGTTTTTGATGGACTCTTTGATTCCCAGGCCGTTCAACCCAGAATACTTGGTGGTGATGAAAATATCTTTCCGGGAAAGCCCGCTGTCGCGAATCGCGATCCCCGCCTCCGTCTCATTGCGGTATGCTTGCGCGGTATCTGCAAACAGGTACCGGGAATGAGTCTGCGGACAGGCATGGAATTGGAGCAGATATTACCGACGTGGCTGAACCCCACTGAGATGGCCTGGTCCACCTGCGTGATGGGAGCGTCCCCGTTACCCATCTTCCACGTCCCAAACCCAATGGTCGGGATTTCACGCCCTGTGCGGGTTGGTATGCACACAGAGACCAAGGCGAAGAGGCAGCGCACCGTCGTTCAGCTTGACGTTTTCCCAAGGCATGCTCGATGGGTGGTGGGGGAAGAAGAGAGATGACGCGAGAATGGCACACCATTTATGTCGGTATCGTGGGGAGTCTTAGGGCATTCGCCGCGGCGATGGCCGTATCAGATGGGGTTGACCGGAAGCTGTGCCACTGGCTTCCTCTCGTGGCCTTTGACGCAGCGCGCAGCGTTCGATGACTTGAGCCCATCGCTTTTATATGAACGACGCAGTATCCGCTGCATACAGCCGACCGCCATGAATACTTCCGCTGTACCCAACGAGCTATGGCTGGAAATCTTCCGACATCTCTCGACCGAAACGATCCAGTCTCTCGCGCTCAGTCGCCGAGCTTTTGTCCCCCTTTGCCGCACGCTGCTATTTACGGAACTTATCGTCCATCCGTACCACAATGTCTTTGCCATGGGCCAAGCTATCGCATACGACCCAGACACGCTGGCGCAGCAGACCGCACGGCTCGAGTTCTGGTGCTCCTCCGCCATAGCACCTTTGGTGCGGTCATGCCGTATCGACCCGGGTCGAGTCTTGTTTATGGGACAGAGCGCTATCAGAGACTACGACGTTCGGACAGCCGATCCCTATGTCCTGATGGACTTGTTGCTCGCTCGCCTGACGGACGGCAGGTTCACGTCCCTACGCTATCTGTCAGCCATTGGGACGCAGTACGCTCTCCGGCATCTGCACGCATTTCTAAAACTGCCTCCACTGGAAAAACTGGAGATACTGGGCTGCCGATCTCGCGATTCTGGGGAAGCGGCAGAGGAGAACACTCACTCGCTGCAGCCGCTACAAGTCTCCCGATGTTCTTTGCGCCAGTATCCCACTGGCAAGAACGAGTTGTACCAATGGCTCCGTCTTCTCTCTCCGCTGGCTCTCCAAGAGTTGGATATGAGGTCGAGCTCCTGGGATGAAGTGGTAGAGCTCCCGAATCTGCGCAGACTCGCGACCCATTGCGGTCCACAATCCATCAATAAGATGCTGGCTTTTGCGGGAAGGCTTCCATCCGTAAAACGATTCGTTGTGCGGGTTGTGGGTCTCGAATCAGGGGACAGTCTTCCGTCCCCGACGCTTCCTGCCGAGCTTGCTGCCTCCCTTCTCCCTGTCATCGAGTCGTTCAATGGTCCTTGCGAGTTGGCGCATCTGTTTCTCAGCCGAGAGACTTTGACTGCGCTGACTCTGACATGGTCTCCTTGGGACAAGTTGGTGGGGATACAGTCTGCGCACGTCACATACTTTGACGCTGCAGTCGACGCTCTCGACGCAAGCCAAATGTCCCAACTCTTCCTGTCCCTCCCCAATCTCGTGGGCATGCGACTGCGGCTTTGGGATCTCCCGGAGACGATTCTGTCTCCCTCACTGAATCTCAATGTGAGTTAGTTCTCTCATCTCAGCCGGCCTTTGAGTGAGCGCACTTACAGATCAAGCTGTTTTTCGATGCACTACCAACCATTGCTACGCTGCCACGCTCTCTGGAGCGTCTGTTCATCTGCTGGGAGCCTGGTTACGGCAACTTTGACTACCATCGCACCCCGCACATTCCAGATTTCGACCGGCTCAAGAGCGGACTTTGTGAGCGTTGTCCAGCTTTGTGGGCATTGTGGATCGACGGCTATGAGTATCTCTTGAAATGGAACAAACAAGACGGCCATCAGGAGCTAGGAAACTCATTTGGTACGTCGCTTGCTTCCCATCTGGTGACAAGTGCTGACTGCCCAACAGCACATGTGAGTTCCATCCGAACAGGATTGGATGCATTTTGGAGCGCAGGGTAGATAAATATGTCTTGAATAGTGTAAATTATAAAGACCCTGCCAACGACAAGGTGTTTCCATCCACGGTCGCAGCGTCAAGTCACACCCATGTGACCTCTCCTGTGACTGTGATGCCGAGCCAATCCACATCGATTTCGTCTTCCACGTCGCCGGATCCTCGACTGACAATCTCACTTTCGATTCTTGGCGGACTGTATCGGTGACCTGCGAACCAGCTGTATCTAGTCGCTCACCACTCGCAAGCTATCAATGGCAGAACAAGTACCCAAGGCCGAGAGTGATCGCATTTTCGCGGTGCTGAAGGGTCAGAAGGAGAACAAGGTGCTTGCGTTGTCGAACACGGGAAGTTCCACATTTCTCAATGCACAAATAGATATGTTTCGATTGTAATGCGCGCAACCCCACCTGGTCATCGGTCACATTCGCCGTCTACCTATGCCTCGACTGCTCCGCCACGCACCGAAACATGGGCGTGCACATCACTTTCGTGCGCTCGACCAACCTGGACTCGTGGTCTGTAGCGCAACTGCGGGCAATGAAGGTGGGCGGGAACGCCAGCTACTCGACGTTCCTGCACAAGAACGGCGGAGGCAATCTGCAGGGCAAGGCCAAATATGAAGGGCGCGTCGGCGAGCTGTACAAGCAGGAGCTTGCACGCCGGGTCAAGGCGGACCAGACTGTCAACCCGACGGGCATCGTTGTTGAGGGTGCGACTCCGGCTGCTGGGGAGGAGCAAGCGGGCAAGGGCGAGGACGATTTCTTCGAGAGCTGGAGCAAGCCAAGCACGCCAAAGGAGACGAGCCGCGTGGGCACCCCCACAGTGCCTGTCATCGGGCGCGCCAATAGCAAGCCTGGAACTCCAGCCCCATCGACTCCTGCTGCAGCTGTCACGCCCGTGGCTCCAAGTCCCGTTGCGCCCAAGCCCCGTCTTGGTCTTGCGGCTGCTCCGCGAGGGCTCTCTGGTAGTGGAGGAGGCGCGCTCAAGCTTGGCGCAGGAAGCAAGAAGGGCAAGCTCGGTAGGTCGTGTCCAGTTACCCATTATGCATCCTTCTTACAACGACCCGCAGGCGCCCAGAAATCGTCCCCCATGTCTTTCGCGGAAGCTGAGCGCCGTGCTCGAGAAGATGAGGAACGCACGAAAGCATTGGGCTATGAACGCGAGTCCGCACCTGCCGCAGTCACCGCTGCTCCTGCATCAGTCGCCACCCCTTTAAACTCATTCACTCCCGCCGCGTCATCAGCAGCTGCTCCCGGTGCTACGCAGTCTTCCTCCCCTGCCGCTCAAAAGCCCGGATTTGTGCGCTTGGGCTTTGGTGCGATCCCCACTGCCTCCTCTGGGACGATTGCCTCTGCTGGCGCTGTGCTGAACCCTGGCATCAACAAGGCCACGAATGCTGGTTCGTCGTCCTTCGGGTTTTCGATCCGAGCTGTTTGTGACACTTGTTGCAGGTACTAGTGCTGCTGCGGTCGATGACTCACCAACGACCGCACGCGATCGATTCGGTGGTCAGAAAGGCATCAGCAGCGACATGTACTTCGAACGGGGGTACGTCAATCTTTTCGCGTCTTGGTCGCGCCGTCTGAGTTCACACAGATCGTACGATGCCAATGCTCGTTCTGAAGCTCAAGAGCGGCTGCGCAACTTCGAAGGCCGAACAGGCATCGGCAGCGATGAGTATTTCGGCCGGGAGGAGAACGGCGAAGGGTGAGTGCTATTCGTAGCGAGATGGACGTATGCTTATTCGTTACACATCACAGCGCCGACCCATATGCCAACAGCGGGACATCGTACTCTTCCTACCTCGGAGACAGCAGCAGCCTGGCTGGGATCGAGAGTTCAGCCCGGGATATGATTGGACGGGCAATGGCCGACCCGCAGGTGCAGAACTTGGCGGATAGCATAAGAACCGGTGCTCTCAAGGTGCGATCCTCCATCTCTGCAACAGACCGCTCGCTGATATGTGCTAGTTGTCTGACTATCTGGCTCAAATGTCTGATCGTTGATATTTTGGGGTTGTGTTACGTATATAGACATGCACACATACCGGAATCTCGATCTTCCTTTCTTTCGCCCTGGCCCGTTTGGGTCGGTTGATTGTTCGGCACGGTTTTCATAATCGTACACTGCTCGGATGATGTGTGGATGTATGAGCGACGACCTGCACATGCTCTTCTGCTGAGGAAAGCGGGAAGAAGCGAATGTGCAATTGCTTGGCAATGACCAAGCGAGATGGGTCTTTGCAGTCGAGCCCATTCAACGTTGAACTCATGTGATTGCACACAAGTTCTCATCTGGAGCAGGCGGAATGGTTCTCCAGAGTCTTTACCCCAGATGATTTCGTGATCACATCCCGCTAGCGGCACTCAATTGTTCACCGATGCAAGTCAGCAAGTATTCACTCTCCTTCTCACGCCACGGGGATGGAACAAACTCCAGGGACGAGCTCTGCTCTACGTAGTGTCCAGGGATATCGTATGCCCCTCTTTCATGCCAATTATAGGTAAAACCAAGCCGAGTCTCACGTAACTCACCTAAATCGTCCCAATGATATTATGCTACTTTGCACAATGGTTGGAATATGTATGATCGAATCACATTCTGGAGCAGCCTTAGACTCGTGTGGAGTCCCGCGTAACACACACAACCTCTTGGCCAATTTTCCAATGCCCTGCTGACCTGCGTAATCATCTCTCCCTTTACCATAAAAGCGGGGAGTTGAAGCCAGGGAGGCCCAAGGAAAAATACACTCACTCAAAGATGCAATTCCCCTCCATCACTCATCTCGCACTCCTTCTCGTTGCTTTCGCCGTCGGCACCCACGCCGCTGAGCTCAACGAGCGCGTCCCCTGCAGCTGCTTCTCTGGAGCGGACGGAACCCTCTACTGCGACCCCCCTGGCTGCCACTAAGCTTCGGTGAGCTGCTGCGGTTAATTCATTTTCTTACTCGAGTCTGATGAATTTCTGGGACCAGAAAGAGCTCGAAATCTCAACGCATCTAATAATGTTGAAATCCAGAAAGCCAGTGTTCAGATCGTATACAAAATCGGAGGTGGCGACGTCAAGGAGAGCGATTGAGTAGTCCTGCTGTATTCGGAACGAAAGAATCACTTGTCTATCCTCTATCGAGTCTCTTCCTTGATACTTCAGATAAGTCGGCTCAACTCTAACTGAAGCAGTGGAGCATTCAGAAGCAATATGATGATATCATTGATCCGTGATATTGCACCGCCACATGTCAACGATGGATAGCGAGATCGCATCGATGCATATTTATCCAACTATGACTGACTGGGGGGGCATCGTTAGCACTTTGAAGGACAGGTCAAAGTATCCAACGTCCTCTAGGATCCTCCGACACACAAGTCTGTACACCCACGCCGTACAGACATCGAGATACGACACGGCAGACGTGAAAGTCGTGAGCAGGTTCTCGATATACAGAAAATAACAGTGTTAGAGGTACAGATCGTTGCCAACCGATACAATTAGAGACCCAATGCAAATGATGGATACAGGAAGGAAATCACAGAGCATTGCAGAGACAGCCGGCATTCACTTGAGAAGCTCCTCCACGATGCGGTCCTCACCGATCTTAGCGACATTGGCCCCACGGTAGTTGAGTCGGCGCAGGACATCGATCTGCAGGTGGCGTCAGGGTCGGAAACGCACGCTCGGAAGCACACAACGCACCACTTTCCCCCGCGGGAATCCGAGGCTCTCGAACTGGTCGACGTGCGCCTGCTCCAGACCTGCGATCGCGACCTCATCTCTCTGCGCATTATTGCTGCTGGCACCACCACTGCGCGCCGTGGGCGACGCGGGCGCTCCATGCGGCGTGGCATACGTCTTAGTCCAATACCGCGCGGTCTCGTCGAAGCTGTGCTTGCTGGTCGTGTAGTGCTTCGCGACTTCCGCGTCCTGCGGGTCGCTCGGCTCGGGCGAGCAGAGGAGGCTCTGGAGCGAGATGAGCGTCGATTTGAGTGTCAGCACGGGTGACCACGCGTCCTTGAGGATGTCAAGACAGATGGCGCCGGATGCGGAGGACACGTTCGGGTGGTAGACCTTGGTGATGAACTTCATCTTCACCGGCTGGAACGGATACGATTCGGGGATGACAATGTCCTGCGAAAGCGGAGGACGCGCGTGAACAACTGATTGATCGACCGCCTTCTGAGGGCGGAGAGGAGGGAACACGCACCACCTCGAACGTGCCACCTTCATAGGGTGTACCCTCAGGGCCCGGAAAGGCCCCCCGCAGATGGAATGGAGACGAGTCAACGAGGTCGATGCGGATCCCCGACACCTTGTCGTTCTTGCAGTCTACGGCATGCCGGTTAGCATGTCACCCGCTCTGCAGCCCCCCCACACGGCGTTCGCAGCACTGACGTGCAGGTTTGCCCGCACACACCTGTGATCTCCTTGTTCACCCGACGGAGTCTGGCGTCCATGACAGATGTAGGTCGATTAGGGAGGATGAAACTGGATGAAGTCGTTTCCTAAGTGACGCTTTAAGCTGGGGAGGACAAAGGCGGACGTCACAGCATTGGTAAGCCGCCATCATTGTTCTCTTGGCTTCGAGAACTTCAAGGTAGCAATGCTTTGTTCTTTTCAAGTTTGTTCTTGCTCCTGATTTGATGGATTGAGATAGCTCTAAGCGCACTGAAATGTTGTTTGACAGCCTCGTGAACAACTCACTGCAGGGGGACTTATTTTTTTTCCGTGGAAAATGCATGACAATCTAGAAGTCCGATTTTCACTGTTATGTTTTCAGACAAAAATATATATATTGAAAATAGACGTCGATTTACAGCTCGATTTTTTTCATGAATAGACATCTATTCCTCCCGAAAACAGAACTGTAAATAGATCATCTTTTCTTTGATCGATTCCCACTGGGAATAGACATCGATTTTCACTGAAAATAGAGACAAAGAAAAGATGATCTTTTTTCACTGAAAACAGATTAAAACCACTGGAAGAATCTGTTGATTCCAGCCCCAATTCACATCACAAGTCCTGCAGCATGATTCCACCATGTTGTGAGTAGCATCCAGTAGCCTTTTGCAAGGCCAGGGATGCAAATTGGGGCCAGGATCAACAGATTCTTCAAGTGGTTTTAATCTGTTTTCAGTGAAAAAAGATCATCTTTTCTTTGTTTCTATTTTCAGTGAAAATCGACGTCTATTCCCAGTAAGAATCGATCAAAGAAAAGATGATCTATTTACAGTTCTGTTTTCGGGAGGAATAGATGTCTATTCATGAAAAAAATCGAGCTGTAAATCGACGTCTATTTTCAATATATATATTTTTGTCTGAAAACATAACAGTGAAAATCGGACTTCTGGATTGTCACGCATTTTCCACAGAAAAAAATTAAATCCCCCCGCAGTGACTGGAACTATGTGGGCGGCTCACAAATTCCGAATTCAGAATGTCAATCAAATCGATGAAATTTTAATCAGATTAGATTACAGGATGTGATCAACTCAACATTCCTTTATTCACCGATTCCGAGTTCAAATCCTCATTCGATTGGACTTTTCTAGTCTGCGCGGGGAATGTCTGTCAACGAGCTGTTAGCATCGGTAAATCCGAACGTGGAGAAGTCACGAGGACATCTGGTCTTCTGGATCTGATATGACAGCTCGCACGCACACAGCCGCATCAAGCATCACCGTGTTCCAAATTCCGCTCCTGCCCGGTGCACACACTGCTAGCTGGCTGGCAAGGGGATACCAAAATTGCCACGAGAATGCGAGCTGATGCGCTAGTCTTCCACCATCCCGTCTCCGCGGAGCATCGGGCGACCGAAGAAGCCGGAACCGGACGGGGACGATAATGAAGTGTTCGGAGAGCTTCTTCGCGATTCTGTACGTTGGCACACGGAGTTAACCCGCGCGGTGGGATGTGGGAGGCCGTGTGACTCGGCGGCATATATACATAACAACAACGGCAACCCACACTCTCATCCGTACTGTCATCCCCGTCAGGCGACTCCTCCCCCATGCAGAGCTCGCGTACGACCAGATCCAGCGCCCGCATCGCTAATGCCTCTTCTGCGAGTGCTCGCCTCGTCAAAGCCCGTGAGCCAGAGGACGGAGACGACCAAGAACAGGTCGAAGTCGATGTCCTGCCCGAGGCAGCGAGCACGTCCCAGTCTGGTGACGACGAAGAACGCGAGGAGGAGGACCCCGACAGCGGCGAGCCCGAGGTGGACGAGCCCGAGGAATACGAGCTGGAAGATGAGGAGGATGATGAGTTACAGCAGTCCCGATCACCGTCGGTCAGATCTCCATCAGACATGCTTTGGCTCTCCCCGACTCATGCCCACGGTCTTATCTCAGATCTCCGTCACCCCGGTTAGATCTCCCCTCAAGATCAAGTTCAAGGTGCGGCCGCCCCCTGCGCTAGCCAGAGCGAAACGTCTACGAGGTCCTGTGTTCGCGCATGAGCCCTGGCACCGGAGATCCTCATTTTTCGAACCACAGCCCTGACACAAGTCCAATCTGAATCCGAGACGTCGGAATCAGAAGAGGAAACACTCCAAAACTCACGTCTCACGAAACGCCAAGCCGCGCTCGCCAGGGCCCGTCACAATGGTGGCAGTTCTCAATCATCAGGCGCTGGTCAGTACAAGCGCCTGATGACGCTCGAAGTGTGATTGACATTGACTGCGCCTCGCAGAAGAAGACGGGGAGGAGGATCAAATCGATCCATCGTCTCAAAACAAGCGCAAGACCGTTCTCGACGCAACTGAGATCGCACTCCGCAAAGAGGAGTCCGCTCGAAAGCGACGCAATGTTACAGAGAAGAAGCTCCAGGACGAAAAGGCTAGCGCTTAAATCTAGCTCCACAGCTGAGCGGGGACTAACTACCCCGAAGGCTGAAACTATAAACCGTCTTCTCAAAAAGTCAGCTCGGCCCCGAGGCAAACGAGGTCCTGCAATGGGGACCGCGCTGCCGACCCCCGTCGAGGCCGCGACGCCCATGCTTAACTCGGACGGAGAGGCCGAGGGCGGGGAAGATCCCATGTTCGCGGTGGCGGAGGATATCTACACGCCGCCACCCATGATGTATCGCTGGGTCTCCACGACCCGACCGCCGGCACCTTCCGACGCGGCGGCAATGGAAGTCGACGGCGACGAAAAACACATGTCTTTGTCATTTGCTATTCCTGGCGATTTTCTGGCCGGGCTGGACCACCAACCAGGGACAGAGGGCGCTATTTCAGCGGCTCCGTCCGCTCTTGCGCCGATTTGTGGCGTCAGTGGCTGCGGACTTACCCGCAAATACCGGTTGGTCGGCGGAGAATGGGGTAGCGGCGCGTGCGGAATGGACCATCTCAAACTCCTTCAAGCCCATTAGGAAGCAGAATATATATCCCATGTCGTACGGGAAGTGTTGGAACAATGGATTTGCATATGCTATGGTCCCGTTCACCTTCAAGGGCATCGCTTAATAAGAGGATCAATGCGGCGAGAACACTCGACCCCACGCTCGGTTTCTCCACTTGACGCCGCTTACCGGACACCCACTGTCGTCCTCCAACCAGCTGTGCATTGGAGTTTGGCATTTTCGAATTTCAGTTCCCCGCCTCCATAATCAGGCAGTCATCGATCACTGCACCGTTCGTCGTGAGAAGTTTGACCTCATCGTCCGCTGTTGCGCAGAGCATACGTATCCAGAAACAGCATACGGATTTCGGGACACCGCTCCATCAAAAATGCACACGGGGGCCAGGGACATGGCGGCATATCATCGCGAGGCTGATTTAAAAACTCGTCTGGGAAACCGAAGCATATCGTGGGTTGCTTCCATGCAAGGAGAAGTGCGTCATTATCAGGCTGTGCATCCCAGCCTGTCGGAAGAGTCGTTACTCATCGCAGAATAATGCCGAACAAGATGGAATTGACTACTAAATCCTCTCGCTGGTTTTCGAAGCAGTCAACCTGAGAAATCTGATCATGTGGATCCACAGGTCCGTGAGGCGGAGAAAGTGGGTGGAAGTGGAATGAAGAGTATGAGCATTCAATCAGCTTCTGTAGACTGAAGCTCGCAGGGCCGGAATCTTTCCCCTCTGCATGGATCTGCAATGAGGCAAGGTGCGTAAAGCAGCCGATCAATCAATTGGTAGCTTCGACTGAGGACCCAGAATATCCCGAATGAATTCTTGACGGCCCAGAACCCGAGAATATTGATGAAAAGGAAGAAAGTGGATGAACGGACGGTTTTTCGCCCTTGGACCATCTCTGCGGTGAGACATTCAACTTCAAGTCGCTCCATATTCTGAGGCGGACATTACGACGATATCGAAGTGGGTGATCATCCAGCCAGGAGGAGCGGAGCATAGATCTGGGAAAGAGCCTCGATGGTCCTTGTGAGAGCGAGCTCAGGGAGTCCATCGGCAATCTAGAGCCCGAGTGCGTATGGAGCAAGTCACGGGGTTGTTGGATGGATCAATGGATTGATTCACCACATAGTTCTCTGTGCAGAACAGCGGGGCACTGTACCCACACACACTAGCCTACAGTATATGTTCCAGACAATCACCTACAGTGCAATCAAATATAGTAGGTTTACAGTATGGCAATTGTCTTGTGTAATATTAATAGTTTTGTTGAATGGGTTATGAGACGGAGATCAGCTGGGGCAGATTTGATGCCCAGTGGATATGAATCGTGGGAGCGAATCGTAGATGCCAAATACTGTGTGCACGAATTGGCCCAGCAACGCAATGCCCGCTCTCGGATCGAGCATGTAGCAGAGCAGCCTGCGGCTAATTATCGCTACTTTCTTCGCCAGTAGGCCCTCGTCTTTCACGCACATCCCCTCCAAAGACCGTATATCAGTAATAACATTCGAGTAACACGTAATTATGTAAAGAGCCAATCAAACACGATCAAGACACAAGACGGCAAGCAGAGAACGGTCCATATATCCAACAGGGAAAGGCATATACCAGAATCATTCAACTACACGCCAAGCCCGCTTAGGACCCCGCTCTTTCCGATGACTCCGTTGACGCCACTGATTACAGCCGGGGAGGTGCCGCATTTGCCGCAGGCGTGGACAGCGGTCAACGAGCCCAGCAGGCCGTTGACTACACCCTTGATGTCGTCCAGCAGCCCACCCAGCAGCGCGCTGTGGCAGCCGCAACTGTTTAAACCGAGCAGGTTGTCGAGGAGCCAGACGATGGAAGTGACCAGGTCGGGGCTGCCGCCGCCAAGGATATCTCCGAGACCGAGCCCGCCGAGCAGGCCGCCGACGGTGCCACCGCCCAAAAGGTGGCCCAGGAGATCGGGGTCGTTGAGGAGGCCACCCAGGCCGGGACTACCGCCACCGAGGAGCCCACCCAGCAAGCCACCACCGCCGAGCAAGCCACCGAGGGGGCCGCTGTCGCCAGCCAGACACGAGCCGAGGATGCCGCCGCTTCCGCCGAGCAGTCCACCGAGCAGCCCGCCGATGGGAAGCGTGCCCGTCGGGGGGAGCATGCAGCTCGTGAGCGTCGCGACCTGCGTCATGGCCTGCTGGGCGAGCGAGCTGGAGGGATCCGAGGCGGCGATCTGCCCGACTTTGTCCTGCATGCCTTTGAGACAGGTGACGGCGCCACCGAGAGAGTTCACCACAGAGGCCTGCGGCGGTGTCTGGTTTTATGAAACGATCAGTTGCAGAGAGCAGCGGATGATAAGACGGAACATACCAGGCCTGCGGCAGCGCCAGTGGCGGTATTTGCCACAGAGCCGACAGTACCAACTACCGAACCGAGAGCGCCGGTGGCCGATCCCAGCGTGTTAGCAGCAGAACCGACGGCGCCCACAACAGGAGCGACGTTACCGACGACAGGAGCGACAGCACCCACGACAGGAGCTACAGCACCAACGGCAGGAGCGACGGCACCGGTGGTAGGAATAACGGGAGGCACAACGCCTCCGTTGGAGCCGAGAGCACCGACGACAGGAGCGACAGCGCCAGCAGCAGTATCGACGACACTGGGACTGGCGGCGCCCGAGCCGACAGCACCAGCACCAGCAGCACCAGAGCCGACAGGGCTAGAACTGGCAGCGCTGGATCCAACAGAGCCCGCGGCACCTGAGCCGAGGGCAGAGCCAAGCACGGCAGCCACCGGAGCAGCGTCGGGGACCTGCCCAGAAGGTCAGTGAGAGGCACAGACAACAGGTAATCGCATGCAACGAACAGGTCCTAACAGAGGCTAGGAAGATAAAGTCAGCAACGAAGCCAACATCGATGTGATTCCTGCAACATACCGAAGCCATGACAGAGGAGACGAGCACGGCAGAAAGCAGAGCAAAGAATTGCATGGTGAGAACGAACAAAGAAGAGAATGGACAGGTAGGTCTTGTAGTTCGAGAACTGACGTTTCTTCGACGGATCGTGGCCGCTTTTATATCCCACCAGCATTACAGCAGATCCTGGTCGTACGAGGAGTGATTGCTCTAGTTGAGATCAGTTGAAGCACGCCCAGTCTCCTTCTCCGTCGCGCGAAAGCGGAGCGACTAGAAGCAGCTGCAAACGAAGAGCGCAAAGACGGAGGTGGGATGTCAGAATCCGGGCACTCGAAATCCATCAAACGAACCATCGCGAGCCGAAATACATCGCCAACCGACGGCGGATTCCACATCTGGCGCGCGCGTGCACGGCTGTGGAGCGTGGGCAGTCGGCGTCACGCTCTAGCCGGTGCCAATCCGTCGCTCGAGAAGCACGCGCGCAAACGCGTTTGGAGTGGGACCTTGAAGTTCGGTCACGGCGAACTTGGGCGACGTTGACGCGTCGCTGGCTTGGTGGCGCACTTGGCATGGCACTAAGCGTCCGCGAAGTGGGTGTCGGAATCGCCTGCTATAGAAACTCGCGCTAGGCGGAAAGTGTATCGCGCCCTGCGGGTCCGGACTGTATTGTGCACAAACGAGCTCTTGGCCGCTCCGTGGATGCAACGAAGGATGGCGCTGTTGGATCCGGAGACCCGAATTCTTTAGGGCCGCAAGAACGATTGGGTCCAGGCCTGTGCATTCAAATTTGTGCGTCGATCGAGAAGCTTGGCGCGGCTTCTCTCGGGGACTTGAGAAGGGAAGAGAAGACAAGTCCGGCTGCCTGCTCGGGGCTATACAGGGACGTAAGTACGTCGATATCACCCCCAGCGGTTTGTCAATCGAGCAGCTTGCGGAATACTTGGTCAGTAGTCGGACGACCTAGGCTGACACAGTGCACCAACAACTACCGGGATCATTCCTCCTCTCTAGACAGAATCCCCGGATTCAAATCTCGAGTAGGGATTGCCGCCAACCCTCCAAGCTCGAGCAAGTGGAAAAAGCTCAACTTAGATCATGGCGGGAAAACAAGGGCGAGCCTATCTGTGATATCATCAGTGATCATTTTACGTGCTGTGACAGCCTGATGCATCACGGTGATCGCTCAAATCTTCCACTAGATACTAGCACTCTACTACTACTACCGCCACCGGCCATCCTGAGAACTAGCATCAATGAAATCTATGACATACAAAGTAAGCTCTGGGCCGTTCTGTGCCTGAAAAACCAATCATAAATTGTCACACAGACCGTGCCCGGATTCTTTCTCCAAGACGATTTGAACGCTGATCCTGTTGCCATCGGCGCGGTGCGCAAAGAGATTCTTGCATCTAAACTCGAATACTGAAGAGTTTCCAAGGTGCCTCCCCGGTTCGGACTGATCGATGAATCCCCCGACCGCTGGCATAATTTGTACGTGAAACTGGGCGCTCTCATCGAGGAGGGCAGGTCCACAGGCAAGATGTATAAGCTTGTGCTGTTCGGACGCCACGGGCAAGGCTGGCGTGAGTCTTGGATTGCACTTCAGCTCCCATCCCTAGATCATATATTTGGGGCACAGATAACGTCGCGGAAGAAAAGTACGGCACCGTGGCTTGGGACGAGTGCGTTGGTCAAACCATCTCATCATCGTGAAACACCTTAGCTTCGTTCAAGATACTGGGCTAAGCAAAATGGAGACGACGAGCTGACCTGGGGACGTGCGTCTCCCAAGGTTCATGTCTTCGGCTCCCCATCTCATGCTCCTTCAGCTGACCCCGATCTCACTCCGCTGGGCGAAGAGCAGGCTGTTGAAGCTAACAAAGTGTGGAAACAGGAGCTCGAAAACGGGCGCATGACACTCCCGGGTGTCTTGTACAGCAGCCCGATGACCCGTGCGATCCACACCAACCACATCACCTTCTCAGGGATAGACACCAAACGTGTGCTCATTCTCGAGGTACAGTCTGCGAGACCACACCATTTTTCACAAGCTCGACTTCCACAGAACTGCCGTGAGGAATACGGCGAACATACGTGCGACAAACGGCACCCCCGGTCTTTCATCGCTGACAAATTCCGCGAGTTCGACATCGAGGACGGATTCACGGAGGAAGACGAGCTGTACCAACAAGACACCCGCGAAACATTCGAGCACGCCGTCGGGCGCGCCAAAGCTGTGCTCGATAGGATGTTCACCGTCGACGACGAAGCGCTGTGTAAGCCTACTGCTGGTGCCCAGGGCTCCTACGGAAGGTGCTCACAACTTGCAGTCGTCTCAGTCACCGCGCACAGCGGCATCATTAACGCATTCCTCGGCGCTGTCGGTCGGCCGCGCTACGCTCTTCCCACCGGAGGTATCTCAGTCCCTTTCTCTGCTACAGGGATATCCTTTGATTTCCACACTAGGTGTGATTCCAGTGGTCGTGGAGGCTTCTGAACTCTAGACATCGGGATAGCGTCTTTCGTCCAGCCTGAACACAATGCTGTAGGCACGCCCCTCATCCCTTAGATTATTGGCTTCGGTGTAGTTTGCGGTGCCGTTTGTTATCGATAATCAAATCATCAGACGCGGTCATGTGTCAGCCACGATGGGCAACTGATAATTAGAGCGCGTCTATATACTCTGTCATTCATAATAGCGAGCTGGGATGCGTGGAAAACATTACAAATGGAAGCTGTCGCTCGGGACGGGTCCCCGGACGATTCTGGAATATTAAACAATCGCGTGCTTCCGCGACCGCTCCCAGGAGGTTTGGTTCAAGTGTATTTCCGTGAGCGAAACCATGCGACACCGGTTGTAAAAGCTCCGCAACGTGTCTCCTTGATGTCTCCTGTCAAACGGGAAATGAAATTTGACCGCTGATAGCAACGCCGTGGCGGTTCGCGTCAACGTCGCGACCTGAGTTCCACTCTCGTGAAAATCAGATGATGGGCAGCACTCATCATCAGCATTCCTGCTCCCTTGACTGCTCCGTTTAAAATCGATCCCGCCCCTGCGCCGGACAAAATGAAATCGGTGTGGGGCGGACACGTGTCCTGGCGGCCCCAAGGGTAGGTAACCGATAAGGTAACGCCCCTCATTGGCTGCAGAAATGCATTGCCCTCGGATGGCCTCGGTGATGGCCGCGCGATCCGTATTGTTTTCGATGCCTGATGGGGATCACGATGCACCCGAAACAACGGGACCGACCGGCTGCTGGGCGGGCCGGATTTTTTTTGTGTGGGATCTTCCCTCGCGTAAGAATCTAGGTCGCGGAGGTCCTTCCTTAAAAGCCACTCCCTCTGATCGCGCAGGGCCTCGCTTTCACCGCGCCGCGAGTCTCAACGGCCGACCAAGATGTCAGTCCAACCGCAAGGCCCGTATCCCTACCCATCGGCGGCGCCGCCACCCGAGTCCCACCGCCGCTCGCCCTACGATCGGCCGCCGTCCGTGCCTGGTCGCGCTTCGGGCACGCCCCCTCCTCACCCTGACGGCGCCGACCGTGCCAACGGCTTGCCCAGCCCCGCTACGAACGGCGCAGGCCCCCAGCACGCTCCTCCCCCGCCGCACCACTACACCGCCTACGAGCTCCCCCGCGGCTACGGCCCGCCCCCGGGGTACATGTACGGCGCCCCGCCGCCGCCGCCGCCAGGCGGGTACCACCACCACCCCGCCGACCACCGCTACGATGCGCACGCGCAGCACCACGGCTACCCCGCGCCCTTCCCGCTGCACCACGCTGGATATATGCCGTACCCCCCGCCGGGGCCACTGCTCTCTGGCGCCCCGCCGCAGCAACAACACCCAGGCGCGAACGGGAGCCCCAACTTGGGCCCGCCGCCGGGGATGGCGCCTCCCCCCGGCCACGTCGTGCACACGGACGATGCGACGGAGAAAGTGAGCGATCGCGTGCGGAGGAGGTGTTTCAACTGCTGCACGACGGAGACCAGCACGTGGCGGAGGAGTAATCTGAATCCGGGGAAAGTGGTGCGTGGAGCTGTACGATGGCTCTGGGTCCTTACTGACGATCGCTTCGTCCTCCTTTTCTCAGCTGTGCAACAAGTGCGGTCTGTTCGAGCGGACGCACTCGCGGCCTCGACCGGAGCAGTTTCCGCATAAGCGTGGCCCGCTTGGATCTAATCTCAACTCACGAAGCCCTTCTGTTGTGCGTGCCTTCTGCCTTTTGATACGGCCCGCGTGCTTTATCTGACTTGTCCATGCGCGCGAAGGCACCCTACCCGACTTCCTACGCCCCGCCTCCCCCGCAGCCCCAAATGGCATCCATGCCGCATCCGTCCTACCCTCCGCCGATGGCAACGACGACGACCGTTCCCATCCCCCTCATCCCCGCCGAGAGATACTCCGAAAAGCCGCCGGCCCAGGAGATCCAGAAGGAGAAGCCGCTGCCAGTTGGCGAGCCGGCGAAGGAAGAAAAGAAGAGGGAGTCTGCAGGTGACGCGTCCGACAAAATCGACCAGGCCAAGCCGTGATGGCTGCGGACTGCGCGCGCGCGCATATGTCTCGGATCCTATTGATACAGCACGTATACCACCACCTATATAGCATATACTTCGTCGTTACTTGTTCTCGTAGATACTTGCACCTGTAATCCATCGTGGTCTTGAATGACTCGGCTTCTTCTGTCTGCAGCGTGTGTCAGCGGGCGGGCGAGCCACTGGAGTGTTGGATTCTCAATTCGAGTGGATGCATGGGATGAGCTTCAATGGCCAGAACATGTGTCGGATGCGTGCCGTGTCGGGACGTCGTGCCGGTCCCCCGAGTCTTCTGCGCTGCATGAGACACATTTGTCAAGGTATGGTCGGTGTACAGTCCGAGAAGTTGAAGACATCCTCCACGTGGCCAGCCCACTCGGCAGACCGGGCCACTCATGACATTCACAACGGTGTCAGCAACTCTTCCCCATCCCTCGCGTGTGGCTCACTAGGACCAGTCCAGAGTTTGGTCTCCGCTGTCCCTGTGAACTCACAGTGTGGTCTTCAGTCTTGTTATTCTTGAATCTTGCAATATGAGTTCGGAGGTGAACCGGCAATTGTGCTAGATTGTTGCTGACGTATTGACCACCGTTAGAGACGAAGTTTCAAGGTCCAAAGGAACTCTCACTCTCTGGCAGAGCTTATTCATGCCAGTCCGAGTATAGGCTGCACACTGACTCGCCTTTGTCATTACATGATCGCGCATGTGAAACAATCCATCTACTTATTAGAGCGATTGCCGGCAATCTTCAATGTGCGCAGGAGTATCCAGGATCTTTCCGGTTTCATCCGCAGGACGACTCGTAGACCATCGCATCAAAAATACAAATATATTTCACCATCGAGAAAACTATGTCGGCTGCGCCCCAGGACTCGTTTCACACCGCCGATTCTCGATGCGAGATTCTCAACCGTGGGAGTGACAAATCATCTCTCGAAGTTAGCTGATAAGATAAGATACGGCGTTTCCCTCGGGCATCTAAAAGCATCAGAACGCCGCCAGAGCCTTGATTTGCTCTCGATCTTCCTCTGTCCTGCCCGCCAGGATCTTGCCCCTGAGTTCTTCGATGTTCGCACGGAGCCTCTTCCCCTCCTCGCCCCTGGCCTTGGCAAAGACACCGGCGAGCTCTGCACCAGCCGCTTCAGTCGTCCCCGTGATTTCCACGCCCGGGAACCGCAGCGAGGGGCCGATTTGCGGGCCAGCTCGGACCTGTGTTTGTTCTGTGAACGGGGAATCCAATGGTCGACAAGACACCACGGACCTGCAGCAACTCGAACGTGATCGCGGCGGGACCGCTGGAGAGCAGAGACGCGTTGAGGGGCTGCTCGGCACCGCAGGGCCACATTATCAGGGGCACAGCTTGCGAGATCGCTTCGCCAATCGAGCTGGGATGAACAATAAGTAAAAAAAAAAGTCCCCGGAGATGCGAATGAGACTGAGACTGCTTACTTGTAGCCACCGTGCGTCAAGAACCACCCCGTTGCCTTGTGCTTCAAGATGGCGCGCTGGTCGACCCAATAGGAGCATGCGAGCCCGCGTCCGCTGGAGTTGATGCGCTCGATGAGCGGTGCTGGTAGGGAGGCCAGCTGCGAGCCGAGAGCGAAGACGAAGGGGAACGGCTGCTCGAGGGTAAGGAGGGTCTCGACAAGGGTCTCGATGAGGTGCGGGGTCGCGACCGGGAAGAAGATCGATCTGTCTGCTCTCTGAGCGTTCCGTGATTTTGGGTGGTGTAGTGGGGCACGCACCCGAAGGAGATGTACAGCACGGATTTCTCGCCGTGCTCCGCCAAAGCCTTGTCCATGAAAGTCTTCAGCTCTCCTTCTGTCAGCCGCCCCTCCCCATCCTCCTCCCAGAACTTCTCGTGTACCGAGAGCCCGACGGAGAACAGCTTCTTACCCTGCATGCGGTAGAACTCCGTCACGTAAGGCACACCGACGGGCTCGATGTGCTTCGTAGCGGCGCAGATGAATCCGTCGCTGTGTTTCGCTAACATTTGTGCCCCCGTGAGCACTGCACCGAGGACCGGCGGCGCGCCCGCTGCGTGCCCCACGCGCTCGTAGTCGTACATATCCGCGAGACCGGGATGCCGGACGATCATCTTCGACAGGGCGTCTGAGCCGTTCCACGCAAAGGCTACCTAGTCATCATCATCAAAGCCGAATCAGCCCCAACTCCGTAAGATAGACGAATAAAGTCGCATACCGCGTGAAGGATCTCGTCCCTGCTCCGTCCCTTCCTCTTCTCCTCGTCCGCAAAGATGTCGTCGGCGATCCTCGCGAAATCGTACTCGGTGAAATGGCACAGGGCGGACGTAACTCCGGTGCAGAACCAGACGAGCGATTTGATACCAGGGATCGCGAGCTTCGTTTGCTCGATCACGAAACCCCCACAGGCGAAATCGAGCTGTGGGCGGACAAGAAGCGTACGATGAGCCAAAACGAATGATAGTAGAAGTACCACAGGGGATATAAATCGGTGGTGATACCTACGTGGACGGCGTGCGGGACGGGCCAGTCGTCGCTTCCCTGAGCGAACGAAGGCAGCACAACGAGCCAGCCTGTCAAGAGGTGTTCGAGCGCAATGTGGCCTGTCGCGGGTGAAAACGTCAAACTGCAGAGACCACAACCGTAATTAGCAGAGCCCGAAGAATGTGATGGTGATGGTGATGTGATGGATCGGCGGCACGCCCACAGACCTTTTATCGCCGACACCCATGATGCGCAATCGACCGGCATCGTGCGAATAGGACGACATTTCCGCGTCCAGCTTGGCCACTGGCAGAGATTAGGGGGAGAAGTTCGCGGTGTCGAGAAAGACGCACCGATGAGCTCGTGTTGGACGATGGTGATGACGAGGTCTGGATCAGCCTCCAACATGCGTGCGGCGAGATACGTGTACGGCGCGGCGTGTCCCCAGGCGGGCGCGATTATGGCGACGATATGATGTTTTGGGCTCATGGTGGAAGGTGGAAAAGTGGAGACAAGTGGATGAGGTGCCGATTTTATTGGCGCCGGAGACATCGATGCCCCATATTCTTATGATTATCGCTCAGATTTTTATCACCATGGACCATGGTGCTCACGTATCTTCATGGTTCTATGTCTTCGCGGACATCACGTCTCTCGGTATTAGTCAGTACGTCTCACATTAGCATACGCACAACCCATCACCACGAAGTTTTGTCCATTCCCATGGTGTAGCAGTGGGCGGATCGTTGAATTCGAATGTTACGGTGCCTATATCTACCTAATTAGGGATGGCCCAGCCTTACGGAATTGAGTTACATGAATCGCAGTCAGTTACATGAATCACAATCATTGCCTGGCCGCCATTCAAGCGATGAATGGGTAGATCAGTGCCAGTGAGTTCATTAAGGGTGAGAATAGCCAGGAAGCTGAGACGTTCACGAATGCCGAGCGCGACGTTCTGCAGCGAATTCCAATGCCGGTGCGACATCAAAGCCCCAGAAACTCCCAAGCGTCGCTCTCCAGGGATCGTCTGATTCATAGGCAAGTACTCTACGGCATAAATGCCCCCCGCCCCGAGTGTTGATATCAATCGCTGGATCGAGCGTTGTATTCTAGTTTCATCACGCCACATCCGCAGACGACATGCAGCCGTGACCAAACACTGTCGAGACCCGGGAGTTGGAAGTGGAGTTTGGGTAGAACGCGCCGCGTGAAAGGTATGATTGGATCGCAGCATCTGCGTCGCCCAGAAACTGGAAAACGCCAACTGTAAGCGGGTGCGCACTGACCGACATACGCTTCAGCTCGCCACCCACTATCCACCAGCAGGCACAACAGTCTCCGGTAACAGAGATGTAACTGGAAACGGTCATCAGAAGGATATTCAAAGCACATGCACACAACATGAGAAGGGGTGAAGCGGCCGGTAGAACGCGGGGAGGGGTCTGGACATCGGTCACTGATACTCACTCGTTGAAGAACGAATGAAGACGAGGATGACGATAGACAATGATGACCCGGCCGCGTCAGGTGAGCAAAGGCACATTCACGCAACGCCCAAAGCCGCGTGACTAGATTGTTGATCTTCAACACGACTTTGGTCTCCTTGAGTTCGTTGTTGAACCTGACTGGAGCCTGACCATGGTGCAAAAGTACCGAGAATGAATTCCCAACCAATAAACCAGATCAGCTTCTTTCAAAGTCCTCTGGGGACACCTGTTTCTCCTACTGCTGGACGAGATCCAAAGCTTTGTGACATTCTCATGAAATTTCATTCCTATGCTTGAAGAGAGTATATCAGGGTATTACGGCCATGAACCACGGTGCCGTTGTGTGAACTTCCAAAATAGATTCTAGGGTATATTGGGAAGCTGGCTGTTTCTTCCTCGGCGGGTTTCAATCCTTGAGAAAAATTGGCCCAATAATTCTGAGCTACGATATGGGCCGGGGAAATAATTTTGGCCAGATACCTCGATTCCAATTTTTTATTCTGCAGGTACCTGCTTCCTTTAACCGGCTCATTTGTGTGAAAAACTCAAACACAGAACACGCGGTGTTAGACTTTGAATTTTGTGCGTGAACTAGCATCAAAACAGGACATGTAGGAGTTCCGGTTTGGGGCACCTGATACAATCCAACATCACCATACAAAGCCGTAATCAGAGCACAGCCTGAACCGGTCAATCGCAAGATGCCATGCCCTGCCGTCTCATAAGTTTTCTTTTGAAACTGATCTGTAGAGACACAGCACTGACACGAATCCCTGCTCGAGGGTACGCCATTTTTGAAGTGCATCGTCATCCCCGCTGAGTGTCGCAGCAATTCTGTGGTGCAGCTCCCTGACCTCCTGAACCATGTTCCGAAGCACCGCGAACGGGGACTTGCCCGTGATCCTGGCTGTGAGAGGAACAAAGCCCATCGTCTCTCCCGCAAGCTCTTCTTTGTAGTAGCTGGGATTTGATTAGCGAGCCGGTCCAGATGAGAGCTCATTGGACAAACACACGAGAGAATATCATTCGTTAGGCACATGAGCTGGTCCATGTCCGGAAGCGCCTGGATGTAGGAAGCGACACCCGGCACATCCGAGCGGGGAAACGCAGCACACGAGAACCCTGTCGCCATCCCGCTCTTCGTCCGTAGAAAGCCCGGCCAATTTGGTGCGTGAACACTTGGCTCCATGGCTACCACGTGTCGGCGCTGCTCGAGCGCTGTCCCAGTGATGAAGTCGAGAGCAGATGTGGCCATCATCGCTGCGGCCAGCGGGTCCCAGTGGTCGTAGAGCGATGCCAGGACCGAGGGGAACCTTGCGAGCGGCGCAGGCAGGAGCTCAGCTTTGCCCTGGAGAAGGGCCCGGTGGAAGTTCTCCAGGATATCCCTGGATCCGGACGCGATGTCATCGATGTAGAAGAAAAACCTGCGACCAAGCTGAACCCTAGTTACAGCGACGCAAATGCCAGCTGACGCACCAGGCATATAGCTCGAACGACATCTTTTGCTCGAAGCCATGGTCAAAGTAGAAGAACTCCGTCGAATTCAGCGCAAAAGCCGAAGATATCAATGACTCACTCACCTCAACGACTGAGGCCGCCTTCTTTGAGATCGAATCCACATCTAGGTCACAATCCTCCGTCCCTCGGTAGCTGCTTCTGATCTTCACGTTCAAAGCGTTGCGGATGCGCTCAATCAAGTTTGTGGGCTCCATCTTCTCGCGAGGCGAGACGTAGCCAACCGCATCCAAAAGAGATTGGATGATTTCACGCAGTTCGGGCTGCCAGATGGTTTCAGCAGGAGGGTGTAAGTGTTACTCAGCACGAAGAGACTGCACCCGAAGATTCCCACCGCAGTCTTGTTCTGAAGTCATCCCAGTCTCGTTGCTGTCTTCTTGGAAGAGCGGTCGGATCTACCTGTAGAGATCTACCTGTAGAACAGCCCTTTATACTCTGGCCTCGAAGCACCTGCACTCAAGTGCCCAAACTGCGGATACCAGGCCCGGCATCACAGGCACATCTATCAAATGGAGGAAACAGTACAGCCAACTCCATCTCGAGATAAATGGCACCCGGGCTCCCAAACGCGTTTGACGTCTCAGGTTCCGAAGGCGGTGTGGTGACTCCTTCCCGCTTTGGAACGTACGGGGGAATCATCGAGTCGAAGGTACAGGAGAAATGTTGCCTGCACGCGTATGAAGCCTGGGTCTTTCTTCAAAAACAGCAGCAGCCAAGAAGTGCGTGATTGGAAGATCACTGCCCAGTGTTCCCACGGACACACCACACCCCGAATCAGGAGGCAATCTGGCAGGCACGAATAGTGGCAATTGACAGCAGCAAAGGCAAGCCTTTTTCTGCCACTCGTTTGTGCGTTATTCATAGCGTAATTGTAATTGCACAGCTTTCTCTCGATATCAAAAAAAACAAAGACAAGGATTAGAGTTGAGCACTGCAAGGCATCGAGAATGTGCTGATGACGAGCAGCCGAGTGATGTCAAGTCGGCGCAAGATGATCCCTGGATTCGAATCTCTTGCTCTCACCATCCCATCAGAGAACATGATCTTCCAACCAAGCACCATTCGGCGCCTCTTGGCGCCGACCACTAGATGATCACCTAGGATCACACAGGAGTGACAGATGATGGATGCTGTTGTCTTCTCGGAACATACGGGCCATCAGCGTGCCGACGCCTGCACGGTCACATGACCAGATGACATCTCGCATGTGGACATCAGACGCGATAAAATCTTCATGTGATCCCGACACGAGAGCGTTTAGGTCTTGAATCATGAGAAAGGAGAGGAACTCAAATCGCGGCCGCTGTCGTGCATGCACATGACAGACTTCTGCCTAAAATTCGCCGAACAAAATGGGATCCGGCGGATCCGTTGCCGCTGATCTCCCAGAATAGCCAGAATGTCCCCAGGTCTAGATCTTTTCAGAATCCTCATAATCATGCTAAGAACAGCTGTGCGCATCAAGATAGGCTATGTGCCGATGACCAGGCCTGGTCTGTCTTCTGACTCTCGAGACCTCGTGAGATCAGGTGGACGCGTAGATAGCTGTACCCCACGATCCGTGGTACTCTGCCCCCACAAAATTGAATCCACACTTAGATTCATTGATTATCATCGAGATCCGCGATACTCACAGCGTCAGCCATTCCATGGTTAGTTCAAAGTATTATTGGTGATCTGACATTCGCCATGTCGGATCTCGTTTTCACCGCGAATGTCATGGAGCTTGCGGGATCCTATTGCACATATCAGTGACTCGCCCGAGTAAAGCAGTGCAAACTGGGAATACAGCACTGTGGGATGAACACCTGAGTCATCATTGCTGAACAATTGCCCACTCGCTTTTTGCCTACGTCATCCCAAATCCCGATCTGTAATGGCGAGATACAGCACGATAGCTGTGTGAGGCCTACAGCTTTTGACCTTCAAAAACAGACCTATGTATCTTGGTCATTTCGCCGGACATCCTCAATCTCCATCTCCGTATTGTTACGACTCTCTCCCCATTTTGCGACTTGACACGAAAACAGTCATCATGCGCAAATCCTTCGTTGGGCTTGTACTTGTCACTATCTTTCTACTCGCATCTCGCTCGGCCACACTGGTGGTCCTCCCGGACTGCGCGTTCTCAACCCCGAGTATGACAACAAGCAACGGGCCCGCGCACTCCGCACTCACGATTGAGAGTTCACCGCTCGGAGAAGTCAGTGAGACGCTGCAGAAGGAGGAGCTGGACGACGCACATTGGGATACTGGGCCAGCGGCAACCCCCGACGCCAACGCCGCGATGACCCCCAGCACTTCCGGAGGACTCTCGAAACGAACGGTGTTCGAGATGGCCGCAGCGCTTCGTGCGTCCACTCCTCGTTCCCTCTCTGACTGATGACGTCAACTCGACTGCAGTCCTATTCATATCCATCGTCACCGCATGCATCGCATTGGGTATCAACCCCCGTCGCATACGCGCCCATCCGCCTGTGCAGCCAGTCGCTGGGCATCCTCCACAGGTTTCACACGCACCGATACCTCTGGCCGTCATCCCGAATCGCCTTGCACACGCAACGGTCGGATTCGGCTACTCTGTGCGAGAGTAGCGTCGTGCGTGTAGTCCCAGTGTCCCTCGTGATTGCCATTGATCTGCTCGCAGGATGATAGAAGCTGCTCGGCACTGACAGTCAAGCTGCTTCGAGCCAGGCCCATGTTTTTTCCATAATTTATATGTCGAGCAACGCTTTCGTACCGCTGTGGTCAATGCTATCCGTTGCTTTCGTAGAACGCACAACACATACCTGGTGCACAACAGAAGCCAAGTCGGCCATGGTCGAGTCCCCGCCCTTCCAGCAGCAACAAGATAGCCCCATGCAATCCCACGCAACGCACTCCGATCGATTCCCCAGACCACGCACCGCGAAGCCCTCGACGACAGCCAGGTCCTCGCAGAACAAGATAGATCCGTACCCGCCGCTCAGTCCGTCGATACGCTTGTTGACCCCGTCCTTCTGCTCGCCTGCGATCGGTTAATACCGCCTCTAACACCGCTGCTGCTGCTGCGCGTACCTTCGAGGCCCGCAACAGTCGCCCTTCCGAACGCCCACCCGGTGAGAAATGAGAGTCGGTATCGGATGGAGGGCCTCGGGAAAGTGTGCGCAGAAAGCATGATGTCGACTAGGCGAGGGGATGAGAACAAGATGCGAGTCAGCCGCTCGCTCGCGCTTCGAGGAGCGTGGTTGTTGTAAAGTGCGCGGTCCCGGATACAGACTCGTCGCCGTTTCAGCCGAGTCCGAAGGCGACTGTGGCAAGGAGCTGTCCGTAGACCATGGAGGAGTAGGAAAAGATCCAGCGACCGATCTCCGACTTTGCGCTTTGGTGGTTGCGGAGATTTGCGGGGCTCACGCCGTTACCGGATGGGAGCTCATTGTAGATGATGCTAACATTGCGGCGAGCATGCTCGCTGCAGCGATTCCTTGGTAGTGAAGCAGAATGGTCGCCCTCGGGTAGTGGAAGTAAGTGGGGGATTACAAGACTGATCGCATCGCGCAGTGCCAAAAACAGTCTTCCCGAAGCAGACATTGAGCGAAATATACTCAGGACTTGCGCCATCGAGGACTGGTGCACTGAATGACCTGTGAATTGTCCGCTTCAACGAGACCGGCACCGAGCCGTCAATCAGACCTGGCTCGCAGATTTCGAGAAATTATCTCGCCTGGCATAGACCTGATTTTCTATATGGAGTTTTTTTTTCGGCCCGAAGATGAGTGGGAAGTCAATGAACACGGAGTACAGAAGAAATGATTCGTTTACGCATATGCTGGGGTTCTTTTCCAAAACAAAGGCGACCACTGCAGAAAAGCAGGAGTGACAGATGATGGATCAGTTGCCATCTAGCAGCACGTGGACCATTAGCGCGCCAAAGCATCGCGGTCACATGACCTATGTCATTTCTTAAGTGGTCATCAAAACGCGGGTCATCACACGCGATAAATATACCGGTGAACTTCTGACATTGAAATAGGGTATATATAGACTCTGGTAGAGACCTAATGAGCTTTTTAAGCTCTCCTTCTCCTTCTTATATTTGCAGCACAGTCCGATGCTCGAATTTTCACAAATATAACTCGGTCCGGCTGATGGGCAGCCGTTGATCTCCCAGAATGGACAGGATTTTCCAGAAGAAGGGCCTTGGAGGTGACGTATGCATGGACAGCTATTCGTCAACAACAGAATGAGTCAGCAACGAGATACTCGTCTCTGGTGATCGAAGCGCACCCTGAACATTACTGTGCGCGCATACCAAAGCTGTGCTCCTGAAGATCTGTGGATGGCATGTTAATATACTTGGCAACGCATGTTTTTCGTGCGTCAGGTACTGCGGAATGTTACTGCGCACGCCAGTAGGGCACCCCACATACCAATGCCCGGGTAGCAAGATCCGCATATCCAGCAACACTCAGTTCCTTTACTCACCAAGAGGTGATCTATTCTGGCCTTTACCTCAAATATCGCCACCCATCGCAGCCCGATGGCCTGCGCGCCAAGACCAGCGAGTTGCTACACAATACACTACAGATAGATTAAAGCCCTTGTCGCATCTGTCCTATCGTGGGAGAACTTTAGTCTGAGGCACACGCGCCCCGTGTGTCCTGTCAAAAGCTCGCACAGTTGGACCGAGAAGCGGTGTGCGGTCCAGGAAAGGCTGTGAAAATTTCCCCCGTGCAGAGTAACACCCATCGTAGGACCGCGATTCGACAATGAAGATCTGGGTATCGACGATTCCTCAGAAGATGGCTGCTGCTGTTCAATGCGATAATCGTTTTGGCGATCGATAAGAGCTTGAAATGGTCGGTTTCCCGAGGAAGCTGTAGAGTTCGCTGCGACTGCGATGTTTGAGCATCTCAATGTTTGTTACCAGGGGAGCAGCAATGTGCCTGCGGTAACGCGTTTGCGCCTTCGTATGTCTATCTCAGTCTGCCATACCTCCAGGTGGGGATGGTACTGTCATGCACGTCGCCGATCGAAACCCGCGCTGAAGAGTTGGGGCCAAAGAATCTGTCCCGCCACCCTGCATGTGTATCCTCGTTATTTACTCCGTTAGTGCCGTAGTTGTCAGAGATGAGGATGCTCCCCATATGCAAAGCTGTATAGAATTTTTTCCATAATTAGGGTTCCGTAAAGTGATGTATTGCACCCGTCAACTCTGACTGTCAAGTCGATTTTCCAGGTGTAAGAATAGGAATAAGAGGTCAAAGCTGTGCACCGTAGCGAGGCCATTCGCACTACAAATAGGACCGACCCGAAATCGGCCATGGTCTGCAACGTTTCCAAGTTACTCCGCTATCCTGACTTCTACTCTCAGAGCGAAATAACAACTATGCGTCTATGCGCGCTACGAACTTGGATGTTATCTGTCCTCGCTCTACATTGGGCTACGTTTTGGGCCCTCGCCGCTCCGGCGTCTTCGATCACGAATATGACAACAATCAACGCCACACACTCCGCGCTCACGATCGACAGCTCACCGCTGGGACGAGTCAAGGAGACGCTGCAGAAGGAGAAGCTGGCCGCCGCGCTTTGTGATACTGCGCCAGCCACAAGCCCGAGTCGCTGCGCCGCGATGACCCCCAGCACTTCCGGAGGACTCTCGAAACGAACGGTGTTCGTGATGGCCGCAGCGCTTCGTGCGTCCACTTCTCCCTCTCTGACACCAATGACGAGAACCCGACTCCAGTCCTGTTTATATCCATCGTCACCGCCTGCATCGCACTCGGTGTAAACCCACGCCCCATGCGCGCCCATCAGCCTATGCAGCATCCACACGTGCAGCCAGTCGCTGGGCATCCTCCACAGGTTTCACACGCACCGATACCTCTGGCCGTCATCCCGAATCGCCGCGCACATGCAACAGTTGGGTTCGGCTTCTCTGTGCGGCAGTAACGTCGTGCGTGCAGTCCCACCATCCCTCGCCGATTGTCATTGATCCGCTCGCAGGAGGATGCAGGCTGCTCGGCACTGACCGAGAGCCCAGCCACTTCGAGCCTGATCCACGTTTTTCAATGAGTTTAGATGTTGTATAAGGCTTTCATATTGCTGTGGTCAATGCTATCTGTTGCTTCCGTCGAGCGTACGATTCATACGGCCGTATTTTCCCGGCCTCGCAGCAGCAACCGGATCGCCCCATGCAATGCCACGCGACCGTGCATTCGAATCGATTCGCCAGATCACGCCCACAGTCGCCCTTCCGACCGAAAACCTGGTAAGAATTGAGAGTCGGTATCGGATGGAGAGCCGCGCATGACTGTGCAGAGCGTGCCAGATATTGACCAGGCGCGGCGATAAAGAGGAGGCGCGAGTCAGTCGGTCGCACTTTGATGAGCGCTGTTGTCTAGAGTGCGCGTCCCAGATCCAGGGGAGGCGTAGTTCCAGACGATTCCGAAAGAGAATGTGACAAGGGGTTGCTTGTGAACCTCGGAAGTGCGGGCAAAGATCCAGCAACCTATGTCCAAAGTGGCGCGTTGGCCTCGAAGACTCGCGGGCCAGGCGCCTCCACGGGATGAAGCTTTGAAGGCTCATTCCGACATTGCAGCAAGTATGCACGCTGCAGCAGCTGTCGTGTGGTAGTGGAGCAAATGAGTCACCCCGAGGGTGGTGGAAGTATGGGAGGATCCACGATTGATCGCATCACGCCAGAATGTCTTGCACGGGTACCGATCTCTTTCTCTACTTCAAAGTATGTATCGAGTATTGTTTCTGTTCTTGGCGCGGAGATTAGTGGGAAGCCCATGAACACGAGTAGCCGGAGGCACAAAAGAAATGATGCGCGCGCATATGAAGCCCGAGTTCAAAAATAAGCAGCAGTGACAGATGTGCCCCTCTCTCGAAATACTGGTGCTAACGCCGAGGCCTTCAGGGTCACATGACCTATCGACACTCCCGTGAAGCATCAAATGCGCGTCATCACACGCGACAGATATTTGTGTGATCTCTCCGCGTCGACAAGGGGTAGAGTCGGACTCATGCAGAAAGTCCATGAAATTTTGTAAGCCCATTCCCTTCTGTTTGCGCGCGCAACTGTCCGCTGTGAGATTTCTGATCGAGCTAACTCTGTCTGGCAGCTGTCATCCCGTAGATATCCGGCAATGGACCGAACCTCCCGGATAGTGAGAGCCTCCCGGGACGAAGAGGACTTCTCCAAAAAAAGCCTCGGTCGGAACAAATGTGTGGCGATGTGGAGGGTCCTATCATCGATGACAGCAATGTGTTAGTAACGAAGGACTACGGGTATCCCGGGATCCGAGATACTTACAGGGCCAGTCCATCCACAACGGTGTCAACGCCTAATTGGCGATCTTGCGACCGTATGCTAGGCAAATGCGGGCCGTTTCAGCGCCCTCCGTCTGACACGTTCCTGTCGCAATGACCACATAACGAGATCTATCAAAGCAATCCGGTGATATACCACCGTGGAGGATCCATTCCTTAGTAGTTTCACTCAGGCAGACTGGCGTGCTCTCCAAGATCCACAGTCACCGCAAAGAAAAACGGCACCGCCTGCCTGCAAGCACTTCAACGGGCTGCGGATTACACTACATCACCAAGATGTGAAGTGCATCTACCCCGTGGGCCCCCGTGGGCCCCCGTGGGCCCTTCCCACGTTTTATCATGGCGGCATCCTTGCCCATGTTCTCCCGTTCTCAATCTTTCGGCAGACGGACGCAGACAACGTGCCGGATCCAGGAAGAGAAATTGTACCTCAGATCTTCGAGCAGATACTCAAGTGATTGACGCGAGAATACCACCTGATCATGGGATAGTCTCATTCTGAGTTTCTGACATGCCCCACGACCGGTGAGATAAAAAAAAACTCCCGTTCAGGCTGGGCTGGGCGATAGACGCCGGGCTAATCTGCTTTGCACCTCCAGCTGTGTCTGCATGGCACGCACACAGCCCCAGGTTCCAATCTGCATGCGTTATCAAGCTTTCATTTCTTTGGAAAGAGGTGAAGGCTGTGTAGCCTCTAGAGCACTTCAAATACGATCGACCCACCACCAATCAGTGTCTGAAATCTCCCCGGACTACCTGTCTCTGCTTACACGTCTCTTGAGAACGAGATCATGACGCTGGCTCTTTCTACCCCTAACTTTTGGATGATGCTTGCATCTGCTTTGCATTGGGCCACCCTTTCGGTCCTCGCTGCTCCTAAGACATCGATCCCGAGCATTGCAACAATCGACGCTGCCTACTCCACGGCCATGGTCGGCGGTTCATCGCTTGCGGCATTCAACGAGACACTGCAGACGGCGATCCTGGACGTCGCGCTTCCTACAAGTCGACCATCCGCGACCCCAAGCCCCAACGCAGCGGCAACGTCCAGCACGTCCGACGGCCTGTCGAGAGAAACAGCGCTCCGGATGGCAGCAGCGCTTCGTGCGTCCGGTCCTTCTTCCCTCCCTGCTGATGACGGATACCCCAGCCCAGTCTTGTTTATGTCGGTCACCGCCGCGTGCATAGCATTCGGTGCCAACCCACGTCCCAAGCACGTCGAACCCCTTGTGCTGCCGGTCCCCGCGCACGATCCGGCAGGCGAACGCGCGCACCGATACCCTCCGGCCGTCATCTCGCATTGCCCTGCACATCCAACGGCGGGTTCGGCTGCTCCGTGTGGCAGTAGCGCAGAAGGTGCAGTTCCAGTGTCCCTCGTCGATTGTCATTGAGCCACTCGCAGAATGATACAGGCTGCTCGGCACTGACAACCAAGCTCTTCGAGCCCATGCTTTTTCAATAATTTATGTGTCGAGCAACGCTTTCGAAATGCTGTGAACAATGCTATATCTTACTGCAGTAGAGCACACAACACATACGTGGCGCGCAACAGAAGCCACGTTGGCCGTGGTCGAATCCCTGCCCTCCCAGCAGCAACAGCATCGCCCATGTGATGCCGCGCGATCCTGCATGCCAATCGATGCGCCAGACCACGCCCACAGTCGCTCTTCCGACGGAAGGCCTGGCCAGAGACGAGCGTCGGTATCGGATGGAGGGCCCCGTTACAGTGTGCGGAGAATGCTTGTTGTCGGCCAGGCGCGGCGATAAGAGCAAGACGCGAGTCAGCTGGTCGCGCTTCGAGGGGTGTCTCCAGCGACCGATGATGAGAGTTTGCGCTGTGGTCTCGGAGACTCTCGAGGCTCATGCGGCCACCGGATGGAGATTCATTAAAGGCGGTACCGACATTGCGGCAAGTATGCACGTTGCGGCTCTTCTGTGGCAGTGGAGCAAAGGGGTCCCCGGTGGGTGGTGGAGGTACGAGCGGATCCATGATCGGATCATACGGTATGCCGGATATGGGTCTTCCCGAAGTAGACATCGCACTCGATGTACTCAGGACATGCGCAATCAGGGACTTGAGCACTGAACGGACCTGGGATCTGTCCGCTTCAATGAGACCAACACGTAGCACACCATCTAGAGGTCCTGTGTTACACCTTCCTCGCCGGTTTCGAACAGGGTATCTTACCCGGTGCAGATCGCGTTGTCTACAGCAAGGTTTTTTGTTTCTGGCGCAGACATTCTTATGGAATCAATAATGACGATACCGCTATGTTTTACAGCTATGAAAAACATACCAACAGCTTTTGGTCCTTATAGCTTTCGGCGTCTATTCGTCAGCAACTCGATCTCGATAAGCGCCTAAGAGGAGCATATATGCCTGAATACAGGGAGTGCATATAAGCCTCCGCCATGTTCTGTCCGGTTTTCCTATATCTCCGTCCCTGCACGTTTTGCCATCACGCCTATGAGACTATCTGCAGTTCTGACCCTCAGCACCCTTCGAAACGTGGCCGTCCTTGCAGTCTCAGTCCCGAGCCAGACAGGGAGCGCAACACGCAGCCAGAGCGCGTTTGCACAGACAGTCGTGCAGACGTTGCTGGTAAGCCACCTCCGTCACATCTGCTGCGTTGACTGAGCCCGCCTATGCAGCCCACCTCCGCCTCTCAAGTACCAACCCTGCTCGACGGTGACGACGACATTGGCGGGCTGTCCCTGCACACGTTCATCGGAATTCTCTTCGGATTGTGTTCGTGTCGCCCATCCTGACTGCTCAGCACGGGCGCCTGTTGCTGACCGCCCGCAGTCCTGCTGGCGATCTTGATCACCGCGCTCCTGGTCCTCGCCAAGCGCAGAGATGGGCCCGTTAACCAGCAGGCGCAGGCCTGCTCGTGGTTCCCCAAGATCCAAATGACTCAAGCCCCCAATCCAAACCCCGTGCGCGATGTTTAGTGTGAGCCTGTCCCCGTTCCAATTTCTGGCGCGTTCTGAGGCCCCCAAGACCCTATCTTCTTCATTGCATTGCTGTCGTCCATGCTTTAGTATTGCTTTGCTGTCTTCCATGCTGTAGTATCGCTTTGCAGTGTTTGTCCTATTCTTCTGCCGTTTGCAACAGTTATTTTGCTGTTCCCCGTCCGCGCAGACCCAAGACCCTTTAGTCAGTTTTTTTTTGTATTGCCGTCAAGTTCCTTATGCCATACATCGATCCCTATGATATGCAATATATGCCCATGTCCATGAACAGCGCGCTCTCGGAAGATGCGATCCGTCGAGGCCTGACATACCCGTTCCTAAACGTCAGGTTCGTGAGTCCGACACAAAGAGGAGACAGCAAGCAGCGCACCGATTCGAGTCTGCCACTCCATCGTACCGTTTTCGCCTGCCAAGGCCCGAGATTGTAGGCACTGCAATGAGACAGGTGAAGAGATTGGGCGGTGCGTGATATGAGCGCGCGGAACAGCCTGAGCGTCCGACAGAAGAGTTCGTCACACGTCTGCTGTGCGGAACCACTGCACCCTGCCGAAAGAGCTGCCCTGTGGCCACAGCATACAGGTTCATCAACACAGGCGCAACATATCAGAAACGTTCGAAGCAAGGGCACATCGGGCCTCCACAGCTTGAAATCGTCTGCATCCGGGACGACTGCGGTGTGTCAGGGTGGATACAGCAGCAAGGCTGCCAAGTACTACGCACCTTCTGATTCGGCCTGTGCAAGTCGAAATCAGACGTGAATGCGTGGATATTGGTGAGGCATTCTCAGCGCGGCGTGCGTGGGTTTCGCGGGGGGCTGAGACTCGAGACGCCCAGCGCGGAGCGAACGTCGTGACATCAAGGTAGAAAACAGGAACAGAGGGCAGCACGTTGAGCGGGAATGCTGTCCTCAGCAGCTTGTCCTTTAAGTCTGTGCCCTTGGTGCCGTGCGAGTCACAGCAGTGGGCGGCAATCGAGAAGCGAGGCAGCCTCGCGGCTGAAGGGAGGTCGGGGCCCGGGAGCGATTGGAAGTTGTCCCTGTTTGCTCCCATGTCAGACTTGGCGAGATGAACGCGGTCCCGTCACGGCACGTGCGACTAGGTCACTTCCATCAATGCGCGCCTGGAACGCGGCTCATTTTGCACGTGATGGCGACAGCCTAGCCGCCAGCCGGCGATTCTGCTGTCGAAATCCGCGTCCTCGGGCTTCCTCGACCAGCTCCACAGCTTCTTGTCTTTCGAATCAGGTTGAATTGAGAGTCGCGGCGTCCATGTGGAACTCTTGTCGGGCTCAATGGCAGTATCCTGAAGATTTTTCCGCGCTAGTGCCTTGCTCTGTTTCTTCAAAAGTGTAAAAAAGTGGCTTATTCACTTTGAAAACCCTGCGCACGAAGATGCCGACTTGTGACCGAATTCGTAGCCATGCTGAATGAAGTTGCGGCGGCCGTCCTGTTATGTGGTTCACGGCTACCCGTCGCCGACAAGACTGATTGTTGCGGCCGGTTGCCATCTATACTCACTCAGCTGAGGTGGAATTTCCGGAACAAGGACTAAGATACAGAAAAAATAGCCTGTCAGTTTGATGTTTTGAGAGTTTCCGGTCTTCATCTCATTTGTTTTGTATTCTCCAGGTAAGTATTCCAAACAACAGCGACGCCTTTTATGTAAGCGGGATGAGGTGAGCGTTAGATTATAGATATCGAACGATCTCTGGATCTAGCCGAAGATGGCAATCCGAATCAATCCGGTCTGCCGCCGGGCTTCTCATTCGGCTTCCTCCCGGCTCCGACTACGTGAATGCCTGCTCAGTCCATGCCATCGCAAGACGTGATCCACCACCTCATTCCTTTTCTCACGGAATATGCTCAATCTGGCGATTCGCGGAGGCCGTGCCTGTCTCGCCCAGTCTTCTACATCCGACATCATCATTTTTCCGTGTCTGCGGGAACGCGCCGGGGTGCAACAGACGCGCGTGACAGAGCTCATGACCGCTCAAGTGCTAGGGCTGCAAGCTTGTGAAATCGGCCGCTGGTAACGGGTGGGAGAGTCCCCATATAAGAAAAGGTCTATATAGGGCATGTACGACGAGTGCGTGCCTGTGGGTTTTCTCGACCTGCTCACATACCTGCAAAGATGCACCAGGTAATGCGCGGAATCATCGCATCGGCTCTTCTGGCTCTGGCCATTCCTGGTGCGATTGCTGCCCCGTCGGTCAAGCTGGACAATGGGACGTTCACGGGGAAGACACCCTCTCTGCGCACGGAAGGTTTCTATGGTATTCCGTTCGCTCAGCCGCCGTATGTTCCTCTTCCTCTCCAAACCTATTCGCGGCGAACTCCATCTCCTACAGGGTTGGGGATCTTCGATTCCGGCTTCCTGTGGCCAACTCCCCTTACACCGGCACACACAATGCGACGGCTTTCGGTCTCTCGTGCCCCCAACAGGCAATTGCCCTGCCTATCCTCACGGGTCTGCCGCAACAAGTCATTGACACAGTCGTCAATTCGATCTTCGGCCTCGTGTTCCCTGCATCCGAGGACTGTAAGGCCCTGTCGCATGCAGGAATACGGCTCATTACTAATATCTTTACTTTAGGCTTGACGATCAATGTAATCAGACCGGCTGGGACCCCCGCGGGAGCCAAGTTGCCTGTCGTCGCGGTGCGTCCTGGCTCCGATAATTCTCCAAGGATGATGGCGAATGTTATCTTATCGAGTAGTGGATTTTCGGCGGAGGATTCGAACTGGGGAGCCCGTCCATGTGCGTTTTTCCATTAATCTGCGAGATCCTCAGCTCATCTTGACAGGTACGATGGATCCGTAATCGTCGAGCGCTCTATTTCGATTGGAAAGCCCGTGATCTACGTTTCCATGAACTATCGGGTTGCAGGTTCGTTTCTGGTCAGCAGTCAGAAGCACCCAATTGACCTCGTGACAGCCTTTGGTTTCCTTGCCAGCGCTGAAGTTCGCGCGGCCGGAGTAGGAAACCTCGGTCTTCAAGATCGTAAGTCCGTTGTGACACGCACAGAACTGTACTGTGCTCAGTCGGTATAGAACGGCAGGCGTTGCGCTGGATCCAAAAGTACATCTCAGCCTTTGGAGGAGACCCGACAAAGGTCACCATCTGGGGGCAGGTTTCTCCCCTGCGTGTACCCAGGCTCGGTCATTCATCTTCGACAGGGAGTCCGCGGGCGCTATTTCTGTCGCACTGCAGATGTTGGGAAATGGAGCGAACACAGAAGGACTGTTCCGCGCTGGTTTTATGGAGTCCGGATCACCCATCCCCGTCGGGCCGGTCGAGAATGGCCAGAAGTGTACGTCATAGATCGTTATCGATCAAGCACTCAGATCGTGTGCACTGAATCTTCCGCATAGATTACGATCAGATTGTGCAGCAAACCGGATGCGCCGGGGCGAGTGACACGCTGGAGTGCCTGAGAACTGTTCCATTCGCATCGTTGAAAGCTGCGCAAGACGCCACGCCCTCCATCTTTGCGTATCAGGTGAGTTTCCCACAGGTCCCAGCGTACCGGCATTGACACACGCCAGTCTCTCGTTCTGGCATGGATCCCGCGTGAGGACGGCACGTTCTTGAAGGGGAATCCGCAGAGCCTCGTGCAGCAGCTACAGGTAGCCAAGGTCCCATTCGTGACTGGTAAGCAAATATGACCGGTCTGCGTATGAGAGCCTCATCACTTGTCAAGGTGACTGCGATGATGAGGGCACTCTCTTCTCGCTGTCCACTCTGAATCTCACGTGAGTTCCCCTCCATTCGCGGAAATTCGCATACGAATCGATATTCTGTTAGAACCGACACTGCCTTTGCTGGGTGGGTCAAGCAGTTCTGGCTCCCGTCGGCTTCAACCACCCAGTCCAACACCTTCCTCTCCCTCTACCCAAGCAACATATTGGACGGCTCGCCCTACGACACAGGTCTGCTCAACGGCATCACGCCCCAATTCAAGCGCATCGCCGCCTTCCAGGGCGACGCAGTATTCCAGGCCCCGCGCCGCTTCTTCCAGCAGACATTGTCGGGGCGCCAAAATCAATGGGCATTCTGTACGTTTCAACTAACTTGCATGATCCGTTTGCTGACATATCTTGAACAGTGAGCAAACGCGAGAAAGCCGTCCCCCTCTTGGGTTCATTCCACGCATCCGACATCCTCAACATCTACGCGGACGGGGAGCTCACTGATTATCTCATCTACTTCACAAACAACCTGGATCCGAACGGGCCCACAGTGCCCAGCTGGCCCGCGTATACCAAGGCCTCGCCGAACATGATGACATTCTTGGATGGGCTGATTCCGACGACTATCAGTCAGGACACGTACCGGGCGGCAGGGATGGCGTTCCTGACCAACATCACATTGCAGTTCCCGGTTTGAAGGAGCGAGCTTACGATTCATGGACCCCATCTTTCTTGGGCATGCCAATTCAAATTCCGCGCTGATGGTAGCGACAAGTCTTATATCTTTATGTCCTAGTGGACTTTCTTTTTGGTGTCTACGTCAAAGCGGCCTTGCGTGCTGATGTGATATACTGTGAAAATACGTGTCGCCACTCCCCATCCGTCAAAATCTCCAGAAAGCCTGTCTCGGCATTTCAGAAGTTGGATCGTGCTTAGACTTGTACCAATGTCCTCTGACCAGGTTTTACGGTGATTGCGCCTTTACAGAAGCTGCTGGAAGCTTCGGGGGTCAGTTGCGGGGCCGGCCTTGGTTTTTGAAGTGACCACTCCGACATAGCCAGGGCATTTCCATTTATATCAGTAGATTTCACGGTAAATTCGTGCTTTGGATGATGCAGGGGAACTTACAGGGCTGAGAGTGAAGCTTAAGGAGCAGATTTACAACTCCGCGGAGATCAACAATCTCACAATTCGCGATCAATCAATCAGGCTCGGCTAGCAGCGGCAGCGTCTCCATCAGATTACTTCGGACACTCCCGAAGCCCTATTACCGTTCTCCAGCAGTCTAGTTCTTGAAATTCGCCGCTCCGCCAGCTACCGACCGCATCGTGGCTGAAACAATTCCCGAAGGACTCCACTGCAACCACATGAATGGCGCGCTTGGTGGGTGACGATCAACGCGCTGACTTCCGTGATCGATAGTTCGCACGTCCACAAAAATCGACGAAACGGAGCCTATAACCGAGTGATTAGTCATTGGTCTTCCACTCAAGCAATGCTATGGAACCGGAACTACTAACGAATGATCGAGACTGAAATGACCGGTCATAACTAACCACAAGCCAGTCCAATTACAGCCACTGCATTCCCAGGGTAGGTAGTCTCAGATCATGGACTACCAACTTCGGCTATTCTCGGCAGATGTCGTCCTATGTCGTCCCACTTTCCTGGGTAGTCCCTTATGTAACGCCGGATGACTACTGTGGACTCCCACGTCTGAGGTTATTCTTGACATTCTAGCCTGGTCTAGCCCAGTTCGCGCCCACGGTAGTCCAATCCCATCTCACCCGGCGCCTATTCAGCTCCCCGCGCCCTGCGCTCCTCAGTGGCTCCTATGTAGTACCTTTGATGACCCAGTGACACTTCGCTCGGACATCAATCTGAGAGCACGACTGTTGACAGTGGTATTACGTAAGGAACAAATGCCAAGATGAGACGCTGAGAGATGAGGGTGTCGGTATCTGCCATTGGCTGATGCTGGTAGTCCACGGTGGTTCATAGACAGACTACACAGGTAGCCCAGATATCGGTCCCGGGCGCCCATGATGTGGACCGATATAGGTAGCCCACGTGCGTCGACCTGTCTAGCCCATCATCGCCCACACTCGGCTACTAATCGGTCCCACGCGCCCACGTGAGGACTACCTATCCTGGGAATGCAGTGAGCATGGCCATCATATCCTGTTTTGCTCTAATATGTCGGGTTGCTTTGTAGCCGAATAGTTCGACACTCCCACCGCCTGCTAGTGTCGAAGGCTGACCCGCGCCGGAGATTTGGAACTGGGTTTGGATCGTATCCGTCGAAACCGCCTCTGTCCTTCAAACACATTGCTTTTGTCGGCTTGAAATCGAGTTGGCGTTTCGACACTCCGCATGCCAATCGGCTGCTCAAGAGGTTTAAAAGCGTGAGCGCAGATTCCCCAGAGTCTTCACCGAAGGTCTTTCCCCCCCATCGATACCGAGTTCCATAAGCTATTCGACGATGGTCCGTCTCAACCTACTCGCTGCTGTGCTCTCTGCTCTCGCCCTCGTCTCGAACGCTGTGTCCATCAGCGGACCTGGCTCTGCCCCAGACCTCAGCAGCGTCAACATCGTCAACGAGCTTCCCGCCGGAGCGACTGCCTACGGATCGGACAACGACACGGACTGGACTGTCGCGTACGACAAGGACTTCAAGGCGCTCGGGCGCCTCAAGAACGAGGACTTCCATGCGCTCATCAACCCGAATGCGAGCTCGACTCATCTGGCCTCGAGACAGACACCGATCGGTGGCCGGTGCACTGGCTTGTCGGTCAGCGAGCTCCAGAGTCGTGCGTAGACACTGGCTTGTCTGAGCTGCGGCTTTTGACTGCGTTGCTAGTTCCCGCTTGGCCCAACCTGGTGCGGTACGTGAAGGACACGCTTTCGTCCACCGTCAGCTACAATCTGTGGACGACATGGGTTGGTTTTCCTCTTCTCTGAGCGGAGTTCGAGTTCAATAGATTCTGTAGGACGGAGTGACTCAAGCAACAGCCTGCGTCGACGAGGGCATCGTCTCTGTCGAACGCACCGGGCAAGCTCAATGCAACACCGACGAGCAGACCTTTGACGGGAACACCGTCGGCCGCAGTGGTGTCATCACTCTGTCGGTCGTGTCTGGGTCGTCGACCACGGCTACGGAGTCCGTGACCAGTTGAGGATCTGCACCTCGACTCTCACTTCGTGCTCTGACATCCCCACGCACAGGGGCCTCGACTATCGGTCTGAGCTACACTGCCAGTGTCACAATCGGCGTCCCAGGCATTGGCGAAGGCAGTGTGTCCTACACTGCTGCTGCCTCGTTCACCAATGAGTTCGGAACAACGTTTGTGCCATGTACTTCATCACTGAGTTCAAGGCTAACACCCATTCAGCTTCGAGAAGAGCATCAAGAAGGAGAGCACCCGTTCCGTGGCTCTCAACTCAGAGCCCGGAGACTACTGTTCCATGCTGGTTCGTCGGGACTATCCCTTGCCTTCGTAAATGTTCTGACAAGCATTGCAGATCACCACCACTACTTGCTATCAGCCATCCCGCGGCCGTATTGGCTTCGTGGCGGACGGCTACGTCCGCTTCGGCTTCAACTCTCGCGTCAAGGATCACTACTACTGTCCGTGACTCCATGTCTGAAAAGACTCGCCCAGATCGCTGACGAACTCGCTGCAGGGCACATCCCCATTGACAGGGAGTCGCGGGCGCAGCGCACCTCGTACATGGAGTTCACCGGCTCGATCAACTCGCACGGATATGGGAGGTACCGTGCCGAGTGCAAAAAGTGAGAGCGCTCGAGAGTTGCCACGGGGGAACACATCTCTTTCGATACGTCGGGCTCGCATGTACTTGTCAACTGTGCTGTGACATGAACATGGCTTTTTGGAAATGCCGCAGGAATCCGGCGCGGGATTTTACGTCGGTCAGCATTCGGGTCAAGTGACTCAAGTCTAGTTTAGAACTCAGCCCCCCCACAAGGGAAAGTGTCGCCGTTTTAGTATACTAATGTGCCGAAATGCGGCATTGATGCAGGAAATTCGGTTTTTCAGGGAGTGCCTTCTGAGGCTTCAGGTTTTCGACGAGTACTGGGGTGATTTTCGGCTGGTAACAGTTAGGCAACACTGATGATTGGAAACGCACAAAAAACCGGAAGCGCTGCAATCGAACGTCGACGGTTCAATGTCCACCGTAGCTTATGTAATATCAACCATTTCCCTAGATAACCTGGCTTTCGCAGAGAGAAGGCCATTCCTAGTTGAGGATTTGCTGGTCCTGTGTGTTTCGTTACGAGCAGGAGTTCCGGTCACATTCGATCAGTCACTAGTCCCCAATTGGGCTTATTACGTTAGTCGCCATACTCCCCTGAAGCATACCACGTAGTTCCCAAATCACATCTCACATCTCCCGCTTACAACCGCCGCTCACGGTGGATCGACCCGACGTCCGCGCAAACTCTCATATTCTCAACTCCTGTACATCCCGTTTTGTCTAATGGTTCGCTTCCACCAGGACGCTGAACACGGCCTTGGGCCGGAGGGTCATCTTCTCGTTCCACACGCTGCAGTAGCTGGGCTCCTCGAACGGCGACCCGTCCCGAAACGTCGGGGGAGAAAGCAGCGATACGAGAGCCTCCCTGTCCTTCTTGACCCAACGAGCTCCTTCGTCTTGTTTGCGGATTTCCTGCTGTGCTTCGAGGCTCTCCTTCCGAGAATAACAGGAAATCGACCTACACGCCCGTGCTCACGCAGTGCCTTTCGTAGCCGAAGATCACTATGAAAAGGAAATGAGGGAGCTCTGGGCTGATCGAAAGGGCCCATTCCCTGTACGCTGACCTGAGCTCGAAATGGAAACCGTTGCGCAACATGCTCTGCTACTCTACGCCGTATAAAACGTGACCGCAGACGACTCAGAGCACTCATCGAAGGTCTCCTCTGTCCATCGATACTCGGTTCTCATCAGTCCTTCGACAATGGTTCATCTCAACCTCCTCGCCGCTGTGTTCTCTGCCCTTGCGATGTTATCGACCGCTGCGTCCATCAGCAGGCCTGCCTCCGCCCGGGATCTCAGCGATGTCGAAATCATCACTACGCTCCCCGCTGGAGCCACCGCCTACGGATCGGACAACGACACGGACTGGACCGTCGCGTACGACGAGGACTTCAAGGCCCTCGGGCGCCTCAAGAACGAAGACTTCCATGCGCTGATCGACCCGAACAGTAACTCGACCCAACTGGCCTCCAGACAAGCGGTTCGTGGCCGCCGTTGCACCGAGCTCTCTGTCGGCGAGCTCCAAAGCCGTGCGTATGCGAATGCTGCGGCTCGTGCTCGGTTCGTTGATGGTCGTTTGTCTTGTCACAGTCCCTGCTTGGTCCGACCTCGATGGGTATGTCACGGGAAGTCTTGCCTCCCGGGGCAGATACAATGTCTGGACGAACTGGGTGGGCTTTCCTTAATGCGTGCCCGAGAGGTACAGTCTCAAGCGCTCCGACAGGACGGTGCGGCTCGGGCTAGAGCCTGTGTCTGTGACGATCACGTCTCCGTCGAACGCACGGGGCAAGCCCAATGCGACACCGGCGAGCAGGTCGTCGAGGGCGACCGCGTCGGCCGCGACGGTGTCATCACTCTTGCAGCCATGTCCGGATCGGCTACCACGTTCAAGGAATCCGTTACCAGTTGAGCTTCAATGCAACTTGACTCTGATTCCGAGCTCTGACATCTTCGTTCAGAACCTGCCAGCATCGGATTGAGCTACACGGCTTCGGACATCGACTTCGACATTCCCAGCATCGGCGAAGCGACCTCGCCCTACCGGGACTCTGCCTCGTTCTGCAACGAGTTTGGCAGGAGGTCCTGCAGCTTTCTCCAATGCTTGTCCTTGTGCTAACTTTCTCTAGCATCGAGAAGACCATCAGCAAGGAGAGCACTCGCGCCGTCGATGTCCGCTCAGAGCCGGGGGACTACTGCAGCATGATTGTCAGCCGCGGCTTTCCCTGCCTCTGATTTCGTGATGTTCTGAACAGCACTCAAGGTTGAGACCACCACTTGCTACCAGCAGTCCCGTGGTCGTGTAGGCTTCGTGGCGGATGGCTTTGTGCGCTTGGGCTTTGACTCTCGGGTCAGGGACCACTCGTACTGTGCGTGCTTCGGTCCTCGGATGCTTGCTCGTCTCACGCATCGCTTTCCTGCAGGGCACCTCCCCCTCGGCCGAGAGTCTGAGGACAGGCGCACGTCGTACATGGAGTTCGCCGGGTTGATCAACTCGCACGGATACGGCAACTACCGCTCCGAGTGCCGCCACTGAGAGCCTTCGAAAGTCTCATTAGAGCATTGGACTGCCTTTTAACTGTTTGTCTTACCTGTGCACTGGACTGTGTTTTGAAATGAACATTATTGTTGGGGATGATCTGCTGTCCACCTATGCTTTCGAGGGCTTCATTAGCATTTCCAGATGGATCTCGTTCGCTGAAAGCATCCACTCAGTCAGTCGATCCAAACTCCCCTGCTCCGCGGATCTCCTGCCTTGCCAAATTCCCCCCTTTCCCGCCCTACATTCTCTCAGAGTCCGCACGACATGTCTCACACTTCCGCACCGCTATAAGTATATGCGCCCATCTGACAACATGATAACATAACACCTTGCTTTTCTTCCTTCTTCACATCGCTCTAAAAGCTTGACTTGTGAGTACCCTCATCCTCACCTCATCCAAGTGACATCTCATCCCTGTCCAGACTTTGACAAAATGAGATTGTCCACTCTTGTTTCCGTCGTGTTTGCCTTGACCGGCGCTCACGCAAAGCCCATCTCGGTGAGCGTCAATCCCTGCATAGACCCGGCTTACTCAACGTCCCACACAGCGCCGCGACTTCAGCCTCTCCTCATACCAGGACGCCACTCCAGCCGAGCGCCGCGACTTCCTCCTCGCAGTCAACGCGAGCAACATCAATCTCTCGCAGGACACGCTCGACAGCCTCAAAACCGTCCCCGCCGTCGAGAAGAAGATGGCCGACAGCGGGACGTCAGAGCTCACGAACGACTGGCTGAAAAAGTGGATCGTCGAGTTCCAGGACGAGGTGAAACAGGGGCAGGAAAGCGGGGATGCGGATGCGGGGTTGAGTCAGGTCTCAAAGCGACATGAGGAGGATTGCGGAGATGGAGAGGAACAGGAAACGAAGCGGGGGGACGACGACGAACAGGCTGAAGATACAGCTGCCGAGAAGCGAGACAACGACGAGGGCGAGGGCGAGGGCGAGGCAAGGAAGCGGGACGAGGGAGATGAGGAGGGCGAGATCTTTGACAAGCGGGACGACGATGAAGCCACGGAGGACGCAGGTGACGCCGAGGCTGCCGAAGGGACCGATGAGGACACATCCGAATCGAAGAGGAGCGAAGACGACGAAGGAGATGCCGACAGTGACGTCGTCACCAAGCGTCAGGAAGATGATGAAGAGGCCGCCGAGCTGGAAGAGCGGGATGATGAAGCCGAGGATTGAGGCTTCGTTTGTCTCCTAGAATCAGTGTGAAGGACCTGGTAATCACGATCGGCATTGTTTCTATTACAGCTACCGATTGATTTCATTCCTCAAGTTAACGCGTGAGATCATTGTACTGCGGCATGTAGTGCGGTCCCAGGATGACATGCTCATTCGTCGTCGAGTCCTCATCTGGACAAATCATCAGGAATGAGTTCTGCCATATCGAGACCACACTCACAGCTGTTCCACGATCTGACCGTGGGCGACTTCTTCACCAGACCACTCAGCTTCAACTCGAATGCACGTCCATTTCGAACTTGGCTGTGCGTCGTAGCGTACCCGCCGTATCCAGAATGCCCGTTGAAGCAGATCGGGATGCCCGACGAATCGGTGGAACGAGCACATCACGATTCTCCATGGTCATGGCCGGAAGTGACTGCCAGAACGTTCCCACCGTACGGTCCACCGTTGAGATGGCTGACGACGGCGTTCCAAAATGGAAGATCGAGGCCAGTGTACACGTTGTTGAGAAATCCTTGTGCCGAGGGGTCGGGTTCATCGTCGTGGTCTCCTGCGCTAGGTCTGTGGAGAGTGAGTGCCGTTGACCTTGATATCAGGAGATGACGTACAGAGGAGCCAAATGGTCGGCGTTTTGCACGGGGATATGGACAAACACCTAGGCGGGAGGAAGACTCTCCCACTGGAAACTCTCTCAGTCTCATCGCTGCGTCCTCCCAAGAAGCACACACCACACGTTCCATCAGAGCGCTTTGCTGCTCGATGTAGGTCGGCACAGTGTTTTCATCAACCCAATAGTAATCCGCTGCGTCGAGAACAGGCCCAGCTTCTCCAGTGACGAACGACCGAGAGTCGAAGAACCACAGCACCACCGCGGGCTTGACATCCGATGCTTTGGCATACACAGGGACCCAGTAGTTGGCCAAGCCATACGGGCGGGGTCCGACATCCGACCGGGTGTACGACAGTGTCTTGCCGTGTTGGGCAATCTCGTAGCTGGTGGGACGGAGTGAGGCGGACGTTCACTCGAAGTAAATCGAGGAGCACACTTGATCTCCTCCTCGTGTGCGATGTTGACCGAGTGGTCGTGCTGCAAAGGCTCGGGTTCTGTCGCGTAGGAATGGAGAAGGGTGACGGACGTTCCCGTGGATAGACGCAAATGGGATGCTCCTCTCCACAGTAGGCGCCCAAACCTGGTCCAGGTACTTGGTCGCGTTCTCCTTAGAGAGGTTCTCGCCGGTAAGCAAGTCTCTGTTGAACACCCTAGACTATCTCACATGGGCCTTGACGCGAAACTGCTCGCACGCACACGAAGTCGGGACGCTCGTTGTCCAACACGACACTATGCGCATGGGAGGTGTTGACGTCCTGTTGTGGGCCCCAGTCGACGTCCTCCCCCTACCCAAAATGCGTATCCGAGAACGACACGATCTGCCGGCGATCTTGTCAGGAACCGCTGTGCTGAGGCATGCACAGTACGCCCCCACGCACTTTGAACGTCTTCTTGGCTCCAAAGATCAGCTTCGGCTTGCTGGAGAGCACGCCCAGCAGCCCAGCCGAGAAGCTGCTCGTGAGCGGGGCGGCGGCAGCGTCCGACACCAACACGGCCAACCAAGTGACAGCGACACGCATGGGGTGTGGGGCAATCGAGGACAAGCTACGAAACAGTCATGGGAGGGATAAATGGGATGATGAGCGGAGGGACGTACCTGGAACGTGCCAGCTTCGGAGCCAATCCGCTCGCGAAGCTCGTTCCAGCGCGGGGCACCGTGATATCTCATTGAATTTTCGCACAAACGCCGGCTTAGAATCGAGGTGGATGTCGTGAATACGATAGATCATATTGGTTTGGAAGGATAGTAGCAGAGTCAGGAATCTCAAGCCAGTGACGGAGGAACTCGCAGTCCAGGGATTGGGAACTGAGTGGGCGCTGGGGGAAGCGGTCACGTGCTCGCAATCGCAAGATGACTGGAAATCGCCTCAAGCCAAGCCGTCTCTCATCGACGTGTTTTCCATTGAATCGGTTCGCAATCTTGGGTGTGGAATTTCGTAGAGGGCCTGGGCTTCCCAGAAAACAAGAGCGAATGCGTGGCCGTCCACCAAGTCACACCGAGGTGTGACACGCCAGTCACTGCCCTGTGCGCACTAATGAGCACCGACCCCGTAACAGCGATCATATGTAACTCTTTCCACCTCTCGCTTGCAAGGGTCGCCCTTTGACTCTCGCACCTTCCGGTGATGGTTTAGGCAGGAAAACGCCAGCGCAGCCGTCCAAACTTCAGCTTTCTGCTCTTACTACCCGTTTTGCACAACCTTGTGCTTCTCGTCGGGCACTGCGTACAGTTGCGCATCAGCGCCAGCCTCTCGTACGACGCATGCCAGTAAATTACCCGCTCAGTGAACGACATTCCGTGACACGTCTGCAGAGGAGGGATTGGAACGCGAGCCTCTTCGGGTCGTTGGGCTGCACATGGTTACCCGCTCGATTACAGTTTTTCCACCGTCCCATTCCCTCCTTTTGCGGGCCACAGGCAACCGATCTATGCAGAACGGGTAGAAACAGTGCCTAGAGAGGCTGGCCCTTGTCACGAACGATGAAATGGAGTGGTGCGGTTCCCGTCGAAAGAACCTCTGTCCTTGACGCTCATGGTTTTCCTCGGCTCAGGAATGTTCCCTGCTCGACGCGCTCCGCTGCTCTGCGCTGTATAAAAGACGAGCGCAGACGACCCAGAGTACTCATCGAAGGTCTCCTCTGCCCACCGATACTCAGTTCCACCAAGCCTTTCGACGATGGTCCATCTCAACCTTCTCGCTGCCGTGCTTTCCGCCCTTGCTCTCGTATCGAGCGCCGCGTCTATCAGCGGGCCTGGCTCTGCCCGGGACCTCAGCAGCGTCGAGATCGTCACTACGCTTCCCACTGGGGCCACCGCCTTCGGATCGGACAACGACACGGACTGGACCGTCGCGTACGACAAGGACTTCAAGGCGCTCGGCCGGCTCAAGAACGAGGACTTCCATGCGCTGATCCACCCGGACGGCAATTCGACCCAGCTGGCCGCTAGGAACGTCGCGCACGGTCGTCGTTGCACCGAGCTGTCCGTCGGCGAGCTCCGGAGTCGTGCGTAGACATCCCCCCGGCTGAGCTATGTTTTCCGACCGCATTTTCAGTCCCTGTCTGGTCCAATCTTGACCACTACGTCAAGAACACACTTGCCTCCCGGGACAGATACAACGTCTGGACAAACTGGGTATAGCTTCTTCCATGCGTTCACGAGAGTGGCAGTCTGAAGTGTTCCGGCAGGACGGCTCGAACCGGGCCACGGCATGTGTCGCCGACGACCATGTCTCCATCGAACGCACGGGCAGAGCTCAGTGCAAGACCGGCGAGCGGACCTTCAACGGCAACCACGTCGGTCGCACCGGCGTCCTCAGACTTGAGGCCATGACTGGATCGGCCACCACGGTCAAGGAGTCTGTCACCAGTTGAGGCTCAATGCGACTCGGCTGTGATTACAAGCTCTGACATTTTCGTGCAGGAGCCGCGAGCATCGGGTCGCGTTACACTGTTCCGAGCATCGACTTCGACATCCCGTGCATCGGCGAAGCTAACTCGCCCTACCGCGATTCCGCCTCGTTCAGCAATGAGCTCCACAAGGGGTGACTGCGGCTGCCTCCAGCACTTGGTCTCAGACTCACTTCTTCCAGCTTTGAGAAGACCATCAGTAGGGAGCACACTCGCTCTATCGATGTCCGCTCTGAGCCTGGAGACTACTGCAGCATGATCGTCAGCCACGACTTTCCTTGCCCCCGATCTCGTAGCGTTCTAACGAGCACCCAGGTTGAAACCACCACCTGCCAGCAGGAGTCCCGTGGTCGTGTAGGCTTCGTGGCGGATGGCTACGTGCGCTTTGGCTTCGACTCTCGCGTCAAGAACCACTCGTACTGTGCGTGACTCCCTCTTTACACATTCATTCTGCTGACCAGTCTCTGCAGGGCACTTGCCTCTCGCCCGGGAGTCCGCGGATACGCGCACCTCGTACATGGAGTTCACTGGATCCATCAGCTCGCACGGATATGGCCGCTACCGTTCCGAGTGCCGCAAGTAGAGGCATACACATGCACACTGGGACATTACATCGCATTTGATCTTTCTTTCTACTTCTACCATGTACTTTGGACTGTGATTTGATATGAATGTTGTCTTGTGAGGGGACACTGTCCCTCTCACCCACCCGAGCCTGGGCCCATCATTGATCTCCGCCCTTGATTGTCCCGGACAAGCGAAGCATGGATTTTTATGACCATACACTTGAACGAAAAATATGTGGCGGATTTGATTCTGCACACGTTGTGGATGGACTGCAGCTAGTTCTAGCAAACCAAAAATTGATTGTCAAAACTATACACAAGAATTTCCGAGGCACAGATTGATCCATCAGCGCAGCTCGGTCATTCCATCCACCTTTATCCCCCAAAACTGCATGGGACATACGAGAGTTTGATTTCGAGAGGGTCAAATGATGCCTTTGAGGGCCTTGAGTACAATGGGCAGACCACCCGTAGACACCCGTCCACCCTTCCCATCAGACGCAAACGAGACCGGCCGCTGGAACAGCTGCGAAATCTCCGGACCGACGGGCTCTGGACCAGGCATGAGCTCAAAAGCCCGGAGGAGGCTGAACAGAACCGCTTTCTGTCTGCACGCGAAGTGATAAGCGTGTGCGCCAAGGACGAGTGACATTGGCTTACTCGGCCATGGAAAACCGGAAGCCCATGCAGCTGTGAGCACCGCCGAGGAAGGTCATCTGGTGGCCCCAGATTCCGGGCATGGAATCCACGGCATCTGGGAGGTCATTCCACCGTTCGGGTCTGGAACGAGGATAATCGAATACTTTCCTGGGAACTAAAACAATGACACTCACTTGAATTCGAGCGCATCCTCGCCCCAAATCTCCTTGTCGGTATTCATGGCCAGCAGTGGGATCGTGAACAGCTGCCCTTGTGGGACACTGCAATCTGTCGGTCACTGCGTGCACAATAGAACGTGAGAACACGTACGGAACACTCTCATGGGACACACCCCAACGGTCCACAAACGGTTTTTTCAACGGGAGGACATCATCATTCAGTGCCTCACGCTGAGAAAACACTGCGGGGGTGTAGAGTCTCAGAATCTCCCTCAAAACAGTCTCGAAGTAGGGCAACGCGTTGAGCTCGTCCATGGTCGGGGTATCGGTTTGTACGGTGAGCAACTCTTGACGAAGCCTTTCCTGAACCGATGGATGCTTGGACAATGCATGAGCGGCCCAGCCCAGCGCGGCGCTGCTGGTCTCATGTCCAGCAAGCAGGAATGTCGGAATTTCTGAAATGTCACATATGTGACGGATGAGTTCAGCTCGGCCCACAACCACGTATCATGACCGCGTACGAGAGATGACTTCTGCGTCGGTCAGCTTTTGGCTGTCTGGAATATCTGCCGACATATTCGCTTTGACCAGAATGGACAGCAAATCACGCCCTGACCCCAGTTCCTTCTCGCCCATTGCTCGTGCCTCGGCTTGAGATTTCTGCAAAAGGGCTGAACCAACCGTATGAAGCGTCTTCTTCGCGAACTTTGCGTTTTTTCCACCAGGTAGCGGTTAGAAGATGGCTGATTAGCAAGGACTCGAGTCGCTCGGAGTCGAGTGTCTCTGGCGCTGTGTGTCACTTACGAGAAGCTTGAGAGCCGGAATAGTAGCCTGGGCAAGCTGCACAGCTCGATAGAAGTTGGCGTTTGGTACGCTGATCAACCCGCTGAAGGCCTTGCTCAGGTCCCCTTCATTCTTGCCGTTTGATTCGAGAGACTGAAAATTGTATCCAAACCCTAGCATGACTGATTGATGCGGGGATTCATGGACTCGAGACAAACAGACGCACCGGTCGCTCCGATGATATCCAGCGTAACTCGGCGGAACATCTCAGCCAAGTCAACGGTTGCGGTTCCGCCGGCTTTATCGACATCCGCAGCCAACAAGTCTCGCAACTGCACCGACTGAGCTGGAAAGTCCAAGCGAAGACAGAAAGGGCTTACCAAGACTGCCTTCTCCACGAAGACCTCGTTCATCATACGAATTTGCTGGATATTGAACGCGGGGAGCTTGGGTAGTTCTCAGAGCCAGAGCGATTCAAGCCGCCATGATTCCGCAAACTTACCAGAATTTTGCGCTGTACGCATCCACAATATGAGTGCATAGCTCGCGCAAAAACAATTGTGAAGGCATACCTGACGCTTATGCGGATCCGCTTCGACAGACAGAATCCCTTTCCCCAGGATTCTGCTTAGACTAGCCATCAGGTCGAACGGCTTGGGGTACAGCAAGTTATTGCCGAGGATATGCGCAACAGCTTTGACGTCCTTGATGTGCAGGTCGTTTGCCTACCAGTGCGCTGATGTGAGTGACACTTCCATACATCTAAAACAATCTCGTACCCCAAACATGCCTTTGGTCATGAACATTGAGCCATACTGCTCGCGCCATTTGTCCCCGATCTCTGGCACGTCCTGTCGGGGATTCAGTTGCGACAACCTGGATAACAGGAAGCATCCACACAGCAACCACGATTGAGTGCCCGGTCAAAAAGTTGAACGAGGAAGGGCCGTCCACAAACTTCAGTGGCGACGTCCAAGTGCGGTAGAGCGAGCGAGCGACATAAAAAACGACGTAGGAGAGGAGGGTGACAGTTGTCGGGACCACGATGTTGTAAATCATCTTTCGCTAGCTAAAAATGAATGATGGTTTGCAATGAACACCGTAAGATTCTTGCTTAAATAGTTTTCTTACACCTACAGCCAGAGCAGGCAGAATGCTCTGCGACGGCCCGTAGAGTCAGAAAATATTACCCGCTTGCTTTTTGGAACCGGTTTGCTAAGTAAGAGATCGGGCATCCGTGGCGAATCTCGTCATAAAAAATTACCTGAGCGTAAAGGAAGATCACTTCTAAATGTGCCATCTTTTGAGATAATGTGAGGGAAGGGTTCGGCACATGTTGATCCGATTTCGCTAGCCCAGCGTCCACCGGGACCAATTAAATGATTCACTGCCAACTTGCTGCAGTGCAGCAAGCCCTGCGTTTCTGGAGCCCGGTTCTTTGGGACTGTGATCAGATACGCGACTCAGTAGGCATTCATTGCTGATAAGATTATGGAGAAGGCAGATTCATCAAGTCCGACGGCGCGCATCAAGTTGCGGAGCATTTCGGATGAAAAGGTCACCTGGGAACCTCGAAGAATGACGAAAGGGGATCAGGGCATGCGCGGGAGTACCAAAGAAGCACTCCTGCGGTAGAGTTCCGCTGCTGATCATGACCTGTTGTGCTGACTCGTTCGGCGGTGTTTCTGAGCTCCATCACATCAACATTTCTCCTGCTTGGTAAAAGAGCCAATCTGGGCTCTTATAATGTGTGAAGAATCTGTGGGCGAGGGAGTTTATACAGTAGGGAATGGCTCAAGCCGATTCCTTGACCTCCTTGCTCTACGAAATTCTTTCCTCTTCGTGAACGATACATAGTTCGTGGGTTATATTTCCGATATTTTCCAACATGAAGAGAAAATTTCTGCGACGAGTTTGGCCGATGCTTCAACCGAGGTTGCGTCACGTTATGGGGTGCGAGCTTAGTCACATTTGGAAAGCGACACCGCCACCTTGATGGCTGTGTAGTGTCAGTGGGAATAAACTCCATCAATATCGAGCAGCTGCCACATCTCATTCCCCCGCTCAGATCCCCCCGCTCATGGCGGAACGCATCCGACGTCAGCGCAGCCATCCTGTTTCTTATATTCCTGGACGGCCTGTTTTGCATAATTATCTGCTTCTACTCCGCGACTGCGCACGGTTTTGTGTCAGAACCAACTTCTCTTTCAACAAATTGCAGTAACCAACCTCCCTGAACGGCGAGCCGCCCCGATACGTCGGGGGATAAAGGAATGGAACAGGATTTCTCTTTGAACCCTTTGGTTAGACAAGGTTATTCGTCTTGTTTGCGGATTTCTTGCAGTGTTCAGGGTTCTCCTCATGTGACTGACAGGAGGTCGACGCATGGAAAAAGACTCTCAAAATGCCTTTGGAGGTTGACGCTCACCATGAAAGAGGAAATCAGGGAGGTCTGGGCATGTCGAAAAGGCCTCTGTCCTTCACGCTCACAGCTTCCGTCGGCTCGGATGAAAATTGTCACCCGACTCCGTGTGCCGCCGCTCCGCGTTGTATAAAAGACGACCCGGACGACCCAGAGTACTCATCGAAGGTCTCCTCTCCCCATCGATACTTGGTTCTCATCAGACTTTCGACAATGGTTCATCTCAACCTCCTCGCTGCTGTGCTCTCTGCTCTTGCTCTTGTCTCCAGCGCTGCGTCCATCAGCAGGCCTGGCTCTGCCCGGGACCTCAGCAGTGTCGACATCGTCACTACGCTTCCCGCTGAAGCCACTGCCTTCGGATCGGACAACGACACGGACTGGACCGTCGCGTACGACAAGGACTTCAAGGCACTCGGCCGGCTCAAGAACGAGGACTTCCATGCGCTGATCGACCCGAGCGGTAACTCGACCCAGCTGGCCGCCAGACAGGTGACGCGTGGTCGTCATTGCACCGAGCTCTCTGTCGGCGAGCTCCAAAGCCGTGCGTAGGCAGTTGTTGCGGTTCGGCTTTGTTTTGCTCATGGACTTTTCTCTTTTTTATAGTTCCTGCTTGGTCCGACCTCGATGGGTATGTCAAAGGAAGTCTTGCCTCTCGAGGCCGATACAATGTCTGGACAAACTGGGTATGCCTTGCTCCCTACGTTCACAGAAGTTGCAGTCTGAAATATGCCTGCAGGACGGTGCGGACCGAGCCAGGGCCTGTGTCGCCGACGACCACGTCTCCATCGAACGCACGGGACAAGCCCAATGCAACACCGGCGAGCGGACCTTTAACGGGGACCGTGTCGGCCGGAGCGGTATCCTCCGTCTGGAGGCCCTGTCTGGATCGGGGACGACGATCAGAGAGTCTATCACCAGTTGAGAAACAAGATGTTTTGACCATGATAGTTCCTCTTGACACCGTCATGCAGGAGCCGCGAGCATCGGGTCGCGTTACACCGTCCCGAGCATCGACTTCGATATCCCCAACATCGGCGAAGCCACCACGCCCTACCGGGACTCTATCTCGTTCAGCAACGAGCTCGGGAAGAAGTGACTGTGGTCTCCTCCTACACTTGATCTCAGCCTAACTTCTTGCAGCTTTGAGAAGACCATCAGCAAGGAGAGCACCCGCTCTGTCGATGTCCGTTCGGAGTTCGGAGACTACTGCAGCATGATCGTCAGTCGAGACTTTTCACGTCTGCAGTGACACTGACGAGCACTCAAGGTTGAAACTACCACTTGCGAACAGCAGTCCCGCGGTCGTGTAGGCTTCGTGGCGGATGGCTACATCCGCTTCGGCTTTGACTCTCGTGTCCGGGACCACTCCTACTGTCCGTGACTCCGTCCTTGAAATCAGCTCATCTTAGCGATCTATTTTTTCTGCAGGGCACCTGCCTCTCTCCCGGGAATCTCGGGACAAGCGCACCTCGTACATGGAGTTCACCGGTTCGATCAACTCGCACGGATATGGCCGCTACCGCTCCGAGTGCCACAAGTAGAGGCATCCGAGAGTTCCATACGTACTTGACCTGTACATAGCCTTCTATCTTTCTTTCTACTTCTACCATGTACCTTGGACTATGATTTGATATGAACGTTGTCTTGTGGGGGGATTTCATCCTTCTCATCCCCCCATGCTGGATTTTGCCCACATTTTGAGACTCTGAAAACAGCCAGAAAACTCTGTCAAAGAATACCCGGTTCTCAAACAAAATGACTGTATGTCGGATACCAATTGGATGGTCTGACGACTGGGCGGTCTTCCAGTGGAGTCTCAGGCCGGTTCTCTCTGCCCATTAGATCGCTGAAGCCTAATCCCCTTTGGAATTGGGTGTTCGAGTCCAGATCATCCCAATACAGTGGGGCAAAGTTTTTTCCTATCTTACCTTCTCTCTACTTGCGGCGCGTTCAGCCTCAGTTTACACGTCAATTGGAAATACGAAATCAACCGGAATCTAATCTGAGTCGTGTTTTCATCTCACTGCGACCAAATTATCCATTCCAGAACAACGCCCTCCTTCATGAAAGAGGAGGAAAAACGCATTCTTATCTTCGCTACTCAATTTCAACTGTCACGCACGGCGGCGCGTCACAGAGCGTCACATCAGTGCCTGGATCGCGCACGGTCGCGTGAAGGTCGCCCCACCCCGGGATACCGAAGTCGGCGTCCCTTTTTTCGCCTCCATCATCGCACGGATTCGCACCATGGCCGATTCCACGCTGCGACAGCGCAGGCCCGCCGAACAGCCCTCACCCGTATGTCTCTGTTCTTCCGCCCCGGCGGTCCTTCCTCGAGAACTAAGCAGCGTTGCATTCAGCCGGCCGAGGGCGCGACAAAAGAAAGGGAGAAGGGCAAGGAGAAGGGGAAGAACGAGGAGGGTGGGCTCTTGGCTTTCATTGGGCTCGTCGGCGGTGTGATTGTCATGATCAGCTTGGCTGTCGTCGCGGGGAAGACTTTGTACAATTCCGTGCGTCCCTCTGACTGGATCGCTCTCTCCCCCTCGATGACTGAACGCTGCGTTTCTCGGCCGGCAGAACCCAGGCGAGTTCTTCAAGCCCAAAGCCAACGCCGTATGGCAGGCAGTGCCAGGCGTGGAAGAGCCGTGGGAGGTCAACTTCTCTGCGGACACCGAGAAGCGGGATGCGGTGGTGCGCGCGTTCAAGGTGCATGCACTCCTACTGCATAGTTCTTTGAAGCGCCCGAGTGTTGACAGGTGCACAGCACGCGTGGCGGGCTTATTCGCGGGACGCCTTCGGCTCTGACGAATACCACCCACTCAGCCGGCGTGGCTCGAACTTGACGTCTGCTGGAGGTATCGGGTACACCGTGATCGATGCGATCGACACGATGCTTGTGATGGGGCTAGATACCGAGTATCGACAGGCCCGCCGATGGGTCGCGGAGAAACTCGACTTCGACAAGAATGGGGAGGTCAGCACGTTCGAGGTCTGGGTTTTCTTCTTTCGGACTGTGTGCAGTATGACTCAAAACGCGTCTCTCTGTAGACGACCATCCGTGTTCTCGGCGGCCTGCTCTCAGCATACGCTCTTGCTCCTTCAGAGGACGACAAGAAGCTGTTCCTCGCTCGTGCGACCGATCTCGGCGAGCGCATGCTCCCTGTATTCAACAGCCCGTCCGGGCTGCCGTACTCCTTCGTCAATCTCGCTGAGCGCAAGGGCAAACCAGAGCCAGGTCTCGGGATGCTCGTGAGCACCGCTGAAGCCGCCTCGCTGCAGCTCGAGTTCCGGTACCTGGCTCACCTCACAGATCGCGGCGAGTTTTGGGACAGGGTGGAGAAGGTCATGGACGTGATCCGAGCAGCTAGGGTGGGCGACGCCTTGGTGCCGATCTTCATGAGGTGCGCTGCGGGTTCTCTTGTCCACACGCGAGGCTGAGGAATCCGCAGCATGCCTGCTGGGAAGTTCATGAATGCGGAGATCCGCCTTGGATCTCGAGGAGACTCCTACTACGAATACTTGCTGTGCGTTTCTTCATTGGTGCTCTCACCGAATGAAATACTCAAGGGTTGGTCAGTAAGCAGTATATCCAGACTGTACGTTTCCTGGGTTCCGGATGGCGCCTGGCTGATTCCGATCGTAGGACCGCATCGAAGAGGTATATCGCGAGGTATGATCCGCTTTTTTGTTGCTCATGAGACTCTTATGCTCCTCTAGATGTACGCCGCGGCCATGGACGCCATCCATCGCAACCTCTTCTTCCGGAGTAACGACAAGAAACTGCTGTTCGCGGCAGAAATCCATCCGCGCCGTAATCAGCACGATACTAAGTCGTTCGTTGTCTCATCCCACTCTTCCGCATCCTAGCTGAGGCTCGACCCAGAACTTATGTGCGCATCCGCAAACAGGATCATCTCGTGTGCTTCCTGGGTGGTTCGCTGCTACTCGGCGCAGTGAATGCCCACGCGCCTCAACTCACGGTCTCGATACCACCCATGGCTCAAGAGCTGACTCCTTTCGGGAAGCGTGACTGGTCAGCGGGCATGGACCTGGTTGAGAGTTGTGTGGACACGTATCGGACTCCCTCGTAAGTGTTCTCGCCGGCGCGACTGCTGGTCAGCTCACCATGAGCAGGGGTCTAGCACCTGAGATCGTGCATGTGCGAGAGACCATCGAGAAAGGGGACTGGTTTATCAAAGGGGCCAAGTGCGTTTTCTGCCCGGGTTCTTCACGTGCATTCAATCCCTACTAGACCTGTTGGGGAGCCGCCGGTGTATGATGCAAGATACATCCTTCGGTACGCGACTCTCCTCATCGTCCAACAACCAGCTCACCCTTCTCCAAGCCCTGAGACAGTCGAATCTCTCTTCATTGCCTGGAGACTGACCGGGCACCCCAAATTCCGCGACTACGGCTGGGAGATCTTCCAGGCCATCGAGAAACACTGCCGCATTCCAGACGGTGGCTATGCGGGTGTGCTGAACGTCGAGGCTGTTCCTGTGGAATGGGAGGATAAGCAAGAGACGTTCTTCCTTGTGCGTGACCGTCCGTCACTCTTATTCTAGATGCTGACCCTCAAGAAAGAGCGAAACCTTGAAGTATCTGTATCTCCTATTTTCGGATGACAGTGTGATACCGCTGGACGGTGTGTGCTTTCGCTCGCGGCATTCGCTTAGCTGGCTGATACTGCTTAATGTAGAATTCGTCTTCAATACGGAGGTGCGACTACTGCATCCATTGAGCTTCTTTTCCTGACAAACTTCAGGCGCATCCGCTACCGATCTTCAGCCCCAACAGAATGCATGCGGGGTAGACTCTTGCTGTAGGTTTTAAGTTATCACTACTACTAAATATTGCTTGACGATGAGTACTCGTTAACGTTAAAAACATGAGGATGCGCTCATTAGTCTGTTGCTCCGATACCATGTCACAGTAAAGGGAAACCCATGCTCTCAAGTAAACTCGAGTTGATCACAAGAATGATGATGGGACACGTGCCCATCCTTGCCTTTGCAGCCCCCTTTCCCATCCGAGTCTGAGTCTGAAAGTCGCTGTTCCAGGCTTCTTTCGTTGCCGCATCCTACATTGCTCCCGAACCACATACAGTTTGTCAGGGATCAATGATTGTTGTGGTCCTCTCTTCCCCATTGCCGGAGCACTGACAGTGGATACGTTGTGGGGTGGGATCGTTTTCGTCCAGTTCCGTCTAATGTCGTGCTCTTATCCGAACCTTGCGTGCCCACACGATCGACTCCGAAAACCGCAAGGAAAGCTGGGAAGACACCACTGCTCTGGGATGCATAGGTCTTCCTCGACGTAGAGAAAAACAATCACTCGAAAAGCCGCTACAGTATGTATGCGCTATCCAGCACCTACCGCGCCTGCGCCCATCGGTTCCTCTCTGGGCCCTTCACGGATTTACACCGGTATCTTTGCGCTTGATCAATGGGATAGGAATCTGGCCAGGTGGCCTTCTCGTGGAGTGGACCAGCGAGTTGCTCCCGAGGATGTCGCCTCCCTGATGAGCATGAGCGCCTCTCAGACATGGCTGATCATCCTTGTATCAAATGTCGCTTCTTCGATCCTTGGAAACCTCTGCTCATTGGCCCACCGCTGGTCCTTGAAGCGTCGAATTGTCAAGCCTTCTTTTGCTACGATCGTCTGAGCACACGATCAGCGAAGACCTGGATTGGCGGCCCTCATTGTTCCCGGGATGCATGCACACACGAAGAACCCATTGAGATGTCTTCCTCGCTCAGTCCTTCAAAAGGGCCGCCAGCTATCATCATGACCCACATCCATTCTCCGTTCCCTGAGCCCTCCCTGCACCTGGCGGAAAAGGCTGCTATGAACCCCTCCAAGCCATGCCAAATCCGTGCCCCCGAACTTGCTCTCGTTTTCGGCGGACCTTCGGACGAGGCGGTACTAGGCAGCGTTAGCGATACATCCCAAGTCGGACATTTCCGAGCACGACCCTACTCTTCAAGTAGCGACTACCTCCCTCCGAATCCGGCTTTCTTCGTGCGTTGTTCAATTGACAACGCAGGGGTTCTGACTGCAATCCTCGATCAGTGGGACAGCAATCCGCCTGTTACGCGGTGTTCGCTACTCGGAGCTGGATCCGACCCTCGAGAATCTGTCCCCCCTCAACGCCGACCGTCTCGCTATGATCCGGCCCCGTTGCACAAGAGATCTCCGCCTAGCCCGTCCGTCGACAGCTACCAGCTTGATTCTCGTCTTCTGAACACCGTGCTGCCTGACGGAGGGGCTGGTGGTAGATCACCAGCTGGTCGGTACCCAATATCGCCTCTGAATCCTCAAGCCGAATCTGGTCACCAACTCCAAGCTCAGGAGTATCGTGATCCGCGCAATAGCGGGGTAGGAGGAGGAGGAGGTAGAGAAGGACGATCCTCGACCCTGGGCTCCCCATCAGCCCCGCACGCAGGATCCCTTCAGCTTCTGTCGCGGAGGGACCGGCCAAACACGATTCTCCGTTCGGCGCTCGCGTGCGCGGACTGTCGCAAGCACCGGCTCCACTGCAAACCATCTTCTGTGCCCCATGTCACGTCGTGCCAGTGAGAGCGATTCCCCCGCGTTCGGAGCCTGCGTGCCAGTGCTCATGCTTTATGCAGTTGGTGCTACGTCCATGGCCGCATGTGCGAGCACCGTGAATAGCGCGAGAGCTGACGTTCGTGCTGAGGGTCCAACCTCACTGCGTCTTGCATGTCAATCTACCATTTGCACTATGAGGCGACGCGACTCTTATTGCCTTGATTGCAGATGATAGTTCATATGAGCGTATCCATGGGTGATAGAAATATCCCCAAAATGAACATTCGTCGATTCTCTGTCTAGTAGCACTGGGATAATGTCGTGTCCGTCAGGGTCTTTGTCTCATGCGTGATGTGACTCTCCGTGATACCCGCTTCCGAAACAGCACAGCCACTCAACAAGTCGCGACGTTCCCCCATTGACTTTGACTCAGCTTGACACTTGGCATTATCTCATCCACTAACAAGAACGTTAACATGACTCGAATCTGGCCATGTACCGCACGGACCCGCAATCGCCACTCGTTATATAAGGCTATGTCTCTGCCTCTTCCCTCACACACCCACACCACAACTACAACGCTTTCCGTGACTCCCAAATGACGCGCTCAGCTCTTTCTGAAAACTCTCCGCGAGTAGTACGCAAGGTGCGCTCTCTCACATCGGCTACGAGTCCCTGCACGCGGGCTGACTCCTATCCGGCAGGCATTCCGCGCCCAAGCCAAATCACAAGGCCAGTCCTTCCGCGCCGCCATCCTCGCACAGAAGGCGCGCGCCGCCGAAGACGGCAAGAAGGTCGAGTACCCCGATGCCGGGCGCCGCAACCCGGGGCGCATGGACGGCATGCGCTGGAACGGCGACTCGTTCGTCTCCCCGCCCCAGGTGGACGGCGAGGAGGTGTCGTCGGACTTGGAAGACGACGGCGCTTCCGAATGGGCGGCCGGTGTCGCAGACGGGAAACGGGCGGAGGGCTCGCTGCCCCAGCCTATGGTCGTGTCGCTGCTCGACATTGCGCGACCCGCGAAACCACGGGGTGAATCTCCGTCCTTCAATGCTCCGGTGTCGAAATTCTGACAACCCGTCCCCCCAGGTGGCAAGAAGCATCGTGCGGTGAATGTCGTGGAGGATGATGCTGTATCAGTATATGCTGAGAGCGAGCTCTGGGAGGAGTGGGATGCCCACAGCGAAGGATGGGAGGTCCAAAGCGAGCTTTGGGAGATCCCAGAAGGAGAGTACACGGCTGACGAATGGGAAGAGCTGTATGAAGGAAACGCTCACCCCCCAGATAAACCCATTGCCACTCCCCGGTTGTCGTATGCGTCTGCTCTACGGAGATGATCTCTGCCTGTTGGAACCCGACTTGCCTCTTCACCTTGCTTCATTCACGATTTAGATACACCATACCATTATCCATTATCATTATGATTGACCTCCCGGTCCGTGATCACGTGAAAGGCTTCCCCTATGAGTACCGCTGAGCTCTGATTACCAATCTCCTCAAGATCCTCAAATGGACTAGTGCTTAGTTGTATGTTGTCGTCTGATCATCTAACCTCTAGATGGTTGCAATCCTCTCTTGGCTAGCCTATGTGGCTTGACAACTGCTTCACGCCTGTCCAGCTCAAATCGCACTTCACCCCCGTTCCTGACCTCTTCAAAAACTTGACTCATGCCGAATCGACTCGCTCTCCCTCTGATCCATGGCCGGAAACCCCAGCACCCACATCGTGTTCGGAGCCTCCCCGGACTCGTATCTCATCGCGCACGGACGCCGATTCGTCTCGGAGAACATCCCCGACCAGCTGCTCCGTCACGTCCAGAATGAGATGAACATCAGCATGACGCTGTGGATCAGGTGCGGGCCTGCGCCCCCTCCGCTCATTCGTGATGGTGCTGAGATCTCGCTAGCATGGGCAGTGCGCCGGATACGTGGGTCACGCACAACGTCGCGACCGCCAAATGTACGCCGCCTTCGTAGTAGTACTCGAGTGCTCTCGGGGAGATGACCCGCTGCGCAGACCACTTCAGCTCGACGATCGATCCGACGGTCCGCGCCCACCTCGCGGGGACGAACAGCAAGTTCGCCGCCGACTTCGTCACGTTCCCGTCCAGCGGCGACGCCGGCCGCTTCTTCGTCAAGGGCAAGGCCAGCGGGCAGTGGAGCGCTGTGCTGCCGCAGATCTATGTGGACCGGCTGTCCGCGGCGAGGGCGGAGATCGGGGCGTCGCAGCTGGACAACGCGCTGACGGGTGTGTTGTTTGGCAAGGGCAACACTTGCATCTGGTTGCTTGCGGGTGGATTTGCGATTCAGCCGGACGAGAATGCTGAGGACTGGACGGAGGAGCATCCACTGATCCAGGTAGGCCACTTCTAGCCTGATTCCCGCCCTGTCTCACAGCATTGACGTCTCCTGCGGCAGGTTCTCCTCAAGCATCAGGAGGGCTGGTTGATCGAGCGAGGGTCGTGTCTGAGCTTCCACAATTCGCGGCACTTCTTCCTCAAGCTCAAGAACATCCAGCGGGGCAATGTCCGGCTGCACTGGAGTCTCCCGGACAACATGGCCGTCAAGCTCAAGAGGCTCCAGGATACCTTCGCGGGTGACCCAGAGGAACGCCGACTGTTGGCGGAATCAGACCAGATGTGGCTTAATGTTGTCAATGGGCGTGTGGTGAGTAGTGTGCGAGACATCGATGAGATGATTACTCAAGTGCATCGACCAGAACTCGGAGATGCAAGCGATCAGTAGCCTAGCTGCGCAACGGAATCGACTAGGCGTCTATGCTCGAGCGGCGTTGACTGGAGAGACGGTGATCGAACGACGGCACATATGATAAGTACGCCGATAGACTTGAGTCTGACATTGTAAAGTCGAACTAGTTTCCCCCCTTCCATCCTATGTCTCCAAGCACAGAAACATCTGTTCATTGTCTAGCAGATCTCGACAGTGCATGGTGTGTGAATTCGAGATCAATCCGCACCAGTCCCGCGCCCTGCGCCGCTTCTGTCCTTCCCCTTCTCCCTCGATCCGCTCGTGCGGTGTCTTCGAATAAAGCGGGAATGATCAAATTACCCGATTATGACGCAGCGGAAATAACTCCCGCGCACGCAGCTTCTGCTGTGCAACTGATTGTAGATCCAATACATTATCCGGAGTTTGTGAGCTGGTAGGGGGCAGGGCAGGCACTCGGATTGCCACGATGCGTGGCGTGTGCGCTATATCGCTATCTGCAGTCCGTGCCGCGTGGGTGGCAGTCGATAGAGTCCGCGGGGATCGAGAGCTAGAGCCTTGTGAGAAGCAGTGTCTTACATGAAACGGGATAAGGGACCAGCCCGTGGGACTGCAGAATCCGATAAGATGAGGTGGGATCGAAGAAATAAGTTGCATCAAACACGGACACGTGACGACATGCATACATGCATCATAACTGATGACGCGCGTCTTGTGCCGAAAGCTACTTGATGGATTGGAGTGCGTTGAGTCAACGGAAAACTCCAAGAACTACGAACCAAGGCCACAAGGTTAATAGGCACGTCAAAGCACGGTGGAGTAAGTGTCCGACTTGTATTACAGCTCTATTACCAACGGGCCCAGTCCCTACAGAAACTCATAGACTCCCACACTCCCCGGGGCCCCACCTCCCAGACCCGAAGTATACGGCACGCCGACGCAGCGAACAGCTGCGAAACCCGACTCCGGTGATCAATCTGGCTTTCGGAGCCGCCATGGACCCACCCACGCTACTCTCCCAGCGGACTCGGATTCGGAACGCTAGAGCTTGTGTGAGACTTGTTCGCTCGTGGGCTTCGCCAGGCACCTTTGCGGTCTGGGTGCGAGCGCAAAAGCATAAATGCTGACATGTTCCTCCGTGCAGCAGGGACGATGATCGTTTCTGTCACGCCAATCGACGTGTGGGACGCGAGTTGGGGCTCGCATCTGCGCGTTGCAAGGAGTGGGCAGCGAAGCATCCGTGCGCGAGCCTCGCAGTCACGACATGTCTGAGTCGCCTCCGCTCTTCACGGGAGTGGTGTGTCTCGCTCGTAGTCACACAACTGAATCAGAGTTTGGCTTAACGTTTGGGGATAGCGTGACTGGGTAGAATACAACAATTTCATTCGAGGGCAAAGCATGGTCATCTACAGTATATACAGTGCGAGTGGGTGTTCTACAGTTGAGGATAGTCAATGGGCGTATGTACAACAATGTAACATGTAAAGGCGTCGACTGCGAAAGAGTTCGGATATATGTACAAGAGGGTGTTTAGCTTTCACGGCCTGAACGAGACTCCGGGCCTCGCCAGTCCAATTCAATTCATGCAGCAGGGGTCTTGAACACAAGCATCGCCCGCGGCTGCCCCGAGTTTTTCACCGGCACCATCTCGATGCCCACCAGCCGCGTCCTGCCCTCGAGCCAGTCGATCTTGCGCACCCCGGCGTCCCATCCGCCGCCGGTCTGCACGCACCGCGCCTCGTACGAGCGGGATATGCGCCGCTGCACCTTGGTCGAGAGCCGGCCCCACTCGTCGCCCGAGGCGCGCCCCGACAGCGCGTCGTGCACGGCACACACGACGTCGAGGTTCGTGATGGGGGTCTTGCGCCGCCGAGGGGGCATGCGCGGCCCGCACCGGCGCGACGCGGGCGCCTCGATGGCGGTGTGCGGGTGGACGACGATGTCCCACGGGAAGTGCGCGCAGTGCAGCACCAGCTCGGTGTACATGGGTGGCTCCGTCGCGGGCTCGTCTAGCACTTCGATGGGGATCGGGTCCCGTGCGCCTCGGCGCAGGATCGTCTGCTTGGAGGGAGGGAAGGCGATGTCGTAGGAGAGGGGGGCATGATCTAGATGCGTGTATGCGAAAAGGGTGTGAAACGATAGTGCGGAAGGCTCGTCGTCTTGGTCAGGCCGAGAGGGGAGCAGGAACGACACGTGCAGGTCTGCACGGAACAGGTCAGCTCAACTGGGACGAAAGAGGAAGGGGATCGACGTGCCTTGCGTACTGGCGCGTTGCGAAGAAGACTTGAATCTGCCACTTCCCTGTTTGAGCGCCGGACGCAGGGGCCTCATCTGCGCGCGCTGCGGCGATGCACATGCCTCTGGAGGGGCAGAAGTTTCCGAAACGGGTCGGGCCAATTCCAGTGTTTGGCGAGATGAACTCGCATCGGAATGCGAGCTGCTCGATGAGGATTCATAGATCGACGAGTCTTGTGAGGCTAGTGGTGTGTGTTGGTCGGTGAAGAGAACGCATGGAATCGGCTCACTTCGGGGGGCAAGTGATATGCACACTGGTTGCGCAAGCTCAAACAGCGTGGAGGACTGCTTTCCCATCTTCTTCGACGTCTTGGGAGCCAGCAGAGACCCCAATGTCGGAGGCGGTTTGTACAATCCATTGAACCGTCGGAGAAGAGACGCTCCTCGAGCGGGCTGCTTGTCGTGATGGAGGAACGACGGAAACGGCATTGCTGGTGGGATGTCGAATGAGAGAGAGCTGGGGCGGCAAGCAAAAGAACACACACAGAAAACAGGTCGCGTCTGGTATTCTTAAATACCAGAAGTACATACCGTAAGTGGCGGAAAACAGCCGCCGCTTGATCGAGCCATCTTCCATTTCCGCGCCCAAATGAGAAGTCGAACCGAATTTACTGCGGCACCGCGTGTCGGATGGGAGATGGTGTGCAATGAAGAACGAGATACACGATTTGGTCAAAGCCAAAATAGCGCTCAGGCCCGACCAGGGAGGCAGGGAGTGAGGCGTACGCGTCTGGAAGCCTTCGCCTCAAGTCCGTGGAATGGCCAAATGATGCGGGGAATGAAACGGAGCGAAGCCCATGGGCTGATGCGAGAAGATCGAAGCCTGTTTGACTCATCGTGTCACAGCGAGCGCGACGCGAATAGCAGCAGGCCCTGGATTTTCCAGAACTGCGTCCGTCACGGTTGTTTAGCGTCTCGCGAGCAAAAAGACGCGCCGTTTCGAAGGAGACCGCTTCGTAGGAGCGCTTCGTCACTCCTGGGACGCCATGCTCTTCCCTAGAACTCGTGCACGGCGTCCCAGTGAAGCGCGAGAAGGAGTGCCAACGCATGAATTTGAAGGCCGGTTGTTCTGGCGCACTGCTGGGCCCTCCTCCAAGTGTTTCTCCCTCCTCTGATCGCTAGCACTCGAGAGTAGATCCGGCTGGTGATCCAAGGATGCCATGGAGATGGACCGCGGAGCGTATCGGACAGCCGTGCACCATGGAGTCGGCCGGACTCAGAAGCGGTCCATGGTCAATGGGGCAACGCTCCGAGAGGCTAACTTTTCAGTAGCGCGAAGGTAGCACGAGCGACGACGAGCAGCTCGGGTGCAAGCCCAATCGGATCATTGAGACTACTCGACGCGTTCTGAGTGATGCTTTCAGAGCACGAGAGGGCTGGCGTCCAGGCCCCGCACTGGCAGACAACCCTGTCGACTGGGGACACTCTACGCCTGAGGTTGCCAGGCACAGAGAGAGTGCGAGCGGATTAAGGTTGAAGCTTTCCTCGAGAGTGTGAGCCGCACACGGATCCTCAACGCTCTTGAGTGGCTTCACACGGAAACAGGGAGCAGGTATCCATCGTTGACTGATCACGCCGCACACGTGCCGGTTCCCACGATGTTTCAACCTCTAACTTCCAATGCCTAAAAACGCCTGTTAAGCAGCAAATGAGGTTAGAGAAGAGTCTAGATTCAAGGGAAAACCCCGAATGAGTCACAAAGCATCGAACTCACGGCACGTTTCTCTCAGGGATCAACTGGATTCACTCAACCTTGGTATAGAAAATCTGCTGGCAGGCCAAGACAGATGCCCCTTCTACTCGCATGATTCTGAGTGCGAATGTCGTTTACAGGAAGTAAGTGACATTTTCTAGTAGCATCTGCTCGGCTGGCTCAGTGAAGGGAACAGTCGAGCACTGACGCTCTGACACCGAGCTGCCAAAGCCGGGAAAACCAATTCCAGTCATCGACGTAAATTCTGGCGCGACAGCACCCGTTTCGGCGGGCGAGAGGACGGATGGTGTCTTCATATTCACGCCAGGAACGGAAAGTCGACGGTTTTAGCATTTTGTGCGACTTGGCGCTTGTCGAGAGCTCCAGTTTCTTTTCTCACACCAGATCTTGAGGCACGCCGTCCCATCCAATCTAGTATCTAATGGCATCTATTGTAATGTGGTGAGTGTTATGGGGTGATTACGCCCACGGACTCGAATTGTGCCCTGGAATAAGACAGAAATCGGAGCATCGATGTCGCAGACGGGTGTCGAACACCTCGTCCTTGATGTCCCCGCTGACATCCGCGTCCAGTCGTTCAGAATCCAGGAACCAGTCCATTTTCGCATGACCGTCTTCGAGCAGCGGCTGGACGTCTGGCGCCCGTCGGCCGATGCACAAATCAACCTGCACACCCATGTCTCCGGCTATGAAAAATCCCCGTAGCCCGGGAAACGAGCTGGTCCCGAGGCCCTCCTGATCCTCGAGAAAATGGGCGACACTAGCGGCGGCAAACTCCACAAGCAGCGCACGCCAGAGGAGGGACCCAGATCTCGGGTACATGTCGTCGTCGGCCGAGGGAAGCCGAATAAGCAGCTGGCGCAGCGTGGGCGCGAGGAGAGTCTGTGCGAGGATGATGACCCCGTCCAGCAGGAAGGCGTCGCGGAAATTTAGGACGAGAGACTTGAGACAGGGCAGTGTACTGCGGCGGCGGACATCCAGGGCCGTCAACGGGAAATCATTATACCCAGAGTAGCCACGAAGAATCAGCTCCTCGATGCCCGGCGCGTACTGCTCGAGCTGGCGGAAGAGCGAGGGTGCAGATCCACCAGGCGATGTGCGCGCCCATGCGCAATTGACATCCAGGGTTCTCAGATGCAGCAGACAGGAGGCTGCGGCGACGGGCAAGCTCGTCGAGAGCCGGAGATAGCTGACACGCGGGAGAGATTCTAAAAACAGATCCAAGGAATGCGGGGGTCCCCAGAGCTCGTCCGGCGCATACGAATGAATTCGGAGGTCCGCATTCTGCAAGCGGGACAAGCCGAATGGAGTGCTATTCCATTTTTGGAGTTGTCCGTCCGTGAGATGCAGAGTCATCGAATTGCAGCGATGCATATCTTCTTCGAGGAAACGCAATGTATCAGATATCTCGATTTTCGCGCCCCAAGAGCGCGTATCAAGGTGCAGATGGAACGGGAGGGATTGAGATCGCGGGAGGAAATGCATCGCGCGGACGATGTGAAAGGGTCGGGATATGAAGATCGTGTTCCAGATCCTCGGGGTAGAAAGCGCGACGATTCTCCAGCGCCAGCAGACGGCAGATAGCCCGACTGGAAGGCTGCATCTTGCGTGATCTCCGACCGCGGTTTCGAACACCAGCGCGAGGATCTCCGGCGGGAGAGATGCGATGCAGGACACGGGCAGAAGAAGCATGGGAGGACTCTAGTGAGGCTCAATTGCGGGTCTGAGTTAAGATATACGGTTGCAATTAGGGGAGGGCAGAGGTTCATAGACTTACTGGCACGTGTTGAGCCTGGCTGGATGCACACCGTGCTGGCCTCCGCGTGTCTTCATTTATAGGGCAACGGGGATAGCTGAGCCAGCATTCAATCGCGAGGAGCGAATCGCCGTGCCTCGCCCAGGCTGCCGTCAGTCGTGAAACCCTCGGCCAGTCTACGTATTCGCGGTCAATTGCAAGTAAGTATTGGAGTCAAAACTCCCTGGGCCGTGGTTGCGATCTGATCCATTAGCATGAATGTCGCACTAGTGTCAGGCATTATTATCAAGCGCACTATGTAGCTGATGGGCCGCTGCGCTGCTGTTATCAAGCTGACAACTAGCCCACAGTGTGGAATCGGGAGCCCCAGTCCGCTCTTCAGTTGCGCGGGTTGCGACCTGATCCTGTAATCGGCTCGATACGGATCGACGGTGAGGTAAGGACTCCGGGAGAGAGTTCCATCTAATAAACCAAGACCACGGCTTGGGAAATAGAAGTCAGAGATCCGCAGAAAGTGAATCGGCGAGGGTCGGTGGGCAAACGCAACTCAAAAAAGGCTCGGGCTGGTCACGGGGCGCGTCACATGTTGATATCTGTGTCCGCAGCATTGGTGCACAAGCTTCGAGCACGCATGTACTGCTTCATCACACTCACGGCCACCAGATGTGCGTCATACGCGCGACCATTCAGCGCGCTTTGTTCGTGCTTGCCGGTAGGACGCGACGCGTTCAGTCACGTGCTGGGAAGGTCCCGGTGATGCGCGGGGTCCAGCTTGCAAGCTAGACTTGGACGGTGATAGTCTCAGGTTCAATCAGACAGAGGGCGGCGTTTGGAGAGATGCTGATGCCAAAATGCCAACACAGAACAATGAAAGAAGAAGCACGGCTGGTGATCATGGCCCAAGTCTGATTTCGCTGCTTCTCAAGCGCTTCCTCGAGGGGACCAAGGCACGGGCGGTGCATGCACAAGGATCTTGCATACAGACGTGATTGCTTGGGAGTGCGTACTAGCTGCGGAAGAGACCTAAAAAGGACGTTCACATCATCCCGTCAATGTTCAATAGCTTGACTCGTTTGCCGTCGCGGTCCAGACTGTTATCCCATGCATAGCAGAGATCCGTGGAGCTTCGTGTGCACCAACTGAATTGTGCGCAGGTCGAAACCGGGCTCGTCATGTCTGGATGGCCGTATCGCATGTGCAGCGGGACATACATAAACATATCCCAATCTGAATGATAAGGGACGACACAAATGGACAGGATGGGCATCTCTCGTCTCACACTAGCCGCCGCTGACGTGTCCCAGCCTTCGGGAGAATAGCGGTCTGGTCTGGCCTGATACCGGGCTCACCTGGTGCTCGATGCCTGACTCGTCGTGTTCCCAGAAACCCCGAATTGGGGAAGCAGGAGAAGATCTGCTGAGAAGGCAGCCACTGCTCGAGGAATGCCACCGACACTTGGGTCCCACGCGCATCGGATCCCATCACTGTCGTCTGCCACCGCTAAGAGCAGTATCTGCGCTACAGCGGCGCGCGACGACAGGCGGGGGCCAGGAGAATATCCACCGGCACATGCGGCGCGAGATAGGTAGGCAACGGGCCCTGTTTCCGCCATGTGCTGCCCAATAGAAAATCCCATGAACTCGCCACTTCGAAAATAGATCCTTGGCTTTTGGCAGAAAACGGCCGTGAAGCGGATCGAAACATGTGTCATTAGTTGACTGGCGCGAGCCCCCTTATCTCCCATGGCATGTGGTCGCACGACTCACTTTAGGGTCCCGTTTTCGGTGTCTCCTCAGCTCGGGATGGCCTCATTCATGACTGTAGGAGTCAGCGATGAGCGGTGGAGCGCCCGCTCATAGAGGATGGAGCCGGTACTTATCTCACAGCAGCCGACCCGTGGGAAACAGAGCTTGTCCGATATCGCCCGATTTAGAAGGACAGCTGCTTCTTTTGCCTCTGATTGAGCCTGCAAAAATTCGCGCTCGCGCATCGGCGGGGATTTTGTCGGGCACCAGAGGCGCATCGACGGTCATCGAGCCGGTTCAACGCGCGACAGAGTCACGGATCAACGATGGACATTCGAATTGGGGGTGTTAACCGTTATCTACGAATCAAACCCCGGCGCTCGGTTCCTGGGAGGTTGCATATGGACCTTCCAGTGTGGTTCTTGTGATCCCTCGGTGCGGGCTGTCAGATCTGGCCTCTCCACATGTCCACGAGACATACAAGAAGCAGCCACTCGCGAGGCCTGGAACTCAAGCCCCAAGGACCCCCCTTGCTCTGCTTCCGCTTCTCGCGTCCGTCCGTCCGCCCTCCCGACGTCGACTATCGCAAAGCATGTCCAGCCACGAAGACGAGAAGTTTGCGTCCCCTGCGGACGTGCACGACGCTGAGAAGGGCGTGACCTCCGACGAGGCCGCCGCCCTTGAGGCCGCTGCGCTCCCCGAGTTCGACGACCCGAACTTGGACAAGGATGCCGCCATCGCCGGTGTCCTTGAGGACGACTCCCCCTACCCCGAGGTGCGGTCCGCCGTCGCCAACACTGACGACCCCACCGTCCCCGTCTCCACCGTCCGGGCATGGACGCTTGGTCTCATCTGGGCCATCATCATCCCCGGCCTGAACCAGTTCTTCTTCTTCCGCTACCCCAGTGTCACCGTCAGCAGCGTGCGTTGTCCCCGCTTTTACTTCCCATTCCTGGACTGACGCCGCGTTCTTCTCGTAGATGGTCGCCCAGTTGCTGACGTTCCCGCTCGGTCGTCTCTGGGCTCGTCTTGTGCCGAATTTCCGTATCTTCGGCGTCGAGCTCAACCCCGGTCCTTTCACCATCAAGGAGCACGTCCTGATCACTATCATGGCGGGTGTCGGCTCTGGATCTGCGTACGCCACGGACATCATCGCCGTGCAGCGCGTATTCTACCACCAGAACTACAACTTCGGCTACCAGTGGCTCGTGGTCATGTCGACGCAGCTCATCGGTTTCTCCATCGGCGGTATCGCTCGTCGCTTCCTCGTGCAGCCGCCGTCGATGATCTGGCCGTACAACCTCGTCACCTGCGCGCTTTTCAACACCCTGCACGCGCAGCAGTACGCCGGTGTCGGTACCCGCGGGGCATGTCGCGTGAAAAGTTCTTCTACATCGCCTGGGGATGCGGTGTCGCCTGGTACTTTGTCCCTGGTGCGTGCCGTCTGTCGTGTGTGCCTTGCCCGATCTGCTCGCTGACGTTTCTGGGGTTGACAGGCTACCTGTTCACTGCCCTGTCGTTCTTCTCCTGGGTGTGCTGGATCAAGCCGAACAACCTTGTTGTCAACCAGCTGTTCGGTGTCAACAATGGTCTTGCCATGGGTCTGATTACCTTCGACTGGGCGCAGATTGCTTACACCGGCTCCCCGCTTGCCACGCCCTGGTGGGCTGAGGCCAACGTTCTCGGCGGATTCCTGTTCTTCTTCTGGTTCCTCACGCCCATCCTCTACGTGCGTGGTCTGTGTTCTCTGCGATCTACGTTTGCTGATGGGGTGTATGTTTCCAGTTCACCAATGCGTGGTACAGCAAGTACATGCCATCTCCACTTCGGGTTCGTATGACAAACTGGAAGCCCTTACAACGTCACTGCCATCCTCAACGATCAGGGTGTACGTCCCTGTCTCCAGAGCCCTGTATTGTCGCTGACGCGCTTGGCAGACGTTCGACGAGGCCAAGTACCAAGCCTACTCTCCGCTGTACCTGTCGACGACCTTCGCGCTGGCGTACGGCCTCTCGTTCGCGTCGATCACCGCGACGATCACGCACGCGTTCCTGTTCTTCCGCAAGCAGATCTGGACGCAGGCGCGCCGCTCGATGCACGAGCAGCCGGACATCCACGCGCGCCTGATGGCGGTGTACCCGCAGGTGCCCGAGTGGTGGTACAGCATCATCCTGGTGACCATGTTCGTTGCCGGTGTCGTCGCGATCACCGTCTGGGACACCAAGTTCCCCGTGCAGTACTTCATCCTCGCCCTCGCCATCTCGTTCGTGTATGTCATTCCGATTGGCATGATCCAGGCTATCACCACCCAGCAAGTCGGGCTGAATGTCATCACCGAGCTCATCATCGGGTGCGTTTTTGCCTGCCATTCCGTGGTGCTTATTGTGTGGTGCTGACCATCCTCGTGCAGGTACTCGCTGCCCGGCCGTCCCGTCGCTATGATGATGT